TTAAAAGTTATAATTATGTTTATAATAATTCATTGATGTACAGACTTCTGACAAAATATTTGGTCATTTTTAACCCCTGCCAAGGCTCTTCAACTTATATTGTAGCTGTAAATTTATGATAAAAGATAGTAAAGTTCTATAAATCTCTGGTACTCTCACAGATAACTGTATAAGGTGTGATAGATAAATTGAAAAAAAAATTGAAAAGGCTTTAATAAGAGATTGGTCTAAATTTACACATCTTAAGTTCAGATAGATGATTTTGCATATTAAAGCAAAACGTCATACAAGTCTCTATGCTAATTGCTTTCCACGTTTCTTGCAAAGCATTTTCCAATTGTTGCAATGTGGTAGGCTGAGGTCGTCTTGCGTGGATTTTGTTATCAAGAAGCCCCCAGATATTTTCAATTAGACTCAAGTCTGGACTGTTAGGAGGCCACTCCAAAATCTTCAATCCAAAGTCTTTCTTGAACCTTTCTGCTAAGGTAGTCTTATGATAACTCGTGTTATCTTCTTGATAAAAATAGTCTCCCTTTTCTACATTAGGAAGACTTTAGTAGAAGAGCATGAATTCCTTCTCCAGAACTTCATTGTACAATGGGGCATTCATGTTACCCTTAAGCATAACCAGTAGTCCAACTCCTCCAGACCAAATATATCCCCAAAGCAATACAGAACCTTCATTTCCTGAAACCTTTGAAGTCAAGAAGTCTGGATGATATTTCTCTCCTAGTTCATGCCATACATGACTATGACCATTTTTCTTGAAAATATTAAAGGTTGCTTCGTCTGTCCAAATGACAGTATCTCACTGTTTTTCCAACATTTTATTTTTCTATACCAAGTACAACGTTTGGCAATGTGCTCCTTAGTTAGAAGAGGCTTTGATTTGGTTACACGGTAGGCTAGATTCATCTTATGCAACATTCGGCTGATAGTTTTTGTACTGACTTTTTTTCTAGTCTTTTCCTTAATCAAGTCTGCCATCTCAACCAAGTTTTGATGGCAATCCTGTTTGACATCCAAGAAGAGATGTCTTTTATCTCTAGCAGTTAATTTAGAAGGTCTTCCTGTTGGCTTCTTATTAGTATCAGATCCAGTTTCATTGTATTTTTTTATAATATGCGTGACAGTAGTTCTTGGTATTCCCTTTTTCCTTGCAATATCAGAAATCTTCATGACATCTTTATGAAATCCAATTAAGATTCCTTTTTCAACTTCTGAAAGTCTTTCAAATGGCTTGTGAGATTTACTGCTTTGTTGTTTAGGCATTATATTAAAAAGATTTTATTGAATTTAGCAGATTAAGTAAAGTAAAGTGTAAGAGTATATTATGAAATAAATAGCAGAAATATAAAACGACCAAATTTTCTATTCCACAACTGTATTCTATATTATAATTGTTGTGGTGGTTGAAGTTGAAGAAGTTTTTAAGAGGAAGAATTGAAGATTTGAGATTAGGAATGAAGATTTGTGAGAACTTGTGTAGGTTTTGTTTATTGAGAAAGGATTTTTTATCAAAGTTTGACCAGGTTCCTACACTGAACTACTACTGCTATTTATATTATTTTGGATCGGGAAAATTATATGACTGGGGTCAGGTAATCAATCCTATATGAGCCTTAATCAGAGCAACGTGATCTTGGAATAATTAATGTATGATTAATTATATAAATGTGTGTAGTCCTAATGAAGTATTAACATCGAAAGTAAATGTATTTATGAGTTATAATTATGCTTATGATAATCTACTGATGTATCTCATATTATGGTGATATAATCATATGAAATATAATCACTATCATGCATGCTAAACCTGTGTGTTAAATAATAAAGTAATTGGTAAACACCTTTGACTGAAATAGCGGAGGCCTTATATTATTTCCTTCAGACTTATTCTCAATTACAGCAGTAGTCAATACTCATTTACAACAATAATGATATCATCATATAAAATATAATCACTATTGTGTAGGATAAACCTATATATTAAATAATAAAATAATTGGTGAACACTTTTGACTGGAATAGTTGAGGTCTTATATTATTTCCTTCAGACTTATTCTCAATTACAGCAGTAGTCAATACTCATTTACAACATTTATTCATAAATAAAAAGTATCTCTTTTTAAAAGAAAGTATAATCTGTTCTTATTATTACATCTTAGTTTTTAAAGTTTTCTTCCTTTACTATATTTGGTTATTAGAGTGTATTTACTACTTAACTAGTATTAATATTATAATTATAATATCAAGTCATAAATTATACTTCTTTAGCTCTTAACTATATTTTTTTCTTTTACACCAGAACTTTAGAAATTCTAGCTAAATTAGCTCCAAATAGCTCTGACACAGTTTATCCAGAAGTATAATATAAATATCAATAACAATCTGCTCATAATAAAATAATTTCTTTATCTACTATATTATTTTGTTTATTTAATTATACTTATTTAAGTATATTTCTTTCCCTGTTTTTATATTATACAATTATTGGGTTTGTTATATTACTACAATCCGACATTTACGTAACAGGTAACTTGGCCGAGTTGGTCTAAGGCGCCGCACTCAAGTTGCGGTCTCGCAAGAGGCGTGAGTTCGAATCTCACAGTTACCATTTTTCTTGACTCGTGTCGCTTTTTTTTTCTTAATGTCAACTTGTCGGACATTATTTTGATGAATCCGTAAAATCTGAAGATGGTTAACTGTAGTATAATGACTCTCATTTTATTTAAATATAATATAATAACTACTGCGTATAATGCGCAGTATTAGTTTAGAGAACTATATAAGACAATTCAATTCATATCAATAAAAAGTATCTTTTATCCTCTCTTTGATTTTACGTATACTCCTGGATCCCCAGTGGGTTTAACCTTTTGACCATACGTATACTTCTTTTGTTTTGATACTATATTTACGAATCACTAGAAATTTTTTTCCGATGAACAACTTTTTTTGGAGTAATGACACAAAAACCTCCATCAAAATAAAAAACATAAAGCAGCACTAAGTTAACCGTTTCTCTTCTATATCTATTTCTTCTCTTTTTCTATTTCCACTAATCTTACATATATATATCTTATTATATCCGTTATCCTTTTTCTCTCTTCTGCATTCAGTCAAATCCACTTTGATGGCATTTTAAAAGCTGTGTGCAGAGCGTAACAGCAAATCAATAAATTACTAAAAAGAATTAATATGATGTCCTCTTCATTTACAGTCTTTGCGTGTTATTTCTTAAAAAAATGCCTGTTAAGAAAAAGAGCACAAAAACGCCGTCAATCCCAACAAAAGTTTTTTTTCTATTAGTTATTGAATTAACTATTGGGTATAGAGCATGGCTAATAGAATTGTTTCAAAATGGAAACATAAAGTGACAGAGCAAAGGTAACATACAGAGAAACAAGTATCCCAACAAAAGAATATACCATTGCTCAAAACATTATCATATTTTTTGCGTTTTATTTCCAAAAATAATCTAATAATCGTGTATATGAATACCTTGAACATCTTAAATATAATAATTGAAAGGACAAACATGTGCTTATGAAAGAGAGCAGCAAAAAATAACAGCAATTTATTAAATGTCCATTTGATTTATTCGAATATAACTAAGAATTTCGACTATAAGTAAAAATTATAAAGTACAATGAACTTACAGCAGGGTGTTTTATTCTCTCTGCAGATCCAGATTTGGATACAGACAGGGAAAAACATTTCATTGTGGGTGTGCAAAAGCCTAGCGCACTTAGGAGTTCAGGCAACCTAACGAGAACCTCGAACTAATAGCGCACAATAAAATACAATCTTCCTAAATATAATAGGAAAGAAAAAACATACAAAAAAGAATAATAAGTATTTGGCCCACCACAGTAGAGAATAATCAGCCATATATATATAAGAGCTCGGAAAAGACCCCTATTGGAGGAAAGGTTTTTTTTAGAAAGAACATTAAATTAAGATATAAGCATAGCGGATGGTAATACTGGAGAAATAAATATATAAATATTTAAAGAAAATAAGAAATACGGCACTTTCAAGTCGAGAATAAGTAACTAAGTGTTGACTACCCCAAAACTGAGGAACGTATTTAAGCAAGGATATGAGCTCCAAAGAGAAATCCTCTTTATATGTCCGGATGTCCCGTTTATGTATCCAGAATATGCAACAGTGGCAGAAAAAAAACAGGTCATATTAGGTGCAGTTTCGGGAGAGCACTGCTTGTTCATATTGACAAGGGACAAGGGATAATGGAAATTCCGAAATAAGCAAGGAAAGTGGATTCCAGAAACAGGTTTTCTCGGAGGTTCTACGGTTTGAAGAATACATATTTGTTTCTTTGCCCATATTTGTTTCTATAAGGTCAAGGAGAATTTGATCATAAGTCTTTTCTTCCGGAAGTTTTTAGGATGATCTGGTTTGACCAATTGCACGTAGTAAGGAAAGCATAAATTACCACCAATAGCATCACGTACCAGGTTGTTTAAAGGGTATAGGGAGACAATTGAGAGCATAATTGGTTAAACAGATCTCTGGAGAGGATAACATGGCTGATCAAGAACCAAAGGTTTTGAATGAGAGCAGTGGTAGTAGAATATATCAGAATTGAGCAGACAGAAACCTATAATTTTAACTTAATGTAGATTTTTCTTAGTCAATACTTCACTTCTTTTAACCTCTGCTTTCTGTATCCACACAGATATATCCGCCATATAATAAAACAAAGAATATATAAAGAAAATTTTAACATCAAACTAAATATTACCAAAATCGTTTTTTATCATTAATGTTCGCTTTAATTTTTTCTTAAATTTAAATGGATTGTAACTTTTTTACGAATGTGGATATGGTACCATCTTATACGAGTAAGGCTTTGAAAAAATAGATTTTGAGGAGGGAGTCGACCCTTGCAATATTGGTACTCTGTCAACTCTGTCCGAATATCATACTTCTCAAATCGCTTTCCCACTGAATCTAATGAGACACTTTGTGTAAAAATGGAAGACGTGGCTGAAGAACTAGCTATAGATCTATTGACTGGTAGAAAGTACCATGTTTACTCTGGCAAGCAAAAAGTAAGTTCTTATTCCTTTGGCAGGATAAGACTGTGGAAGACTACCCCTTTTACCCACAAAGCTCAGATTGAACCACGTACCACTCAAAATTGGGTCAAGTAACTCAAGAAAACTTCCAGTTGGAATATTAACGAAAAGCAGATAAATCAGTAAAATAGAAAGTTTCCAACTTCAAAAAGAGCATAAGAATCACCTTATATATTATTATTATTTTCGATTTAAGTACCCCTAAACAACAAGGCTCAGTGCAGTAGAGAGTTTGACGAAAACATTCGAGAACTTTCGCTTAAAAGAAACGTCTACTAGAAACTTCATCCTATACGAGTGTACTTTGAATTTCAAGAGAACAAACTTGCAATCTCTGACAAGAAATAGCGGCAGGGATCTCGAAAACCGCTATCAATGGGTTAAAAAATTGGTTGAATATACTGAAATGAGCTATCTGACCAGCTGGGTTCTTGCAGATGAAACTGATTTCAATATCAACATGAGATGTCATAATCCTGGCTCAATTTGAGGTACATCAGCAGTTGTTGAAACATTTATTATTCGCACCTCACGTATACCATATTGGGAGCTATAACAGCCCATGATATTATTTCAGCTGAGATTAGAAAGCCTTCAAACCCCAAGAAAGTAAAGGCTGATAGGAACAGAAATATGGAAACTCATATTAAAGAGAAACGCCAAGGGAACTGTTACTGGCCATTTTATGAAGTTTATTTCTAAAAATTCAGATAAAATAGAAAAATTCCCTAAATTGAGTAAATTTTATGTAGCTATAGGAAATGCACCCACCCATATCTTAGAGGATATCGTGAAGTTGATCGTAACAAGAGGCTATAGAGCTATATATTTGCTTCCTACTTCCCTAAGCTGAATCGTATTAAAAAGGTCTAATCAGTCATATAAAGTCCAGTCAAGAGAAGTGCATTTCAGGAAACCATATATCATAGAACTATAATTAGCGAGACTAATAGAAATACTCTTCATAATATCTCGCAGCGTTTTGTTAATAACTTTCAATAAATTCCGCAATTTAATGATTAATACCAAAAGATCAAGTCATTCGACTTGATAATAAATATTATAGATATTTCGAAAAGTAAAAAGTACATTAAGAATTATCAAACGAAAAAAAAAGCTCGTTTGGACAGACTAAAATTTCAAAAAAGGGTAAAAAATAGCAATTCTTTAAACGACTCTTATTGGCTAACTTCTTCAATTACTACTAGGATTGAGGAGAAGAGCATTTTTTTTTATAAAAACGATGTGCTGTAAGGTGCAAGATATAGAAAAACTCACAATAAAATATTCTTACTTAATGACAGGCACGGCATTATAAGCACACTTCTACCTAATATGTACCTGATAATTTTAAACTTTTTTTTTAAAAAGAAAGGTGCGCTCAGTCATAAATTAGTCTGGCCAATTTTAGGATGAACTCGTTTTACCCATTTTTTGCCCTCCCTTTTTTATATTTCAGTCTATCCACACCAACTATCCACACATTGGTTCACTAGATATCTCCACATTTATAACGTTACTTCTAATAAACAATACAAAAAATTCACAAATCGGTAGATATATTTTTACATATTGAATTAGTGAAAACACAGTACCTGCCTGGGGCCAGGTGTTTTTCTCTAATCCTCCAGGGAAAAATGGGGTGCCCTGAAAAATCCTTTATATTCGATTAATAACCGCTTGTGCCCTAAATTTAGACCTGGTCATTAAAGATATCATATAAGCAAATAGCACTAAAGATACCGTCAAGGGCGATTCTAGTAAGATATTTTTATAAGATTTCCTGGCTTTAAGGTGTGTTTTAAGGTTTAATTTTGATTAGGCATAAAATGGTTACAAGTAACTTAACCATTTGATGCTACAAGGATTAAATTGTCTAATCCTGATACTTTATTTTCCAACCAATGCTTAAATTATCCAATCTTAAGTTTGTCACCTTTCTTTGCTCTTTCTATCTTTTATACGTTTTCTTTTCAATTATACATTAACCAACAATTGCCTTTTAAATATCCAACGTTTACACCAACAGTGCTTTACAATTAATACAAAACACCCTTTTCCGGATTTCCGGATTTCCCGATACAGTACAACAATAATGATAACATAATAATTCACTAAAAATATTCAAAGAATGGTACAGCTTACCAAGAATGGGTATCTTGGGTGTCTCTCTGCCAATAAACATGCTGGACATTTATATTCTTTTGGAACCTGGTGGTCTTATAGTTCTTTCCATTTAAATAACACACATGAATTTATGAAGAGTAGTACCATTGTGTCTCAATTGGTTAACTATACGGCTGAGGTTCAATGAAATGGCAAGATCTCGATTCCACAAACGATGATTTAAAGGTAAACGGATCTACATTTTCCAAACAATTTATATTGTCACATATTTAACTAAAAGATGAAAAGAAGAACACAAATAAAAAGAAAAGATGAGTAATATTGTTTATTTAGTTGTTGGGTTTTAAGATCTAAAATAATATACCAAGTTTTTTTATGCTTAAGTTGGGTGCTTTGTTGGGAAGAGGTGTCTCAGTGACATCCTGGCCTAGCAACACCCGAGTTCTCATACATTCATTATAGCATATATTCTCCCCCATTATAAACAAAGATATATATATATACATACAATACTTCAAATTAAATGAAACTTGCTATAAAAGAATCTTACGCATTATTCAATAAAGATGTAATTATAAAATGTAGAATATATAAATATCGATATGTGAATGAAACCTTACATCCGCAAAAGAGTGTAGATACAGTGCTATTTATAACAGACAAGAGGTAGGAAATGATAAAGGGCAAAAAAGAACTCCCTCGGGTAACTCCCTGTGGTCACCTATATTCTCTTTCTGTAGTGATAATGGATCTAATAAGGGTCTTAAGCCATAATTTGGGTATATCAATAAAGCCGTCTCACAGAATATTTTAAAGCGGAATTGCAGAATTGCAAAGTTGCAGAATCGCAGACTAACAGAATTATAAAAGTAAAAATATTACAGTAAGTAAAATCATATAATTCAATGTTTAAAGCGCAAGAAAGCTATAAAAAGTCACATAGCAATCTTCAAGAAGGGTCTTGAATGAAATGAAGTATGCTTATACATGCTATAATTTAGTATTTACGCTGGACATTTCTAAAATACTGTAATTAGAATATAAGTTTGCATTATATCGAGATACTTATATATAAGAAATGATGTTGGTTTGTACATATCAATTAAAAGTATAGTATGAATCGATATATTTACTCATAAATCTTGTGCCTTGTATATATTCATACAATTATTCTTATAAAAGAATAATATATATTTGCTGTATACAGTACATAAATACTCATGTCAGAGGATCCCTATCTAGTGCAATAGTTAGCGCATCCTCAATTGAGGTCTAATACGCTCTAGTAGAGAATATTTACATATATGAGTGTAAGTGTGTGCGTTTGAATTTGTGGCTCAACCTATTGTAAATGTTCTAACAATACAGTACGCACGCGGTCAACGAAAGTTGATGTATGTGGGTGGTTACATATATCTTTTTTTTTTTGGTCGCAAAGAATGTGGCCGTCATTTTGATCTACTATACTCAAAATTGCAGTGGTATGTTGATAGTAGACTTGTATTTATATGTCTCAATATACAGATGTCTCTTGGCTCTACCTATTAAAACACACGCTAAAGAAAGAAGAAGAAAAAATAATTGTACACGAAGCCTTTAAATATAAAGAGTGATCAAAGAATGCAATAAAAACATCAAACAAAGTATTCAATATTCTTTTACTATTCTCGATTTCAATTATATATTTCCAACTCTTTTAAAGAGTTTCTTTTTTTTTTCTTTTTTCTTTTTTTTAAGTTATTTATATTATCTCTTTTGATGAGAATCAAAGACATAAAATCTGTCTTTGTAGGGCTAGCACTTCTCGGAGTGACCAATGGAGCAGTAATGCACAGTAGCAACACGCTTGGTTATATGAATACCACAGATGACTTTTTCGTAAATACCGATTTTCATAATATCTTACGGGCGACTACTATTCGAGCTCCATACGAGCAGCCGCCAAAGTCTTTTGATCGCATTGCACACCCAAGGCCTCCAATTTTTGCCGACCCTAGATACCACAGAGTTGTTCCAACAAATTCTTGGATCAGCAACCTATTTTACCCCAGTCTCAACGATCTTGCTCCAACCACACCTGACCCATATATAATTCGGATTCTTGACGACTTTGGTGGCACTCGAGGTCTTTCCATTTCTCAACCATCCGTAAAGGTTAGTTGTCGGGTATGGGATGTCTTGATAGAAACTGGAACATCATATTCTGAAAAAAAAATCGGTACGATAGTACTATGGTACCTACCCACAAATGAACAATGTTCCAGAAACACAAGCAGGCTATGTTGTAAACGGAGTCGTTGTTGACTTTAGATTCACAGCTAAAGAGTGGACCAATTCCAGACCTAAGCTTTTGGTAAACTATTGGGATCATTTTGGCACCTCGCTGCAATTATCAACACCAGAAAATTCGGAGCAGCACATCACGTTCCCGTTATCCCGTGGGATGGCATACGTTACAGGAAATTATGTTGGCCTAACTCCACAATTCTACACACAACATGCTATTATTTCAGTTCATTCTGAAAGCACACCAGGCGCAGATATGTACTCTGGTAGAAAATTTAAAATTATGTTCAATGACAATCCGACTAGCACATACTTGATATACGTTCTCGGCGAGAAGCCTTTGACACTTCAAAAGGTCGGAATGAATAACCTTATTGCGTCCGAGCCATACAGTGGTATCATTCGTATTGCCAAGTTACCTTCCCCAGAGCACGAAACACTGTTAGATAATCAGCATGATGTGTGGGCCACAGGCGGAGAGCTAGTAGCCAGTAGTGATGGGTAAATATAAGCTACACATTGCATAATAGAAAAAGAAAGAAAGAGAAGATAGTAGCTAACTTATATTACACACAGTTCATCAGCAACATATAGTATTAAATGGAAAGTTGTTGGAAATCCCCAAAGAACTCTGCTCACATATGCGTACCCTCATCACATAAACTCATTTGCTGGAGATATCCAAAAAACCGGAATGCATCTTGAATCTTCCACCAAGGGAATGATGACCGCCGTACTTGGAGATGTATGGACCCTCAATGAAAACCATCTCAGCAACGTTACTTGGCTTCCGCTGAATCCTATACCAGAGGCTTCGACCCGCAACGAGATTATGCGCACAATAGAGCTTGACATCCATTCAAATTATGCTGCGGAAACCCAGAAAGGAGACAACTATTTTTCTGGAAAAGGGCTACAAAAGTTTGCTATGCTAGCACTGATATTGAATAAGCCCAAAGAGACATTTTTGCACAATCCAGAGCTTGCCAAAATCTCTTTGGAGAAGATCAAGGCTGCATTCACTCCATATCTTGAAAACAAACAAGAAGATCCGTACAAATACGATGTTGTATACAAGGGAATTGTTGCCAAAGACGGGCTACCTCGAATAATGGGCGGTACTGGTAACCCTGATGCAGAGTTTGGCCACACTTACTACAATGACCACCACTATCATCAAGGGTATCTGGTTGTAACAGGTACTGGAATATCCGTGTAACCCAAAAAATAAAAGAAAATAACGGTGTGGACATATACATATATACATATGTACAAATAAACATTATATTTAATATTTCATATGCTCAAATTAGCTGCCATTATACACCATCTTGATCCAAAGTGGCGAGCTCCAGAGCTTGTAAGGTGGACAGAGACATTGATTCGGGATGTAAATTGCCCAGTAGAAGATGACCCATACTTTGCTCCTTTCCGCAATTGGGATTGGTTTGCGGGACACAGCTGGGCAGGAGGTATAAAGAATAATGGTGCTCTTGATGGCCGTGATCAAGAATCTGTACCTGAGGTAATATTTATTTTTATATCATACTTTAATCAGAGATTTGGGTTTATTGACTTTCTATCGAATCATCTTCTGTTATATACATTATAGTCTGTGAACTTTTATTGGGGTACAAAGCTGTGGGGACTGGCAACCAAAAATTCGGCAATGATCCACCTTGCAGCTTTACAGCTAGCCATAACCAAGCGTACAACATACGAGTATTTCTGGCTTTTGGACAATAACAGAAACCGACCAGCAGAAATGATAAAAAACAAGCTAGTTGGAATCTTCTTTGAACAAAAGACTGATTATGTAAGAATACTTTAATATATATATATATTGAAGGGGGTTTAAGCAAGTAATAACCAACCAGCTAATCACTCAATTGATCAATTAATCAATCAAACAATGTACTTTTGTAGACCACCTACTTCGGAAGATATCTTGAGTTTATTCATGGTATTCAGCAGCTTCCAATGACACCAGCTCTGGCAGATGATATTCGTATCCCTGCGTTTGTAAGTTTTTGTTTTTTTAGGAGGTATTGAACTGTAAGACTAATTTGTTCCCTTATTTTTCAACTGTCTAAGGTCGAAGAAGAGTGGAACCAACGTCTCTCGGCGGTTGCACCCCAAATAGAAAGTCCATGGGCGGGTGTGCTATGGCTCAACTATGCACTCATCAATCCTTCAGATGCATACCCAAGACTTAGAACTACGGAAGTTGACGATGGACAGACTCGATCATATTCTCTTTACCTAACTGCAACAAGGCCAGATTTCCGTAGACGTCGTAAGGAAACACAACTGCTAATACACATAATTTTTCTTTCTCTTTTTTCTCTCTTAGCCTGTAGACCTAATTTTTTTCTTTATCTTTATATTTAGCTCTATCCAGAGTACACTCCAAAAACCCAAAGAACGAAACTGCAGTAGGTGGATATAAGCCGGCAATAAGAGGAGTACGCCACATAAGCTTTAAAGACGCAGTTACATTTGGCTCATAAATCAAGCGCAAAATTATTACTCATGGCAGTTTAATTATACCACAGATGCCCTAAATAACCTTTATATACGTTCGAAATATTCTAAATACTCTAATTATTATAATCATATGCTTTATTTTAATAATTTGAATCCGTACCATAGTCTATTAACCCACATATATACAGAGAGAAGTAAGAGAGAAATATTCTTGAATTCACAAACTATTATTGAGTAAATGTTAATAGTAGTCTAGTTATTTTCTAACCTTATGCTCATATTTATATAAATTAATATCGTAATATCTTACCCATGAGTGAAGTATTGATATATACAAGCTTAATTTGCTTCAAGCCAAACAGTAGAACTGGTGACTATTAGTATCAGATGTATTATAATTGGAGATACCTTACCAGCCTTGTAAATTAGCTGGATATATATCAACTCTTTTGCTTCCAATAAACAATGCCAATACAATTGATACATACCAAAAAAGAAAAGCCAATGCATTTTGGGCAAGTCAGTTAAAATATAAATTCCATATACATTGTGCCCTTGTTTTATTTAAGGAAAGGAAATTTGACAGTGTATGTATGTATATGTATATGTATATGTATAGTGTGTGTATAATATGTGGGAAATGTGTTGATTTCCCGCTCAACTATGATTTTCTGCACAAAGTATCACTTGCAAGGTTCTTATCTTTACCCTTGCAGATTCAAACCCTTAAAATCACCCTTTTATTCTTCTATACCTTACTAATATAAGATTTTACAGGCAGCGTATTTTATATTACAATAATCTATGCAACACAATCGGTAAAGAAACAATGTAAGTAATTAATAAAAGTACATATTTATTTTATTTTGGTACAGAAAATATATCCTTTGTTCCTAACCTGACAAAGTGGTCCTGACCAATGTCTGCAGACACTTTTTGTTCTATATTCCTTTCTTTTTATTCTTTAACAGAAAACAACCTTCCTGTTGTATATTACTGAGGTGCGGCGGGCTAGATGTGTATTGCATAATACCAAACTGGTCAAATATAGTGAACGCGGGTTGAAAAGCAAATTTAATAAAGAAAAATGTATGCCAACTATTTATCTACTTTAGGACATTCTAAAGCTGTATAAACGAACTCCAACAATTGATACAATGAGCAACACATACACACACACACACACACACACACACACACACACACACACACACACACACACACACACACGCACACGCACACGCACACGCACACGCACATTCAAATGCTCTGTTACCACTTGGTGTAGACAAGCCAAAAAGTTCAAAATTAGTTCAAGTGCATAATAGATAAAGTTAGTGTTCATAGTATCATCTCTTCTATCTCATGAAAAAAACTTTTATCGTGAGGCTTTCTAGGACTTGCACCATATAATATATCTCTTCCATCAAAAGCATGATATTCTTCTTGATCCAAGTGACAATGAAAGAATAATATCCAGTTAGAATCGCCTGAATTTTGTTTTAAAATTTAATCCGAAAATAAGGCTTACATTTTGAACTTTTTAAAACCTTTTAGTCTATTCACACCAGCCGTTTAGACAAAATTGTACATTATAAAACAGTCTATTATACAGTCTTTAAACATATCATTAGTACTACATTTCTCTACTTGAGATTGAGACTATTCTCGAAAAAAAATATTGACAAATAATATTAGTGTTTAAAATGTCTTGTAATAACAAATACTAGTTAGAGTTGTAAGTCCAAATAGAAAGAGTATAAAGAGGTTGGTATAGATGCTATATAAGCATTCCAAAAACAAACAAAAACTGCTGGAGTACAATTGTATTGTGAATAATATAAGACAGAGAGAATAAAACTACACCTTCACTTATATCAAGATGTACAAAGAACGTGCGAAGTAGTGATAAACATAAGTAAAGATGGCAACTGAAAATGCAATACGAAAAAGAGCTTACCAGACAAAAGATAAAGGCAAACAAAGTATGCTCAACTGAGAGTAATACATACATAGTACATTAATACATATTGAGAAAACTAATAATTTGTATTACCGTTTTATTAGTGGAAAAGGATGTTGGCGACCAAATTTTTTTTTATTATAATCCGTTTAATTTAGTTATCATTGCTTTTGGTACCGGCATGAAAGGCAAATATGCTACAAAGTTTAAAGGTTATTGTGTAGGAGGTGTGGGTGTTTTGTACCGAGCATTGAAGAGTAAGGAAATGAGTGGAGATTTTCTTGTGGCGGACGTTGACAAGTTCAGAGTGCCCAAGGTAAGCCTAGTAAGCTTAACACATTTGTAAGGCTTGGTTAACAATGCTTTTATTTCTTTGCTCTAAAGATTTTCCAATTTTGTAATCTTACCAACTTCACAAATGTATTGGTTGCTTTCATAATAGCCCTCGCTTGCCAAAGTTGTAGGATGATTTGGGATGGAGATGCTAATGGCTCAAAAATATATACCAGGTCACAGAAGAGGCTTTAAATAGCCGCGATTGACCAACTCTATTTTTTAGAGACGAGTATCCTATTCTTTACAAACTATATCGCCGTATAGGGCACGGGTTTCTTTCCGCAGGAATTTACATTTCTACACGTAAAATATTATACAAAAAATATAAAAACTAGCATTGGTTTGTTTCACTTTTCTTTTTCATTTTTCATCTGAAATTAAACACCTGTTGGTCTAAAAAGAATCTCAATTTGCCTTGATCTCAAGTAGAAACATTATAGTATCAGTATAGTATACCACAGTAATTCTCTCATAATCTCATCTGGAAATCAATTGTTTGTGTGACCCAGGTATCTAAATATTTCAATATTAGAGGACAGTAAGTCAACTTATCAAAGACCCGAGTATTTGTACGCATGCCAAAAATATCACTGTTACCAATTGAGTTCTTGTAGAATAAATGAATTAAATAAATAAATAAAAGACGTAGATATTTTTTGAACATTTCAAGGAATCATCAGTATTTTGTGAAACCAGACAGATTATTGGCTGCATAGCGAAAAAGTTTTCCAAACAAGTAAAATGTAACTTGATAAGCCAACAGGACAATTTAGATACAATACTAATATTCTCATTATAAGCTAGAAAATGATACATATATTTTTTCTTAAAGAAAAGTGAAAACATGTATGTATAATGGGCTTATAATGGTATTTCAACGTAGTTTAGCTATCTATATCATTCATTTTTAAAGATAAAATTCTTCACACTAGGCTTGGCATCTTGAAGTTCTTTTACCATGTTAAAAGTCAGTATATATATATTTATAACAAGGAAGTCATTATTAATGTAGTTTTTTTTTCTTTATTAAAGTAACATCGATCTAGATTTTATTTGAGTCAAAATCTCATCGTTATTAAAACAGTCGAATGGTTCCCGAAAGCCATGTATTATATCAGCATAAATTTGCGTTAAATGCTTCTAAATGAAAATAATAGTATTAATATTATACGTAAAGAAGAGAAAATATATTTTGCTTCCCCAGATTCTGGAGAGAGTTCCCGTTTCAAAAAGCAATGCCTGTTACTAGCAAGTAATGAGTTTCTTAATATACACACACACGAATATATATAAATAGTATTCTAACTGTTGAAGACTGATAAGGCTAGTTGGTGATACATGTAATTATAAAAAAAAATATAAGCTCGGCTTGTTACATGCAGCATTGTGTATAACGCTATTATATGTGCTGTAGAAGAAAAAAAAATTCGATCAAAGAGCAAAGCCAATTATAGACTTTTTATTTTATTTCTGTATTCATTCAGAAAATAAAATAAACACAGCCACGGGTTTTTGATTGGGTCAAATATTATATAATTATGTTCCCTCTAAGGTTTGGCGCGTTGTGTGCACAGGAATTTATTTATTTATTTGTTTGTTTGTTTTTTCTTTTTTCCTTCTTTCTGGTGGTGTACCCATCCAAACACAGACAAAGAAAAACAAGACCAAGGGCAAGAATTACCAGATCCAAGCCTTAACCTGTACCAACTCCCTAAAATAAATAAATCAAATAAAGACGCAAGTAAAGAGAAATAATATAGCCGAGCTTTTTATATCTTCACTAAACTCTTCCAAAGTATTTGTAGCTTTCAATATATGCTTAACAAGAAGCATATACTATACTATAATACAATACAATATAATATAATGAAACGTAGTAATAAAAAGGGGGGAAAGGGACAAGGTAAAAAATATATAGAGTGCCGTGAGGAATCTATAAGCCAAGATATGATAAGATAATGATAGGTGGTTCAAGACTATTCTTTATCTAAACCACATGCTTTCAATATCACCAAAAGAGAAATGTGGGAGTGGGGGTCAAGTATTATATACTAAGATTACAGTCTCGCTACTCTTTTCAAGAGTCTGTGTTATTGAAAAAATTAGTAGATAGTAAATACACACGACTTTTTTTCTTCTTTAATTTTATAGAGTAAAAACAGATCTTTCTTTGTACAGTCTATCCTTGAGACTCTTAACCCAAGATGACCAAAGCCAATTTTGTACAAATATCTTGTTATATATATATACATATATCTAAGAGACCACCTGTTCCACAGATACTTCACTTATATAATAGGCTTTAGGCTCATTAAGGCCCGCACTTGCGTAGGTATTTTATTGTGCTGATATTATAGATTTACAAATAGCCATAAAAAACGAACCTTTTTAGCAATACATTTATCGAAGCATTACCAATTCTATACACAAAGCCTTGTCGTTAATTTGTATTGTTGCTGTTACTGTTGTTGTTGTTTTCTTAAAAAAATATGTATGTGTATATGTATATATTTGGAATATTGTACTTGGAACATAAGAAAAGGAAAAAGAGAGATTATATCACATATGTCATAACAACAGACCGGTGTACAAGATGGATAAAAGATTATAATATTATGATACGCATTTTGTTTTATATGTAAAAACCTTATTTTCGAAAATGATCGATTGTTTTCTCTCTCTTCTTTTTTACAAGGGACCCACAACTCCTTTTAATACTTACATGAAATATAATCACGAAATCGTACTTACCATGTAATGTGCATGAGTATTCTAAGCTTATACTTATTTAATACATATATACATATATATATATACTGTTAAGATAATTCCTGTTCTCTTATTTTTATTTCCTAGAAAAGAAAACAAAAAACAGGAGAATTTTATGTATGTCATCAAAAAGGTACACACACACACACACATATATATATATTCTAGTTTCCGAAAATATACAAGCAAAAAAAAACTATAAAATAATTATCTGTATAAGAAAAAAAGAGGGGATAAAGCGAGAGAAGGGAAAAAGAAAGAAATAAGAAACAAAAGCGGTTGTAGAACTAGAAGCAGTTATCCTTTTCTTTTTTACCAAGATTTTCTATTACCTTTTTGTATACCCACCAGCCAAAAAGAAGCGCTAGGCCGAATATCAAGTATTGAATATATAATATGTAAAGGAGAGAAATAAGCTTGTACAGCAATAATATTCCCTAGTTTACCAAAAACAGTCATAATGGCAGTTTATTCATATATATCTTTTCAGTGCCACATAAGCACGAAAGCTACTGTCATTGTCACTTTGTTAAGAATGATAATGTGCAGCTTTTCTAATTCATAATTTATAGTGTCAATACTGTAAATTATAAACATATTAAGTAAGGTCCCCAAATTTAGAGACAATTTCAGGCACATACATACACATATGATCCATTCAGCCCTTTAATGTATGTATCAGCACTACATTCAGGATATCAAGAAATAAACCGATAAACAAAAGTTGATGTCAAAAGGTACTGTGAAAAAAAAAACCAAAAAAAAATAAGACTAATTTCTGCCCATGACCCACAAAAATCGTTTGTTTTACAAATCATAATACACACACAAATATATATATATATATCCTTGCATATATTTTAAAGAGGGTTTTTTTTCAAGTTCTAAATGATGCTTTTGAATGCCATATTTTCTTTCTCTTTGTCTCACATATAAATATAGATATAGAAAGATACTTGCCTCACAGTCCGATAAAAGCGCCCCAATAAACCTCTATTATTGTTATTTTCATTATTTATGTAGAGGTATCATATAGGTGTAACTTTATAAGTATCAATTTAGTAAGATTATTAGCGAGGGTAATATATATATAAGCAAGAGCAGGCGACGCAAAAATAAGGAATATAATCATTGATATTTTATTACCTTCTTTCAAATATATACAGCCATTATTAACATTAACATTAACATTAACATTACCATTACCATTATGCTATATATATAAAAGAAGAACAGGGAAAAAATCAACTGTATATATCTATATATCTATATACGTGTATATGTGTATATATTACAAGGAATATAATGACAATCTTAACCGTGTTCAGTGTCCGATAAACTTGTTTCAATAAATAGCTTATAGTATACTACATTTAGTGGTTGTTTTATTTCATTTATATCAAGTAATCAACATAGGTAGATAATATAAGAGATCCTCTTCATAAATGAATTAAAAGCCGTAAACAAGTTTGTGTTCCGGTTGGTAATTCACTCTTAACAAACTATACAAAAGCAATTGAATAAATAAAGGAATAAAAAGGGAAAAAAAGATGCGTAAAATTTAATTATATTGAAGTAACAAAAGAAAATTTTGCTTTCTTAAACAAAACAAAAAAAAGGAGCATATTAAGTTTCATATAGAACAAGCGTAATGGTACGATAACAGTAATGATAGTAATAATAGAGAGATATAGTATTTTTCATTTTTTTAAAGGATATAGATTGCGCTTCACGCGCTATACATAAGGTTATTGGTTTCGTAGACAAAAACAATTTCGATATCATAATAGCAATATTAAAAGAGGAAGATGAAAGTGAAGATAATAATGAGGATGAGTATATATAAAGAGAGAAGATAGTCGTGTAAGAATAAGATTGCTCTTGAGAGCCGAGTCAAATGCGCTGAAGAAAGGTTGCTCTCTGTTTAGGAGTTATATTCGCAAGATGAAAGGATTCAAACTCGCGCTCGTCCCAGAATCTACCCAACATATCTTGAGCAACCAATCTCCAAGCATGCTTAAAAAGTTGAGTTCGCTTTTGAACCGAAAGTACCGGTAAATAGAGTTCTTGTTTAGACTGTCTACGGCTGTAGGCTATTTTTGACTGAAGTATCTTAAAGCGACCCCAACAACAGCCGCGAGAGCGACGAGGAAGATATGTGGTCGATATCATTGCCCAAGATAATCCTTCAGAATACCCTTGCTTTAAAAGCTCGTCTTCTTCGGGTGTCCATGAGTTACGTGTGTGAGATTGACTCAGCCGGCGAGTCAAAGGTCTTTTGGTTCCCAAATCACTATTGTTGATACTATTTATGGCGTTGCTTTCGTTACCACTGTAGTAGTATGGTGGTGGTGGGATCGACATGGAAGGATCAGACCATCCCAAGGCTGAGGTTCCTTCTTTCTGCCCAGAATGAGAAGACAAAGAAGACAAAGATGAAGAAGAAGACGGCAAAGAAGAAGACGAAAAAGAAGACGGCGACGGCGACAACGGTGACAACGATGATGACGACAAAAAAGGAGAAGAAAAGGAAATATGCCGATGAGATGTAGGAACTATTTCTGGGGAGACACTGTTCAACAGAGAAGACCAGGTAGAAGGATGTTGAGTTTGCTGGTGATTAGGATATATTGATGGTGTGTAATTTTGTGTATCATAGTTAAGCGAATCCAGACTATAGTCCCCAGATTGATGTCGAGTAGAGTTTGAGGTAGAACAAAGAAGCTTTTTTATATCCATGGCAACAACGATAGTATTTGTATTTGTATTGGTATTAATTTAATGCTTTGAGTTTCAAGACGAGACAAGGCGAGGTAAAATGACAAGATTACTATTCTTTTCTATTTTATATATTAGATACATCCTTTTTATATATATACATATACATATACATATACATATGATCAACATCAACCTCTTGTGCTTGGTCAAAAAGTATATTAAGAATAAGAGTAACAATATATATATATACTAGACCCTGAGTGCCTTTGTATTCAAAGAATGCTTTACATGATAACGAAAGGAGGCTATAATATATGGCAATTGATGTTACTACGGTAAATAAATTGCATATGTATATGCATATATTTACACCTATCATCTATACGCCGACATTAATTTTTATTGTAATATATTTTCTTCCCTATAAATAATTATTTACCTTGGCGTTCTTCCAAAATAAAATACTATACCAATAAATACAACACAATATAAAAGCCCTTGGTTTATTTTGCAAGTTCAGTAAAAGTTTCTAGTCCATGCAACTCAAACCCTTGTTCCCGCATTTAATACTAACATAGACACTACAAGAATTATTATTAAGTTATTTCGAAAACCCCTCCAGCCATCCTAATCCTTTTCCCCCTCTTATATTATACTATTTTATTTTATTTATTATTCTTATTCTTATTCTTATTTTGAGGTTCATTGGCTAGAGTCCCCTATTTTTCTTTTCGTGGCTAGAGTAGTATAACGAGATATGAGCTTGGTCAATTTTTTTGTGCTATCCATGTTTACGCTTTTTCCGAAACAAAAATAGCTTCTTTTGGATCAGAATTTTCAGTTTTCAACATCTCATTTGGAAGTACACACCCGTGTATCAGTCTATGTGTATCTGTGTCCGTGTATGTGTCTGTTTTTGCGTAGATACCAGGTCATTGTGTTAGAAGGAGAGATGAGATATGGTACGATAATATATATCCCAAAAGCCCCTCACATATATCTCAAGTCTACCATCAACAAAATATTATAATTGAATTTTGATTTTTTTATATTGGCTGATTAAATAAGCATATATATGTATATAAAAAATAGAGTAGCATGTGGAATCATTAAAGAATAAAATATAAATAAAAGAAAAAAAAAACGAGGGGAAAACAATTAATGATTTTTTGTTTTGATTTTGCTTTTGCTTTTGCTTTTGATTTTTTATTGTTGTTTGTTTGTAAGTATCCTTTCTGCTGCACTTCTAGAACATTTCCGAGTGTATTCATCATAATGAAAACAATAGGGAGCTTGGTTCATAACAGACGCGTAGTTTTATTCTATTTTTATTATATTATATTATTATTTTTCTCGATGGTTTTGTGTAGTTCCTCCTGTCACTCACAGATATTTTTTTTTAAAGTTTGATCTTAGTTTTACAATACTAAACTTCCATACTATTAAGAAATACACAAATATATATAAATGTAAATTTAAATTTAAATAACCAAATAAATACACGCAGTCATACAATCCTACAGTCCTACAGTCCTACAGTCATATACACATAAAAGTGTGCATGTGTGTGTATGCATGTGTGTATGTATGTATATATATGTATATATCTAGATGCTTTGTTCAGAACTTGGATTCTTCTGAAAGAACAAGAAAATCGATCACATGTGTATAAAACATAAAGCAAAGGAAAACACACGTGTAGCCTTGCAAGGTTAGTAACTTGAATAAACTCAAAGAAACCCATCATAAAAAACCTAGCTTAAAGAATCTTAAGATCCTCGAGACTTTTCTTGTTTGTAGCAGTTGGTACTTTAAAAAAATGAATATATAAGAAAGATTAATTAGTTTCCATAGTGATTCAATATTGAGGTATTTTCGAATATTCTTATTTTAGAAAAATGCAATTCGTTAATTTAGCAATTGAAGAGGAGGTTTAAATATTTAGAGTATATAAACGCCAAAGATACAAAGGCACACGTTTATTGGTGCAAAAAAGGGTCCTTTCTGTAATACACAAAATGTACTAGACACCGATCGTTCCCAAGTACTTTAAGCACGAATTTCTCTATTTTTAAAGAATAATCAAAGACAGTAATTTTATCTTGAACACGTTCAAAGAAGTAAAAAATAAAATAAAATGGCTAAATAGAAACAGACCCTCTCACACTCACACACTGACAAGTATATCGCCAAATCATTAATAACCACGTTTAGGACCCCATATTCACTCCTTTAGCTTAATCTTTTACTCGAAAGGGAAATTCTCCAAAGGCACAGACTCGGCTTTTAATCCTAATAATAATATACAGAATTATTTATACGGATCTGTACAAACAAATACACATACATACATACATACATATTATATATATAATTTCACCCCTTCTTTTTTTCTTTCTATCTTTCTTTCTTTCTTAGTTCTAATTATGATTCTTCTCTTCTACCTCTTTATCTCTATCTTTATTTGTTTGTGATAAATTTGGAAAGGGTTTCTTTTATTTCTTTTTAGTTTATAGCCATATTTGACTATGGATAGAGTGATTAATATCTACCCCTCCCCTCCCCTTTATTTATTTATTTATTTTAGTTGAATATAGAGTATTAGGGTGAAAAGTGAAAGGTCAAGGGTGATGCGAAGAAGAAAAAGAAAAAGCGAGTTTGATCAGAATCAATGTTCAGTCCATTTTTTCCCACTACAATTGACTAAAATATATTCTAGTAATTTCCTCTGAAAGAAAGCAATTTCTTGATTAAAATAAAATAAAATAAAATAAAATAAAATAAAATAAAATAAAATAAAATAAAAGCCAAGTGTGATTTTTATTATTCTTTATGTACAAGAAGCACGATTATTTTGGTTTACACAATAAAATATAACCAATATATATCTCCAGGAATTTGCTTTTAATGAAATACCAATATTATTGTTAATAAGAGATCTATAGATCTATAGGTATATAGGTAGACAGATAAAGAGAGCCAATAGTTTGGTAAATGATATGCAATCAACAACTTTTATATTTTCAATAACCCCAAAGTTGTCGTTTAATCCCTGCGTATGAATACAACCTGTTAGTACAGTATTTGTAAGGGATTCGATCTAAATGTCCTTTTTGTTTCTTCTTCTTATTCAGTGTGTTCGTCAATACAGATAAACAGACGATCACGGTGATGTAGTGTGTGAATTGGGAGATCAGGTTAATAATTACAATAATAATAAGTAAATAAACCCTAAATCGAATCATATGGAGTAGAAATAAAAGACACTGTAGACACATCGATCAATAAAGTAAGTTATACACATATATAGGAGAACTTTTATAAGATTTTTATAAGATCATCATAACACAATACAATACAATACAATACATTACAACACGATTGAACTCAACCAAACTCAACTCATTTTACTTCAATTCAATTCAATCTAGAAGGAGAAATTCTTGAGCACCTTACTAAATACAAGAACCAATTACCCGGAGATAAACCTTGCATTATTTTTTCCCGTTACTATTTCTACTATTCAATGCCAAGGTCAAAAACAAAAACAAGAACAAGGGCAAAGATAGAGTCATCGCTAAATTACACAGTCAAGATAAGCAAAAAGAAATATTATAATAATCATATGTCTCCATGCCAACCTTTTGTTTGCGTATTTTCTTCTAATTACTTTATTTTTGGAATCAAAAAAACTTGTCCCAATCTTGCTCTTGTAGTGTATGTGCTTGCTGGGCGGCAACATTAGCATTGCCCTTTGCACGTCCCATAAAGTGCTCGCGAATCATTTGCAGTCGCTCCACAGCTTGTCTTGGTGCCTTTTGGGTATCGCTTTGCACTTCTTGTACTTCCTTTTGTGCCTCTTTAACCAAAGCTTGAACAGCAGGCGGTAGCCCATAGACGTCTTCAGAGTATCGGGCTTCCGAAAGATAAGCTACAATATCATCAGCCCCTAGTAGTCTAGCAAGGTTCTGCTCCAAAATCTCTTTTTCAGCAACACTGTGATCATGGTCTGCCTGATGGCGGTAGGATGTGTATGTGTTTGAGTCTGTGTAGAGATCGTCGCTATGGATTTCATCATTGTACATTCCAGAATTCAAAAATGCCGCAATTTCGGCACCATCCCCAGGGTGTTCAATAGGACGACTCAAAAAAGAGGCAGCCTGAGAATGTTGGTGTCCAGTCAATGGCGAAAATATCGAAGGGTTTACATTTGCATTTGAGAAAATTAGTTCTGGTTGTTCTTCTGAACGAATGAAATGATCATTCGTCTGGCCGGTGAGTTCAGGTGGCTGGGAACGGAACTTTTGTTTCTGTTCAGTAGTGGCAGGTGTGTAACGACTACTACTGCCAAGTGTCTCGTCGTGGCGAATAGTTGTTTGCCTTGACGATCCTGACTTATCTGCCCACATTTCTTGATGTCAAACCAAATATATTTTATATATATGTATATCAATATATATATGTATATATATTTATATAAATGGTAAATTTCAAGCAGGGCCCAGGTGAAATGAATTATAGTGTTTCAACTTGAGATTGAGACGATGTTAGTTTTTTTTTGGGCGAATCAAAATTCATTTTTAGACAATTTGCTTACCTTTTTTGGACAAACGAAAAGAGAATCGAGACACAAAAGAATATAATTTGGGATATAAAGGGGATTTAGTTGAGAAAAGATAAAAGTAAAAACAAGAGTCTGCTAAAAGGTACCCACAGAGTGGTTAATCAATTATTATTATTTTGTCTGTAAGAAGCATTTTATTAAGCTTGGGAGGTCTGGTGACACTCAAAAGAGGATAATCAAAAGAGTGATCACAGCATTTGTTTGGAGGGTTTTCTGGCTGGTTAATCAATTATAAAAATACAGTTGATTAAACTTGTCTTTTTTTAACCATACAAAAATACAAATATGAATACTGTGTTATAAGAGATACTATACCTCAAAGATAGAATTCTTTCTATGAGCGTGAACTCAACATATTTTAACAAAGCTCTTGGCGAAATATAGTATTATATTCAATACTTAACATAGAAAAAATATCCACTCAGTAAAGAACATCGTGTATGAGCATCTACTTGACATTTCATTAATTAGACTGCCAGCCCCCCTTCAAATTACAGATCAAATATTACCAGAGAACACAATTATTATACTCCCTCGACTTTCTGCCTTTATGAATGAAAAAAAAAACACCAATCCTCAATAGACTGCCTACAATTCCAGTCAACAAGGCTACTCTTTCGAGAGATCCTCAAACAATTATTCCGGTCTTGAGATAAAATTTGAATATTTATGTACAGCTTCCTGAGCAGTGACAGAAACAACCCCAACCATAACCATAACAACCTATACTCCTAAAACTCTTTGCGGTTTCCCTCGTCTAGTTTTAAGTGGAAATTTATTAAACTAGACGGTAAGAATGTTAAGTCATTGTTCGAGCAGAATCTACAGAAATTGTAGATAGTTTCCGAGTATGTACAATGGATCCTGGGAGAATAGATACCTCCAATTCATATCACGGTGATGATGGTATAGGACGCTTAACAACCAAAGAATACTATGATGTATCTGGTAGCGCTAAGTGAATGAGAAATGAAGATGCAAGGAAAGCGATCCATGGAATCAAGGAAGTTGAAACACATATCTTGTCAGTAAAAAAAAACACCGGGAGAGCAAATTCTACGGAATATCCAATATATAATAGCCAATATGCCTATTCTATTCAATTTTTACAGATTTAGAATAGCTGAAGTATATTGAAAAAAAAGTAAAGGTAGAAAGAAGGTTCTAGACAATTGTTCCAATATCATTATCCATGGGTCTATAAAATATAACAAAAACCGAATAAAGAAGAAAAGGAAAAGCTTTAATCGAAAAAGAAAGGTCGTATAGCAAATAGCCGGAATCCTGAAAGTGCATACCAGCCTATACAGCCTAGATAATAAGGTGGTCACTTATTGTTTGTATCCAATTTCATCTATAACTATTTAAGATATGTTTGCAACAACTGTAATTTTTTTTTGAAATAGGGATATCATGGCGGCAAAAAACATGCTCTATATTATGCAGGGAATTTGAAGTGGCAATGGTAGGCCAGAAATCTTCAATCCAACCAAGACCAAGGCCAAGGCCAAGTACAACAACACAATGAACGTGGTTGTTCCTAACTTTGGTAGACGAACTTAAAGATACTTACAGGTGAAGAACATTCTAGTTATCTTTATCTTGTCTCAACTAAATCCTCTTTCTATCCCAAATTCTATTCTTTTGTCTCGATTCTCTTTTTCGTTTGTCCAAAAAAGGTAGGTATATTGTCTAAGAATGAAGTTTGATTCACCCGAAAAAAAACTAACATCATCTCAATCTCAAGTAGAAACACTGTATTCAGAAAGATGGCTGTATTTCGGAGTAACATGTGATTTTGGGCTATGAGGAAATACGCAATTTCTGAATTAGATCTCTAGGGTATTACTTGCAAAATGTTCTCACGATCAGTTCTGCCAATAGACATCCAGGACTCTATTTTTTCAATTACTTCCAGATAGCAAATGTAATTATAATGATTATAATGTTACCAGAACAACCAAATAATAATATAAGCATAGAGCACAAGACACACATATACACAAAAATAAATATAAATATAGATGTTGTTTTTTAGACATAAAAACGATCGGTAACCACCTACTTTTAGGTTTTTTTTCTAATATGTCTAATACACCAGACAATTGGTACCAGTAAGCAGACGGACTTGTGATGTCAAAGGTTACATTCCTGTGAATGACCGCGTTTTTCATTACATTTGTGGATTCTAGGGCACCATGCGTCTAAAATATATAAAAAAAAGAAATCTCCAGTTGCACAGTGCATAGTTCTTTTTCTTTGTATGGAGCCAATGAATGGCTTGTACAGAGCATAGCTCCAGCATAGCCATAGAATGTTTAACAATGGTCGTACAGCATATGATGCTAGAAAGATAAAGCACAACTTGAGTCCCTCTATTCTTCTTTCTTTCTTTTCTTTTCCTCTTTCTTTCAAACGTCTGTTCTGCGAGAAAATAAGCAATAAAGAGATAAATAAAAAAAAGAAAAAGAAGATGCCTAGTTTGTGTTGTAAATCAAAAAACAACAGTCTTAACTTTGCTTCATCTAATGCAGTCAACCAATATGCGCCAAATACGGTCATTGAACCTGTTCATTTGGGTGAGTGTACTTTAAACAATTTCTTTTAACAAAACAAAATTACACATTTCAATTATCTCAAACTAATAGATATATATTTATGCATTTGTTTGTACCTTAAGATATCTGCCTCAAGCTTGATGATCTAGAGAGCAATATTCTACAAGGAAAAGTGACTCTCACTCTTCGCTATAACAAGCCAACTCTTGTGAAATCAGAAAAAGAGCGCTCAAGCTTGGTGCTCAATGCGGAAGAATTCGTAAACGTACAAGTTAGCGGCGAGGGTGTCTCCCACACCTACGATGGCCATCATATCCAACTCTTTTGGGAAAGTCCTTTTAAAGTTGATACGGAAAGAAAGGTTGTGGTCACCTACATAGTCGATGATCCAGTTGCCGGCCTCTACTTCCAAAAGGAGGATCCATTCTTCAAAAGCAATCCTCGTTGGGCAATCACAGACCACGAACCCGAGAAGTAAATAAGAAGAAGAGAAAAAAAAAACTCAATTAGCATATTTCTATACGATATATTCAGCATATACATATTTAACATTGTGTTTTTATTTTATTTTACAGGGCTCGTTATTGGTTACCAACTATCGATTATCCAGCCATTCGAACTACTCTGACCTGGGAAATTACTGCACCATCAGAATATGTCTCATTAGCAAATGGATCTTTGGTATCTGAAGAAACCGCAGATGGCTTCACAACTACTCATTGGAAACTTGATTATCCTTGGTAAGTAAAGACTAGTGATACTATTATTCTTATTTTTTTATTTTAAATGCAAGAAGTTTATTTCCTAACTTTTTGTTTGTTTTGTTTTTCCTTGCAGTCCATCATATTTGGTTTGCTTTTCCGTGGGAGATTTTGTCTGTGTTGATGATGGTGAAGTCCAGGGAATACCGATCAAGGTAACACACACCAAAAAGTCTATTTTACCCTTCTGAAAAACAAAACAACAATATACATATTGGGATTTCAATGAGACAAAGAGAAATGATACACATCAAACCAAACCAAACATAAATATAATAATAATAATAACACTAATTAAATGGGTAGTACTACGCAGCCAAAGGAGCTGACCCAGCAGATATTTCCCGATCGTTTGACCAGACACCAGCCATGATAAAGTGGTTACAGGAGCGTGTCGGTGTAACATGTAAGTGGATCCTATTTCTACAATGGTAATTTGTAGGCTTTATAGACATACGTCTTATATATAATAATAATCGTAGTTCCATGGACCAAATATTATCAAATTGCACTTCCGGCTATTCGTGGAGCTATGGAGAATATCTCTCTGGTTAGTCTAATCATTTATTCGTACTTTTTTTTTTTTTTAAAAAAAAACAAATATTATTATTTTACACACATAAATACACACAATATACCAACCTTTATTATATATTAACATACATATATATGTATATATATATATATATACATTGCATGTCTTTATAGGTTACATGGGCAGATAGATATATTTTGGATAAAGTCAATGCCCAGGAAAGAAAGTATATGACAGATCTAGTAAATATTCATGAAATGGGTAAGAGATTGGAATCAAATTGTTAAAAGTAGAAAAATATATAATGTATGTTCTGTTAATCCTGTGTACCATATAGCACACACCTATTTTGGCGATTTGCTTGTTATTCGGCATTTCGAGCACGCATGGTTAAAGGTAACATATAAAAGAATGCTTAATTGAATATAGAAGAAAGAAAAAAAAGCATTAATTTGTGTAATGTTTCTATTTTATCTACATATATCTATACACACACCTATTTGAATATGTAGGAAAGCTGGGCTACCTACATTGAAAGTTGCAAGTATTTCTTCTTTTTATTTTCAGCATGTATTGTATATATATATATATATCTAATTGACTTCTCTAGGCTGGCTGGAGGATCACTTATCGAACGATAATTTTTCCTATGAAATGTTGCAAAATCAAATACACTACTTTAAAGAATGTGAAAAATACATGGTAAGCTTTGAGTGTACTGTGAACCTCAATTTAATCGGGGTTGTGTGTGTCGGTGTGTTTTATAATTCATTTATTTTATCCTTAAAAATAATAATACTAGCGTCCTATTGTCACTCGAAAATACGATTCTTCATGGGATATGTTTGATATGCACACATATCCCGGAGGTGCCTGGCGTATTCACATGCTCAGGAAGAGGCTCGGTGACGAGGCATTCTGGGCAGCAATTAAGCTGTATATCGAAACCTTTTCAGAAAAAACAGTCCAGACAAGCGATTTCCAGACAGCACTCGAGACTACCTCGGGACTGAATCTCACCCGCTTTTTCGACGAGTGGATCTATTCGAAAGGATACCCAAAGATCAAAGGAAAATACTCCTATGAAAAGCTCACCGGACTTGTAAAGATAGTGCTGACCCAGACACAGGAGAATGAAGCCAATAATAATAATAATAACAATAATAATAGCAATAATAATAGCAATGGCAATAACGGCAGTGGCGGTGTCCCGCTTTTTGCATTTGATCTTGATATCCAAATCTCTGACAACAAGGGTAATGTTCATCACACGACTGCCTGCTTCGACCGCGAAAATACTGTCACCGTGTTTGTTCAGCTAGACAAAGAAAATAGCCCCGAGACTCTGAGAGTCGATCCGGAAGGGAAGATACTGTTTGCTTTTGAAATGCCCGTAGACCAGGAAGTATTGGTCAATACAGCCAAGAGCAGCAAAGACGTCTTGAATCGCATCTGGGCTTACAGAGAGTTGATAAAGTCAGAGTCTAAAATTGCCCTCAAGAAAGTCCAGGAAATTATCAAGGATGAACCGTTTTATGGTGTTAGAATTCAAGGTAAGAGAAAAGAGAAAAACAAAAAGATTTGAACTGTTTCTAAAGATGTCTCTTAATTGTGGGTGCCTTTATTGTAGTTGCCAACAATTTATCTAGTCTCCAAAGCCATTTGAGTATCAAGATATTGACAGAAATTCTAGACCGTGAACAAGATCCATTGGCCCTTTCTTCCATACTCAATGCATGTCAGTTCAAGGACGTCAGGGTACGCGAGTCTGTACTTAGGTTCCTTTCCCGTGATTATACACTACCATATCGGTAAATATCACCTCTTTTTTTATATTATATATTATTTTTAGAGCAAATATTTCCAAATATGTTGTATTAAATTTTGGCTCATAAAACAAAATGACTTCATGCGCCTCACTTTTTTTTATTAGTGCCCATGCGTCTGCTCTTTTGGTTCTTGCTATTCAGCACAACCCAGAAGATATCTCTTTATTGCTCGATGTAGCTCAAGACCAAACAAAGATTGGTCAATACAGCCTTGTTCGTGGTGGTGCTTTAGAAGGTAAAACAAAAGGAAATTAAATGAGATAAAGGTGCTGAGAATCAAGTGGATATTTACTGCGAAATTATATTATTGTAGCACTTGGTTACCATCGTAGTTTACAAGGCTTCGAGTATCTTATAAATCATGTGGAATACGGTACTGAACCTACACGGGCCCGTCCCCTTGCTATCGAGGGTCTTGCTTACTCAGCACAATGGCAGGAAGAACGCCACAAGAAGCGTGCTGAGGAAGTAATCGGTAAATAAGTGTTGATTAATCTATCTTTCCTACTATACACCGCAGACATACTAATGGATCATTATCTCTTTATTATTATTTCAATAATATGATAACCTAGTTTCTCTTTTACGTGATCCCGACCCAAATGTACGGGCCCAGGCAGTAAGCTCAACCATTGGCCTGAGTATCAAATCAGCACACACCACAATGGAGTCTATTAGATACATGTATTCCAAAGACGACCAAACATGGCTGGACCGAAGGCTTTCTGAGCTAATTCATTCGGGCTCCTCCACTGCTCCCCAGTGTAGCAAGGAGTATATTGAGAAGCTTGAGGAGCGTATCAAGAAGCTTGAAGCACGACTGGAAGACAAAGATGATGCTCAAAAGACTGAATAATGATAATAATGAATAAGAAGCTGGTTTTGGTTACTGTTGTGTCTAGAACACTTGTCAAGTCGCTAAATCTATCATTTGATAGCAAATAAACGACAGCTGATGTTTATATAACTATATATACCAATACATTTTATTTTTATTTCAGTTGATCGCAATAAAGAGGCAAAACTTGTCATTTTTCTCCATTTTTGTAATATTGGAATACATGAAATGATTTATGTGTGGTATTACTGACAGGATACCTGTTTAAGTTTTGTACTAGTCAGTAATTGGTAAAATAAAGTACGTCATAGTCGCGCACAAAACAAGCTGAGGATACACAAAGTACAAGACTCTTTTATTTTTATATTATAGTTTTTATAACAAAAAACCAAAAAAAGGGCGACTTTAGTAGGAGATGTTTGTAAGCTTCTTTTCTTTTCTTTTTTTTTGGGGGGGGGGGTCTGAGGGCTGTTTTAAGGTTGATTTTTTTATTAAATACTAATCTCCCCCTCCCCCTCTCCTTATATATTAGCATGTGTGTGTGTGTGTGTGTTTCAATTTCAATTTCAATTGTTCACATTTGCTTATTGTAATTCAATAATAAAAATAAAAGATAAAAAAGACGTCTTTGTCCCACCTATATATAATATTTACCGTTAAAGCAAAGAACTTTACTCCACCCCTGCACGCAATACAATAATAATAATACTACTACTAATAAAACTCAATTCACCAAATGATTCAAAGTATTTAATGACTTACCAAAATGATACCTTGTAAGGAGGTGTCTGTCAATAATCAGGCTCAAAAGTCTTATCTTCTTCATTTCGCTAGTTTTATTCTTCTAAAACTTGGTCGTCTTCGTCTTACATAACCATCCTCCGACACATCTTCTACTGGTATTAAATTACTCCAAATTTTAATGGCACAGGTGGGCCTATCAGGAATCGTACCATCATATCACAATCGGTTAAAGATGTGTCGGAAATTCAAGGCACCAGCAAGATTTATATTCCACAAAACGATACTCAAAGTGTAACGAGGACATGTCTTCCAAGCAATTTGGATTGGTACCTTTAGTAAAATTTATAAGAGTATTAATAATAGAAAAGAAATGAAGGCTGCCTGTAATATCCCTTGAAATATTACAGTATGCTGAATTTGGTGTTTGAGAGCAGCGATACGCCCAAGTGCTTGATTGAGCTTTGAGGTCCAAAAGAATCCGGCGAAACTTTTCATGCTTAAGTTTGGTGCTTTGTTGGCTGAAGGTGTATCAGTGACATCTTGGCCTAGCCACAGTAGTCCTTATCCATCTAGTGGTTACTTGTGATGGTGTCTTGACAGTAAGGAGTTGGAATACGATGATTTCGTCCATTGATTATCAACCCACAAAGGTTTAGAGATATGAGGTTTACTTTCTCTGTGTTTTTTTTTAAAAGTACCAACTGATAGGGGTGATGTACTAAGAGACTATGTGTGTCTATATGATGTGGGTCAGCTAATTGTGTATTTACAACAGGAAAAGGTAAAAGTGCGTAAAGTTTAAAATGATTACCTTTTAATTGTGGGGACTTTTATACCTTTATATTCATATCCCTTTGTATGCTATTCATCTTAAAAGAAAATAGTGTATAGCCGTTGGATTGCTTACAGAACTTCTTCCGGCCCTTTTATTATGGGAATTGATTAATATTATTATTACCCTACAATGAGGCAAGGATCATTCTAAATTAATAATACCAACATCTAGAATGCCCTTTTTTTCTTTTTAAAAAAGTCTAATTGATACCACTACAATATTAAATAACACCATTGGAAGAACATGCCTCACATAATTGAATTTATTCTTTATTCTTTATTTTTATTTTAAAGAATACATCTCTATACATTTATCTATATGTGTATTTGTATTCAAAACTAGAAGAACAAAATGAATTGCCCTCCAAAGAAGTATCCGTTACTAGAAATTCGTTTTGTCTGGGTGATATATATATGTATATTTGAAATATAAAAATATTTTGTACATAAAAGAATAGAAAAAGAAAGGAGTAAAAAAAAGCTACCCAATTATAAAAAATAAAGTTGTAAATTTGAAATGATGTTTGTAGGGATGATTGCAATTGTATTCATGTATCCTCGCTGCCCAAACAAAGCTATTTTTATAGGCAGCAATTTGCGGGCTATTCCTAGCCCTCACGAACTACAAGAAACAAATGATAGAAAGAATAAAGTTTTCTACTATTCTCCTTGTATTATTCTTGCTTAATCATCAACTCATCATCACCAAAATCTTGAAGTGATGTCAAGTGAAAGAAAGCTTTTAATATTGTCGTGACTGGTCTACTTACACACACAGTAAATATATGATTTGTATTATTTTTTGAAACATAAGTATTATAAATATACATTATAAATCACCCATTATTTGGGACCAATATTTGAGAACACACCCTATTGTAATTATATTTATTTTAAGAGAGTACGTTTAAGAAATTAAACCAAATCATGATAAAAATCAACTGAACTGAACTGAGCTAATTAATTGTCCAAGAAGTTTGAATGGTTTTTTTTCTATGGATAAAAAACAAAAGAAGAAAAAAGAACGATTCTATTATCTTTCTAATCATGAATAAATCTAAAGCCACCCATTATCACTGTGGAAATGATGGGCGTGTACCTGGGAGTGTGAAAAAGGGGGAGACAGGGGTTAGAGGCAGAAAAGTTTAGATGGTGGCGCATTTACATTCAATCACTCCACATATGCTTGCTTAGTATTGCCACACATTGACTTTCTGACAAAGTGATATATTTACAAGCACATCTTACAACCAAATGAGACACTCTAATCAATTAAATTGCTTGCTTTCTTACATTTTTTTTTAATCTTTATGATATTGTAAAGAATTGGTTTTAATAAATACATAAATTAATAATAATATATATATATATATAAAGAAAAAGTACATAGGAATGAACGTGTGTACGTCCGTGTATAAATAAATTGACGTGTTTGTATTGATCTATGTTTTAAATCATCTAAGTCTACCAGCAGTAATCATCATCACTATCAGGAGGGATAAATCCCAGAGTAACTCTCTTGCTCTCGATCCCATTTACTTCGACAGGGCCAAAGCGAGACGGAGGCCAGATAACGTGAGTAACGATAGAGCTTATGAGTGAGATAGGTACCTAGTAAAATAAAAACAAGTACATTTTGTTTGTACATGTTTAGTAATTCATATATATATATATTTAATGTATATTTAATGTATATCTTACTGGGCCAAATAGATTACTGTCATTTGAGTGGAACCCTTCATCTCCTTCTACCCAACAGTGTCCCTTTGGCACATATACTATAGAGCCCATAAAGAATTTGCGTTAACCAACAAGAATTTGTTTTTGTTCAATTTTTTTTTAGAAAATAGTGTAGGTTATTGTACCTTTTTCAGTGCCCTGGCGTAGTTTTACAGTGTCCCCTTGAAGAGCAATGATACGTTTTGTAATTTGTCGCTTCGGGTTAGTAGGAGATCTACATGATTGAACAACCCTTTAGTATATATGTATATGTATATGTATATATAAATAAAATCAAATAGAGAAAGAGGCCCTTTTTTCATATTTATACTCTATTATTATATTATATATAAATATAAATATAAATAAATAATGTGATATTTACGTGAGCACCACTACTTGTCCTCGTTGGAATGAATGGGATGTTGCAGACCATTTATTCAATAAAACTATGTCTCGTTTCATTTGGTTACTATCTGGATTTAATGTAGGCTGTGACAAAAGTAATAGTAATAGTAAAAAAGAGAGGTATATATTAAGCATTTCAGTGTTAATGAGCGAGATTAGGAGTTTAGTGAGTAAACATGTCAGACGGTCAAGGAGAGAGTTGTTTGGGGTAAGATTTATACTACACTCTATGCTATGCTATGTTATGTTATGCTATGCTATGCTTTACCTGCATAGAGCGGCCTTCCACCTTTGATGGACTGACACCATTTTCAAGCACAAATAAAACTACGGGTACCCACGAGAGTGCTTTGAGGGTGGGAATCGTGTAAGGACTGGCCCTGAGACGTCCAAAGATGCCCATAATGACTTATGCATCTGTTCTAGGGTGGAAGATGGTTCTTTCAAAGTCACCACAAACCAAGCCACTCCAAATGGATAGGAAAGTAATGGGATTTGTTTTTTTTTGGGTATTTTTTTTTTGGTTGGACTGGTTTAACTATATTTATATACACATATGATCTGTGTATGTAAGTGAGTGAGTGAGTGAGTGAGTGAGTAAAGGTGTATTTCTCGTTAATTTTTATATTTATTTATTAAAAATGAAGTTGGGATAGGATGAGCTAAGATGGGCTGGGTTGAGGTTAGACCTGAGAGAATTTGTCGTAGGGTTAGCAGACTCTTATGATAATGCATCCCAAGAGACGGCACGGCATACAGATAGGATGGCTCTTTAGCAAGAAGGAAAGATCTGATGATCAAAGAGAATATTAATGATAGCCATACGATAGAACAAGAAGATATATATTATATATTTAAAGAAGTTCCCTTTTTATATATCTTGACAATCAATACACTAAAAAGAAAAGCATTGCTATTAATATGGATATTGAGTTAGTCAAAGTTCATCAAATACAAAAATAAAAAGACGGCATAAAGGATAAAAAGGATAGAACGACGGGCTTTAGTATATTTGGAAGGTATACGATGACAGAAAGACCAAAAATAGACCTCTTTTTCATTTCTTCTTTCTTTCTCTTCTTCCTCTCTTCTTCTGCTTCTTTGTCTCATTTTGCCTTTATATATTCTACTATCTATCCAATTTTTTTTTCCATCTTTTATCCTATTTGTTCTTGATTCTGCCTGCCTGCCTACCTGTCTGTCTGTTTGTATAGTTGTTTGTTTGTCTATTTGTTTGTTTTCTTGCTTTGACGTTTGATGAACTCGAGTTTATTAGTATATTTATTTTATTGCACATACACTAAAGAAGTGAATAAATAAATATATAAATAAATAAAAGAAATAAAATGGGTCAAGCTCGTAGTAAGCCTCATGGTTCCTTGACATTCGGTCATCTCTCAAACACAGTAACCATTCCTCCATCTCGACACGACAGCCAAGACAATGACCTCCTTTTACGACATCCTTCTTTGTACGGTCTGTCTCGCCCAAACCAAGCCGTGCACCCGAGTCATCCGGACCTAGCAATCTGTACCCAAACGCATACACAAGCGCATACGCAAACCCAAACCCAAACCCAAAAACTCACACCAACACAAACACGTTTTGAAAGAGCGGATTCGGGATACCTTGGAAGTAAACCCTCTGACGACCTTGTAGCCGACCTTGCATACATAGATCAAACTTATTATGGCCGCACGACTCAGCTTCCGAGAAAGGTCACTCGGCCTATTCCATTGATTGCCCTGAGTTTTGCTGAAGTATCCAAGGTGTCTCTACACCAGACAATGAAGATTATTCAACTCTCTAGTCGCACGTTGACACGCCTGAACTCAAACATCGGGTTACTCACAACGATGCGTAAGTTGGATTTGTGAGTACCTGTTTGTGAACACACACACGCAAGTATATATATATATACACGTATACGTATACATATGTTGTGTGTTGTGTAGTGTGTGTTATTGGTGTGCTGTGTGTGTGTGTGTGGGAGAGTAGGCCAGATTTGTGCAAATGTATCTTTGATTCTTCTTTATTAATTCATATAGCCTGTTAATAGATCCTACAATCAACTTACTGAACTGCCAGAAGAAATCGGCTATCTTCAGCAGCTAGAGTGGCTGTCAGTGGCCAGTAATCGGCTCACACATCTGCCAGTGACGATTGCTTACCTTGGTAGTTTAGCTGAACTTGATCTCTCCGAGAACCGACTCGAATATCTACCCGCCAGTATTGGTTATTTAAAGAAACTTCAGATGCTTTTATTGTCCACAAATTGCCTCCGTTCGCTGCCAGTCGAGATGGCGGGTCTGATTGGCTTGTCGACACTCGATCTATCCTACAATCCTTTGGATGTTCTGCCTGCAGAAATCATCTGCCTGCAGTATCTGCGTCGACTCAAGCTGGATGAGTGTCCACTCCTGAGTCTGGCTGACGTTGCCCTTGCGCACAATCCACCCAGCCTCAAGGAGACCTGTGCCAGGATTGCACTCCGCCACCATCTGCACACACACCCCTTGTCTGATATTCTGCTAAAGTACCTCGCGTCTTCCAAGGCGTGCAGCTGCTGCGGAGGACCATACTGGGACACATTTGTTGTACGAAAACGTCTGATCGAACGCAACGAACGGTCGGTTCCTCTTGAGTACAGACTATGTTGTGCTCACTGGACAACTGAAACCGATCGGATCCTACAAATGTTTGGCCCCCTCCCCAGTTCATCTTGTCTGCCTCCTCAGCCCACTCTCCCACCCCTCTTACCATTCCCCCATTCCAACCAACGCCCTTGTCGGCCTTGTAACACTGATGCCGTTGAAGAAGAGGAATCCAAAAAGAGGTCGTGGCGATCACAGCACAAGAAAGTCATGAACAGGAACCACTCTGGCTTTCTTAATCTATCCAAACTCAAACGTGCATCTTCCAGAAACGACAAACTGCCTTAAAAAAAGAATAATCTATATACACACACAAACAAATTGTACGACACCAAATTGCCACTACAGCTTTTTATATCCTATTTTATTTTTACAAGCGTTTTTATATATATTTATATATATATTGCACGTCCTCTCCTTTTTTCTTTTCTCTTATATATTCATATTCCTATTATTCCTATTATTCCTATTAATATTAATATTATAATCATAATTATTATCATTGTTTTGTAATATGAGCACAAGGCCTTTTCTATAGCTTAGATACCTTGTATCTTGCTAAATACAAAGTATACACTACCTAATATTCATTAAAATTAAAATTGATATTTTATTACTGCTACTGCTACTGCTACTGCTATTAGTATTACTAAAGAATATCTATGTGTGCCTTTAATAATGATAATACTTGTACTGACAGCTTATAAAGGGCTTCAACCCAATCTAAAAATCTGTCAAAAAACAAAAGATAGAAAATCACTTCGTATGAGGTAAATGATAAGTGTATTCTGTAACTAGGTTATTTATATATCTATCTATACATATATATATATATTAGCAATTTTATGGTAAGTTATACATGTACATATAAGGAGAGGGACAAGACATGAGAGTAATTGGAAAAGTGCAAAAGTGCAAAAGTGCAAAAGTGCAAAAGTGCAAAAGTCCTAAGTACATCAAAAACACAAAAATCACAGTTGGAACACATGCAAACTGGAAATAATATAATCCTGTATTGTGGCTACGCACAAACTTGATTGTTGATCGTTCCAAGAGGGTTTTGACAACCTTCATTAGTCTGATCTTAGCTGATGACTCTAATAGTCATGGTCATCAGCATAGTCATCAGCATATTAGAAAAACAGGTTAAAACCAAAAATCATAATACAAACTTACGCCCCCATTGATTAATGATCTGTTTCATCATTTACTCTATATTTATTCCTTAAAAAATTATATATGACCTTTTGCTACTAAACTAAACCCAATAAACTCACACTCTTGATTATGCTTAACTTTGGCTGTAAATTGTCAAACTAAATAGAAAGCGTCTTTTGTTATTTCCGTTGTCATTATCACTTTTTTTTTGGCACCCACACACAACACACGTCTTGCACCTTTGTACCGAAAGTACCCAACATGGTTCTCGGTATCCTTTCCAAAGGGCGATAACAGAAGCCGGGGTAGCTTGGATATCTTGAGTCTGAAGCAATATTCTTATATATATATATATATTTGCTTTTTTCCCCAAAAATAGGCACTAGGAACAGGTGTAATAAGCAAACGGCTTTTTTTTACAGTAAAGAAGCCATTAATATCAGTGTTATTCAAGTAAATTACCTGACACTCTGCTAGTTGAGAGTATAGACTCAGGTGCGATAAATAACTACACTACCAAGCCCACAGAATGGCCAAAAACAAATGCGCATTTGTATACACAAAAGTAGTACATTGAATGAATAGAAGTATGATTTCTGTTATATAGATATTCTTTGGTTACAAGTTCAGTGAATTAATTATCTGTAAATCCTGTACTTGGGAACAATCTAATGATTACTCCTTATTATTTTTCTCTTTCCAAAATTTGATAAGAAATCAACTGACTTGCACAAGAAAATAAAGAAAAATAACCTAGAGTTTGTTACATTTGTGTATAAGCTGATATTTTTCTTTGTGATTATAGATTTAAAGTAAAAGAAACAATAAGGAAGAATGCTAGTAAGAAGGATTGTCAAATATGAAATGATACCCATTGAATCTATTACTCTTCCCGTTTTCCTCATAAGCACACAGTTGCAATCACACTTTGAAAAGTCCAGTCTTATTAATTAGAGATGTGAATTGCCTTGGTGACCAATACACGTATCAGATTTGATTTGATTTGATCTGATCTGATTTGATTTAATTTGGTTTGATCTGATTTGATTTGATTTGATTTGATTTGATTTGATTTGATTTGATTTGATTTGATTTGAATTGAATTGAATTGGTTTGATTTGAATTGGTTTGGCTAGATTTGCTTTCATATATATATATATATATATTATTTGAAATGACACGAAATGACATGAAATGATATGTTATATGTGTCATTGTATGTAGATATTGCAGACAGAGTTTGAATAAGATCTTTTCCGATGCATTCAGTCTCCTATATAATAATAGGGAATGGCAGAAATATTTATTTATTTTTTGAAACAAAAAGGATAAAAGAAAAATTCAAAAGACAGAATGACAATATAGTGCATAAATGCTACTCCGTGCACGTACCAACTTTTGAAGAGCAGGTCTAGGCCCAGATTCATTACCATGAAACACATCATACATAGAGAAAACAAACAAGAATATAACATACAAAGACGCTGAGGAGATCTTATTGCTATTGGTCTAGAGCCAAACAACACAATATCCAAATCTGTAACTGCAAAAAAATAATAATAGGTTCAGGTAATTGAATTTAGACTTTGGCTTTCTGATATGTACATAATATAACTGTGGATACACTCACAACACACAACACATAACACAACCGTCTTTTTGTGACGAGTTTTGGTGTGACATGTATGGTTGAACAAAACAAAAAAAAACAGGTCTTTACTCGTCCCACTTTTGTACGATGGTACTTGGAATCTCTGACTTGTAATGACACGTTTTTATTTTTTATTTCTATTGTTTTGTACACGCATTCCCTCTATAAATATTTATAAATCAATCAATAAAGTATGCCATTTTCCAAAATAATCTTATTCTTGTTCTTTTGAGAGGGACCACGTCTTTATTACTAACCAGATATGACGTCAATACATTAGCCCATAAACACATTAACACATTAACATAGTTTTATTATTAATCCTATTGATTCTCTCTCTATATATTTTTTTATTGTATTGTATATTTATATATAAAAGGTTTGATTTGTCAAAAGAAAATATACGAATAAAGAAAGTGTGAATTGATTGTCTATTTATTTATTTATTTATTAATGAAATATAATAATTAATTTATGTACAAGAATATTTACAAGAGGGGCTCTTCTTTAAAGAAGTATAATTTATATATATATATATAGCTGCTAGACAATGGTTTCGTAGGCAGGAGATGCGATGACTGGGAAGGAGGCGGGTGAACGCAAAGCAGTTCCGTACGAGGGTACCCGAGAAAGGTTTGTCCAATCATTACAGACTCCTTCTACTAGGGCCTGGATGCATGGCAATTGTGAGATTTCTTCATAAACAGGCAGACTATCCAATTCTTCGGGAACCTCCGGAGAAATAATGACAGGGATCGCAGCTCTTAATTCTATTGAATTGAATTGTTTTTTTTTTTTTTTTTTTTAAAAAAAAACATTTAATATAAAATTACTATAGAAAAAATAAAATCGATTGCTTACCAGATACATGTCCATCAGAATTCATGAGAGACACGGTGAACTTGAGCTTGTGCTTGACTTGTATCAATTCACTGACAGTATCGCACTGGATTTGCTCAGACGAAGCAGTGTCGATCTTTTCGGTCTTGACCCATCTTCCGGACTGCGGCATCGGAAAATGGTCATCCCGACAGTATCGGATAATACGACTCTCAGCCTTATGGTGGCCTTTAGAGCGGAAGGAAGTATATTCTTTTAGGAGACAGAGTACCGACAGAACCCGTATGGTATTTGTGAGGGGTGAAATCGAAAAGGTAACAGGGATCTGGTCACTGGCCCCATACACTTTGCTGGGAACGCTAATGTCATACATAATCTTGTTTGCCCACACATTCGAGATCACAACAGACTGGGCCAGCATAAACGAAGGCCGCAATCGACGGGAGATGTGGAGATATCGGCTGGTGGCGTAGTTGATCAAAAAAGTCGACCGCTCAATGATGGCCTTGAAACGGTAGGTTACTGAGCCAAGGCTGTGATGAATTGACTCGGGCAAGTGACCAGGAAGAGCCAACTCAAATTCCCTAAAAAAGAAAAATAAAATTTTAGTTTTTGTGATTTTTAACTTTATTGTTGGGATTCAACATATTCCTGTTTGTTGTAAATGTATGTACGTATAACAATAATAAAGGTCGATGCTATTTACTTACCATCGATGTTGTCCTTCAAGAGAATGTGATTTTCCAGTCAAGGGAAGTAAGGACCAGTCTTGTTGAATGAGTGTGATTTCTTCTCTGTAGGGACGTTGAATTGATCCATTGCCTGTTTATAATAGAAATCAATTAGTTTAATGACACTCATGTCTTATATAGATAGAAGATCTAATGCAACAAATGAATAAATACTATGTATTCTATATACCTTCAGACCAATGAACCTTTGCTGTTCCAGTGAATGATAGTCGAATTGCTTTGATTTTTGTTGGTTCTTGACAGTTTAAAAAGACAGATCCATGCAGTAGCACACCAGCAGATTCTTCAGTCGAACCGTTCATAAGGATTTCGTCTGTCTCGAGATCAATGTGGAACTCTGGTGAATGAATGAATTGAGCAGGCATTGTTATCGTTGTTGGTAATTTTGATATCGTTGTTGGTGTTGGTGTTGGTGTTTGCGGTATCGTACTGAGGATTTGTTTTTATGTGTGTATATATATATATATATATTGATATATATATGGTCGCGCGTGTCTGAATAAATTAATGGTTTTGAATTTTGATTTTTTATAGAAAAAACAAACAAACAAAAAAGACAAAAGAGCAAAAAGGACTTCTTTAAAATCAATGGTTATAAAGAATAGGTGAAGACGAAGAAGAAGATGGAGAAGAAGAGGAAAAAAAGGTGGCGATTATATATATATATATATATATATTTTAAAGAAAAAGGGGTTGAATTGAGAGGGGTTATTTATATACAAACCGCAAGATCCTAATTTTTATTTTGTCCGACCCGAAAAAAAAATGTTATACATTCAGCCACCTTACTTTGCCTTGTGTACTATTTTCTCTCTATTTTCCTTTGACATTGAACCTGTTTTATACATACAATATATACATACATGCATATATTTCATTGGGAGTAATTTGTACATGGTCTACTAAAAAAGGAAATATCTACTCTATATAATCGCTAAAAATGGATTTACAGTTGTTTTATTTTTATTATTATTATTATTATTTACGGGAAAACATTATTGCTGCTAGAAAGGGCGGTAATCATTACTCAGCTGAAAGGATGGATAAACTTAAACCTTTAGTGGTTTCATGTGATATTATTGTCTTTTATATATGTATATATAAAAATAATAAGAGAAAAGATGAAATTTGTTTCAAAAATTGAAATAAAGATAAAGACAATCATAAAGATGTATATAAAAAAATATTAATAATAGTAATGAAATATTGAGGTAGATAGGAAAAAAGAAAAGAAAAAAGAAATGGGTTTTTGTATTGACAGTTGAAAAATAAAAATAATAAAAAAAAGAGAGATATTGGGTGAGTGAAATGTGAGAGTGTGCAAGTGAGAGGAGTATGTGAGTGAATAAGTAAAGAAGTGTATAGAAAGAGAATGAATAGGGAAAAATAAATAATTATAATGATAATAGTAATAATGATAACAATGATAATATAGAAAGTCAACTTTCTACATCTTATTCTTCTTCTTATTCTTCCTCTTCCTCTTCCTTTTCGCCTTCTTTTTATCTTATGAAGACACTTCACACATCTCTGTGTCTTGGTCTTGTGTAGTAGTTGTGCGTTGAGAGAGCATCATATGCCAGGCATAGTGAGGAAGTCGCATCATATTCTGGACCATCATTGCCTCGTAGTCAGTCTCTGGATCCAAAGGGTCTGTACTCTCCCAGAGTTCCTCAAATTGGGCGTCTGGTGATTCATCTACAGATCTAATCCAGATTTCTTCCCTCAACTTCTTGTGCTGTCGTACACAAAAATCATGATTGTGCATAGTGAAGATTGATTAATTAATAAATCATCAAAATAATAACAGTAGCAGTAATCTTCATATCTATATTTGAATACAAACCCTTTCTCGGTCTTCTTCCATACGACGCAAGATGTCATCTTTTGAAAACCCGTCACCAGTTGTATGAGAACTATGTTTACAAAAAAAAAGACAAAGACAAAAGATATTCAGGTATAAGAGCTACAAACTACAAACTACACACACACACTATACTCCTTTATACTCATTTATACACGTAGTCTACGCACATATACACATACACACACACACACACACACACACACACACACACACGTACATATACATATGTGTAGCTTCTAAAGTTACCCCCAATACACCCACCCGTATGAAAAAGAAAAGAAAAGAAAAGAAAAAAAAAAGTCACTTTTACCTTGTTTCTCGACCCAATAATGGTTTCTCTGCTTGCTCAATCTCGTTAATCTCAAATATTCTCTTTTGTTTCCAATGATTAAGAATCTATTACAATTCAGTCTGTCAATAGATCCAATCCGAATTTTTTTTACACATTACACACTTTACATTGAATACATTAATCACATTGCATATCTATTTCTTATTATTTAAAACTATTGAAAAAATAATAATAATATCTTACCTTGCGCATGTTTGGTAGATTAACAACGCCCTTGGGATCACTTGGGACAACTGCCTGCACAATCCTACCGAGGTCTTGGCGAGTAAGGTCTACATATCCTGTAAAGCGTGATTTCAGACTGGCTGAGAAGATGGCGTCGAGTACGTAAACGATGTTTAAGCGAGCGTTTATTGACGCCTACATAGAAGAATAAGAAAAAAAAAAGAAAAAAAAGAGAGAACGATATGTAGGTGTACACATATACAGATGTGTAAGTTTTTATATATAGATAAGTTTTATGTATTTTTTTTTTGTATATGTATTTTTGTATATGTATTTCTTGTAGGCATATATTTTGTATGTGTAAATAGATAGATATAGATATAGATATAGATATGTGCGTTTGTGGGTGTGCTTGTATATACGTTTATGTGTGCGTAGATTTTATATATAGGTATATAGATATACACATAGAGATGTATATATGCATGTATATAAAATAAAATAAATAAGAGTCGCCGTCGAGTAGGCGCCAAAGACAGAAGAAGAAAATGTAAAAAAATAAATAAATAAAGCATAGAATATATGATAGAATTACAAAAGGTGTATTATTTTCTTTTCTTTTCTTTTTCTTTTTTTTAGCTGTTTTGGTCTATACTTTATACACTGTATCAAAGCAAGAGAAAGGGCGTGCTTGCTTATAAACAAGAAGTGCCACAAAGAAAAAGATCTATAGTCCTTGTGCGCACACACCCTCTTCTTGTTCTGATGCCAGTGATTACATCTTCTTTTGTTGATTTTCGTTTATATACATATATACATATATACATATTTATATATTTATATATTTTTATATATATTTATATATAGATATAGATATATATATATATATATATATGGATAAATGTATATACATGCGTGTGTTGTATGTTGTATGTTGTGTGTGTGTGTGTGTGTACGTGTGCATGTGAGAGTAAAGGAGTAACAATTGTTGCTCTTTATACTGTTTGTTAAAGAAGCAGTAGCCTCTTTAAAATAATAAAAGAATTATGGTAATAATAGCAATAGTAATAGAAATAATAGTAATAATAATATTAAGAGAAATCAAAAGCTAAATTTCATAAAAGTTGTGTATATGTACATGAAAAATAATGACAAGAAAGTTATGTTGTTTCAATTATAATAAATCTGCCCTACCATTACCAAATACACTCTACCAATCTATCCCATATCACCTCACCTCATCTCGCTTTACTAAATTCTACTTCACCTTTTCTTAACCCAACCTCACTTCATTTTACCTTACTCTACCCAAAATGTACACATGCACACAAGCATAGACGTACACACGCACCTATGCACGTACATACACATATACACATATACACACGCACATACAATGTAATAAAAATATAGAAAAAAGCTTTATCAAAGCACTCCAACATCACCACCATATGATTAAAGAAGATAATAATAATAATAAAATAGAGAGAGAGAGAGCGAGAGATATAAAAGAAGAAAATGTAGAAGAAGTAGTAGTAGGAAAGGGAGTAATAGAGATAAAGAAAAAAAAAACAAAGAAATGAAATGAATTTGTCCGAGGATGACAATTACCTGTTCGAGTTCTTCAATCAGACAACTGTAGAGATCCTCTGACAGTCGTCGATGGCGCATGGCATAACTTGCGACTTTGTATATTGATTGCTGTGATGCATTGAGCTTGTTAAGTAATGACAGGAAAACCAGGCGACATTCAAAAGGGTCAGAATCTTCGGCCATGATGAAGGATAAAAGTAAGAGTGTGAAAAATTAAATTAAATTAAATAAAATAAAATAAAATAAAAAATGAAATCAAATGACAACAACAGGGTCTAGGATAAGAAGAGTGCGAATGACGTGACGGCTTCTCTACACTTGTCTTTTTATTTTTAGTTTTAATACGTAAACTCTCTCGCTCTCTCTCATTCATTCTTTCTCATTCTTATACTTGATTACAGTATCGTTATAATATAATATCAATTGAAACATATTGCTATTCCTGCGCATAATATAAACCAGCTATTACGTAAAAATAATATCATTATGTCTATTAAAAAGACCAAAGAGAAAGAAGTATTTGCGTATATATATTTTACAATAAAACTACTCCATGAGGGTGCATGTTCTGCTATAAAAAGAGAAAAAAAGTGAATTGCATAAAGTCTGATGACTGGCCTAGGATCCTCTTCCTCCCCCTCTCTTTCCTTACCCAATTATTCTCTATATTCATTTTCCAAAAAAAAAGCAAACCAGAAAACCTTTTCTGTATAACTATTTTCGAAAAAAAATGCAACTTGTCGTTCTTCGTTACATGCTCGATATCTACAATAGCCTAAGAAATGGCGATTGCGGAACTCTTATAATCTTCAGACGTTTATTACTAAAGCCACGCATCGTCTTACCTATAGAAGCTCTCGATGATGAGCTCAAACAAGTCCTGGACGATAAATCATGGTCCATAATGCACCATATCCTCGAAATGGCAAAGCAAGATCCAAGCTTTGATACTCTTTGGAGACTATTTGCTGAGCATTTGGATGTTATGTCTTCCCTCTACGGTATGCTGCCAGAATCCACCATCTCCGAATGTGTTTCTTCCATGCTACACCACGAGGAATGGGTCTCTGACAGTAAAAAAAGAAAGGAATGTTCAGAGCTTCTTCTCAAAAGCGGCTTCCTTTATGTCGACGCTATCAATAACCAATGGCGAGACGAGCGTATATGGGTTAATCATGGTTGAGTATCTTTTCTTTTCTTCTTCTTCTTTTAAGCGTACAGAAAAGAAAAGAAACCGAGCTTATTTTGATGTTTATGTATCTGTCAGTTATTGAAGAAGCCTATAAGCAAGAGATCCGTAGTGCTATGGCTCATGATGAAAGTTACGAAAACTTTCTTGTAGTGTTCCGTGAGCCTAGGAGCTGGGAATACGAAGAGTGGGGGAGTAGCTACAAAGCCATGATGTCTTGGGTATCGTACTATCGACGAGAAGCATTTGGTCGTGTATCTGATCTACTACAGGGACTACACAATCATCGTGGTAAGAAGGAGCGAGACTTTATTATATATACATACATACATATATATGTTTCTCTTGCCTTGTAATATATTTAAACATATACATTTACTGACTGTGAGACACGAAATACGTGTTTTTATAGAAAATAAAAAAGAGGAGTATGATTCATACGAAGATTATGTCCAAAATGGATTTCTCAGAGAAGGCAGACAAGAACTTGTGGATAATGAATTTGAACATTGTCAAATAGAACGTCGAATGCGTAGAATGAGGCTGTAATTAATAATAGTGATAAGAAAGATACAAATGTAACTATCTTTAATTTACGCCAATCCCATTAATGACAGTTTTTACACATCTACTCTTTATTTCTTTGTATATATATATATATATATATATATGAAACAAGGGCAATATAAATGCACAGCCCTAAATTTCATATATTTAATTAAACAAAGTCTGTATTTGTTTGTATAGTATGTGTTTCCAAACTATTCTTTCCAGTGTAGTCATTTAGTCTGATCACCTAAACCTAAATACATCGTGAGAATATGTACTCCAAAAAGAACACAAATCATTATATGTATATATATATGGGTGTGTATTGTTTATAGACAAGCTTTAATATAAATAATAGACCAGTATTTAGCGAATTATAGTCTTGGATATCTAGACATAAAGGTGTGCAATTAGCTCATTACTATTAACAATGTTTGAAATAAAGAAATCTTGAATCAGATTCTTATAGAGTAAATAATAGCACACAAAGACACTTGGTACCAGTAGACAACAAGAAACCCACTTCAGTAAAAAAGAAAGAAAGAAAAGGATATTAAATGTATATATGTGTATAGATATTTAGAAATAAATACAATAAAGAAAGCTACCCATAATACACTTTAATGACAGGTGTCTGTGCTGGTGTTTTTATCTTTTATATTTTCTTAATTTAAAAAGATACAAGCACTGAATTTCCTGCCTCATTTCCAGATGGTAAAGTGACATCAAATGGTTGTACAGGCTGTTGTGGCCACTGTACATCAATGTGAACAGACGCAATGGTCTGGCTGGGATCCGCAACAGAAAGATCCCATTGGCGAGTAGAGACGCTAATTGTAGGCTGCAGTATTAAAACGATCGGACGGTCAACAGTAATAGATACAGTCTTTGATATATAGCTGCCCGAACTCCAGAAAGCAAGAACCCAGAAATCAGGCGTGTAGGCACCGCGTACTTCGGCTGTGCCGGTATTATTCTGGACCAAAACAAAGCCTGGAATAAGAGGTACATAGTCTGGCTCAACATCAATCTGGACAAGATACGCCTGAAGATTGGTAGTCGTAGGCGTAAATAAAGCCATGGTCTGAGTGTCATTCGATATACCCAAGGTAGACCAGTTGCCTTGCTTAGGTGCAGTGTTAATCTGGAGCTCGTCTGCAATCAGGGTGTAACCAATACGATCATGCCACACAGACATATGCTCGTTGGCTTTGACCGAGACAGAGACAGTAGAGCCATCAGCAACAGCCTGCCGGTTGATGTAGACCGGCCCGTTCAATCGACGCTGATCAAGTGTGGTAGTAACGTTCTGTGGATCGGGACGGACATTGTTTAGCTGGACGGCATAGCCCTGGGGAAAGAACACAAAAGTCTTTTGCCAGGAGAGCTTGTGCGTCATTGGGTTTGTGTAATTCATTACAGCTATGCCAATATCACCGTGAGTCGCACCACCAACAAATGACTCGACACCCGTCCATTGGGTTAGATTACACTCCAAGGGAGTCTTTCCCACATCAACAGTTGTGCCCGGCACAAGGTTCCAGTCCCAGCTGGCAAATACGTCTACATATTCCTCTCCGGTTCGATAGGTATAAATAGCTCCGTCGCTCAAATGAAAACCATATGGGTTCTGGCTATTGTTACACTCGCCATTGGTAGTACGCTTAGAGTACATCTTGAGTGTAACGATTGCCTGACGCGTGCGGTGAACAAGATAATCGGATGAGTAAAAGTGACGGGTACCTAGCAACGGTCCTCGGTTGGGGCTGTTGGTAGTGTTGGTCCTTAGGCGATCCACAATGTCCACAAGTGCCGGTTGATGGGGCCATCCGGTCGTGGCCTCCGTAATTTGACTTATGTTGATCGCCACTCCCCCGCTAGCCTGCTGGCTGCTAACCGGAAATGAGACCATCCGTCCGATAGTGCTATAGTCCCACCAAAGGGTCTGGTTAGGATGCCCCACAATCATCCACTCGGTACCTTCCAGAAGGATCTCGAAAGCTGATTGGGTGTCTAGAGAAGGGGCAAATGCGGTATCTGCTGTCTGAAGAAAGATCCGCAAAACACTATTGATAAAATCTTTTCCGTAGTTTCCGGTATACAGTTGTCCGAAATGCTGAAGGAAAGAGCCATCTTGTTTGATGCCGTCTTGGTTGGACGGTGTGATGGAGAGCTGCTTGTAAAAGTAGTCAAGCGCTCGGGTCATTAAGGTCAGGTTGTTTGTCAAGAGGGCCTCTGCCATCCCAATGGACGACACATCAAGCATATTTGATCCAGTCATGTAGCCGATGGAAAAGATAAAGTCGTCCACCTTGTCAAACGATCTCTTTGTCACACTTGTGCAGTTCCCCAGCTGTGTGCCTGTCAAATTAGGCTTGAGTAGTAGACACGCATTGCTAATTATTCTAGGCATAAGAATCATCTATTGGGTTGATTGTCAGCAAGTGTCATTTATGTAGTAAAAAACAAAATAAAAAAAAAGACTCTCCCTGTTCTTCTTTAAAAATAAAATGATCAAGAGATTTCTTACTTGTCCAAACCAGTTTGTACTCCAGAAACCAGGTGTGCCGCAAGGACATGTATTGTTACTCAGCCCGCCCATGTCAATACACGAATCTGGAACGTAGTTGTTACTAAACCAATAGTCCATAGCCAGAGAGGATTTTTCAAGGAGAGTATTGTCTGACTGGTTGACATACCACAGACTTGCCATTGTAACTTTATATAGATACATACAATGTTGTAAAGACAAAATACATAAATAATGATGATGAGAAATGCCTATTGTTTCAGGGATATTTTCTTTTTATGTTAAATATGTCTCACCAATGCGTTGGAAGTGATATTGGGCTGGCCAGTTGGCTCGTCTAATTGTGATATTTGTGATATATATATTTAAAGAAATAAATACACGGTAATTGCATTGCATTGCATTGCATTGAATTGTATTGTATTGATATAGAATCCTAACCTTCCATCGCAGCCAGTAGAGTAGTCAATGTCTGGCCATGTGCCTTGAGATGTCAAGTTATTGATCCTAAAACAAGATGAATAATAGTAATAATGATAGTAAAAACAAAGAACCAATGAACCAATGAATATTGCTTTTTTTGCAGCATAATGCATAGCATGTACAAGAGACCTTACCAAGTATTAGGCACAGTGGATGCTAATGCTGTCTGGACAGTATTCTGATTCTTGCGATCGAGAAATATTGACATGTCTTGGGCTGAGCTAGTTTGACTGTAGACAAGTCGAACCAAGGAGGTCAATAGTCCAGCAAAGAACAATATCCGCATTATTCAAGACAAGTAAAAGAAGAAGAAGAAGAAGAAAGAAATAAGGCGAGGAAAACAAGATCTTTTAAAAGGTAAAAGGAAGAAAGAAAGAATAGCAACTGATTGTATTTATACATACCTTTAGTGCCAGAGTTAATATTATGATTATGATTATTATAAGCATAATAATCATTTAGTTTAGTTTAGTTTAGTTTGGGTTGGGTTGGGTTGGGTTGGGTTGGGTTTCTTTGATTGACATTTTACCTCAGCCTCCTTTGAGTCCCCCCCTTTTTTCTTTCCCTCTTTGAATGAATATATATAGTTTCGCTGTGATTTTTTGTTTTTTGTTTTTTGTTTTAAAAAGACCAAAAATAATTCACTCTATATTTATATTTATAAAATAGATAAATATATACCAATTTCCCCCTTTTGTCGTCTTTCTTTTTTGTGTATGTGTGTACCTCCTTGTGTCCTATATAGGTTAATTGGAAGATACCTATACTATTGTTGGTATGCAAGGGACACTATAGGTTTACTAGGTTGAATATACATATATATATACATATACAAAATAGCCAATTATCGATCATACTCGAGATTGTGATTCTCAGCTGTGTCTTGTATAATTTTCATTATAATTTTCATTATATGTATCGTATTTATATATATATATATATATTTGGTGGAAAAAGGTTAAAATAAAGGCCAAGATGAAAGCGAAAGTGAGGGTGAAGGTGAGAAGGAGGGGGAGTAAAGGAGGGTGAATATAAGGTCTATAGCATGGGGAATTGGGAGGGGATATTGATGTGATTGTAAGATCAAGATAAGATATCTAATTAGAATCCAGGCTCAGATGGTAAAAGCTTGACGATTCCATAACTGGCACCTGCTGCAACAGCTCCAATCAAGAGGGTTTGGATAGCACCCGTAAATGCACCATCAGGGTTGACCAACTTGCTCTTCACATAGCCAAATATCAACAATGTCAAGGAGGTCACGGCCACTGACACATACAGAGCCATCATTGCATCTTCCAAGAACAGATAGGGCAGTAATGGAATCAGGCCTCCCACAAAATAAGAGATACCGATTGTAAGTGCCGAGATCTTTAGACACACATAAAGTATTTGAATAAATAAATACACCATAGTCGCATAATAGCATCATACATCATCTGCTCTTTACCCGATTCACCGCGCCCGCCACCAAAAAACAAAAAAAAAAGAAACTTACCCAACTGCGACGAGGATCTGGCATCTCCATGTTCAGTTCAAACTTCATCATAAAATCAACAAACTTTTCAGGATCACTCTTGAGCTTGTCAATCAAAGGCTGGAGTGTTTCACGATCAAGACCATAGGGCTCCAAAATCTCCACAATTTCATCTTCCTCGTCTTGGGGACATTCCTCCACCTCACGCTCTTCCCGAAGGCGTTCGGTCCGGTAATGGTCGATTTCTGATCGAGCAGCAAGATATCCACCGAGACCCATCGAAATAGCACCACTTTATACAAGTATAGACAGCACTGTATTAGTCATCAAGTAGACATTTGACACACGGATACATTTATCTATTTATAATCTTGATATTGATCTTGATATTCATTATATCTGTACTAGATTTACCTCACAAGTTCTACAGATAAATTAGATTGTCAGTTTCTCTGATCCAAAGCAACACCAAAAACAAGAAGAAAACTTGTATATCTTTAAAATAATATTTTACCTGCTGCACCACCATAAATAACAAGCTTGGAGTTACCAAGGGAAGACAGACCAGCAGCCAAAGCAAATGGTACAGTGAGACCATCTATAAACACACACACACATATATATATATATATTTGTTCAAAAGAATAATAAAATGATCAGGATACATTTATATACTCTTGTCTTGTTTATTTGCAAGAATTCTTTACTTCTTGTATTTTTTTATTTTTATTTTTTTATTTTTTTTTACCTGACAAGCCAATGATAGTATCACGGACGATCTCAGCAGATTCAAAGTGCTGTTCGAGATGCTGGTAAGGTGCATACTCATGAGAATGGCGGCGACGAAGCTTGTTGATGATTGAAGTCATTAGTAAAGGAAGAAGACAGTGAGGAATGTCAAGTTGATCAAGAAGAAAGTCTTTATTTTGCCGAAATAATAATAATTGTTATTATTATAATAATTATATATAATTATAATATATATGATCGGGTTTTCTTTTCTTTTTTTTCTTTTTTTTTGTACGTGTGTTCACTGCATGTAAAGATATGAATTCATCTCCTTTTTGAACAACCGCGAGTCAATTTCATTTCCTTTGTCTCATAGTAAACATAAAAAGAAATGTGCATCTTCAATATAAGAACTGTCGTTAAGATGAACTTGGGCTACAAGGTTAGCCAGCTGATAAAAGTGCTGTTTCTGGTTTTGCTTTATTTAAAGGACAGGCTTGGAATAAACTAGTGCTTGGTCTTTGATTATGTTATGAGCCATAGTGGCCACTGAGAACCAAGACTCGAATTTTAGCTTTTAGTGATACGTAAAATAGGCATAGATTTTTATGTGATTGTAACAATTTTCTGCGAGACAACAGCTTGTGGTGGTACTGCACACTTGAGAGGCGGGATTTTTGTGGCCATTCCAATCCCTCCCCCCCTTCCGCCCTTTCTCTCCCTCTCTTTCCCAGTTTCCGACAGTGTTTTCCATTCTTTACAGATATTTCTGTAGCTGTTACTACTGTTACTGCTGTTACTCACACTTTGTACAGTGCTCTACAAAACATTCTTCTTATTCTTCCAATTTTGATCCTTTAATTTTGCCCACACAAGAAAGGCCTTGATTCAGCAGACAATTAAATACTTGTGTCTTCTAAGAAGCTTATACGCCTGACAAAATAAAACAGCGTCACTTTCCCATAAATACACCTCTTTTTTTTTACCACACCTTATTTGGTTGTCTCTTTTGCAGAACCTTTTCTTACAAAAAGAAAGAACAAAAACCATAGTGAACATAGCACCATGCTTATATATTTTAGGAAGATATTTCTAGCTATCATACTAGAGCTTATACGCTCTAACCAGAGAGATCACCGTCAGATTTCTAGTCTCAAATAAACTACACGTCAACTGAATCAGATTAAACCTTTTCATTTTCTTTTAGAAAATTATGTATATATATATATGTATGTATATATATTAAAGCAAAATCTAACACATTGTGACAACCTCGAGGTCTAATCAAAGCATTGAGTCTATTTGACATACTTATTACAATAGTATAAAAATATTCTACATTTCCCAACTTTTTTTTTCTTTATCACGTCTTGTAGAAATCTAGTGTGGCAGCTGGAACCATCTTCTTGGAATTGGAACATGGTGTCATGTTCATAATTTAACTTTATATACCAGGGGATTCCACAAAAAAATATTAAGAATAAGGTTGTGTGGTCAAATTAAAGAAATACGGAAAAGAGGTGCGTGTCTGGGTAAAGTGACTCTATTTTATGATGTTGGAGTAGTATATATGTAAAAATAAGCCTTTAATTTACATTGCAGGAAATGACAGGATTTATAACTCTGGATTCGTAGAAAATATACGCGCACAATTCCCTTTTTTTTTACTTGTCGGAGTTATAAATTATGCCATTTTTTACAGTGCCTTGTACTTGTAAAAAAAAACTTAAGAACAGTCCATTTTAGGTATGTGATACAATCAACGTGTTTGCTGATCGGTGGACCACTGCAAAGGGAAAGAATATCTGAATTTACAAGTCACACTCCTTTTCCTCCCTCCCTTCCTTCTATCCTTTTTTTTTATAAAAGAAAAATGGCAAGCCAATATTTGTTTGGTTTGTGAGTTTGTGTGCATTGTGCAGTCAAAAGGAATATACTTCCAAAAAAGGAAACTATGCTATTAACCATACACAAAATGTGAAAAACTCAGTTTATTTTATATATTACAATATTGACGTTCTTGATGTGTACAAGAAAACTCAACCTTTGATACACAAACATACGTACATTGTCTGCATATGTGATTGATACTTTAATAATATAAAGGCAGCTTGTTTTCTAAAGCAATAACAGGAACATAAACTTGGCATTAAAAATTATGTAATTTAATTCAAATTAATTGGATAGAGATGTGTGCTTTTGTGTTAAAAGACAAAGTGTAGATAGCCAAGATTTAGCTGTATCTTGTAGTTTCTTGTTTGTGTTATTTCAAGTGAAATAGATATGTGGATAAACAGTAAAGAGCCATTTAATCTCGTCATTTTGCGTACCCTTTCTTTGTAAAGATGATACGGTCCAGTTGTTTATTTGTTTGATTGCTAATGCACCTAGCAGATGTGTAATGCATGTAATCGAAATTGAAAGGATAACTGTTGTAGTCTTGTTACTTTTGGGGGTTAATATAAATATATTTGTATTTATAGTGATTGAATTGGGCGGTGCTTTGTCAACGCACAACAGTAACAGTAACAGTAACAGCAACGGCAACGACAATAATAATAAGAATAAATTATTATTTTTATATATAAAATCAGACACTGATTTACCCATGTTCATTGTTTCACTTGGCACCCCAGCCAACTTAAATATCAATTCATTTATTCTCAGGTAAAATTATCCTGTAAATACTATACAATAAATTTACGTATAAAAATAAAAAAATAAATAAATATTATATTTTATATATACACACTACACATCATCTACATTATACATATATGTATATGTATGTATAATGTATCTATTAAAAATATATATATATATAAAATAAAAATGAATTATATACATACAAAATTGTGTACCTGATTAAAAAATATTAAATATTAAAATATAGAATGCTTGATAGTAATAATTAATGGTAATAAATTAATTTTGTTAAAAGTATATATGCCAATTGAAATACAACACACTTGATTGAATCGAATTGAATATTCATCTGTATTTTCATAGAAGTAGCGCTGTCAAATATATCGAAAAATCTAAAAGAGAAGGGGAAAGTGACATCCCACTTGCTTACGTTGACCGGGTGGCTTGTGGCAGGCGAGTTTTTTTTTTCTTGGTTGGACCCAAACCAAAACCATCTTTTTTTTCTCTCTTCTTTGAGCACTACTTCCCTATCATCTCGTAATCCGCTCCAATTCATCTTATTACCGAAATCCACGCCTTCAAACAACATATAAACGTTGAAAACACCAACGTCTATTTGCTCATCTCATCTCATCTAAAGTCTATTAACTCTTGCTGATTCAGTCACCCCTGTTTTTTTATTACCGTCTTCTTATTCCTCATTTTCCCTTCTTCATTCTCTTATTCACTCACCTGCACCTTCTTCTATCAAACGTCACGCCCATCTTATGACCATTGCCCCCCTCTCACTCCCCTTTTAACATTTACTAGACCTCTAATTTCTCATTTTTTCCCTTCATCTCTCTTTCTCTTACTCTGTGTATATATATATATCATAAAAAAACCCCCTTTTTTTCTCCTTTCTCTTTCTTTTGTATACAGCATGAACATAACTATCTCCGACAGACGCCGTTCTGGCAAGCGAACGACTCTTACTTCACCTGTTTCGACAATGCCAACAACTCGCTGGCCAACAACAACAACAACGACGACAGCAACATCAGTAGCAAAAGAACCCGAGTCACGACAAACCGAGGGAGACGACAGGAAGTCGGGATGGACCGATGTCGGGGTCAGCAAAAAAGCTACTACACCAACCACGAGTGGGTTTGGGCCGTTTGTAAATACCGACCACGACCCATTTGCAGGCATGAAGCAATGCGTCGATTATCAACAGGAAATCGAACGACTCAAAACACTAGTACCTAAAGTTGAAGCCAAAAAACGACCATCGTCACGCCCTCTTTCTGCAGGTGCCTGGAACGAAAACACCAGCAGCAGTCCTCGACCGACTGGAAAATCCACGTCGTCAAAGGGCAACGTATCTGTCCGACGATCTTCACCCACCGCGCGCCCAATGTCTTCTCTCGGAATATCTTCGCGTACTCTTGACGATAACTCAATGGGAACGGAGCGCGTCCGATCCGCCACTGCCCCTCACTCACCCGTGTCTTCTAAAAGCAGCACACCCACGATTTCACCCACTCCAAGCCACTCCAACATTAGCGACGGCAGTATTAAAGGCATTGACGAAACATCTGTGTCAATCTCAAAAGCAGTAGTAGCGGCGGTAAATACATTGGTAGATACATCAGTAAAAAAATCAGAAGCAGAGTCAGAAGCAGAATCAAAAGCAACCACAACGTCATCAACATCATCATCAGTTTCAGCAGCACCATCACAATCACAATCACAATCACAATCACAAACAGAACCCAGAAATCCTATTACTGAAGAAGAAAAGGCTCGTTTCTTAGAATTTGTTCGTAGTTGGACTGGTGGTTGGAAAGGTGGATGGGAAGAAGAGAGTGTGAAAAAGACTGCTGGTTCATTGTGGGCAGAGCAGTCACCATGGGACTTTACTCCCGATCGCCAGCGAGCCCATCAACCTGACCCAATGACTAACTCTCAGCCATTAATGGATGAACTCTACTGGCATTCTTCTGCTGCTCAAATTGTGCTTGCCCCAGTACACAGACCAGTGCAAACATCTGTAGCTCCAAGACACACCTATCAAAATGACCTTTGGCGAAACAGTCTTTCACTACATGCAGCAAACTCGGCAGCAGCGATGCGCCCTTATTTCCACCCTAAAGCCCAATATCAACAACCAGGATATACCACTTAAAGGCACAAACACACAAACACGATCTCACAATATCACAATGACTTACTCGCTCGCCACTCACCCACTCGCACTCGCACTAGCACTCACATTCACACCAACATTCACGATCACCAAAAAAGAAAAAGCAAACACTTCATTTCACAACTATATTTCATCTCCCACTACTACTTTGCACCCTTATTAACCAATCTCTATCTACCCACCTCTTCGCCTACCTATACTTTTTTTTTATATTCTCTTATTCTATTTTACTTTATTTTACCTTACCTTATTTTATTTTTCTATACACAATTTACAAACAAATACAACCCAACACAATAAACCCTCCCTCTCCTCCTCCTTCTCATAATCATTCTCCTTTTCTTTATCTTCCTACTCTTCCTACTCCTCTTCATCCTATTCCTCATCTTCCTTCTCCTTCTCTCATCTTCCCCCCTCCCCCTTTTTTTTGATAAGTAAAATCAATCACTCACTTATTTACACTCCACTTGATGATCAAACCGACAAAAAAAAATCAAATCAAATCAAATACATATATATATAATTACCCATGTTCCAAACAAAACACCCACAATAACAACAACAAAAAAGACCGCATTATTCCCTTATTAAATGTCATCTAAGAACTGTTTGTGACTGAACTAAAAGAAGTAATCAGCTCATTTTCAAGCAGTGAGTTTATTTATTTAGTTGTTTTTGAATAAAGTCATTGCAAATATTTTACTTCTTTTAGGCAACTCTAGATCATTATGATTACAATTCTTTTAATACAAAACAAAATCTCATGAGACTTCCCTCCTTCATTTTCCTTTCCTCTTTATTCAACCAACTAACCAAGGAATAAAAAGAATAAGAAAGAAAGGCTTGTTCTGAATCAAGACCGAAAGTACCGAATGTCCTAGATGGAATGAGAACAACAATTGACTCAATATACCAATATGATTCAAAGTGTGTTCAAATTGAACACGTTAACCATACATATATTCCTCTAATTACTGTTTTTCACGCCAGAACATGTATGGCAGTTATTTCTTTTACAAGGCAGTTTTATTTGTCTATACACAGTCACACTTCACAATGACCAGCAATACTAGGAATCTCTTGATGACCTCAAGGCTTATGAGAGGAAGTTATAAAAGGAAGGAATGAAACGAAGCAAAATTACAGATAGGATGTTAGAAAAAGTGAGCTTGATAAACCCAATTGTAGAAGGGGGTATGGACAGAGAAGACGTCACTAATATACGTAAAGGGCCCAGTAGGCTTTCCACAATATATAAATATTTTGCATCATCATCAACAGATTAGAAAAATAGGATAAAATTAAAAATCATATAAATTTATACCCCCTCAATTCATGACGTATTTCATCATTTACTCTCTATTTCTCCCTTTAAAGAAGCTATTTTTTTACATATGTTCTTTTGCTACTAAACTAATGCACTTTCAATATCGCCAGTATCACCAATCATAATGATCAATCATTAAGTAAAGAGAAAACGCACTAAACTAAACTCAAAAACTCACACTCTTGATTATGCTTAACTTTGGCCGTAAATTGCCAAACTAAATAGAAAGCGCCTTTTGTTATTTCTATTGTCATTGTCACTTTTTTTTGCACCCACACACAACACACGTCTTGCACCTTTGTACCAAAAGTACCCAACATGTTTCTCAATATCCTTCCTAAAGGGTGACAACAGAAGCCGGGGTAGCTTGGATATCTTGAGCCCAAAGCAATATTATTATTATTATTATTTTGCTCTTTTCCCCGAAAATACGCACCAAGAACAGGTGTAATAAGCAAACGGCTTTTTTAAAGTAAAGAGGCCAGTAATATCAGGGCATTCAAAGCCATTAATATCAGTGCCATTCAAGCAAACTGCCTGAGACTCTGCTAGTCGAGAGTATAGGCTCAGGCGCAATAAATAATTACACTACCAAGCCCACAGAATGGCCAAAATTTACAAAATCAAATGTTCTGTACACAGCAGCTTAATCTAAAAGCAAAACAGACAGACTGCCACTGGTATTGATCGAAATACAATCTCTACTGTCAACATGCCTTGTTTTTTATTAAAAAAAAATATAGCTTAAAAGCTGTCTTTTATCAATCAATAAAGCAGTGAAATAGTATTTATGTCTCAAAGCATAAGTATCTTTAACCAAATAGGAGATAAGTAACTACGAGATAATGAGACTTTGTTAAAGTATCTCCGTGTCAAGACACTTATTAAAAACATTTGGCAGAATGAGAAAAAAACTTAGAAACTAATTAAATATACGCTATCACATACCTCACTAACTCCCGTTAACAGTGTTTATTTTCCCAAAAATTCATTTCGCTTTACTTCACTTTGGACAACTGATCAGAACTGTTCGGTTGGATTTAGCTTAGATGAACATGTAAGAATATATATGCATTAGCATCCTCAAGAGTGAATATATTTTTCTTTGTTAGTTGAGTTATGGAAAGAGAATTATCTATAAAGAAAATATCATCTATTCATTTCTGAGTACCTATCCATCTCATTGATAATAGACTTTAGAAGGTTCAGATAATATCCTGTCCTTCTTTCTTTCTTTCTTTCTTTCTTTCTTTCTTCATATTGGGACAGTGTATTTCTGGTAGATAAATCACATTGAGTTTTCATGAAACTGTAAGTAGTATTATGAAAAAAAAAATTCTACAAAGATTCGGTCCAAACTTTCTGCTACTTTAGTTACAGTAGCTGAAAATTTTCATCAATGTAATTTAATAAAGGAAATCCTTGTGCTCCTCTCTAAGAATGCAATGTCGATCTTTTTTTCGAAAATGCTTTCAGGATTATTGTAATGACATTTGACTCACCTCTGGGCTACACGAGTATAAGTACCTAGTTCTCTCACCGTAGCAAAAGCACCGAAGCATTTGCTAAACAATAAATAAATAAATAAATAAATAAAACTAGTCTCCTTATTATCAAAGTAAACTGTATATTGTCGCTTTTTATTCTTTTATCATCATTTGGATGGCTTGCAGGAATAGAATATATCTCTAGGCGTTTATTCATAAAAGAATTAGCAAGAGGATTTATTGTTTCGATAGCAAACAACCTTTTGTCAATAATAACATCAATTGGCTCAATTCTATTCTTAATAAAAACATGCCCTTGTCCACCTTTGTAAAAAAATGTATATCCATTTTGAATCTGCTGTACGTAAAATAAATATGAACAAGAAAAAGAAAGCAATAAAGATGATTCCTTTTTGTAACAACCAATTTGTGTAGACAGATCGAAAATAATATTGATCAAAAATGAAACAAAGGCTAGGGTGTTAAGCTCTATTATTGGATTAGAGTTCATTTCATTGGATAAGCTCATCCAGGCCTTTGTTTCATCTGATTAATCTTTCCAATCTGCCCATACCAACTTTACTTTTGTCGATATTTTGCAAATTGCTCATTTGATTGGCTAAATTTGCTGTGACTTGTAGAAAAGTATTTACAAAATCGTTTCCGGTGAGAATGAAAAGGCGGCGGCTGAATTTGTGTGCAAATACCAAAATTCAAACCTTAAAAATTTGAACCAAAAAAAAAAAGAAAAAAAGAAAAACGAATATTGAAGACCATAGTGGGTAGGATAGTAATATAAGTTCAAGATGGATCTTAGGTTGCTTGGTAAATATTAGCTCATTCCATAAATTTATTCTGGTATAATTACATAAGCTTTTTGAAATTTAAGCTAGATTTTTTTTTGATAACTATGTTTATATTTTACTATTTTCTACGGTGCTTAATTCAATTGAGCAAGTTTTACCTGTTTATAAGAGCAAATTAAAGGCAGCGTAGTTTCTTGTACATAATACCTTCACTTGAAAAATCCCTGGCGTCTGAAACAATATCGTAAAGCATGTTGTTCAGGACTTTCTCTCGTTATTATTTTGTAGCAGGAATTGACAATGGTTAAAATCTTTGAAAATTCTTAAGATGTGACCACAAATTGTGCTTGACATAATAAAAAAGAAGGTACAGAATACATCATAACCTCTTCAGATATATTATATGCACCATTCTTTGAAAGTTGGTTACTAACAATAATTTTCAGACTATCATTTGTCGATGGTATTATTTTAAACCAACCTTTTCTCCACACTTCTTTTCTTTTCTTTATCTGTAAGTCCTTGACCTATTCTTGTAGGATATATTCTTGCTATAGATATATATATTAGATGTTGAATCATTTTAAACCCTATATATCATTAGGTTTAAATTTTCCAAAGAAAAAAATACAGGCAAGATCACCTACCTTCAAGTGTAAAAGAGATGGAGTTTTTTCCAAATAAAATTCAGTCTACTATTTATTTTGAATATGTTCCTGAGTTGGTATTTGTACAGCAGGAGCTGCATAGCCCCATTTTTTTTTAGGGAACATGAAGCATTTTAGGCTCTCCTATTTCATCTATATCTTTGTTCCAGTCTTCCTATTGACTATTGAACTTACAACAAAGAGTACCCCCCCTTTGTCTATTTTATGATCGGTTGCACCACAGCCACAACTCAACATGCATCAATTTGGGATTTAAATCCCGAAAAGTAAAACAGAAATTTACGCCACGTTTTTATACAACTCTTGTTATTCCTTATACAGTTAGCGCAACACTAAATGGCGGCCTTTGTTTTTCCAAAGAGCGGAAACCGTTTTCTTAAAGGGCGGTTACTGTTTTCTTAAAAGGCACTCTTCGATCTTCAGCAGATGTTTCTTACAGCTGCTTGTGCCATTTTATTAGCAGCAATCTTACGGGAACGACGTTTCCTGGTGGGGTATGACATTTATATCTAACCAGCCTAATCAATTGTGACTACATTTCCGGGTCCTGGTGACTTTCTCTAATCCTTCAGGGCAAAATGGTGTGTTCTGAAAAAACACAATATATTAATTGTACGTATTAGCTTTACTACTTTTCCCCGCACTTTGTATTTATCTATCTCTCCCCAGAGATCTATCTCTTCTTCTTTTAGGAAGTACGACCCATTTTTGGTCAGTTTAATAATAAAATACTGTCTCATACGAAAAACAAATCCTGTATATTGAATTAATAGAAGTTTGCGTCCTGAATTTAGACTTGACAATAAAAAAAATTGGTCACAAATACATTATATCAATAGCAAGCTATGTAGAAGATCATAAGTTGTCGTCATTATAATGCGACGCAATATTGTTAAAAACTTTACTATTTATTGACCTGTTACGCATATCATGCCTTTCTCTTTCTTTCACCTACCTATATTCCCAGAGTTTGAGAGCACCAGCTGGTAAGTAATCCCCACTGCCTCTTTTTTTTTGCAAAGCACAGCAAAATTTTTATACCAATATTCTGTATCCTTAGGGACCAGATATAATCGAAATGTTGACTCCCACCACGAAATGGTGTCCCCCTAGAATTAGCGTACCAAAAAAACAAAAAGCCAATAAGGTCTAATTCACTCAAAGAATTAAACGATGCTGTTTACTAAAAAAGAAATTAAACGAAGAGCAAACATGTCCTGCCTATGAATGGTTAAGAAGTACACTTCTGGATTACTTGACGCTTTTCAAATGGGGTTATCTACCTCTTACCGATCAGCTAGAAGGTGACATGATGAGACGTGTATGGAGGTTTATCGATACAGTTTTTTATGATTCTAAGATCACGTGTAGAGGGTGTATACAGGATGTGCTTCCAGCCTAATTTTATTTGGTTATATACTTATTGTTTTTCTCTTGCATAATTAAGAGCTAAAATGCCAAGCAGATCATCATCAGCTAATATAAATACAAACAGAACCTTGGTCGGAATGGAAAGAATGGAGCGAAAGGCAATGGGTAGAAAACTGGATTTAGTTTTTTACCGCCAACTTTTTGAATACGGATGTTATGAATGTGGTAGAAGAGAGTACCAAGCAAAGAAGCTCCTTCATGGCTCTAAAATTGCAAAAGTATTGAAAGATATGCTGTATTCATTATATCAAAGAACTCCTGGTTCCCTACGTGAATTAGCCCTTGCTGGACTTTTACTTTTTGGTAAGTAAAATTATAGACATACTTTACACTTTTTTTTGCTGATATCTTTTTTATCTTGTACTATGTGACTCACCAGTTGGGCGTGTCTGTAGTATCAGCCATAAAAGAAATCTTGATTTAGCAGAAGAAACAGATGCTATTTGTACTGCATTGTTGCCAATATTAGCAGCTGTTTACAAGTCAATAGTAATGATGGAAAACACCAACAAGCTTGCAAAGCAAAAGCTGGTGGATATTGACCTTGACCTTGACCTTGACATTGATCAGTGCAAGACAATTTCCTAGCTTTACAAGTGAAGGATGTGAGAGAAAAAGAAAAAGAATGAGTGATTCTACTGAAGAATAACTTGGTCACCATGCAAAATAAGGTCAAATGTAATCAATTTCAAACCAAAGAGGATTTATCAACAAGAATCACTGAGGATTGCAATAATTTTCCTCCAGGACATCTTCGAGCATTTTCATAGCACTTGGTAGACATATTTGAAGATTGCTTAAAAGGCAATCCTATCTAATAAAATGTCACAAACAATTGTAAAAAAAAAATATCTACTGAGGACCGAAGAGACCGCCCTTTGAGAAAACAGTAGCCGCCCTTTGGAAAAAAAAATCCGTCTAGAGAATGTAAAAGTCCGCCTTTTCATGTAAAACCCCGCCATTTAATATTGCGCAAACTGTACACAAACTGTCGACCTATATAATACAATGATTATAAATTTTGAGCCACTTAGTTTATGTAAGAGATGTATAGATCTTTTTATTTAGCGTAGAGTGTGACTATGCTGTTATTTCGTTGTTTCCTGTGATAATTCTTCTTGTGCACTTAAATCAATAGTTTCCCACTCATCTTGCAGGGATTCTTCTAACTTCTTCAGGGTTGTTGGCTGGCAATGCCTTGGGCGTACAAAGTGGTCAAAAATATTCCAGGTGTTCTCGATTCTAATAAATAGAGACTTTTAAGGACACTCGAAAACACGTATGTTGAGGGCTTTCTATTTTATCCATCATCTTTATAATAAACACCTTGTGTAATGTGGCGTTATTTTTTTAAAAAATAAATAAATAAATAAAAAGCAGTAATTTTAATAGGGTCCTTGTGTGGCAGTATGTGTATGTGTATCATATAATTACACACACTTTTTTTTGCAGCATTATATATATATATATATTACTATTCAGACAGACAAAACGACCAATGTTTCTCAAGGTAGACTCTTGACATCGTTATCAATTATCAACTTCTTTGTAGCCTTTGTCTTTGTAGGAAGTTATCTGCGTGCTACTTGTGATCTAGGATTTTTCTATATATAATATATATTGTTTTTCCTGTTATTATTATTTTGGAAGAATAAATAAATGGGTAAACTGGGATTCATTATTTCAAATCACAGTCTTCTACTTTCATTTTTCAGTCCATTCTTTCTTTCTTTTTTATATATATATTTTGGTGGAGCCACATTAATCTGTATTAGGAAATGGCTGTACAAATTCAACACAGGTGTTTCGAGTTTTAGTTGTATAAAGCTCCGTGATCAGTACTCTAAAATATGAATACCGATCATCTCTACTTTGTAATATCTATGAAAATTTGATGTCGCTTTCTTACGATGTTTTGAATGTTTTGGGATCTCTATGGAGTTCAATATTTGCCTTTTCCATTGAGCGAGTCCAGTATTTCACAGAGCTGGTCGTATTAGACATCTTAGACACTAAAGCGAATTGCTCTCATCTTTGTAATCTCATGCCAGACATTCTCATCAAGAGACATTCCACCTTTGTGTATTTTTATAACATTTATAGTCTATTAATTGAAGACTTGTTATATTTTCCGAGAGGCGACTTGTTTCTTATTCTTCTTCTTTTTCTTCTTTAGTGTGTAAATGTGAAAGATGAATGTTTGCAGGCTTAAAGAATAGGAAAAACGAAATTAGATAACGTGTCAAGAAGAACAGTCGGGGGTTAAACCATGAAATCAGGTTTCCTAATGTTCTGCATATGATCAGCTCGCTACAATCAGACCTTTATATTAATTTTTGCTTATGTATGTATATTTATATGTATATACTTATGCAGTTATTGATTTGGGAACAAATTAGATAGTATAGGTTAATATTGACCTATTAAATACTATAGATGTAAATCCAGCCAAAGTAGAACGAAGGAACAAACACACAGGAAACACAGGTATAACTATAACTAAAATTATATATATAATTTAAAAGGTCAAACAGACAAACAAACCGTATGTACCTATAGTTTAGATTATTTAGAGATCTGTATTTGTTCTCACGATAATAAAATAAAAGCACATGCAAAGGGGCGTAAGATATAAGCTGAATTGGCTGTGTAAAGTATTGCAAATTGATTTGTAAGAGAACCACGTTTTGCTTATTCACAAATTTGTTATTAGGCACTTATATTATATCTAATATATTTTACCAAGTCTGGCATTTGCTGTAATTATGACAAAAACAAAAACAAAAATAAAACAAGGCACTTTTTTTCTTCTTCTTCTTTTACTCTGTCAGATTTAGCTTCGAATTTCATCATATATTATGTATTGTATGTATATATACATATCTATATTTCTCTTTATATATACAGAGTAAACACTACATACTACATACTGCCTACATACGTACATAATTTACACACTGTTGTATTAAGCAAACTTATGTAATTTTTATATCATTTTGGTCAGTTTTGCAAAATTCAACATTTATTATATACACAAAAAAAGCCACCCAAAACAAGTACTTGTTAATAATACAAAAAAATACAAAAAAAAAGAGGGTTCTGGACAGAGCTTCGAAATTGGAAGGGTAGTGGAACCACTGATGAGGCTGCAGTGTCTTCTTTTTTTTTTTTCCTTAATTTAAAACGAAATTTCTCTTTTTTGTTTTTAGCTGTCCTACCCTTTTTCCTTTCTCTTCCTTTCTTTCGTATTTTTTCAAGTTTTATCTATTAGAAGACGGTCTACAAAAGAAGTAGACTTTTTTTTTCTTTCTATCTTATATCCACTTTAGATATCTTTAGTCTTCCTTATCGATTGCTATATTGATATCTTTGGAGACCATAGAAGAAAAAAAAGGATATAGATATATATATATACATACATACACACATAGAATATATAATTATGAACCCTTTTGTACCAACAGGGGTAGACTACCCGCCACACATCGATATCGAACCCGAATCATCCCAACATGATATTTATACATCCTATGAAGGCCAACAATACTTTACGTCCCTCACGCCACAAAACTTTCAGCCAGTCCAAACCGCACCTACCCATATACTTCCTCATCCGCAGCTCCAATTACATATGCCTTCTCAAAACATTCAACCACAACCTCCCAATATGCCACCTTTTGTACCCGATTTTGGGTCGCAGATTAACCCCAATATCGGCACTAATACACCTTTAACTTACGACTATCACGATCCTTACACAATCGAAGACCAAGTAAACGTTCCTTTATCCTTGTCCACCTATCACAATCAACCGACCGAGTCTTCGGTTAACCAGCCCCTCAAGGCCGAGACTGAATTTAATCCGATCATGGGGATTGATATGTACCCGCCCTCAGACTATAATCAAACGCTTGACACTCAAGTCTGGGTATCTAACCAAGCGCTTACAGATATTCAACCTTCTTTCTCTACTTCTACTCCTATTACTTCTTTCGGAAGCAATTTTCCAAACGCGATAACATTCTCCAATGATGAGCGGTAAGTTTTTCTGTATTTTTATATCATTATCATTATCACTATCACTATATATTATTATATATATAAACGAGTAAATAAAGGAGAGAAGAAAAAAAGAACAATCCAATGTCAAAGTACCACAGACACAGACATATAGACACACGCATGCTTGTGTGAGCGTGTGAGCGTGTGAGTGTATAAGTAGATGTATGTACGTATGTACACATAAATATATATATATATATATATACATATATACATCTATATCTATATATATACATTTAGATATACAAACACCAAAATAAGAATTGTATAATTAAGCACGATTTATTAATATATATATTTTCGAAACACGAGTAGCTAATAAGCCGTGCTATATTCTGTAGAAATTTTGAGCTTGTCGTTATTCAACAGCCTTTGCGAGCTCGTATGTGTGGTTTTGGTGACAAGGACCGTCGACCGATTTCTCCACCGCCTATTCTGCAACTTTCAATCAGAACAAAAGATGGTCAAGAGATTAATCCTGAGTAAGCATAAAGTTTATATTGCCGTTACAAGCATCATTAGTTTTTTTTTTTAAAAAAAAAAGAAAATACATAAAATAAGAAGCACGAAATATTTATAGTCAAACATGCTCAGCTAAAATATTCCTCGCGTCACTTTCCTTTTTCTATTATTTTAGAAACGTCAATGTCTCTTTCTTTGTCGTTTTGTGCGATAGTTGGTTAGAAGATGGCAAGACTGAAGCAAATCTTGTATATCACTCACTTGCAGTATCTCAGATCGATAACCTCACAGGTGAAATATCACAAACTGTCAAGATACGCAACATGGTCGGGTCTTCTGTAGCTTCGGCAACAAAACTTTATGACGCTCAGGGAAATCTAGGTATCTATTTTGTTTTTCACGACATAAGTTTCAGAAGCGAAGGTCGGTTTCGACTCGGATTTTCCTTTATCGACATTGGCACGTAAGTAGCTTAGCACAATTTCTTTTTTCGTTTTTCTTTCTTTTTAAGGACAAGTATTAGTATGGGTGAGTTTTAATGGGGTTCTCATTTGACGTTTCATTTGGTATTCAATTTGTATTTATTTATTTATTAATATTTTATAGATCAATATTTTCTGAAAATTCTGTTCGCGACAGCCAACAGGTCTCCATTCAGCCAAAGCCTGCCCTAAAGAAAGTATTTACAAACCCATTCACTGTCTATACAGCAAAACAGTTTCCGGGTGTAGCTCGTGAGTGTTACTACTACTTTTGCTTAGCTGATAAACTAATACTTGTTGATTTATACGTAGAGTCAACTTTATTATCACAATGCTTTGCTAGACAAGGCGTCAAAATTCCTATTCGTAAAGACACAAAACCAAAGCAAAAATCATCAGAAAGGAATCAAGAATATCAATACAATATCAAGTCAGAGGAAAATGAAGAATGGTGAAATAGAAGGAAAGAAGGGAAAAGAGAGGAAAATCATTAACAAATTCAAAAAAAAGTGTATTTATTATCTTTATGATTTATTAGTACTTTTATTATTAACATTATTACGACAAATTTTGGTATCTTGCGCATTTTAACTATCAAAAAATATTTCTATTTCTATATGTATTATTATTATTATTATTATTATTATTACTAGGCTACAAAGCTTGATTGAATCAACCTTGTAATGTAAACTTAAACCTTCAATTCTTTATGTAACAAAAAAAAACATTTTTTGTGATTTATAACGCTTACCCGATGCTGGGAGACGTAATATATATAGCATACAGCACATGTACTGTCTGTGCCTATTCTATAACTCACATTCTACTTTGTGGGCAAAAAACTTGGTTTTCGGCTTAATCAATAACTCTTATAAGCAGTATATTATGTTCTTTTATTATTATTATTGTGTAATTTTGCTTTAGTGAAAGCGTATATTTTATAACCCTGTTTTGGAAATTGCATAAAGTACCATAAATTGACTTGTCACCATCAAGTTATTCACATACAATAAACTTTGTTTTGTGTGCTGTGCGACGCATCGGATGGTTAACCGAGGGAGACAGAAGGATTTGGAAGGTTTGCAGTTCTATCAAGATTACTACATCGTCTTTTTTGTAGTGGACCTGGATTTTAAATAATTTATATTTTAATGTGTAATCTAAAATATGATCTTATTAACCTCGATCAATTAATCCTAAAATGAAGATATGTAATCTAGCTGGGTTTAAGGATCATAATAGCCAAATAGCCAAAAACAAATATATAAAACAAGAAAAAAAAGGAAAAGAGTTAGGAAAATTATGTATGAATATGGTATTTGTGTGTGTGTGTGTGTATTTGTCATTGTTCAACACTGATTATATTCAGAAGCGTTAAAGTCATCAAATTCATGACTAATAAAATGTGAGCATGGTACCAAATAGAAGTATACCCAAGCTTCTCTTTTCTTCTTCTTTGCTCTCTTTAAGAACGTCAAAATTGTACTCTTTAGTCAAGTATTATTAAGAAAGGAAAATTCAGGGCTTCGTGTCAAACTCATGGTGAATTATGGCAAATATACACTTATCATTCTATATTTATAGCTTCTCATTATCATTTTTCAGTTCACAATAAACATTCTGAACAACCCCGTTTTTGTACGACAGAAAAAATATGGTGGCTGTGGTTATTTTCATGACACACCTTCCCAACACTCCGATGGTCTTTCCAGATATTGTTTGAATAAACAAGTGATACATCTCTTATGACATAACCACAATAATAACATCTATTGTAGCCCAGGATAAAAGCACTCGACCACCAATGCAATTTACATGTGTCCTCATTTTCTTCAATTTGTTTAAGCCACACTATTGTGGCGCAAGCTACAATAGAACAATATTATCTTTTCAACAGAAAAGAAGAGTAAAACATAAGAGAGCTTTAATCATTAAAAGATGAAAGAAAAAAAAGGAAGAATTTTTTTTATATATAATTCCTTGTTGTATTCCAACCTTCTTCACCACTAATATCGAATGAATAGCCTACGTACTCTTTCTTTTTCTTAAACAATACATGCTCCTCCATGATCGTTGGGTATACCTTTAAATCTTTGGAGACTTTGCACTCGATCATTCTAGTGGTGGGCTCCGAAATATAAGTTGCACAATAGAATAAATCTCTGCTCTTTATTGACTGTTTTACGAGAATAATATATATTAGATTTTTCTAAATGGTTTAACCTATAATACTCTGCCCTATAACATAACACACATATATATATCAGCACATTAACTATACTCTTTAAAACGCAAAGGTACAAGTAAACATGCCTAAAACAAAAGAAAAAGAGAGCCTACTGTGGTTTGTGTAACATTTGTATATAACAGGTAATAGTTATAGTACTTGATTTCTCCAAAAAGTATGTATCCGGAATTTTTTTTTCTGTAGTAAGAACCTTTATTTTATAATGCATCATATATATTGACAGCAGCCTTTCAAAACGCAGGAGTCCAAGTGAACGCACTCAAACTGAAAAGAAGAATTATGTAATAGTAATAATGTGTAAAAATGAAAAACAAAATGACCACTACCAAGACGTAAAATATGTGTATAGAGAGGATATTAGGTCAGAAAACTTTCTCATTTTGAATCAATGATATACAATAAAACACATTTATAACACATTAGTAAGCCTATCTTTGGGATTAAACTTGATATATAAAAATATAAAAATATATAGATATATAGATATAAATAAATGCTGGTGGTGGAGTTCAGAGTTGTATTTTCCGTATTATGCATAAACCATGAACGCTTGTTTTTTGTCGGCGACAACTAAAGAATAAACTCTCTCCATTATACACTTCTCTAAAATCAAAGTATTGGATCTCGTCACCACTAGATCAATAGTGCAAGTTCATGGTCAATAATGACTTCTCTAATCCTCTTGGTAATTTCATAAAAAAAAGCAAAAACAAAAACAAGAGATGCAGTCGACATCATTGGCATTATTCGGTGCTAACAACATATATATATATGTGTGTGTGTGCTTACATTGCACATCTCCATGCTGAAATCGCAAATTACTCAAGAATCTTGTGTAATTGAAACGTTTCTTGAATCATGAAACAAGAGATCTGAATCTGCTGAGCAAATTAATGCTGTAAAGAAAAAAAGTTTTTTCTTACACAGATCTTAAGCGTGAAAGCTGTTGATTATATATTTAGCTGTTTTCGCGAAACATTGGATTTTTTTTGGTGAGATTCCTTGATTTACGACTTCAAAGAGTATCTAATTCTTATAGAATTTGGTGAGTTTTGCTTGTTTGTTTAAATGATAGAAAGTGTTCAAGGAGCGGAGTTCCTATAATTACAGTCTATTTCCTGAGTTCCTTGGAGGAATAAATGGTAGAAAGCATTGTAACCTTGGCTTTACAGCTCCATTTCAAAAAAAAAGTCATGATATAAAATTTAGATTGTAGTTTTACTAACGTACTTTGTATATAGTTCATCTGTGCTGGGTTTAAGAAGTTCTTTATCAATATAATAAGCATTTAAACATGTAAAAACTGAAGATTATAAGGTAAGAACAAAGGACTGGCAAGAGTAGACTACATTATTTAAAAAAGTCAAGAAAAAAAGTATAATGGGCATAATCAGATCTATAAATTTTGCTACGAAGCCCTTTTTGTGCTACTTTTAGTGTCAGTATTGAGTATTTTAGAAGATATAAAAGCTGTAGTATGTATAAAGCTAGAAAATGAAGAGCTATATACAAATCCTATGCGCCCTGTATTTTACATATTAAGAGGCTGTATTACTTATGTAAAGGAGTTATTTAACGTATTTATAGTTTTTATACTTAAACTTTGAATGTCATTAGTTTTTTTTTGGATTAAGCAAAAGAAAAATCAGATAGAAAAGAACTTTGCTGAAGACGAATGAACGGAGACTTTTCTCTCTTAAAAAAGCGAACATATTAATGTTAAAAAACTTGTACTGGATCTTGGATTAGTGCAGCCATAACTACACAGTCTTGTTTTTTTAGTAGCAGACTAACGTGCACTTAATCTGCAGAATATCTCTTGTCTTCTTCCGTTCTTTCCCAAGCCAAAAAGAACATGTCTAAGTTTTGGGGTGGCGGCCATACAACGGTTTCAAGGGCGATAGAGAGAAGACTGGGTATCACCCTAAGTAGATTCGATCACGGACATTAAGCATTGTTGGTTTTTGCACCTGGATAAAGATTGTATATCTTATTATCTTATTCATAAACATACATATATGACTTTCATATAAAAGCATTTATCTTAAAAGGCTGTGGAAATTTACTATAGGATATTTTCTTCTTCAGAATGGTATAGGTTTTTGAATTTTCTTAAATTTTCCAAGTTCACCGTCTTGACAAGCAGGGCACAGACTGGAAGCCTTGAACTCATCAACCAAGTATACCTAGAAGCCTCTCTTTTCTGGAATTATATGCATTCAGATACCTCTGATGGAGTCATGATAGTTACTTTGTCCGGCCAACCAATTGTCAAGTATCAGTACAGCATAATTTCCGAACCTTCTTCTACTATTGTTGGCCAAGCGTTTGTCTCCATGGGCTTTCATCACCTTGGAATTAATATCCATAACCCTTCTTTATACCACTTCTTTATCCAAGTAGAGAATAACGGAATCATTCAAAATAAAACATTTTAGAATACGCTTATATACCGTCATATAATATGGTATATAGCCCTTTTGTAATGGAAAGAAATTCTTCGGGGATGCCTTTAATATTCCTTGACGAGATAGCCTGCTTGATCTTGTTTATCCTCTTTATTATTAGTTTCTGCGGCTGTCGCAATATTTTTCTTGCTTTCCTTATTCTTATTCATACTACTCCCCGTCGTCTTGATCCTTTACATATTTTTCAAGAGCAAGTTGAAAAATATTCGAATTTTATTTCCATATTGAAGCTTGATCCCATGTAAATAAGTGGTAAGGATCTTTGCTGTTTAGTAAGAAGCTATTTGATGAGCATATTTCATGTCGGCTGGCTCATACGAACAGCACTAAAATTACTGGACTTGATAGTTGGGTATTAGATACCTGTAAGCTGTTGATTTTGTCGAAGTCTTCATTAATAAGATCCTATAAAGGAAATTCAGGTTCGTTTCGCAGCTTATAGAGGAATATATACCTTAAAAAGGTGAATTTATGCGATACTAGGGTGTGGGCGTTGGCTACAGGTTTTATAAGTTACGGAACATATTGCAGCTTCAGTTCTATACCAGTGATTGAACTTTTAAAGGGAGTTCTAGGAAAGAATGAAAGAAAGACAAGTTGATACATTTTTATTTTTCATGCTAGCTTTAATTATTGCCTTTTATATGACATTGTTATATTATAATTTCATCAAATAATCTTCTGTTGAATCTACCTTGTTTCTTTTGTGAATAAGCTTTTCAGTTTGAACACACCAAGTGTACGCTTAATCTTACCGTGCTTTTTTTTCTCTCTCTCTCTTGGGTATGTGTTTACACTAGTCTCATTTATTTTTAAAAAATTGACTTCTCGTTCGTCTTAAATCAAATTCTTTTCTGCCTGGATTTTTTTCTTCATCCAAAAAAAAAACTAACATCGCCTGGATTTTAAGTGGAAACACTGTAATCAAAAGCAATAATACACTTACTATAAGTTTTTTTTTTGCTTCAAGACAAGGATTACAAAAAAGAAATAATAAAAACTTCTCCATGACGTTGTATAATAAAGGTTACAAGGCTTAGCTACCGCACCCTGTGGTTTATAATTTCTGATCAGCACGTTTTGCTTTATGGGGATTCTATATGTGTAAGTGTGTGTATATACTAAAACTTATTAAAAGAAAAAGTCATTTGTGGCTGTGGCCTTTGTCTTTAATTACAAATTAACCGCATCAAATGTTCCCATAGAAACTATTTTTCTTTAAAATAACAATAATAATAATCGAACATCATCAAGATATTGTAGGGACTACACTGTGTTCATTCTACAAACCGGGAATTACATTAAAAAATTAAAAGCAATAATAACATAAAGTACTAAATACCATCAAGCTTTTAATACTTTCAAATATTAACAAAGAGAAGTTAGAACAAAAAAATTGCTTTCTGTACAAACGATTTTTCTATTTTGCTATATATATATATAATTGACCAATTTCAATAGCTATAATATTTTTACTTATCCATTTAATAAATACACCAAGTCGTACTAAAGCAAAATTTCCCCCTTGTTAAATTTTTGTTCACTCTCTTTATAAAAGAAAACAGGGAGGAAGTGTGGATGTAGATGTGAGAAAAGTAGAAATTGCATAATCATGTATTTCAAACACCACTCCTCTTTTTTCTTACCAAATACACACACATACACACACACATTTGAATTTTACTACATAGGAATTTAACTAAAGGTGTCAGTCAAAAGAAAAGAATACCTCTTATATTCTCGTATATATGTCTAAATGTGTGTGTATTACTAAATAGACTACAGCGGTTTCCATGACAACTACATCCGTTGGCAAGAGTTGATTTTACACACTAAACAACCCGTTGCCATAGAGATCCGAGTTTCTTCATTACTTACCCACAAAAGGAAACTGTATTGAATCACCGAATATAACCAGCATTCCCCTACTCCACTCAGTTCTACCTTACTCAACTCTACTCTACTCTACCTTACTCTACTCTACTCCACTCAACTCCACTCAACTCATTTTGTTGTATTCCTTTGCTCCTCCTTTTAAAATTGGCTTGAATCGGGTATTGCCTCAGGAGACATATGTATCTTGCACACCCTGTCATAATATTCGTTGAGAAACAAGCAACAGGCCAAGAATAAGAAGGTTTGGTGATGATCTTTTTCCGGAATCACAGTGGAACATGTGCACCTCTATTTTTTTTCAATATGATGTACTAATGATGGTTGGTTCTCCGCTAGTTTGGACAGCGAGCCCACGTTCTCGCACTTTGTTCAAACCTCTTCTTTATTTTCTTTCTTTCTTTCCTTGTTATCCCTCACCCTCTTACCCCACTTGTGGCCCCTATTTCTCCCTTATTAGTCGTATTCTTTATCTAGATTCTCATTTGATTATTTTCCACTATTACTTGATTTGCCTGTCTTCCTTTATTTATTCTTTAAAAATATATATACATACATATACACATACATACTCCATTGAGTGATTGTGCATGTCTTCAAAAGGTCCTAAAGAAAAGTCATCGAGCCAAAAGTTTTGGAAAAAATTTGGCTTGGGCAAGAGTAGCAAGCCATCACACCCTTCTCCAGGCAAGCTAATTTATACAGACACACATATATCTTTAGCGTATAGACATAAAGACATGTAAACTTGACAATTCATTGCTCATTTCATTAGGTCCGTCAATAGCTCCTGAACCAATACACGATGATCATTACGACGATGACAGATCGATCAAAAGCAAACGCTTGAGGTAATTACTCTTTTTCTTTACTTCTTTGTTTTGCTGCTATTTCTATTTGTTTGTAGTACCTTGTAGTCTCAACTGGAATGTTTACCTTAATATTACTTTATTATTATTTTATTTTTATTTTTTTTAAAAAAAAGTGGATTATTGCCCACAAAGCGTCAGAGCATGAGTTCATTAAAGCGACGTCAGTCCTCGAGCTATCCAGCCATTCTGGATGTACACCCAATGCCCGTACCGTCGTTTCCGCCAACAGAGCTAACTATAGCAAACCAGGGTAGTCCATCACATGGGGACTTGCCTAAACTCCAAGAAGTATCTCCAAAACACGTGGGGCGACTATCTGCAACCCCAACTACCTTTCCGGTCGAGCTAACAAAAAGTCTTTCAGCCGAGCCGAGCCCTGGGATCTCACAGAAACCAGAACCTATTCAGACTACGGTTGTCATGCCGACCACACCTGGACCTACATCTATATCTCCTGTGACAGGTAAGAAAGTGTAGTAATAGAAGAAGTGGAATAAGTAATATTTTAAGAAATATATTAATAATCTTATTTTAATTTAATTTTTTTAATTTTATTTATTAATGAATCAACATCTTTTATTTTTTATTTTTTTATATTAAATTATATTACATTGTATTATATTATACTATTGTTTATTTTATTTTTCATTGCAGATCAAGAATCACCAAAACCACTAGAAAAGTCAGAAGAAAAACCGGTCTCGATTATCCCCGAACCCACTGTGGCAAGGTTGCGAGAAAAAACCCGTCCTCGATATAATTCTAACCCCACCAGACCTGGTATTCCTGTGCCTACAAGTCTCACTACTGGTAGTAGACTAGCAACACTCGGAAACAGTACGACCACAAATACAGTAAAAAAGAACTCCCCGAAATCAGACGACGAACAATCGCAGCAACAGCAACAACGTCCAAAAATCCAACCAACAACTTCAAATGATCGTGTACCTCGTCCTGCAGCCAACAAAAGCACACAATCCCAGCCCTCGGCATCCACCAGTGGCGCCACTTTAGGGTCAGTTAGCTTAGCTACCACACCTACCACACCGACACAGAGCTTAATACCATCTTCGCCAGTGCCAGCACCAACACCAACACCAGTACCAGTACCAGCACAAATACCACCAGCATCAACCAGCATTGGGACAACAAAATTGAGAAAGCCAACCCAGATTACTGTCCCACTAGCCAAAATTACACCACCGCTACGCAGTAGCCGAGCATCAACTCCAGCTAAATCTTTGGATGGAGGCTCGGCTAGAAATAGTAAAGTTCCGGCTGAATCAGAAGACAAACCTCCTAAAGAGCCAGACGTGCTGCCACCACAGACGACCGTACCAGGAGAAGACGAACTAACCATTAGCCAGTTGCAGGAGGACCTAAAAAAGGAGCGCTCGGTGGTACGAGTCCTGCAGGGACAGAAAGAGGGTAAGTCAAAATTGGGTTAATTTTTTATTTTATTTTCTGAAAATGACGTTTACAGAATCTAATTATACACATCTTTAAAAATGGAAATAAAAATAACATGTCATATAATCTTGCAGCTATTTCCAAAGATCTTGATTATTTCAGTATGACAGTTGATGAGCTTATGGAAGAGAAAGAGATGTTCCTACAGCAGTACGAAGAAGAAAAAGTAAATATTTTCTCATACACATGTACATGCAAATGCAAATGCACATACTTATATTTATATAATATTGAAATTAATATTATCTTATTTTAGCTTAAAAATCAAGCGAAAGAAGCTGATTTGGCCATGTTGCTTGAAAAGTTAAAAGTCGTTACAGATAACGCAAGGTGTGATTTCATAGCCTAGACAAAATAAGACTGCTTGCTTTACTCACTCTGTATGCTGTTTTAGAGACAAGACCTATGAAGCTGATCAGTCAAGGCAAGACCTAGAGGTAAATAGTGAATAATTAATAATATATACTGTATATGTTATAGATTTCTAAACACGCATGCACGCATGTATGCGTGCATGCATGTATACATATTTACCTATTTTATCTAATGGATTAATGAATATCTGTAGTATTACCAGAGAATAGCCGAAGAAGAAAAGTCTGAATTATACAATGCCCTTTCTCTCAAAGATCAAGCATATGATCGCCTCAAGGTAAATTCAAACTTAAATAGATAGAGAAGTATATGCGCTTGTACGTATAGTTAGATACTTTATGTTTAAACAATTTGATATAGTCTGAATATAGCCACGCACAAGAACAAATCCTAGCACTCAAATCGACAATGGAACAACTGATCAAGGCCCAGGCGGCCAGGCCAGATGTCATGTCAACCGACACTGCAAGGTAAAATTTATTTTATTTATACATATATATATATGTATGTATGTGTGTATTATAATTTGAAGATCATGCCTAATAATGACTCCAATAAAAATAAAAAATAAAAGGTCCTCTGCACCATGGATATACACACCCAGTGCTTCACCCCATATTCAACACGCCCATGTAGACTATCCTACTGATATTTATGAGTCTCACTCTAGTAGTATGGGCAAGGAAGGATTGTCCGCAGGATTTTTTATTCCTCACAAAAAGACTACATCACAGGATATTCACCCTATTTCGAGCTGTGATTCTGTAAAGAGCCACTCGGGCGTGTACAGCACCACACACTCGTCTAATACTACTGAATCACACGATATTGAGACTGCTGAACCCAGGAAACCGTTACTGGATAACAACCTGGATGATCAGTTGATGGTATTGACGAAAGAAAAGGAAAAGGCAAGTGTGTTATATTTTTCTTTTTTAAAAAAAGAACAACTGAATCTGTTTTATTCTTCTTTCGTTATTTCTCTGTGAGTGTGTGTACTAATACCTTCTTTTTGTACTAGCTTCAGTCAGACTATAGCAAAATTCCATTAACTGGAGGAGGACCAATGTCTCGCAGAAGAAAGGAAGAATTGGAAGAGATGTTGGATGAAGTAGATTCTCAACTAAGCAAGGTTAAACAAAAGATCCGTCGCTCCTAAATTTCCAAAACAGGAAACAGAAATCTACCTATCACAAACAACCCAAAAAAATCAGAAAATTAACGATATATTTTAACACTTCCCGTCCTTTCCCCCCTCACAGTCGGACAACACACGCACCACACACGCACAACAATCCTTTTATCTTTATACCTTGTTTCTTCTTTCATTCTTCTTAAAAGGAAAGGACATATACATACACATGCGCTTCACGTCACCCAAAAAAAATTACACAAGACAAACATTACATTTACATCAACAACATTTATTATACATATATTTATACATATTTACTCTTCTTCTTCTCTCCCTCTCCTTCTTCTAAACAACGATTTTTATACATCTTTATATATACATTTATATATATATATATATAAGTTTATAAATATTTTTAATTTATAAAAAAAAATCAACACATATTTACATTTATATATTATTAAAGAAGAATAATCCTGAAAACAAAATATCAGCCATGGCTTCCTTTTTTACAATTTTTATTCTAGCCAATAGTGATCGGTAAAGATGTACAAACTATCTTGCCTCTCTCATGGATTTTTTTTCATTGGGTTTTATACAAGCACAAACACACATAAACCTACACATAAACCTACACATATACCAATGTATGCATTTATGTGTGTATGTGTGTATGTGTTTGTGTATAAAATAGCACATACTTCTGTTTCTTTTTTCATCTTTTGTATTTAAACAGAAATATATATTACTTTTCTTTAATAACCAAGGGCAGCAATGGAAGCATTGACAGTCTTGAGGGAAGCAGCCTTGGACTCAACAGCCTTCTTCTGGATGGCGATGAGGGCAGCCTTGCGCTCGTAGTAAGCAGAAGACTTGGCCTTGCGCTTATCCTCAAGCTTGGCAACAACATCCTGGTACTTCCATCCGACCTCGTGGGAGATACGGCCAAGGGTGGTGAACTTGCGTCCAGGCTTGAGACGGAGAACACGGAGAGCATCGGGGATGACCATGCGCTTCATGCGATCGTAGGGAGGGGGGACACCCTCGAAGACCTTGATGCGGTCAAGAGCGGCAGCACCACGAGCGGTCTTGTGGGGAACCATACCACGCATAGCCTTGTAGAGGATGCGGGAAGGAGCGCGGAAGTGGAAAGGACCACGACGGGGGTTGACAACACAACGCTTGTTGAGGTAGGCGTGGTACTTCACTATACACACACAAAAGTATATATTATTAATAATTAATTTATTAATTATTGAAAATTTTAAAAAGATAAGAATCAATTATATACATATTAAACCTCTTTTATTTCAACCTCCCAAAAAAGACATTGCTTTCTTAGTTAGTTATAAATTGCCTTCCCATTTCTATTTCTCCCATATATAAAAGATTTGCATCGCTGAATGCCACAGGACGGTTTTTCCTTTTAATAAGAAACTTACGCTTGTTACGGAAGAATTCACCAGAGACGTTGAGTTCCTCGCAACGGACAATGACGACCTTCTGGCCGTTGAGAGCCTGCTTGGCGACAATGGAGGCGAGACGACCGAGGAGATGACCCTTACCATCAATGACAACAACCTAATGCAAGTTCAAAAAAATTAAGTATATAATATATATACACATATTATATTTTATAACTTTAAAAAAAAAATCTCAAAGACACTATATTCACACACATATATATGTATGTGCACGCAATACTAGCGATAACAATAACATCCCAATCAAAATAGACTTTGTGGTTACCTTTTCAAAAGTCGACATTTTTATTTATTTATTTGTACAGGGAAAGAGGAGGAACCACTTGATCTCCCAAAAGGATGTTTTTTTTTTCAGTCTCGCGGCACATGTGGCTTGGCCCGAGCAGAAGGGGGTTCGACACAGTGACGTTTCGAAAATTTTTCAGTTTCAGGTACCGACTAATTTGTAATGAGCTTGCACAGTTGGTTTGTCCTGCATTTCACACAGATTGATGTGTCTGTGCGTTTCTCTCTCTCTCTCTTTCATTCTTTGTGTGTGTACTGTGCATAAAATCTTCTATTTATATTTCCTTACTTCCTTTGTTTTCTTAAAGAAGTAGTAAGATAATTATATAAGTATGTATATATAAGGAACAATTAATCAATAAACACAATTAAAATGAATCAAAAAAACAAAAACAAAAAACAACAACGTTCAATAGCAATAATAATAAAGAAGAGTCTAGTGAGCATGATTGATGTTTAGAAAAATTGGCAATAGCATGCCAGCCAGTACAGTTGCCATATGAGTTCGTCCCAATTTGTCGGATGGTCGACAATGGGCTGACGCTGAAGGTTGAAGTTCCTGAAGAGCGTGCATAGCAACATAGAGAAAAGTACCACCAGAAAATAGTAGCAGAATTCCTGTCCAATAATCGAGATTACCAGGAGTAGCATTTGTTGGCAGTACAAGTAATGCCAGATAAGTTGTGAGCGCACCGACAGGTGCAGCAAGTGAAAAGATCAATAAATGTTTTCGGACCTTGTCACGGGACAATCCATCACCCAGTAATACGGTAGTGAGTGCAAATGCAGCCGGGGCTTTGTGGAGCATAATAGCAACAAATACAACCATTGACAGGGTGGGATGAGTTGCAGATGCACCAAGCGCAATACCGTCTGCCGCGGCGTGTACAATCAATCCAATTGTGGGGGTCATTGAACGCGTTTGGGCAGAAAGATTGGAGTTGGTGTTACTTGGGTCCGTAGAATCTGGAATTGTGTCAAGTTCATTGTATTCGTCTGATGGATGAGAAGCGTGTACATGAAGAGAGCTGACTTGGTCAATCAAAAACATCATTGCGAATCCAAGTACAAGTGTGATTCCTACTGCAGCATGGCTTGCTTCATCATGTTCTTGTCGTTTTGAGTGTGAATCACTAGAGAGATGGCGTTGACTGTCGTAAAGTGTTTCGATGCCTTCTGGAATAATGACGACCAATGCTGATCCAAGTAAGAGCCCGACACCAAGTGCAGTTAAATAGCGTAATTTGGCTTCGGACAGTTTTGTGGAAAGCGGAACACTGCCGGCTAGAAAGCTCCCGACCAGCATCGACAGACTCAGCAAAGTGAGCCAAACAAAAGGATTAAGCATATAAAAAAAAATGAAGGCTTTAATTAATTATAAAGGCAATCAAGCAAATAAGTGAGTAAGGAAGTAGACCAACAAAGAGGAAGAGAAGAGAAAGAAAGTAATGTATATTATATATAAATATAAGTGTGTGTATTTAAATGTGTAATTTTCGGTGGCAAAGAATTCTTGTCGTGAATCTTTTCTACAGATTTGCTAATTTTTTCTTTTTTGTACACTACACATACCACTTACAGTTTACATTAATGGAAAGGATGCATCTTGCAACCAATATTTTAGGAAACATTTTTTCCATTGGGCAAATATTTATATACTCAGCACATTTATTGGTTACTGGAATTTTTTTAAAAATTTCTTTATAATCACACTTATTGGCTGCTCTAATTAATTTCTGTAAAAAATGCCGTTCCTATTGGATACACCGGATAGAAAAATACACTAAATTTCCAAAAATAGGAAGTATTCACTTTGTATTCTTTATTCTTACTTTAATTTCAGCCAATTACATTGTGACCTTTTTACTCTTAAATAAAAATCACAATAACAGATAAAATATAGAGAAATGTAAGTTTGTTTGTTTTAACGCGACCTTTAAAGATTTCAAAAAAGAAATTACTATTGATAATGGAAACATATTCTCAGGAACTATCCTAAATGTATATATTGACAATATCATAGATGTCTTCTTTAGGGACGTATAGCCGTTTCTTTTTGCTATAGAATTTAACCAAAAACTTTGGAAATGATAAAAAAAAATAGAAAGCTGTATATATCTATCTATATATGCAGCTCCTACCTTTCTTTCTTTCTTCTCCACGTACACATTTTACTGAACAAATCCAACGATGTGGTAGTTTACTACAATATCCAATAAATATTCCAAAAAAAACATATCTGTTTCATTTATCTCTCTCTCTCTCTCTCTCTCTATTTTTTAATATAAAAACAACGCGCTTTTTTTTATTATACAGAAAAAGGGGGAAGGAAAAAAAAAGGTTTTGAGGATATTGAGGAAAGTGGACCTAAGAGTGGTGGTGATGGTGTGTGTGGTTCTTTTGGTTTTCTCTACCGCCAGTCGACAGACGTTCGTTCTGATCAACCATGGATGCTGCCTTGTCAGCAAACTGGAGAGCAAGGACCTGGAGTTGAGAAAGCTCAACTTGGTGTAAAACAATAACCTTGGAGACTTGATCCAGAGAAGCCGAAAGTTCTTCGTTAAGAATAAGTTTGGCAACAATGGCAGACACGCGAGTAGGCTCAAGAGCAAACATACTGGCAAGCTGTTCCAAACCAATGGTAGAGTAGTAAGGTGCGTAAGTGAACAAATAGGTGCGCAGACCTTCTTCCTGAATCTTCTGGACAAGCATCTCCTTGATTGCCTCGGTGTCCTGCATCAGATCCCACACCTTGATGGCCAAAATAGAGTCACGTGCACGTTCCCACTCACCAGAGGCCAATGCCTTTGCTGCACTCATAATGTGGTCGCGAGTGTTCTCAGGAGGACCTGAGAAGGGCTGACGCTCATTGTAGTCTAAAAGGCGCTTGAATGGTCTGGAGATATACTTCTTGGTATTGGGACCAGCCTGTGCCTGGGCAGGAATTTCCAACAGCATAGAGCAAGTCAAAAACACACACTCGAGCAATTCAAGGTTAATGTGCATGTGGAAAGGCAACTGGCGCTGGCGTTCAAGCTGGTCAACCTCGGGTGCAGTCTGTTGGCCATAGCGAGGGGTCTGGATACCCTGACCAAGCAATTCCTTAACACGTCCAGATCCCTGGATCTCTTGAAGAGCGGCGTGGGCTTCCTTGATAAGTCCTTCGCGGAATGCACACAAGCCAATCTGTACCATGGCACGGTTGTAGAGCAATTGGGTGGTGATATCTGCCTGGTGGATCGACTCCTGAAGATGGGACATCAGCAGCATGTCGCGTGCAGTGTAGAACTGTTTGTGGAGAGCAATGTGGTAAATGTGGCACAGCATGGCGCGTGTACGCAAGGCAGATGCCTTTTGACGGTACAGATAAGCACACAACTGATGGATCAATTCAGATGGTTCTTCAGAAGTAATGATTTTTGAAACCAGGTTCTTTGACAATAAATTGGCGGCTGAAGATTCGATGGATCGAATAACAACATCAGGCTAATAACACACAATTTCCATATTAATATTTATATGTGTATTAATATTTATATATCAGTTGGTTGATTAACTCGGTTATCTCTTTTTTATTTATTTCTTCTGTTTGCTCGCTTTGTTTTACCTTGAAGTAAAGATGGTCAATGCGACGCATCACGACTCTAGAGACAGTGTTATCCATGTTGTATTTCTCACCATAGATCTGGACACGGACCAACATGGTATATAATTGAGGCTCATCTCTCAGGCGATCAATGTAATCTGTGCTGTGTTGGTCAATGTTTTGCAGAGACTTTGTGAATTCATCGTCAAGACGCTCGATAAAGCTGACGATAGAGCCGCGCAATGCAACCACTTGTCCAGGGGCAGGAGTGATATCCTTGTCGTCTTCGTCAAGAGGTTCTGCATCTTCACGGACCACAAATTGAGGGTTCTTTTCCAAAGTCTCCAAAAGCAAGTTCAACTCTTTTTCGGCAGCCTTCCACACAGGAACAGGCAAAAATCCAGCCATGCTGAGGTTAATATCGAAGCGAGAAGAGATGAGTAGCAAAAGAACAGAGATAATTTGGAAAGGTGAACGAGCACTCTTCAACAGGCGCTGAAGAGTTACAATCTGGTCATCGCGATTGGTGTTCTAATACAGAGTAAACAGTAATAAACAGTAAGTATAAGAAAGTGCAATCCCTAACATACTTATGCACATTAACACACATACACACGTCTATTTATATATATTACCTTTTTACCACGGTTTTCAAGAACTTCCTTGAGAGTCGAGAAGAAATTATCGGCTGTAAGCTCAACCATACGCTTACCGCCCTTGCCAACTGATGTGAAACCATCATCTTCTTCCTCATCTATGATCTGAGCAACAGGTGCCTTGACTGGCTCGGGCTTTTCTTCGATAATTTCTTCTTCTTCTTCTTCTTCCATGAAAGCTTCAGGATCCTGAAAGTATACAATTTTTACAATAAAAAATTGTGTAATTAAATTAGTGATTAAATCAGCAAACAATAAAGGGATCAAAAGTTGAGATTGCAGTATTCATCTTGGTACAATATCTCTCATAAAACTCCAATTTTCTTATATCGTTCTTGGAAGAAGAAGAAAATAAGATCCGTTGGTGTACCTTGTTGTATTCGGCAACAAGATCTTCATACTGTTTGGTGATCTTTTTCATCTTTTGTTTCATCACGTTCATTGCCTTGCTGTTGGTGACATTAAGTTTCTTCTTGCTGTTTTTCGATTCTTGCAAGAGCGCATCGATATCGACAATAGTTTTGATGTAACCTTTGGGAACAGGAATACTATCGAATCCAGTGACAGCCTTGGTTACATGGAGAGAGAGTTTATCGAATTCTATAAATTGTACAAAATGTTAAAATACGAAGAGGGGTTTCTTTTTTTTAGTCTCTCTATCTTTGTCTGTATCTCTCCTTTTTTATACCCATATATGTATAATACACACACACAAGTGTATATTAACCTGTATTTCTTACCAGCCAAGATGCGTCCCCAGTCATTGTTCTTTTGACCACTCTCGATGGCCTTGATCGAGTTTTCCATTTCATCAAGACGTTTGTCCTTTTGAGACTTGACTTGGCGTTTACGGCTAAATTCGTCGTCTCCGGAATCGGAATCACTCCCAGTACCTTTCAAGAAGCGCGATTTCTTGGGCTGGGCTTCTCCAAGCTCTTCTTGTTCGACTTCGTCATCAGTGGACTCGTGGTCATCATCGGAGATGTAGGATTCGTTGTCGGATGACTCGCTGTCAGACTCGCTGTCAGACGCAGAACGGAAGAATCGAGACATATTTAAATAACTCAATAAAAGAGAATCCCACAGGAAGAAAGAAAGGAGAACAAGGGAGGGGAGGGGGGGGGTTCGTGGCGGAGCAAACAAAAAGTTTTGAGCGTGTGACGTGTAATTAAAGTAGCTTTGTCCCAAAGGATGAATATTATCAAATATATATATATATATATATATATTGGATACAATATATAATATGTATGCAGATATGAGCGTAAGTGTATGTGTGAATTTATTTCTTGTAAATCAAAACAAAAGTATTTGTTTTTTTTTTCGAATGTGAGTGGGTAGGTGAGTTGGTAGGTTATTGCGTGTAAATGTTTATAATGTATGTTATGCTATGCTGTATTATATTGTGTGAGTGATAATAATCTACTCGACTCTCATCATCATTATCACTATCATTATTATTCTTATTGATATTATTATTATTAGTATTAGTAGTAGTAGGATGATTATTATTGCTGTTGGTGCTGCTGCTGTTGCTGTTTAAGCTTTTGGTCTCGCTCAAAAACCCATTCTAACTCGACCACCTCCCGCCAGAGACTTGTGTCCTGACCAAAGGTAATTGCGACACTTGTCCGAGCAACATAGATCCACATACGAACACCATTCTCATAAATTCGCTCAAGACGTTTACCAATTCCTGTGAGTTCGAGTTGGACTAGCGAGTTCCAGCTCGCTCTGGCCAACACTAGGGTATGGTAGGTCACGGTCGGATGAAGAACAGGAAATATGAGTTTGTATACCACGAGCAGGTAAAGGGAGCAGCGCATGGCTTCTACCCAATTACTTTCTGCCATTCTTTGTTGCATTAATCCTTCGATGGTCCGGATAGTAGCTAAATTCAGACAGTGTAATTCAGGGATTTTTGATAAGGCCTGCATTGTGAACTCCAATCGAGCTGCGAATCGTGCACGCTCTTCGCGCGTCTCTAGTTCAAACCCATTCAGGGGATGACGACGGTGCTGGATGGTTGCCAGATAGTAATCCGGAGACATACAGTGACTGGTGTAGTGGGTAAAATCAGGAACATCTAATTCATGCCCAGGTGTGATTGTACCAGGAGCAGATTTTTTGGCACTGTAAAGCTTGACCTTGTCCAGTACACTCCATGTCTTGATTTCTTGGGGAATGTGACTAATGTCTTTGGGTGGACAACGTTCCAGAAGGTAGTCAATCCCATCAGTTGCCTCACACCGAGCACAGTGGCAAACATACTCAGGGCCAAAGCGAGCCTGGAGAGCCTCGAGCCGGTCTTGCTTTGTGGAAACGAGATCGACATAGCTCAGGGTGATTGGTTCATCAGCCGATATATCTGTGACGGCAATAACAACCTGTTGGCTCCCTTTGTAGATAACACCTGCGTTTGGTTGACAAGAGTGTGGAATGTGAAGAGAGGTGAGAGGATAGAGTCCAAGAGCAATTGGGTCAAGATGCTGATCTGGATCTTGGATGACAAATGCAGTCCGGCGGACTAGATGGCTCAGCTCACCGAGTTCTTCGAGTGACATTTCGCATTGTTTCAATAGTGTTTCGATCGCGGTGTTGTCAGGTAAGATGTCCGTTCCGATTTTTTTGTGGGCTTCGAGGGCTTCAATAGCGCGTTGTAAATATGGCGGAGAGTGAGAATGCTGCTTACTCAGGTGCGCGTGACTGTGCAAAGTTAAAGCAACTCTTTCAAGAAGCCATTGGTTTTTGTCAATGTTGGCGTAAAGGTCGCGGGTTTGGGGTTCACAGAGAACTCGGTGAAAGTGCAGCCAAGCATTACGGAAGCATTCGTTGCTGCAGAAATAGGCAGATATACAGCGTGAACAGCATTGTAGAGGTGCTTTTTTAAGACAGCTATTACAGCGCTGGCGACGTACTTCCGGTAGAGGAATTGATGCTAGGGCAGCCTGAGTGAGCAGGACTGTTCCGGCTAGGATAGGGGCTGTGGCCACATATGAGTTTTTGTTTGTGGTGATGTCTTGGTGCAATATTGGTTTCATTACACCAAATAATAAAAGAGGAAGATAGATAGAAGAAGAGAAAGAAGAAGAGAAGGAGGACTTTATGAGATAAAGTCAAATAAAATAGAATAAAAAAGAGAGAGAGAGAGAAAGGATGAGCGGGTGCCAGGGACGGGCCAAAACAAAAAGGGTCTGACCATGCTTAGATTTCCTACTATGGGTAAATAGTAAATCCCAAGTGCGCTACTCCATTCCACCACCTCCAGTCATCCGCAAACTTTTTTTTTGCATTTTATACTATTTTATATAATATATATATATATACAAGTATTAGATACGGTGAGAATAAATTCAAAAGTAAGCAGCTTTCAAATGCGATTATATCGGTTATTGATTATTGATTATTATTAATATTGTTAATATTATTACTATTATTACTATTATTATCATACCATTGTCAATGTCAATGCTCACCCTCATTTCTGCTCTTCTTCACTTGATTCATAAAAATTGGCTCACAAGGATTCTTTTTTTTTCATTTATTATTACTTTTACACTGTATGCTATTTAAGCTATCTTGTCCTTCCGCACGTGTTGCTTGGTCAGCCTAAAGGTTCATTTCTCTTACAAACTTTTTTTTTCTCTTCTTCTTCCTCTTTCTCTTTATACCCTTATATATAGCATGTACTATAATATTGCTCATCAATATTCTTATAAAGAGATAAATAATAAAATTAATTGCCATAAAGAGCTTGTAGTTTACAGCCTATTGTTTTTCAAGTATACAAAATACACGTAGATATATATATTTATGTATATATATATATAATATTAGATTAGAATATTTTGAGAAATTATCAGGATTGTATCAGGTACCAGACACATAATACATGTAACCGATCCAATTGTGCTTTGAAGCTGATTTAAGCAATATTCACATCACAACTTTGGGTGTAAATTGGGTACAATACTATAATCAGCGATCTTACGGGGACGACGTTTCTATCTAACCGGACTAATTAATTGTGACAACCAGTCCGGGGCCCGGTGTCCTTCTCTAATCCTTTAGGAAAAAATGACGTGTCCTAAAAAAAGTGCACCAGTAATAGATGTTTGTGCCTTAAATCTAGACTTAATAAAAAAAATACCAGGGGGGTTTCAACGGTCCTTTAAGCTTGCAAATTTAAGCTTTGAGTTTAAATTTTAAAATATAATTGGCTGAAATTAATCTATAAGCACTAAAAAAATAAAAGCTCTTGAAAGAACCCTTTGAGTTTTAAACTTTTAATACATTTTTGTTTAATTTTTTCTTGAAATTTAATAAAACCTTGATGCAAATATTTTTCCTATTTAATTACTACTCTAAACTTATACATTATTATCACAATGTCTAATAGAACTGAAAGATGTATTTAGGGTACTCAAAAACACTAAGGAGCTCTTACGTATTATTGGTCACTCCTTTAAAACTCAAGCTTAAGTTTAAAAGCTTAGAGGACTGTTGAAACCCCCTGTTATGGTATCCTGTTTTTTTTTTCTTTCTCAAAAATACTCTCAGGGTTTGTACGATAACGTTTGACCCATCTTTGAGCTGTACGAATATAAATTTACAGTTGGTTTGCAGTAGCAGAAGCACTTGAGTATTCTCTAAAAAAATGAAAAGATCGAGTTTTCTTCTCATCAGAGTAAAATATGTACTGTCGCTTATTGCAAAACTCTATCAACATCTTCACCATTTCTTTCATCTGGGGCTGAATACATTAGGGGGTTTCATTATCTCTTCGAATAGAAATTAAGATTGGGATTCGGATAGCGGGTGTTAAGCTTGTAGCCAATGAAAGTGAGTATAAAATGGAAATTATTGAGTCCCCCTTTTTAATCAATCGTCTTATTTTTGTACCTGATATTTTATTATAAACAATTAAGTTATTTTATATCACTTATATTGGACATTTTTTTATAAATCTGGTATATAGAGTAGAAATATGTAAGAGAGTCAAATAAATTGATAATTTTTTGCTTTAAGTATTTCAAGATGTCAAAATGACTAATGGTATTGTTGGCCGAGGCCGAAGGCCGAAGGCCTATACCTATTATTCGAAGAGACGGAGACTCTGGCTGTGTTACCATCAATTCTTTATTGAGACGAAAATTTTAAATAAAAGCTTGCTATTGCTATAATACTATTCTTTATCATCTATTCGCGAGTGGTATATATTATAATAAGGAAGGGAAGGGAAGGGAAGGGAAGGGAAGGGAGGGGACAGCCAGAGTCTCCGTCTCTTCGAATAATAGGTATAGGCCTTCGGCCTTCGGCCTCGGCCAACAATACCATTATTCTTCATTCGCCAGAGACTCTGGCTGTGTGTCCAGATAACCGCTAGAAGAAGTCAAAGTCATGGTAGAGAAATTGCTAACAGTCTGTCGTGACAAGCGGTAAAATGTGTCAAAAACGGCGGAGGAAGCCCATGAACCGTGTACAAGAATGTCTTCAACCGAAGCACCAGAAGCCAAAGCAAGAGTAGGTCCGAGAGCCCGGGCCTTGGGGAGGAGGACACCAGAAGGACGAGGGATCTTCTCCATGAGAAATTGAATATGCTTGGATATCCGTTCTGATCCAATGGGTCTATCGTAATTACGGACGTCACGTACTAATCTTTGCAAAGTCACCTGAGAGAGGACAGGGTGAGGCCGAACGCAGACCGAGAAGGCGATGTTGGACTTGTAGGCTAGATAGGTGGCGACGGGGCAAAGTAAGGGGTCTTCATGAGGTTGAATGGCGACAATCCTTTCGATGCGTCTACCTGAACGTTTTTCTTTGGGGGCAACAATGACCAAGCGAAGGATGCCATTGTCTCTTGATGTACGGCGGTCATCGACTCGTTCCAAATCGGCGGGACGCAGAAACCCACAAATGGCAAGTAGCCAGCACAACTTACGTGTGAGATCTATCGCATTCATTGTGTCATTAGGACCAAGGTTATGAATGAACCGAATGACCGGGGCAATATCATATGTTGGACGGTGGAAAGACAGTAGGTTCTGTTCGTTGAGTGCGGAAAAGAATTCAATGTAGGTAGAGTCTTTGACAATAGAATCTTTATCCGAGTACAAATCAAGAATGGCGGAGCGGTAGGCTTGACAAGTGGATGCTTTCCATTTCAAATGGGTAGCACCATAGGCCAGATAGTTGACTATATGAACGGGGTTAGGAATGAAAGGGTCGACGTCGTGGTGGTGTGCCCAGTCGATGTAAGCGCGTTGAATACGGTTATAGGATCGTCGGGAGTGGTTGCGATCGCGGTTGAGGATGATGATGTTGGCATTGTCATCGAATCCTTGGTCTTCTAACCTGCGTAATTTATGTCCCACGCGATCATGTTCCAGTGTGGGTTCTTCAGGAGAACGTGGCCGGCGCAGCCTGGTGCGGGAAGGACCAGGTGACGAGGGATGGGTATTGGCGGGCGGGACGACAGCTGGAGGAGGAGAGGATACCAGAGGGCGCTCGACCAGTTGGGCGTTATCAACGTAGCGGGAACCTTCTCTCGTTGTAGTTTCTGCAGTATGTGGAGAAGTAGGTTCCACGGCGGACAAAGATATAGGCGAGGCCAGGTTGTCCAAGGTACAGAAAGTGCGTCCATCGCAAATGCTTGCGGATCCCATTTCCATGTCATGTACGTCGGAAGCTGGGTGTTCAGGCTCGATGCGAAGCAGTCGATGTGGTGGGGACCCCACAGTGAGTCCAAGTGCCGAAAGAACGTTGGACAAATACTCCACTCCAGCTGCTGAATCAAGCTGCGAGAGGGAGGGTCGGCAGGGTTCAAGGGCGAGGGAATGTACGCCAGGCGGACACGGGTGCCAGTGACAAGGCATTGCTTCCACATGTCCGTGGCCAGATTCATGAGTTTGGCAGACCGGGTTCCTCCAAAATGATTGACATAGGCAATCGTGGTCATGTTGTCGCAGTAGATGCGAAGGGCTTTCCCTTGAAGGCGTGGAAGCTTGGTGGCAAAGGCAATGGTCATCAATTCGAGGTAGTTGATGTGCTCGGTTTGTTGGTCTGTGGTCCATGTGCCAGACAGGACGGTGTTGTCGTACACGATGCCCCAACCGGTCTCCGAGGCGTCGGTGTACACTTCGACTTGAGGTACTTCTGGGAGGAACGAGTGTCCATTCCATGCCTTCAGCTGGTCGATCCACCACTGAAGTTCCTGCCGAGCCATGGAAGAGAGGTGTATCGGACTGGTCCATTGCAATCCGCGGTACAAGGCTTGGTTGCGTATGGATATCAGTTGCCGGGTTTGCAGGCGCGCGGGAAGGACTGCCAAAGTGGTTGCCTGGGCCTTGCCGATGAACGAGGAAAGCTGTCTCAAGGTGATTGTCGGGTTGTGGAGAAGGCGAGATGCTTCTCTCCGGATATCTCTCAACTTGGAGCGAGGGATGATTAGTGTCATATCCTTGCTGTTGATCACAAATCCTAGGTGCTCTATGGAGGTTGAGGGAGTTAGATGAGATTTGGTCGCTTTGATCAAGAAACCTAGTGACTGTAATTTGTCCACTACTCGCTGTGTGTGCTGCAGGGACAGTGTTGGGGATCGGGCAATCACGATCAAGTCGTCGAGGTAAGCCGACAGACGAATCCCCTGTCGCCGTGCCCAACGAAGTACTGGGCGAACCATCTTCGTAAATACCAATGGGGACAAGGACAGGCCAAACGGCAAAACGCGGAACTGGTAAATGTGACCTTTCCAGGAGAACTGAAGATACTTGCGAGAGGACTTGACGATCAGGATGTGCAGAAAAGCGTCTTGCAGGTCGACGCTGGTGAGGTAGTCGCCACGCTGGATCAACTGGCAGACGTGCTTGATGGATTCCATCTTGAAAGATTGTTTCGGGATGTACTGATTGAGTGGTCGTAGGTTGAGGACAGGCCGGAGGTCGCCTGTCTTCTTCGGAATTGTGAAGATGCGCGAACGAAACCCTGGTTCGTGTACTTCCTCGATGGCTTTCTTGCACAGAAGGGACATGATCTCCTGTTCGATCACATTGCTGTCCATCCGGTTGTGGTTCGTCAACGGTCCGGACGAGGAGATGGGTGGCAGACGAGTGAAAGGGATGTCGTACCCTTGTTCGACGGTGTGTCGAACCCAGTGTTCGTTTGTGAGTTTGGTCCATGCGTTGCGAAATAGTTGAAGGCGCCCACCTACTGTGGTGTATTGGTTGTCTGAGACTTGGACAGCTGTGGGCGACTGTGAAAAACCTTCTTCGAGTCGTGGGGACGGGAAGATCGCTGGTAAGATGGGACTGAGATAGCAGAAGTCGGGTCAGATTGAGTGGGTTTGTTGGTCCGGTTTGATTGGCCGGTGCGTTTTCCCTTTCTCGTTCGGGAAGGTCGTGCGGCGTCGTGCAAAGCACGCTGGAGCTTAGCTTGTTCCACAATTCGTTGAGAGTCGAGAAGTGGTTTGGGCTCCAAGGCAGAGTTGGTGACAATTGGTGTGATAGGTAGATTGGCATCTCGGCAGATATTATCACTACGCATCTGGGTGACAACAGAGGCAAGGTCTGATAGTAATTCATGCATAGTGTTGGCAAAACCCAACGCCTGTGTAACCTGGATAGATCCTTCCACAAGCACATCATGTGCGAACAGGTCGATGGGACGGGTGAGACCAGATAGGCGGAACTGAATATCAGCGAGTTGGGCATCAGTACGTTTGGTGTGAGTTCCCACGCCACTGTAGTTGAGAACAAGGGCTTGGTACTGACGAAGTACATTTCGTGGGCAGTTAAGGAGGAATCGGCGGCGAGAGGCTTCGTCCAAGGGTTGCCTGAAGAAGTCGCGCTCCATCCCGGGAATGGCTTTAATAAGTTCGGGGAAGGGAGTGAGATCAGATGCGATAGGTCGTTCGACAATATGGTCGGTAGGTAGCATTGTGTCGTCTTCATCAGCAGGAGAACCATCAAGGGCCACAGGAGGAGCAGCAGAGCGTGCTCCCAAAGCTTCCATGCGGGCGAGGAGAGCTTGTAAAGTGTCGTGGATATCATTTGTCATAACTTGGATCTTCGATAAAGTCGAGCGGTTGAATACCAGGAGCGAAAGAAAAGATGATAAAGAATAGTATTATAGCAATAGCAAGCTTTTATTTAAAATTTTCGTCTCAATAAAGAATTGATGGTAACACAGCCAGAGTCTCTGGCGAATGAAGAATAATCCTCAATTTTAACCCGAAAGCTTTTTTCTTCATATTAAATCTACACATTTTTATTCTATTCAGGTTCTTCTAAGCCAATCATTTCACCGTTTAAACACCCGCTTTCCAAATCCTAATCTGAATTTCTATCCAAAGAGATCGTGAAACCCCCTATTGCAGGGACATGTCTGCCTTTCTGAAGGTTTATTCATTAGAAACTGGGTACGAGAACTTATTGTTTCGACAGAAAATAGCTCTTTATCAACAACACGTCCTTGACCATATTTACAAAAAAAATCGCATACTCATTTTAAATGTTTGTAAAATAATTGGGTATTTGGAAAGGAAAGAAAGAAAACGGAAATGAAAGAAATATACCTTTTTCAGAAACTTTTCGCATTTCAGGAAATCCTTCTTAGTTTTTTTTTCTGCTTTCTAAAACAAGACTAATATGAGCACCTTTTTATTTGATAATGGAGATAGCAAAGTATACGATGAACAAGGAAGAGAAACTCATGTTTACGGAATGGCGGTTGACAATAACCAATATTCTTTGGAACAATTTACTACTTATGATCAGTATATGGATTTAAAACCGCCAGAAAAACCAGTGAAAATTATGGAACAGGAGGCTGAAATACCTGTTTCTGAGGATAACAGCCGTATTGATCTAGCAGGTAAATATCGACACTATAAAGGCACTGACAAAGAGATGATTTTCCTTTCTCATTACGAAAAAAGGATCAAGTCTAAGCAAGGCTGCTGTAAATCTTAATATACCACCATCAGCTACTCAAAGCTGGAAGAGAGAGAAAATACAAAAAAGGGTGAGGATGTTTCCACAAGAAAAGAAGAAAGTGGTAGACTACAGGGAAGACAAGCCATTTTAAATGAGGATCATCAAAAACATTTAGTTGAACTGATCAATTACAATCCTGCTTTAGTCCTGGATCAAATAATTGGGAGTCTTCTCCGTTTGAAGAACTTGAAATCTCCAAAACAGCCCTTTATGATTTTGTGAAGAAGAAGTGCAGGATAAGCGTAAAGCGTACCTATTTTCATGCAGAATATAGAAATAATGTAGACAAGCTTCAAGAAAGACGATAATTGGTACAGAGTTGGGAAACAATGGACATGTATTGCATGAGTAATTGTGTTTTTATCGATGAATCAAGTTTCAATGTAAACATGAACCTAATCCATTGCTTGGACTAAAAGAGGGGAACGTGCTATTGTAGCAGCTCCAAAAACCAAGTCAAGTGATATCACTATACTAGGTACTATTGCCTCATATAGGGGTATAAATATTAGTGGAAGATGCCTAAAGAGAATTGAGCTCTCAAAAAAAGAAAAAGAAAAGTGGGGCGAGCTTCAGTGAGGGTTGCGAACAAAGGTAAAGGTGAGACTGTCACTGGTCATTACTTCGATTTTGTGGCTGCCACTTTGGATGTGCTAGATAAACATGAACAGTTCAAAAGACATTACATCATTATGGATAATGCTCCTATTCACACACATTTGGATATCAAGAAATATATCGAAGGGAGAAGTTATGGCTGTGTTTATCTTCCTCCGTATTTCCTTGAGCTAAATCCGATCGAACAACTCTGGTCAGTACGCAAGAGTAAAATTGGAAAGAGAAAAGCTTTTACAGGAAGAAACGTTATAAAGAATCGCAGAAGCATGCAATAATATATACTTGAGTGACATGCAAGGCTTTTGTAGATTCTCTGTTTCAAAATTCCGAGACTGTTTGGAAGGAAAGCCTTTGTAGTATTATTGAACGAAAATAGCTGTACGAATTTTTTTTTTTGGTGCATGAAACTTTTTACAAAATATGCGAAAAGTTTCTGGAAAAGGTGTATAGGTATGTATCTATGCATATATTACATTATTAAAGTCTGCTGATTTGTCGTATTGATGAAATCCATTACCCAAAGAAAAAAAAGATATACTAATACTCAATATTGGTCTTTATCGCGTTGCCTTTGGGTCACTATCCTTGTTTCCTTTTTTGGGCATAATTTTATATCGCAAAAAGGTAGCCATTCTTTTTGGGTCTTGACAAGGCCAACACCCGGGGGGGGGGGAGGTTTCAACCATATGAAGCACAACCATGTAGTTATATTCTTATTATTGATATTATTATTATTATTATTATTGTCGTTCTTGTTCTTGATTTTGATTTCGGTTTTGATTTCGGTTTTGATCTTTTTAGCATTCTTCTTTGTATTAATATCCTGCATTGTCTTTTGTTTTTTCTTTTTTTTGTGGCGATGGTTGGTTATAATATATATATGTATATATATATTTGCAAATAGAACTTAATGTGTCTTCTCCTTTTCCTTTTCATCTTCTTCTTCCTCTTCTTCCTCTTCCTTTGCGGCCTTGGATTCAGGAGCTAGAGGACTTTCTCTGACTGGGCTGGTAACAAAGTTGTTGTTACTAGGGGAAGTGTGGGGAATAGAATCTGGTGAAGGGTGCTCGGATCCAATTGCAAGAGGTTCCTTTCCAGCCTTGGAAAGCGCGTAATCACCCGAGTCAAAGTACTTGCGTTCCTACAGTACATATTACACACACATACACACACGCATGCACGCATATATAAGTATATATGTATATGTACATTCTCTTTTATGCGTATTAAATAGATTTATTTACCTTGAGCTTGTGTCCTAGTAAATCTTTGCGGTCGGGCAACTTTCCGTACATGCGGAACAATTTTTGTTCTTGTTCAGTCAATTGCTAAAAACACAATGTTATAAGTTCTAAAGCCATGATAGTCATTATAATCATTTTGACCAATCCTTGATTTTTTTTCCTTTTAAGCTACCCTGTTCTATTGTATTTTATATTATTTTTGGTTTGCTTTAGCTTGACTTGAGTATATATATTTTTCCAACTTTTTTATGCTTCTTCTACTTGTTCTTTTATTTTATTTTTGTATTTGAGATGATTAGATTATTAAAGGAATCAAAAGAAGGGAAGATAAAGGAAAGAGAAATATAGAGAGGAGTATATTGTTAGCTGACTTACACTCAAGTCAACCTTATTCGCTTGTGCAGGGTTCATAGTGTTCAATGAGTGGTGCAATGAAGCAAAAGAAAAAGAGACAGTGTGGGATGACGTTGTGATTTTGGTTTGTCTTTAGGTCTCGCTGCCAGCTCTAACCAATCAGATCAAAATAAGCCTATTTGAGTAGTGAAGGCTGTGACTTTTGACGTAAAAATCGTGTGAATGAACAAAAGAATAAAACGAGCAAGAAAGTGAGTAAGTGAGTGAGTGAGTGAGTGAGTGAATAAGAATGCGAGAGAACAAGGGGTATATTGGTAGTCTATTGATCTCCATTACATTAATTCTTTCAGTCATTTATTAATATACTCACACTCACATTAGACATCTGTATATATTATTTCATTTATGTGTGTGAGTGTTTACATTAGTGCAATAGTGCAATAGTGAAATAGTGAAATAGTGTAATAGTGCATTAGCTAATTAGTATGTGTGTGCTTGTTATATGTATATGAATATTATAAATGTTATATTTTTTCGTTATTTTTGCTATTTTATCTTGGCCAATTTCAGCAACAGGCCATACTCGATTCTCCTTCTTTTGGTATCTAAAATTCACCTTGTCCTTTCTTTCTTTCTTTTCTTTTTTTTTCTCTCTCTCTCTCTTTTGTATAGTCCATACTTACTTGTATCCCACAAAGCATTCTTTCATCGTCCTCCTCCTTTTCCTCTTCTCCTTCCTTTCTCATCTCCTCATTTTGTCATAAATCTTCATTACTTCATTGCTTCATTGCTTCATATATTCTACTTCTTCTTATTTCCTTTTATATAAATCATTCATCATGGGCATGGGAATGGAGAAATGCTGTTGTTTTATCCCCCTCCGATTGGGTACATTTATCATTGCACTTTGGTTCTTTGTAAAGTATCATTCCTTTTTGTTTTTTGTTTTGTTTTGTAAATATAGATTATGAAACTGAAATTTTTACAAATTTTTTTCTTTAAAAGAAAAACACAGACACAAACATATAAAACACTTGAGATTATTAAGATTAACTGACATCATTTACTTAGGTCATTTACCTTTTGGACGCTGTCACTGGGTTCTTGGGAGTAAATGGTGAGTATACCTTTAATATAATATAATATATGTAATAGGCTGAGTCTGGTTTGAGTTTATTATGTGTAACTATGTAGTCAAACTGATTATGGTAATTCTTGTTTTATTGTCTATTAGCTGTAATTGTCTATTCAGGCCAATCAGCCAAAGCATGGTACTATATTGATTTACTATTCACTGTCCTTGTTTGTCTTGGAGGTCTATTGGGAATTGTTGGATCTTGCTTTGTAAGTCTATTTTTATTTTGTATAATGAGGAGAGTGGATATTTATATATTTAGAGAGTTAAAAATAATACCAATGCTTATATATAATCTTTATTAAATGAATGAATATGTATGTATACAAATAATATTCTGTAGGCTTCTCGTGGATTTGCAAAATTCTTTAGTGTGATCATATGGATCAATTGCGGACTGTCGATTGTCAAATATGCAGTATCTCTTGCTCTTATGGTCGTGCATCGTGAAGATCTCATTAGATCATGTCTACGATCCGGATTTGTCGGATTTTCCAATGCACAAACACCCATCAGCAGCACTGTCACCATTTCAGAAAGCCCTTATTATGCACCAGTAAAGTATCCAGGAACCTTGAATGCACACGCTACCGATCTTGAACAATGTCAATACAATGTCCAAAGCTTCCTAATTGTATACGGTGTAGTTATCTTTGCAATTGAAATACTTCAGGTACAGAAAAAAGAAATTGCAAAGTCAAAATAGAAGACAAACACACACATATATATATACAAATGTGAAGTTGCTATGGCTATGCTATTTCATGTCATTAGTTATTAATTTTATTTACTTTTTTTTTCCTTTTTTAGATTTATTTTGCTTCGGTAGTGAGTGCATATGCCTCCCGTCTTCGCAATGGTGCCCGTCATCACCGATTACATGACCAGCAAATCAAAGATTTTGAGGAATCTCGTTACCACATGTCAACCGTGTATTAATTTGCCTTAATATCTCACTCTCTCTCTCTCTCTTCTGTTATTATTATCCACACAGCATTTTCTCACCTCACAATCTTTATCTTGTACATTAACATTTTTCTCTATTCCTTTCAATTCTTTTGATTCTTTATTATTATTATTATTTTGCTGGTTCAAATGGATCGTCCTGCAGTTCCACTATAGGGAGGGAACAGTGAAGAAACAAAGTATAAAGAAGAAGAAGAAGAAGAAGAAAAGTGATTGTAAATTAATGTGATTAAGGAGTTAAAAAATACAAATATACACAAATTTGTGAGCTAGTTTATATATATATATATATATTATATGGGGGAATATAAGTATAAAAAGAAAGAAAGATGTGAGTGAGTAAGATTGAGAAATATATATATCTCACACATATTATAGACGATGATAATTGTGCGCCAAATTGAAATAAATAGTAGAGATAAAATGGCTCAGGATGTAGCCTTGGATTTACACAAGAAAACCTTTTGTTATCAAGACAGTTATAAAGCTTTGAAAGGCTTTCATAGATTTAGACAAACGAGTAGTGAATACTTGAAATTGGTAGCAGTATAAAACATATAAGAAACTTTAGAAAGAAGTATTATCATAAATTAAAGTATGAAATCAAGTAAAAGAAACTAAGCAACAAGTTCAATTTTTAAATGGATCATTTTCGTTTATGTTTTAGTATCAAATCTTTATAAGAATAAAATATTCAAATATACTTAGCGAATATTTTTTTTTCTTTCTTTGCATAGTATGGTTATTGTCTATTAAACTGTCTCAATGGGGATGCTGGTCTACCTCATAATTATATTTTACTTGTAAAAAGTGGTACTTGTGATTATTTACACACACACAGAGAGAGATAAAGAGATGTAGATGAAAACCTAAATTTACATTTGTGTGTGCATTTGTGTTTGCTTGCCTTATGGCCAGAATGTAATATTGCACAAATTTAGGTAGACTATGTGTAAATGGTTTTTACCCCAAGTTGAATTATTATTATTCTTTTAGTCTCATCTCATGTAGGGGATACTTCACGTGACATGACTTTTTTTTTGTGTATATTTTGATGAAAGGGTTCCAGGATTCTTAATTCATATTACTGGTCGTTTTAACACATGAAAATGTATTCATGACATTTTGTGTGCCTGGCTTTATTACATAAAGGTTTTTCTTGTTTATTCTGATGAGTAACCGTATATGAAAGTTAATCAGTGATTGAAATTGAAAAACAACAACAACAAAAAAATAAGGAAAGAAAGCAAGAGAGAAGGAGGGGTGCAAATTAACTCCACTGATGTGATTGAAAATAATACTAGATCTTGATGGTGGAACACTAATAAAGTTAGATAAGAAAAATATACACACCAAAATATAAAAGCATATAACCCAGTAGTGCTTTTCTCACGCCAGAAAATGATGTAAAAAGAACTAACCTTCCTGTCTGGACAAAATAAGAAAAGTCTTTTTTTTTTTTGAAAATATATTTTATGTATCTGAAAGAAAGAAAGAGATGGAATAAAATACTTCTTTACAAGCCAGAATATACTTCCTTTACTTGACTTATTTGGATATAGAGTTGATCTTCTGTACTTTTATATCTAGTTTTCTATTGTCAATAGTATTATCATAATAAACAAGAGAATCTTGATTTTATACAGATCGTTAAATAATAGTAGTAATAATAATAAGGAGATCATATCTTCTCCATCTTGACTGAGTTCTATTTTGATAGATGCTTTTATAGGCAACCCGTCATGTCTACCAACTGCATGTAACCCAGTTGCACTACGCCAAGCCTGGTTTGCAGCTTTTGTGAAATATATTATACACACACACACACACACTACACCCAAAATAAAGTATATATAATTATATATTAAGACTAACGCCTGTCATTTTTTTTTGTAACTTAAAATAAAATTATAACCCACACCATGTATTTATCTATCAATCAATCTATCTATCTATAAGTACTATTATCATTATTATGAGCATATAAGAAACTAGAGCAGTAGGTGGCCAAGTATCAGTCTGAACGTTCGTTTGATAATAGCCAGTAAAAAGGGCAGTCTTTCCCCCATGCTGTATAATTTTTTCTTTATCGTACTGAGCTGCTCTACAAATTCTCGTGTTGCCCCGTGCCATCTATGAACTGGGAATTTTTTTTTTGTTTTCTCATTATATAATCAATAACGGCAGAAACAACGTAAATACCTTGATAAAAATAAATATTTTTTTCTTGTAAAAGTTCAAGGCAACCTTAATCAAGCTATAGGCTTCTCTCTCTCTCTTTTTATATTATATAAATATATCACCGGATAAAAATCTGACTGATCGTTTATGTTAAACTTTATATTTGATTTGGCCGTGGTCAATATCGCATTCAAAGTTAAAGTTGTAGATAGTTTTTCTTTGTATATTTAGGATATTGTTCGCCCACCATAAATGAATTTATTTTTTAGGGTTTCTTATCAGACAAGAGAAGATAGACTCAAAGTATACTCACCTTAATTTACTTTCACTTGATCATCAATTCAAGGTACAGTTTTTAGATTGTTAGAAGAATATGGTCTAGGAAAGCATTATAGTCTTTTATTCTATGGAACATAAAGGGTTGATTTGATTGGGTACGCTGATTTTGATCGCTTTGATCTGTCCACACCAATTAGACTCTTACTATTATTATTTTTATTGTAATGTATATGAAATTTGTTTGAAAAGTTTTAATAGTTAGATATATATAAATGTAAAGGAAACCCAAAGATCTGGTTTCAAAACAGTTCAATTAATGTCATCTAAACTTTCATCCTTTTTTGTATTTATATTTTGGAATCAAGCAAATCTGTTTTAATGGGTTTGAAACAAACATATAATTTTTTTTTATAATAGTAGTAATATAATAATAATGGCTATCTTTATTTATTTTTTGCTTCTTTAGTAAAAAAAAAAAATAATATTAAAATATATACAAGCGTGTCGGAGGTCTCCATCTTTTTAGAATACTTGTAATAAAAAATAAATAAAAACTCTTTTTTAAGCCATTTTTTACTCACCAAACTCCACTCCACTCCATTCCACACCCCACACACGTACACGTACATGTAAACGCGTATATATATATATATATAATATAATAAAGAGATAAAGGTCTACAAATATATACTTGTTGTGCTTTGGGGGGAGGAGGTTTACAGTATAGATAAAGATGAAAAAAAAAATTAAAAGATTATGATGTTGTGGGTGAGAGCGGAGATAGTATATGTATATGACAGTTAGAGTATTAGACCAATCAGAGCTGAGACATAGATTGATTGGTGCGGTTATGGCTAAAGATGAATAATAGTGTCATGTGTGAACTGATGAACCAACCAATCATGACACAAATGGTGTCATTATCGAATATAAAGTCTTGTGTTCTTATTCCACCCCCCTCTTCTTGTTCTTCTTCTTGTTTTTATATATCTTCTTTGAACCCCCCCTTTTTTATTTTTTTATTTTTTTCTTTGGTTAACGTCCATTTTTTTATACTTCCAAGATGTTGGCCATTATTTTCTAATCGTTTTACCCTCAAAAAGTCTTAATATCGTATTGTTGAACCTCGTTTATCAATCTCTTAGTGTCAATCTCAATATCCATGTCTTTCTCAACCTTTGAATTTGTGTCTCGCAAACACCTCTCCTGCTCAAACGACTCCATGCTCGGTCCACCTTTCTTCTCATACACCACAGACAAGCCTTCCACCTGCACCCGTAAAAAAACAATCCAGAACGACAACAATTATTATCAACAGTAATATCAACAAAATCCAGAACAAAATTATTACAAGAACAAGAACAAGAACAAACAAAAATCTCCAACAGAATCAAATTTCCCCCAAAAAAAAACAAACCAAAAAAACAAACAAACCAACAAGAACAAAAGAATATTATTAAGAGATGACCTATCAACAACTCTTTGCCCTGAGCGCTGCGCTCACTCAACCAAATGACATTTCTGATGGTCTGCGTATCCTTGCTGATGCCTTCCCAGATCAGTCCCAACTACCATTCCCAACTTCAGTTGACGAGTGGCTGGCAGATGATCTCTGTCACTCTGGCCTCCTGGCCATGCCACCAATCGACCCTCTCAGTATCTTTAAACAGCAGCAACCAATTCACCACCAGCACCAACAACAACAGCAGCAGCAGCAGCAGCAGATGTGTTCAAACACTTCTCAGCATGATCTTCAGCAAGCATTGCAACAGCTCTTACCTGTCTCGCCACCTCTTACGGCCAGCCCTCCAAACCTGGACCGCTCTCTTGAATCACCAGAACACCAGCTTAGGGTCCCTCTCTTCCCAGAGATCCCTCGCCAGCGTGTCCTGATGCCCAAGACCAGCACCAATTGTCCTCGGACGATTGCACCGAGACCGTCGACAATGCCTGTCACTGTCGAGTCCAAGAAGCGGTCGGTCGATGATATGAATAACAACAAGGACGGCGACGACATTGCTGTCAAGCGCCAGAAGAACACCGATGCTGCCCGCCGCTCAAGACTTAAGAAGCTCAAGCGTATGGAGTGTCTGGAAGAACGTGTAAGCGAGCTCGAAACTGACAATACTCGTCTCACAACCCGCATTGCTGTATTGGAGTCTGAAAAGTCAGGTCTGGAATCTAAGGATAGAGGTCTCGAAGAGAGAGTCCGTATTCTCGAACAGCAGCTGGCAGAAGCACATAGAGCATTGACAAACAATCGCTAAAAAAATTATTATTATTATTTTTCTTATCCTTATCTTTATATCTTTATCTGTTTTTTTTTTTTTGCTATTTTGTTTTTCTCTTGTAATTTTTTTTTCTAAAAAAAAAAAAAAAAGATAATAATACAAAATACACTCAAATAAATGAATATTACTACTATCAACTCAAAACGATTCAACAACATTATATACAGTATGTATAGTAAATTAATGGCAATAATGATGGTAAAACAAGATTTTATATTATAAAATTATATTAATATAAATCTTAAAATACAGTGTCAAAAAAAATAAGAAAAAAAAAAAAAGGTAAAAGGTAGTAAAAAAGGAAAGGTAGTCAAGAAAAAGAAAAGGAAGTGAAGAGACTGTGATAAAATGTTGGGGAAAGTGGAAATTTGGATTTGGTGATGACCTTGGTGATGGGCCAGAATATGTACATAATATAGGAAAATGAGAAGGAATGGGACTATATAAAGTGTGTTTGTGGAAGGGATTTAGGCAGGAATATAATAATAAAAGGGCATGGATAATAAAGGAATAAAAAATAGTGCGTGGTGTAGTGAAGTGTAGTATAAAGAGAGAGAGAGAGAGAGAGGTGTGTGGTGTGCATGTGTAGTGTGTAGTGTGTAGTGTGTAGTGGGTGGTGTATATGCGTCTAAGCGTAAATGATTGTGTCTAGGTTTTTCTTTCTTTCTTATCTTGGAGTCAAAATGATTCCAAAAGAAGAAAAGGAAGAAAAACATATACGCATGCGTCATATACATATGGACATATAGAACATATGAGCGGACGGCCGGGCAGACGGACAGGCGGACGGACGTAATGTACACCACACAAGACACAGAACATGAATGAGATAATATGGGATGGGATGGAATGTGGTGTAGTGTAGTATAGTGTAGTATAGTGTAGTGTGGTGTAGTGTGGTGTAGTGTGGTGTGGTGCAGTGGATAAAAGAAGCACAACACAAAGCAATAGGCTATCCATGTGAGTGACGTATAAAATATATATAGAGAGAGAGAATATAAACCAATAGATAGATATGTGGGACAGCTGGTACTAGTCAATGTAACCTTCGACAAAGTCATTGATTGACTCCCAGGTCATATCTGCCAGATGGTGGTGCTCATCGGCTTCAGAAGCAGGGCTTGGTGTAGCAGAGGCTGAAAATGTGGCTTTGCGGGGAGTTGGCGGGTTGGAGATGGTGTCGGCAGAGTTCATAGGTGGTTTTTGGCCATAGCAGACAAACCAATTGAGATGGGACTGGTACTTTTTACATTCGCGCATAGCATGCTGGATCACTTCGTTTGACAGCACGTCTTCGTTGTCCGGGTCGGAGGATCGGGCCGCTTCTTTGATCCGAGGATTCAGCGACTGGAAAAAGGTCTCTAAGTTCTGAGCATGGACGTCGCCCAGCTGACCACCCCACCCGAGCGGAATTGTGATCCGTCGCTGGTGCACATCGACAAACCCATTGTTGCCTGGTTGAGTCATAAGGAAGGTGGAGATGTGGTGGCTTTTGTAGAGCTCAATGCCTTGGGACATCATTGTCTTGCGAACTATAATGATCATTAAGTAAAAGAAAAATATTTATTTTTTGGTTGCTTACCCTTTTGATTCAAAAGAGAATCACACACAGGTCCAGGTCTTTCAATACGATATTCAGTATCCTTGAGTTCATAGTAGCCACCTGGCTTCAGGACACGCGTGATCTCGGCCAAAAGGTTCATAAATTGGGCGTGGGTTAAGGTGAAAAGCAATAGGCTCATGTGTACATAATCAAAGGAGTTGTCGGCATAAGGAAGTCCCTTGAGGAAGTTGTGCTGGCAAAAATGAGAGTTTGATGGTTTGATGGCAGTTGGGAACATAGTGCGTACATCAGTGCCATAGAATTCTAAGTTCAATTAATAATATGTAAGAATTACAGTGATTTTATGTAATTTAAGTTTATTCTATTTCTTACCTGCATGTGGAAAATCTGTAGCCATTTCAAGAACCCTAAAAAGACGAAAAAGAATAACATAAAATAGATTGTGAGTGGGACAAGTAAATGTGAGGCATCAATAAGACAGGGCATGAGGTGCGGATAGAAAAGAATAAAGAAATAGTAATAATAGCAAAAAATAGAAGCACAAAAATAATACTTTATAACGTATACATAAAAAAATATCTCACCATGTGCCTGGGCCACAGCCAATGTCGAGCACGCGAGGTGGTGTCTTGTCCTCCAGGCGTCGGTCGCGCAACGTATCAGCAATGGGTGCTCCAAAGTTACCACTGAAAGCATATCGTAGTAAAAAGTGCTAACAAAAATAAATCAAAATAAAATAAAATAAATTAAATTAAATTAAATTAAATTAAATTAAATTAAATACATATACATATATATATAAATGTATTTCAATAAATTATAATTATTATATGATAATGGCAATGATAATTGTCGTTTCTATGGTTATTCTTATTCATATTTTGATCTATAATTCTTAATTCTTTATTATACTATATATTACTATTATATAGTATTTATATGTATATACAAAATCCCAAAAAAAAATCCAAAAAAATCCAAAAAATCAGTCGATTATTTCGGGTTTCCTTTTTTGGAGTTTCAGAAGAAGAATTGTCACATTCGCACAAATTACTGTGCTGTGTAAGAAAAAAAAAAGTATATATATATAAAAAAAGGAAAGGCAAAATAGTGACAAGAGTAGAGAAAAGCAAGAAATAATAAGATATTTCTAATTAAAGAAATACGAAAAGAAAAGCAAAAAAAAAAAAAAAAACTAATAAAATACTAACCAAAATTACTAGCCGATCGGCTTCATCATCGTCACAAGGAAGGTAAAAGTGTGTACCTGGGGTGACAAGGTAACGTCTACCGTCAACGACCTCAAAGATAAGATCAGACGTACTGTTGTTGTTACTGTCTGCACACTCTAGTAATGGTGAGACAAGTGTGGATGTTTCGGATAAACCGGATGAAGAACGTGTAGTTTGAGGTACTGGTTGATTTTGTTGATTTGGTAAGGGCGGTAAGGGTGGAATTGATGATCTTGCGTCATTTTTGGACGAAAGCGTGCTGCTGCTGCTCACAGCCAAAGATGGCGTTCTACTCTTCTTTCGGTTGGCGTTCTTTCCAAGTGGAGTTCCCTCAAAAAAACTAATGAATCCCGGGTTTTGCGAAATGCGGCGTCGGACATTTGGTGAAAGAGTAGAGCTGACTGCGTCTGGAACTTGAGTGTGCTGAGAAGAGGAGTTTCCCATTGCAAACCGACAGTATAATATATATATTTATATATATAATGGAAGTGAAAGTAGGAAGTGGTAGCAAAATATAAATATAAGTATAAATATATATTTAAATATATATATAAATATATAAAATATTCGTGTATATTATAATGTGAATGTATAGATGTGTGTAGTGTATATTGTATAGTGTATAGTGTATGTGTTTGTGTTTGTGCGTTGTATGATGATTAGTGCGAGATGTCTAGGGTGAATTGTTGGTGTTGTAAAAAAAGTTGTGTCCAAAGCATAAGCGTAGGCGTTGTTCTATTTGCGGTTTTTTTTTGCACAGCTCAGGATTGACAAAGAGGAAGAAGAAAGAAAAGAAAAGAAAAGTAATGTGCAATAAGAATAATAATATATATGTAAAAATATATAATATATATATATATCGATGGACCATCATCTATTTCAAGACAAGGCCAATCAAACACTATTGAATAACCCTTTCTGCTTCAGCTCATCTGTGCTTCCATCAAATATAAATAATAATAGTAATATAAATAAATAAATAGAAAGGAAAACAAGTGAGGCACGTCGCCTGTTCAATAACACATGCGCCCGAGTTGCAAAAGAGAGCAAAATAAGAAGAAGAAATAAATAAACGTAAATTATGTATACAATTTACTCATCTTACATTCTATAATATGTCTTTAGTATATGTTTCATTTATTTATTTATTGTTTCCAATGGGCTGTCTCGGCAATGGCTTCATAGCAGTAGTCATAGTAACCAACTAGTAGATGAGTAGATAATTAAGAATGAATATCAAGATGTAAAAAATTTAACCATTGATCAACATATAACATATAATTCAATATACCATTATTGTGATCTGCGTGATGCAATTTCACCAACCGAGCGTTAGGGTTACGCTCCAGACTGGTGTACACAGTGGCCTCGTTGGGTATCGTCTGTTGCTTGACCATCCGATCATTTTCGAGCCAATGTTTCGTGAATGGCGCGGGCGCATCGGAACCGTAGATGGCACGATGAAAGAGTTGGTGTGAGTTGTGTCCAGGAATTTCAATATCCGATCCTCCGTATACAATTAAGACGGGGCAGTCGATATGCTTTTAGTCATATAATTGAGTGACAGGGTCGATCAAAAAAAGAAAGAAATACACATACAGTGAGACGGTAAATATCAATGAACAAAAAAGATAAAGTTTTTTCTTTTTCTTCTTTCCTTTTCTTCTATATTTTGGCTGAACTTACCTGGATCCGTGAAATAGAATCAAATGTGTGAACCAATTTTGATAAAACCCAATCTGTCAAATAATTATATAATTATAATTATAATTATAAAAATAAATAGATTATAAGAATAAGCACATGAATAAAATCACAAATTATATGTATATATATATTTTTTTATAAATATAGTTATTTATACACACTCCCTCATACTCACTCACTGAGTAAGTAACTAGGCAACTAACAAAGTAACTAGGCAACTAACAAAGTAACTAGGCAACTAACTCACACCACCATACGTAATACTACTGATACTAATGCTATTACTATTACTATTATCTATTTTTAATATATATATATATTATATAATACACCCTCTTTCTATTACTTACTTTGTAATTGTGGGACATAGTTGAGGGGCCCCAGGATTGGAAATATCTCCAACATACGATACTCAAAAATCAAATTGGGAAGCGAACTATAGGCTGCCTTGAGGATCAATGCTTGAGGTGGAGTTCCTATATATAATGTATACATATTTATTAGGTAGACGATTTGTAAGATGAATTATTTTTTATTGAATTTATTTCTGTATATATTTGTGTGTGCAAATGTTTTTTGATTTTTGATTTTTGATTTTTGATTACCTGCTTTTGTCATGTCGTACGCCAAAGTTGTAGCAACTCCCGTACCTTTTTTTTTTGAATTTTGATGGATTAATTAAGGTTATCCATGGCAATATTCTACCCATTCAGCAGAATCCCACACTCTTAATATATATATATATATATCTCACCGAGAGAATGGCCGATGAGTGTAATTCGGCCATGTGGGACTAAACAATCAAAATAAGAAAGAACAGTATTCATATTCAATTAAAATGGTATATTTTTCTTTTTGTTATTATTTATCGATTATACTCTATTATATTTCATATGTAAAACGATAATAAAATTAATAATTATTATGATTTACCATTTCTTTGAACAAGCCAGTCTATGGTGGCTTTAGCGTCCGAGCGTAATCCTTCTTCAGAAGGAACTCCATCTAGCGTGACATTCAATAAATCACAATCATTATTATTATTATTATTATTATAGCTTTTGTTAGTATTTTAGTATTTTAGTATTTTAGTATTCTAGTCTAATATACATAATCTTATTTTGTCACTGTAAGCGTTCTTTAGAAATAAGGTGTTCTGGCTTTTCTTAGTGCCAAAAAGCTTACCCGAGTCACCAAATCCGCGGTAGTCAATGGTTACCAGATTCACCAGGCCAAATCGGTTGGTCAAGGCCTGGAAAAAGTTTATATGGTGCATGTGCAAATAAAAGTATTATTGTACATCCCAACAAAACCAACCATATCGAACCGAATCAAGCCAAATCAAATCAATGAATTGGAGAAATCGGTATAGATATTACAGATATAGATGCAGATAGATAAAGAAAGAGTTTATTCATTAATTATTTACAACAGCAACAATAATATCTTGGTTAGTTGAATGTAGTACACACACACACATATATATATATAAAGACAGATAGCCAGGCAGTCAAATATATACACACATCTTTAAATTGTGGTAGACCACAAAGATTTTTTTCCCTTTACCTTGTACAGATCGACTCTCCATGGTGCGGCTCGATTCATTGCGTTACCATGCAAATAGACAACCGTCGAGTAACTTGGATCAGCCAACGCGTCATCGTAAATTGTATCAGTAACGTTCTGGTACCGGATGTCCTGACGCCGGTAATAATCGGAGGGAAGAATATGCCATGCACCTTTATATATATATATATATATATATATATATATATAATTTGTGTATGTGTGTATGTGTGTTGTTCATTGTATTGTATTGTATTGCATTGTCATTATTATTATTTTAAGAATAAGAAAAAAAATGAACACACACGCACACAAATATACATACAAAAAACGTACGTTTGTTAATGATCCCTTCGTTATTCTTACTGTAATTTTTTTTTGACTCGTGAAAGATTGAACGCGTGCAAGCAAACAATAAACATCTGACCCTTTGCGCACGCTCTCCCCCACACCCATTAACACCCACACACCCACACACCCATGCGCATGGTCATGGTTATAGTCATGGTCATGGACACCCGATAAACCAATAATTATATATATATAAGTATATAATTCAAGCGCACTTACCAAGCGTCACATTATCGGATGTCTTGATACGTACATTACGAACTTGGTTGTCTAGACAGAAAGTAATATATATAAAAGTAAATAAATTATTATTTTTCGGGAATTCGGTGTAACAGCCAAGAAACGACGTGATTATTATTTTGCAACGTATTCACAGCCTTTTTTTTTTGTTATGTGTTGTACATGGTATTATTCTGCCATGTTCTGTTACTTACGCCCAAACCCATAGTATTCTGGTAGAGAAAACTTTGGTCGAAAAGGAAATTGAACCCAATTACAATATATTATCCTACCCACAAACAAAAACACGAAATAGTATATATATATATATACATTACGTAAAGAAGTTGTATTAATTTGTATACACTTTCTTTTTGGCACATAATATTTACATATGCATGTACATTATTGCATAATATCATATCATATATAATATATATACATTTGACATACATTCTTTGAGGGGTTGGAAATGTCAACAAGAGCAAAAAAGCCTTTTTGATTTTTTTGATTGTTATTATTGTTATTATTTTAGTTTGCTTAATTGTTCATTGTAATCTCAATCTTCTCATTCACATCATTCTTACAGCATAAGATAAAAAGCCAAATGCTGAAACAGCAACAAGCTTCTTCATTATCCCCATGGCGAACAGGAGAAAGAAAAAGAGATAAAGATAGAGTTTTTTTTTTTTTTTTTAAAAGAAAAAAGAGTAAGACACAGAAAGGTGCGTGAGAGAGAGAGAGAGAGAGAGAGAGAGAGAGAGAGAGAGAGAGGGAGAAAGAAGGTAGGGGAGAATGAAGTATTAAACCTAAAGGGCTTGAATACTATTACTATTACTATTACTATTACTAATAGTAGCGTATATAATATTTGGCATTCTAAATGGAATATTAATGTAAAAAAATAAAAGCAAGCATAATAATAAACATAAGAATGGAAATAAAGACTATTGGAGTATCCAGTAACTGAGACAGTGTTTGTACTGCCTGTGAAGCTTAAAGGTATAAACTAGTATAAACACATTTCAGAATACTTCTTTGTTTGTAAGTCTCAAGCCCACCAAGGGTCAAGTCAATGAGGATTTTCTCCTTTTTACTGAGCCACACTTAATCGGAGGTGCGAGTGTAACTGTATCTGAAGCTGCTGGCAGTGAGCTTCCTTGGGTGAATCAAGGAAAAAGCAAGGCAAGGAAAATTAGAATGAGTAGCCGACTTTGTTTTTCTTCTATACAAGATACATGATATGCCGCTATTATTTAACGAGTCCAGAGCTACTCTTGCTCTTCTACTACTGCTACCACTGCTACTACTTTAGATAATAATGGCGATAACAGTGGTAGCTGTAGTAATTGTAATGAACAGGATATCACAGCCCCTTGAATTCAACCTAGGATTATCCGCAAGTTTCACCCAACAAAAAAGAGTTCTAAAAAAAATCACAAAAATACTGTCAGCCTGATACCTGACCTGACCTGAATTGATCTGATGTGATATGATACATTGACATTGGGCAAGTAAATAAAGAGAGGGGGCCTTAACACACACACACAAATATGCATATCTTATTTATCTAGTACAACAAATCAGTGAAACTCCCCCAGAGGTGTTCCTCAATCGGTCTATTCATCGGTAAGCCCATGGTTTAGAACTTTGAAGTCCAGAGTCCAGAGTCTAGAATAAAATGTGGAAAAAAACTACTTCTCTCTCTCTCTTTGCCTGCCTGCCCGTCTTTTTTTCTGTGCCCAATATAGAGTGTTGGTGTAAGACAAAAAGAACAGGGTGCGGCGGCTGTGCGGCCTGCTCTGGCGTTGATTCACGAAATTCACAAAGATGGCCGTACATTTTATTTATTTATTTGAAAAAGACTTGTATTGCCAACTTCCTTTAAATGTTTGAGAAAATCTGGGTTACCAAACACACCCACATCCAGATCTACACCTATACCCATAGGCACACACGCACATGTACACGCACATACCCATTTAAGTGAATTTGAATTTTGAAAGAGAGAGGGAGTGGGATGTCTAAATTATATCTGATTGTCAGAACTCAATGGGTCACAATAATTCCAAAATATTCACTTTGCCTTGATGTGAAAATTGGTTCTCTTCCTTTTGCGGAAGAAGGAACCTTGGAATTTCCAAAAACAATGCCCCAGAGTATCGGCAAGAACTCTTCTTCTTTTCTTTCTCAAAGAACCGGGAATTTAGGGTACTAATGGCAATAAGAATAAAGAGGAGGAGAACGGACAATAGATGAAGACTGAACACAAAAAGAATATAATAGAATAGAAAAAAGGTCAGGATCCATGGTCACAGGCGAGAATAACAAGTGGGTAAACGTTTCATAAACAAAGCAAAATAGAATACAATATAATACGATAAAATTGGCCGAGAGTTCGGTACAAATATTTACTATCCACGTACTAATGTATATTCTTTCTTCTCAATAAAGATAATATATTTGATCAAATTTTGTAATACAATTGCTACAAAATAAAGTAGATTATTATTACCTGTCCAATTGAATTGACTCTGAACTACAATTACAGCACTTGAGAGCATAAGTTCATGCCAGAGTATTCATTTTTATTGTTATTATTATTCAGAATATCAACTTTTTTGTACCTTAAACAATAGCTCATTATCCATTGTTGGCCTGGATCATACTTATATATAATAAGATCTGTGTCTGTCATGCTCACACAAACACAATGTGAGTCTATAAAGCCATAGTAGCTTGTTTTTTTTAGAGCCGACAAAGTCTGTGCACAGACTACAAATATCCACTTGTACAAGCGAAAATATTTTATCGTGATCTTTTCTAAGCCTTACGCACTGTGTCCACATATGTAGTGTCTAAACTTGAGATCGGGACAAGTTTTTTTCTTTAGTTTTTAGTTCTCTAGACAAATAAGGGTTACTTTGTAGACAGCTTACCGCTTAATAATAATTATTTAATCTACCATTTCAGGCAGAGCCGTAATCTGTACGACGGTTTTTCTTATGAAGACTATTGATTTATCATGTCCTTTTCAAATGGAAAATGAGACCTTGAGTATGTTTTTTTATGCATTGATATGTCTATTCCGCAATATACCACAGTCGTTGCATTTCCTCCATCAGTTCCTCAAGATATTTTCCATATTTGCACTGCTTCTTTGACGATCTTAATAGGCATCGAATTTGAATTTGGAAGAATGGAAAACATAAAACAAGAAAATAGTATCTGGATTGCCCAATATATATGCTGAATTTTCCATAGTCTACTGAAGTTAATCGATTTTGTTGTTAGCATGTTTGAACTTATATACTTTACGTTTATATTTTTTCCCCTTCAACTTTTCCTGATAAAGCACTCTTATCTTTGGACCAGCATAACACTGACGTTTTTTGATCCTGTATCTCCTAATTTATTGCTCATAATTAGAATGCCTTATAGTTGCTGTGAATACATAGCGCCAATCAGGATAAATTGCAATAGGTAGAAAATACCTGACAAGCTCTTCTTGATCAAAGTCTGTTAAAGCAAGTACGTTTTAATCTACTCGCTGATCTACTTTTTTTATAGAAAGACTGAAAGAGGAATAATGCTACCAGGTCTGTATATTGCAGCCAAACAAGCCAAACTTGTTATTTGGGTTAATCAATTATTTATACTAAGGACATGTAAGGATAACCTAATATCTGCTGAATGTTCGAATATATATTCTTTTAACGACTTTTTGTATTTTATACTTGAGATCTTAAAAGTCAAAAACTGCACGGAACTGTTTAAAATTTGTTTCATAAATGCCAGTAGCTTTTACTTTCACCAATGACTGTATATGTCTGTTATTGAAAGTAATAGAGAGCTTGCTATCTGGATTTAAATACTGTATACCAAAAGTAGCAAAATTCTTATGTCTGTATTTAAATTATTCATCGACTTAGAATAGGGAGACGATGGTTGTGATGAGAGAGAAAAAACAACCATAATGACCTTGTTAACATAATTTTTACAAATAATTGGCCAATACAATATCTATATTAATATTTTCTTTATATATTAGAGAGCTTGTTAACAGAGTCGATTAAGCTTATACTTCGACTTAGGCTTATCGGAGTATATATTTTCTTATACCGACTACAACTTCCATTTTTGATAAGCCTAAGTTCTCTACTTCGACTTAATTTAGTCGAATAGCGAGAACCTTATCCTACAAATTCATGAAGACATATACAATAATTAATTTTCAATACTCCTTGCATAAAATCAATTATAAGACTCTTAGCTACAATATACTAAAATATCAGGGTGAAATATCAATTAATTCTCTCTAAAAGTCATTATGTTTGTCATGTAATAAAATAATAACATAACATTCCAAGTCTTGGGTATAAAACTCATAATAAATCAACTTTTTCTATTTCATACATCAACTTTTTTTTACAAATCACAATCTTTATTACTGTCATACATTTATAAATATCTAACCAACTATGGTACCAAATAAATCAAACAAAGCTACAAGAAGAAACAGAAAGAACTTGGTCATTCACCAGTACATACCGTCACCTCCAAGAACAAAAGATCAAGAAGGTGAGAAATTTGTCCCTACGGTCAGCTCGTCGGGTTCTCTAGGTAGCTTAACATACTACAAAAAAACTAGTACTACTTCAAGAGGATCATACTTAGTTAAAAAGGTTATAGTTGAAGTATTTTGGATTGATTATAATAAACTTGAGATTGAAGAGATATGAGATGATATGGAGACGATGAATAAAGTGAGACTTTTGTATGGTGGTTTATTGAGAAATTGTTGTATCTGTTGAAAGATGCTGTTTCTAGCTTGATGTTTTCTATCTCTTTTATATCTTTTTCACTTAGAAAAATTTATCTTTTGTTCCTTGATATTCGTTCCTGTTGTTACTGTCTTTTGAGAAAATATTTTCATGTTATATTGTCCGCAATGGTTTAAGGAAGTGTATTGGCTCTTGGATAACAACTACTTGTTGTTGGTGTTGTTTCAGATTGCTACTTTGACTTGAGTCACGGATTTCTAAGTCAGTTAGTTTATATCCCAGATTCTGCAAATACAACAATAGTGTAATTTTTAAAGGTAAAATATAGTTCAAAAAGACATAAAATCGATGTTTAATCTACTTTATATATTATTGATGGTATTGAAATACGCATCAGGCGAATCTAATAAAAGTAGCCTCTTTATTGTAGATATAATTCATAAATACACTCAAAAAGAGCACGGAAAAGCTCAATAACAACAGAGAACACTTATACTTCTTTATAAATCTTCTGACATTAATCTGACAAATTAATGCATAATTTCACTATAAATTTCTAATAATATCCAAATAATTTATGAAAAAAGTGGACAAATAATTGCCACAATCATAGCCTAGTCCTAAGTCGATGAAATAATTCCAGCGGCGAAAATAAACGACTGCTAATTTTGGCAGGAAGAAGTTCGACTCTATTAACAAGCTATCTATTATGTTTTGTTTCCAAGGTTTTACTGCTATTTAAGAAGATTTACGTTATATTTACTTGTATTTGAGCTTATTTTATTAAAATAAGCATATCCAAAGAACAACCTAATACGTTTACCACTTCAATAATGCGCTTAAGAAAACATATACGTAAGATTCATCATAAGTAAGAGTTTGCAGAGGTATGGAGAACATTTTAAATTATATAGCCAAATAACAGACACAGTAACACACGAGTTTACCCTTTTGATAATTGTATCCCGATCCTTTAGGACAGATACTCTGGACAAACAGTTGTATAGAGGTCCGGGTACTCTTATATTAGAGCAAGCTTATTTTTGGTAGTTTACTTTTTATATTCTTTCTTTGGCTTTAATGTTATACCATGCAACCTTCTCGCAATTGACTACTTGTCTTTTTCATATGGAGAAGTGTAACTTTTGAAGATTAACTTCCTTTTACTAATTATGAGACTGTTTTTGAGAGTGATAAAAATCATACTAGCTTGTATATAAGAGCGAAACATGTGAAATAAAAGAAATTTAGCAAGAATGCGAAAGACAAATGTTCTTATTTACACTACACTCTTTGATGTGTTATGCTAATAATTGATATCATGTCAAATATAATGAGTTTTACAAAGAGCTAATTTATATTTCTGATTGACATTGTAGTAAATTTTAGCCAAGGGCCTCCTTCTATATTTTATGCTATGGAATTTGAAAAATACGAGGTAAATATGTCTTCAAGAATCCAGAGGATAAGGTTCAGCTTTAAAGGCTTAGATAGCCGTTAAATCTTCAGCAGATAGCTTTAAAGGGAAGCGAAACACCGGAGTTACAATGTTTTCACAAATTTGGGAATTCACTTGGCCTACGCCTACGCCTACGCCGATGGTTTAACGGCTTAGATAGCAAACTGGCTATTAGAAATTGTTTCTTTATGAGTTTTGCTATTTCCACAAAAACTACCTCCGCTATAACCGCTTTCTTTCTTAAAGAGAATATTCTTGTTTTAGCTTTAAGCATTTAAGTAGATATAAAGTGTAGATGTCAAGAGCTTTAGTTGTCTAACAGCAATTTGTATAGCTATTTCTGATATGCGGATTCCATACAGGAACTTGGTAGCAGACAAGGAGCCAAAATCTATTTTTTTTTACATATTGTACCTCCTCATATCTGAAATTGTATACACTGAAGCAAAAATCAATTGAAAATCTTTATAAATGCACTGTTGATACGCAAATTGTTTTGGACACGATCATAAAGCTTTTTTCCCACTAGTAAGTAGTTTGATAAAGAGGGCTCGTCCTTAACTAATCCTAAAGTTTGCGTGAGAGACGCTTGTTTTAGCAGTATAACACTTCATCGATCAGGTGATTGTCGGTTCTCTTTCCTTCCTTTCGGCCCACTGACTCGTCTTTTCTTGTTTTTTCTTTGTTTTTTATATATTTTTTTGTGTGTAGCAACAACGACAAATTTTTATGAACATATATGTAGATTTTTTTTGAAGTGTAGCATTATAATATAGTCAAATTGTTTTTTGCAAGAATCTTCAAACAACTACGTATGTACGCCTTGAAGATACTCATAAAGGATACAGCCTAAAGCTGTCGTTGTTTAAATACGAGAGCCCATCAAGAAATCAAAAGCCAGTGTAAATCGATAAACAAGAAGTGTCCAAAAAAGCAAAAGCTCGTATTTTTCGTCCTTTACAGCAATATAGTATACCTCATATATTGATTTCATATCTGCCCCTTACTCACCATTTCTTAACCCTATTGAAGAGTGCTGGTCTAAAATTAAAACGCATGTCAAAAGAAACCCACCACTCACCTCATTAGACACTTTGACACCTCGAATTAAAGCTACCTGCATGAGTATTACCACACAAGATTGTCTTGGTTGGACCAACAAAGAGACCGGTATTGCTTGCTATTCCAATAGAATTATCTTTGTTTTTAAGTTGTGCATTGAAGAGTCAGCTCCAATAAAGTATTCAAAGGTATTTGGATGTGTTATACTCTTCCTTCCATTCATGCAAGAAATATGATTGGAGAGACTCTGGATTTAAAGCAGAAAAGTTTACCCAGCTCCACGAGTAGATTGACATTGGTGGTATGTGGTTTGTGGTATACACACCACAATTGAGTGAACAACAGTCTCCGCAACTAAACACTGGTTCCTTCTTGCTAATGAACCTGGCAATTTAACAATCTCCAAAACTGTTGCACACCAGGCACATGTACACTACACACTCATATAGTGTAAACCAACCATTGCACAACAGAGATTTGAATTACAGGGGTTTTAACAGTAACATATATAAGCAATATCATTTTGTCTATTTAATAAATAACACTCTCACCGTATCTACTTTTCTCATTTTGAGATACTGGTCCATAAATTAATTCCGGATACCTCATGGCTCATCCTCATTCTGATGACAAAAGTCTTGGTAAAAATTTGGCCATAAATATTTTATAACCCCCTCAGTTCTTAATAAACACTCTTCAAGAGGTTGGCAAGGATAACAAGAGTAGAAATTGTTTTGTGTGCTGTCTTTCTTTTCTTTTAATTGGGTTTGTTAATCTCAACCTTAATTAATCCTGTGGAAAATAAACAACGGTATATAAAAGATAAAGCAACGAGTTTAAAGGACCAGAACAATAAATACATACGTATATATAACATTTGGTACTTTGGACTAGCTATTAAAATAGGAATAAGGATAGAAATGACAATAATAGTAATAGTAATAATAATAGTAGTAAGAACAAGAATAATGAAAAATATCTAAAAATTAGTCAGAGTTTACATTGTCCACAAGTCTAGGATATAAACCAGCAAAAATATTCCAAAACACCTCTTTCCTTGCAGTCTCAAACACACCAAGAGTAAACGTTTGCTTATTTTCTCCTTCTGATTCAGCAGGCGTGAGAATTACTGGATCTAGACTATTGACAGTAGACTCTCGATGAGCTGCGGATGAGCAACCAGCTTTTCCGTAGGATGCTTGACCACGATCCATATAAATATCATCCAACGTTCCAGCGCTGTTCTTCTTCTCTTTCTGAGGTTGATTGTCTTGGGAATTAGCACGGTTCCACGCGGTCGTCCGGGATTGTTTACGGGTTCCACCCAAAAAAAGGTTTTTGAAAATAGTGTCAATTTGATGTCTGGCCTGGTATGATATATTGACCTGAAGAGGCGAACCATCGCGAATATACGTCTGATAAAATTCCATAAAAATGTCCCAGAGGTATTCCTCAATTGGTTTATTAATCAGCAACCCATGTTCAGACTTGGATTCAAATTCTGGGGCACCCTCTTTTGTGATATCAAACGAAGTATCAATGTTGGTGTCGGTGTCTGTGCTAGTGTGAGACAAAACGGATGAGGTGTGGTGATTCTGTGGGCTACACTGACATTGTTTCACAAGATCACAAAGCTGACCGTACTTTTCATAAAACAGCACGTTCTCTACACTAAAGTCTTCGATTGCCAGCTGTTTTAAACGTTTGAGAAGGTCTGGGGTATTAAAGACGTACTCGAGTGAGCTGGGTGCCATGTCCAGATTGTACCTGACCGTCAGGGACCGATGATTCACAACAATTCCAAATATTCGCCTCGTCTTGATATGGAAGTTGGCTTTATTCCTTTTTCGGAGGAGCACCTTGGAATTCCAAAAGCCCCAGAGTATTGGCGAGAACTTCTCAAAAAACCGAGAATTTAGAGTACTGACGAGGGGGAGTACAACCGACAAGAGATGACAAATGAAAACAAAGAACATGATCCAATTCACAGACGAGAATAACAAGTAGGTAAAAGTTCCAGTGATAAACGAACGTGGCAAAAATACAAAAGTCCAGACGATGTAGATAATAAAGCAAGGAACACCTATTGAAACTTCCATCAGAAGTTCACGCTTTATTCCGTGAGCGTCCTTTTCCGATCGTAGTGCCCATCCGATGTACGGTGCAACCACAAGAAGAAAGCTGGCTGCAAGCCCAATGCAGAGATATATTCCCCACTTTAGATAGCATCGTTGGCCATATTTGTAAAAAGCGATTGCCTGTCCGATTGCACATGCTGCGATTACTATTGCAACGGTGATGATGTAGACAATGGCAGAGCACACATTAGAAAACTCCTTTTTTGAACAATGCTTTACCATCCATCGATAGTCTGGCTCGTCGTTACGTTTTAGGCGCTCAGACTTTGTTAAGCTCATATAACGAACTATCAACTTGTTGAGCCGTAGTAATTTTTGGAGGCGATAGGTCTGTGCACACATAGCGAAAATCCACGTGTAATAGCCCAGAAGAACTCCCCAGAGCAGTACATCACATTTTTCAATGGCGGTAAATGATTGGTATACGAGTACAGTGTCAATAAAAACAAGGTTGCCGAACGCACCAAGTACTGTATGAAATAGACCTCGCTTTCGTAATGAATCTGATCTCCACCGGTGTGGCAACGCCTTTTGTTCTTCTTCTAAGTGGATCACTGATAGGTCGATAACAGCATCAGGCCCTCTGGAAGTGTAATATATAAATAAACCTGTAGTTATGATTATAAATATGGTTGTGAATACAGCACAAGAAAAGTATATTCTGCAAGATAACATCTTTCGTTGTATAAGCATGCATTGTTGGTAAGGTGGCATTGGTGACGGGGGTGCCACAAAGCCTTGGATAGCTTTGGCAGGATCAGAACAATCCGGAAAGCCAGTAAAGGCATTCATACGCTCCATAACTGGATATAATGATCAAAGGGAAAAAAAGGATGATAGAATATATGCATTACTTTTTCTTTATTTCTATAGGTTTAATTTGTATATCTACTATATATATATCTACCAATCAAACTCACTTATATTAATCTATTTATGGTAATTAAAATGGAATTAAGAATTTCTATTGGCTAAAAACATTTTTTTTTTGCTTTACATGTCTAAACTCAGAAATGGGTGTACAAAATGATTGAGAAATGTGACAAACAAAGTAGCCGTATTTTTTTGAGTAGAGTAGTTTTATTCTCAGACAGTACAATTACCCTATAGAAAAAAAAATAGGCGATTTTAGTGAATTGTTGCAAGTTTTTCGGGGTGTAAAGTGTATTGTAGTTTAGTTTTAATTAAGCACCAATTTCTACTCCACCATGTTTTTTTGCAGTCAAAGCAAAACATCTTTTTCTTGGCTTTTTCAACCCATTACAAAACTAAATACCAAGTTATTCAAATCTAATGGCTTACCAGCGGTAGATTGGGTGGGTCCTAAGCGGTAACCAGGACGAAATTTTTTATTTTCTTTGAATTCTAGTCAGTCTTTGTCTCAAACGACGACCCTCCTGGAGATCTTCTTCTGCTTGTCTTCTGATACGTCCAATCCGAATGACGCGGGTGAACCTTACAGGTATAGTCCCATCATATCTCAGATTGTTAAGTATACGTCGGAAGTTCAGGACAGCAGCAACATCCCGATTCCACAAACGATGCATAACCTCTGACCCGTCCATGTTCTCCAAACAATTTAGATTGGTACATCTAAAAAGGACTTGTCAGAATATATGATAATAAAAACGAAGCGTTTATATAATTCACCTTAGGAGACCATGACGTGTCATAGTTAGCATTTGAGAGCGGCGATATGGGCGAGGATTCTCGACTTGCTTGAAGGTTTGAAGAGACGGCTGGTAGCACCTCGGGCAGTATCTAGAAGTAGCATACTCATCGATCAAACAAACATTGAATCCATGTTTGCGAAGTAGATTCCTCATTTCTACACCCTTGATATGTTCGTGGTATCTATTGTGATGGGCAGACCAGTTTACCATAACCAAGACACAATCTTGGCCAAACTTAGCACGAATATCTTTGGCTAGACGTTCGCTGGCTTTACGTTGGTTGATGTATGAGGAGAAGCGAAGCTTGCGGAACAAAGGTTTCTTGCTGGTACGACTTACGGTGCTGGTATAAAAAGAAGAGAGGATAGAGGAGTTGGCTGCTTTGACTGAAGTATGAAAGGCAAAGTTTGTGGTGTTATTGGCTCGTCCCGACGTTTGGGAAATTTCACGTTCTGCAGCAATAACATTGGGGGCTTGAGCTTTGAGATCCTGAAGAATATGACGAAACTTGGTTCTCTTGAGTCTGATGTTCTTTTGGTTGGAGGTGTACCGGTAACATCTCGGTGTTTTCACCGTAGACTCCTCGTGCATGCAGTATAAAAGGCCTCTTCTTCCAGGATCGATAAGGACACAACGCCCGCAGATTATTTCATGCTGTTCTGGGGACAAGTCATGAATGTAAGGAATGTTTTCAGGGTTGATTGTGGTAGCCCTTCTGGGATTCGGTCCTTGGGTGGTGTCTTTGTTCTGCCTGATAATGGAAATACCAACACCATCGGTGTGGATTGTTCCTCTGAACTTCATCACGCCGTTCTGCTAGTCACGGAAAGCCTTTTCGTCCAAGTCCACCACTATTCCACACAGCTCTAGCTTATTCGCTCCTTCTGACCAAGTTCTTTTCAAGAGTTACTGGGATAGTATCCTGGTGTCAATTTGCATATAACCTGGTGACCAGGATCGGCGAAGAGGGAAGCAGTTGAAGGATCTACGCCCAAGGTGTTCTAAGAGTTTGACCATACGGAATAAGGCGAGGAAGTGGTTGTGTGGAGAGGCTTTTGAGTCATAATAGATAGAGTCCTTTTGGAACTCGTATCTTTTAGGATATGCGGTCAAGATGGGGGAGATTTCCATGAAGGCTGTTCTGTATCCCTCTCCGATGAAGACATCTTCAAGTCGGCGAGTTGAAACTCCTTCTTTGAACATCCTGGTGGGTTCGAAGATATGCTCTGTTAGCATTCTTTTGATTCGTTCCTCAGTTGCTCTTTGAATATGCAGTTGTTGGGTAAGCTCTCGCTGTTTGTTTTTTATATCGAGCAAGATATTGATCACTCGGCGGAGATGCTGGCCAAACATCAGCTTGATATTGACTATGTAGGCGGTGTGGATTTTTGTGGCCTCGTACATAGCAATTTGGTGGACGTTTAGGAGGGAGATGCGTGTGCATGAGCTGTTATGAATATAGGTGTTGATGTGGCGGGAAATGAGCTTACAGTTCAGCCTTGTTCTTTCTGCTATTCGGGAGGAGTCAGTGTTCCGGTCGATTAAAGAAAGAAACACCTTGACAAAAAAGGGCTGATTAATCCATCCATTGAGGCCAAAGAATGGGTCAAGTACCAGCTCGGCAAAGAAAATGTGCTTGCTTAGTGCGAAGGTGTGGGTGACAATTGTGTGGAATTTAGCGACAAGGACTTGTAGGGGTCAAAGGAACTCTGGATTCCACCCTGTTGTCTTTATTGATGCCTTGACAGTAAGGGCTAGGAATGGGGTAGCTTCGTTCATTGTATTCTAATCCACAATGGACCAGAGATATGAGGCTTGGGCAGTACTTTCGAAAGTGCCAATTTGTAGTGATATACTAAGATATTGAATAAGTATATATGCTGCAGGTCAGTTAATAGATTACTTACAAGAGTAAAGACCAAATGTATGTAGAGTTTAAAAATTCTTGCCTGTCAATTGTGCTGTCTTTTATAGACCTTTTCTTTTATATATCATATGTTACTTTGACGCATGAGAATATAGTACGTAATCAGCCAGATAAATATAATGCTATATATATTAAGGAGAGCTGCCTAAAGGTATTGATCATTTCGGTAGCATCTTGCAAATACATCAAAATAAGATTTAGTTTCTTATATCTGTATTGGCGTTTTATATTCGTTGTTCCGAATTTTGTGTGCCTATCACTAAAACTTACTGAGAATATGTGTGGGTGTGTATAACCATTGTATTGCTTGCAAACCTTCCTCAAGCCTTTTATCATAGAAATTGAATAATAATATTAATATGATTAATTTGAAGGACTTGTAACTTTGATACTTCTAGCAGTTAGGCTTAGGGTGATATTCAATTATCATTATCTTGGTTTTTAATCCAAAAAGTCATTTTACGTGAATATTAGGGGGTTTCAACAGTCCTTTAAAATTTAAGCCTTGAGTTTTAAAGCAGTAACCAATAATACGTAAGAGTTACTAAGTGTTTTCGAGTACCCTAAATACTTCTTTCAGTTCTATTAGGTATTGTGATAATAGGATATAAGCTTAAAGTAGTATTGAAAGAGACACAGATATTTGCATCAAGGATTTATTAAAAAATTAAAACTCTCGAACAAAATTTAAGTGTTTTAATCTTTTTTTTTTAATGGTTATAGACTCATTTCAGCCAATTATTTCTCAAATTTAAACTCAAAAGCTTAAGTTTAAAAGCTTGAATGACTGTTGAAATCCCCTATTGAGCTTTGGCTGTTATGCATCTTTATTTTGAAAAATGATAACTGGTCTTAAAAAAAGATGTCAATATGACTGTTTCTGGTGTTAAGGACATATATAAGTTCAGATTGGAGATACGAAGAGTTCATAGGGTTTGTTTGACCCTTTATTCGATTTTTTTTAAATCAAAAGGCAATTCGCCATCAGTTATGCGCTAAAGTTGATTATCTGTATTGAAATCAAGAGCTTTCTTTTTCTTAGGAAATATATAGGAATATATATATACTCTAAAATATTGAAACACTTTTGATAGATCTTATTGGTTTAATGCTGTCCAGAGAAAGTAGGAGGGGTGTTTTACTCTTTAACGAATAAGGAGAGTATACTAGAGAAGAATCATCGAACTCCATTATAGTATATACATACAAAATCAACAATATTATATTAAAACACTCTACTGGTACAATAAATGGAGCATATACATACACTGATATACACTTTTGATACTGTTTAGCAACATATTCCCTTTTTCTGCGTGTTACCGATATTTAAGGTTCAATTAAAATAAATATGTTAATTTTTGAGTATGATAACAGACATATATTCTTATAATGATAAATAATATCGTGACCTGTAACACGCATTCATCGCTGCTGGATATTCAAGTATACACACCAACCAACATATACCTATACATAGGCACATTTGTAGATACAATAAACTATATCTTACAAACAAGTACTGGTTCTCAAAGCCCCTTTGGCTTGTGTAAATTGGTTTATTGTGAGGGCTCCTTGCTGATCAGCCCTATCATTTTCATACACATTACAGAACAGCACAGAACAGCATATCATCTGTCGATCATTTTGGGTCCATATTCACAACTGGTTTGTACCTTATTAACCTTTAAATGTTTACTCATACAACTAAACATCCTTTTCGATATCGAGTATTGACTCACTAAATATTGACACACAAGTGTATCTTTTTTTTTAAAAAAAAATTAATACTTGGATAGGAAAGGTGCTCAATAAGTTCTCTCTTTGACCATATAAAGGAATATTGGTTTATGAATTGAAGCTCTTTAAATAATATTAGATCAGCACGTTTTTCTTTCTTTCTTTCTTTCTTTCCTATTTGACAAGTATCAATCTTTAAATTCTTTATTCAACAACTAATTGGCTCGATCGATTCTTCCTTTCCTCCGTGTTTTATTTGGGCTTCATAAATTATTAAACTTATTTGTACCTTATAAAAATGTAGATTTTCTCCTAAAGCTGTGAGTTGGATTAAGGTGCAAAGTTCAAAGTTCAAGTAAAAAAAAAAGATTTATTGGTATACGAATGAATAAATGAATACATAAACTATTTATTAAAAAAAATGAAAGACCAAAACGGCTATATTACATACGCATTTTGTGCAGTAGTTTAAAATAATAGAATATATAATTAATTATTGACCATTTTAAACTGTATTAGAAGAGTTTAAATAGAAAATAAACAAGATATTCGAGTAATGTAGTATTAGGATAAGCTTAAATGGAGAATTATTAAGGATTCTCAGGTACGAGTAAAAATTTCCGAAACTGAAGGATTAATAATCAAGTCGTATAATCAAGTTATATCCCATAACATTTGTTTTTCTTTTATGAGTCTGTCACAAAAAAATACATAGCCAATAGCTATATAAGGACAATATATACTTAGCGCTTTAGACTCGATGACAAATTATGTATGTACACTTATGAGGATCACTGACAAATACTGTATCGTAGGTTCCTTTTTGTATTAAAGGAAAGAGATTTGAATCGAATAAGGCTTTTGTATGCAGTTTTTAGATGTTAAAATCTTCCGTATAACAAATAAGCCAAGCCAACTAATAATCCGAATTAGATTCTGTAAAGGCATTTTTCAAAAGAGAATTATTCACCATATACTGGTAAGCTAGTATCCATTTTCTGGGTTATCTGACAAGTAGGACCCCTTACATCCCAGCTCTAATGGCGTGATAAATGATGTGTGTGTGTATGGGTGTTCAACTGGGGCTACTTAGGGACCATGCAATCATACATTGTGGGTCAATTGTGCCTATAGACTTCTCTCCGGGCATACGGAATCAATAGAAGAGCAAGGATGCTCAGTAGTGATTATATCCATTTGCAGCCTTACAAATATTGTAACACAGTAATGCCCAGAATTACAAAAAGGCTATTTATTCCTTATTTAGCTTTTAGTTTAATTTTTCCCAGCTTGAATATATTTCTCTAGATTCTACTTCATCAGATATCACTCCTAATAGACCAGATGATTCCGATAGGCTACAGACCAATCCAAAGCTTACACACTATATTATCGAGTCCATGATCAGGTTGTGTAAGGTTTGTAGTAGAATCCAGCCAAGAAAATTGCCCTTTACGATTTTCTTGCCAAGAAAGGCAGGACGAGTTTGTCGTGACCGTCACTTACAAAGAACCCCGTTATAAGAGTGCTCTTTTTGTATGCCCTTTCAAAGAATTAAGACTTGTTCTCTCTCTATCTCTTTTTTTTTGTACTCCTATTACTGCTCATCATGACACGCGTTGCTCCTCAGCCTGCTCTTGACTTTAGTATCACTGATGACCAAGTCGCTAACATCATTGCCTCCGTGATTGAGGAAGAGCTTGCAACTAACAACGCCATTGCTGCCTTGAAACCTGAAGAACAAACCTATGAGACTATTGTTGTTCCTCTGGCTCGTATTGAGAACAATTTGTCAGGTAAATTTAAAGAATAATACGGGGGTAAACTTTCACGGAAACCTTTGAGAAATAAAGTGAAATTGACGCGTTTGCGAATTGGGATTATTTCTACAGGAAAAATCCAGCTGGCTAGCTCACTCTCTCAGATCTCACCCGATGCTGTTGTGCGTGAGGCATCCGTTGAGGCCGAAAAGAAATACGAAGAATTTAGCATCGAGCAGACCATGCGTCATGATCTCTACGAAGTTATCCAAGAATTCATTAACAAGACAGACCTTAGTACCCTCGATCACGAGGACGCACGCATGTTGAAGAAGATGGAAACCAGCTTCCGCCGCAATGGTCTCCATCTCTCTCAAGAGAAGCGTGATGAATTTAAGGAGCTCCGCAAGCGTTTAAGTGAAGTCTGCATCGAGTATATGAAGAATTGGAGTCGTGAGAGCAGCAGCATTACTTTTACAAAGGCAAGTCTCACAAAAGAGCAGAAAAAGAACAGTGTGGATTGGTCAGGACATGTGTATTGATTTTTTATTAATTTAAATAGGATGAACTTGAGGGTTTGGATGACGATTTTATTGGTAAGTTTTCAGCTCAAGTTAGTTGTTGAATTCATAAAAAGATAGCTTACCAATATGTATTAAAGGTGGTTTGGATACAAGAGAAGAAGATGGCGTCAAGAAATATGTCTTGACAATGAAGTAAGTACTTGTTTAAGAGACTTTGATTACCAAAAAAAAAAGATGAATTCTGACATGCTTCCCTATAGATATCCTGGTAAGATCTTGTAGTAATGTTAAACACATACAAAAGTTGATGTTTTGATTAACTATAATATATGTAGATGTCCGCCCATGTAAGTATAAAAATATTGTTTATTCTGTTTTATTTTGAGTCCCATATTCATCAAGTATATTCTTCTTTTAGTGCTGAAACTGTGCAAGAACGAAAATACCCGCAAGGTCCACATGACTGCTTTTGAGTCGCGTAACCGTGAGAACGTTGCTCTTCTGGATGAAGTAAGGAGCAAGGCCAATAATTCAAAGGCTTAGTTTTCTTTTTATTTTGACTACCAGCTAATAATCTCAACAATTCTCTAGGCTGTCAAAATTCGTAGAGAATGTGCAAAGGTATACCAACGACAGAAAACACTGTACAAAAACAAGGTGCTTACGATTGAGATAATCTGGTTTAGATCCTTGGTTACAAGTCTCATGCTGCCTATGTTCTCGAGGTCAAGATGGCCAAGTCAGTCGAATCAGTTCGTAACGTAAGCTCCCTACACACACGTACACACATCAAAACGCATGTATTACTAGGTTTAACGTTTCTTGGCTGGTACTTTAGTTTGTAGACGATTTAGCCACTCGCTTAAAAGAGGCTGGTATCAAGGAAATTGAGATTCTCAAAAACCTTAAGGAGGAAGAGAAAGGTAAACTTTAAAGAAACCTTATTTTTCTGTTACACCAGCGATATTATTTATTAACAAATACTTTCTCTCTCTCTCTCTCTCTCTCTCTCTCTCTCTCTCTCTCTCTCTCTCTCATTTAGCTCTGCGCAATGAGCCTTTTGATGGCAAGATAAACTCTTGGGACACCAGCTATTATGAGCGTATCCTTCTTGAGAAAAAGTATTCTGTTGACCAAGAACAGATAAAGAAATACTTTAGCTTGGAGCCAACTATCCAGAGTAAGTAAATATTGTATTGATAAAACACACACACACGCGTATATATATATATATTTAATCAAAAAACACACTTTTTTACATAAAGAAATGCTTGAAATTTATGCAAAGGTCTTGGGTCTGCGTTTTGTTAAAGTACCAAGTGACAAGGCTGTGGTGTGGCATGAAGATGTTCAGTTGTTCGAGTGCTGGGATGATGTGGAGGACAAGAGCTTTTCTGGTTACATGTACCTCGACCTGTTCCCTCGTGACAGCAAATGTAAGTCTTTATCTTTGGCTTCACACAATAGGATAGTTTTTCTGATAAGGTATCATAGATCCCCACGCTGCCTGCTTCCCATTCCAGCCTTCTTATATCAAGGAAGATGGTGAACGTGTAGCCCCAATTGCCGCAATGGTGGCCAACTTCACTAAGCCGTATGTATATATAGATGTTTTGTTTAGTTGAATTCTTTATACCTAAAATTTTGTTTTTTCTTAGTACTGCTGACAAACCTTCCTTGTTGAAACATGAAGAAGTCGTAACTCTCTTCCACGAATTGGTAAATTATCCGTACCCTTAAATAATTTTAAAAGGATATTTTGTATTCATTTCTTTTTTAATAGGGTCATGTCATGCACCATCTTTGCAGTCGTACAAAGTACGCCCGATTCCATGGCACTTCCGTTGAAGGTGACTTTGTTGAAGCACCTTCTCAAGTAAGTAAAGCAAAAACAAATAATACAAATGTAAAATATACTTATTTATTCTCTATAAAAAAACAGATGCTTGAGAACTGGTGCTACGACTCTAAATCTCTAAAGTACTTGTCTTCTCATTTTGAGACTGGAGAGCCAATTTCGGATGAAATGATTGACCTGATTATCAAGTCTAAGAACGTCAATGCAGCCATTTCAAACTTACGCCAACTCTTCTTTGGTATCTTTGATATGGAACTCCACACTTCAGATGGTAACTATAATGGATCGAATTGTTTACGGGAGACTAACAAATATTTGGTTTTTTATTTCAAAAGATGAAAATTTGGACAGCAATAAGCTTTACAATGACCTCCGTGAAAAGGTTTCTTTGATTGCAGCACCTGAAGGAAGCTGTGGTCAGGCTGCATTTGGGTGAGTAGTGTTAGCCAGAAAACTGAGCTACCACGAGTTTACTTATGCGTTTATTTCTTGGTAGCCATATAATGGGTGGTTATGATGCAGGCTATTATGGCTACATGTGGTCAAAGGTGTTTTCAAGTGACATGTTCTATAGCAAGTTTGAGGAGAACACCCTGTCCCCTGAAGTAGGCTATTCTTACCGTAAGTGTATTCTTGAAAAAGGTAGCAGCAAGGACGGCATGGATCTTCTGAAAGACTTTTTGGGACGCGAGCCTTCTTCAGATGCCTTTATGCGAGAAAATATTGGTATTAATTAGATACTTGAAAGCTAAAATCAGGATTTCCCTGGTATTAAGTATTTGGAGCTAAACACCAATAAACACACAAACTCATCCACACACGCGCGCATATATACACACGACCCTTGTAATATTGCCCTTTACCCCAATATATTAAATTTAAGCAAAGATAAAAGGGGGAGTTTTCCTTTTTCTTTTATCTTCTAAAAGGGTATAAAGGAGTTGAGCATGAAGATGTAAATACGTGGATACCTATCCCGCCTCTTTTTAGGCTTTAAGGTTTCATCTCCTTTATGCTATATACATGTACATATTGTACTAAATCTGCAGCCGCTCTTTCTGTTTTCTTATTGATATCGCTATTATCATTTACTCCTGGTAGAAGTTTCCTTGTCAAATATTGTTTACAAGCAAAATATAATCAAATATATTACTGAATAAGTCACAATTTTTGTTCCTTTCCTTTTGATTGCCGTAATAAATTAGGCTTTTTTACTATTTTATATTGTGGATATAAATGATACCATTTTCTCGTATTGCTCGTACTTATTGTTAAATTACGTAATACCGTGGTCATCTATATGAACAAGAACAAGGATATGGTACTTGCCAAGGATCATTAAAACGCCAAGCTATTAGACCAATAATACGTCTTTTAAGCTGAAGCTATCTAATGACGATTGTATACATCAATACACATAGTATCTCTGACAAGTAGAAAAATGATGGTGTGCATGACGTCCTTGGAACCCCGCTCTACCACAGGGACCCCTTTTTTCATTCGATTAGATTTTTCTCATTTCGCTTCTTCAAAGACTTTGTCCTTTTTGCCTTGGATCATTCTTTACACATTCCTTTTTTTTTTAAAAAAAAAAACCTCATTTAATAACTCCCTTTCTCTACCCCAGACGCTAGCTTTATATGTACATCTTCTGGCTGTAACATATTCTTCTTTATACAGCATCAATCTCCTTTATTTATTTTCATATCATTCGTGCTAATTTCCTTTTATTGTCATATAATGAGCTCATTACCAGATGAACATTCTCAAAATGTTCAAGAGCCAAATAAATCAGAATCTTCCCGAGATTCATTTGCGCCGTCAAAGGATCATCCTCCAGTACACACCTTAGCAAGCATGTCCCGAAAAAAAAACCAACATTCCAGTCGACCAAGCTTAGTGAATTTACGTTCAGCATGGTCATCAGAATTTACACCGAGGTTCGTTTCTGAATCAAACCAGATCACCTTACCCGAGCACAGCTTTCATCTGCAAGATCAACCAATTCTCCAAGAGATCAAACATCTAGCTCTTGTAGTAAGTGCACTGTGTCTTGGTAATGCCGTATATGTTGTGAGAGCAACAACATCTGGTGGACTACTAGTATCAATACCTGTCGTTGGCTGGGCTATTTACGTTGTCTGGATATTATTGCACAATAAAAAAGATCAAAGAACTCTTCAATTGGGTTATTTTGGTGCTATTGCAACTGGATTTATTCAAACATTGTCAAACTATCATTATAATAACTACCATTATTATCATTACTCTCACTATTCTACTTACGAATGGGTTACAGTCGGAAACAATCTTATCATCGCAGTCTTATTTTATGGATTACAAAGATTATGGTCAGCAAACTTTCAAGGCCGAAAGTCGGTACAGGATCATTACACAGTTAAACAGCAAGACGCACAGAGCCATGTCAATGAACATCTTGAAAAATACACGCAAGAGCAGACAACCTTTATAAAAACAATAACCGAAGAGATCCAAGATGCAGCCTTGATGGTATTAACAACACTCGAACAGTTCTCGCCATCAAGTTTGTTGACCAACACGCACGAGTTATTGAATGCATGCTCAATTCCCGTACCAGTAGCAAGTGTGACAGCAATCCATACCACAATACGCCAGGTATTTCACATGAGCGCACACCTACAGCTACTATCACAACTCGTCCGCCAAAATACACGGGTTGATTCCGATGATAAACATCTGCAGAGCAGTGTACAACTTTCATTTGATGTGGGAGAAATGGTCCAGAGCGTAGGTGACGCTATTGCAGGAATGGCATCCCAATTGGATGTGGGATTTGTTATCTACCATTCAGATAATGTTCTTCATCACGCCACAATATTAGGAGATGAAGATGCTATTCAGCACACTCTTATTAGTGTAAGTATTGATATCATTTTTCATGAAATGATTGGTACTGAAGTTTTCAGAACCAACCTTGTCTATTTTAGTTATTGCGCAATATTCTTGAAGGAAGTACTCCTGGCGCATGTATCGAGCTTGGCCTTAATATCGTTTCCGTGGACACAGGACTCAAAGTGACATTTGAGATTATTCACACAGTATCACCTGCGATTCCACCCGGATTGAAGGCAACCCTTTTGCCTAATCCAAACCTGACAACACGACTTATTCAGTACATTGGAGGCGAATTGGTAGTAGAGGATTTGGGTAAACAGAAAACACGATTTGAAGTAACTCTTGAAGGAACTAGTCCTGGAAACTCTTTTGAACGACCTCTTGAGCGAAATTTGAGTAGTCTTCAATATTCACGTGAGCCGACCCTTGGTGAACTTGTCGGTTTTATTGGTCAACTCAAGGGCGTGAAGCTGGTTCTCCATGCACCTGAGAAGAGCGTGTTTGCAAAGCATCTGACAAGCTGTTTGGCGAGTTGGAATACTGACATTAGTCACATCCCCATATCTCATTGGGACGATACGGTGATGGAACCAGAAAGCGTTGATACCTCAGTATCGCATGACAGCATCGAGTCATCTAGCGCGAATTCGGGCTCTTCACAAACACAAATTCCTAAATCTGTTTCACCTTCTGGATCTCTCCATTCAAACCATTCAGCTACTTCTCAAAGATCGAACACTTCTTCACAAGTACCATCCCCTGCTCTTGAAGAAGACAACATTCGGGCTATACCACCTGCATTTATCCTGATAGACGATGATGCTGCTACGCTCAAGGCTAAATTGAACGAATTCCGCTCACAGCCACCTGCTTCATCATCCACTTTACAAGCTCACCACCAACAGAGTAGACGTAAACACAAAACACAGATGCCCCACAACTTCTTCCATCAGGGTACGACTGGTATAATCTTCTTCACTTCCTTACACAATTACCGGGACGTACGTAGCATCCTGCAAGTGTATATTGGGGCGAGCCAACATCAACTTCCATTCTCTATGCCACGCGTTGTAGTTGTACCAAAGCCAGCTGGCCCACGTCGATTCTTGACGGCAATCCACACAGCATGGAACAATGCGATTGTAGAACCTCAATTTTTACCCATTGCTACTTCTCCTTCTCATGCACTTGTGAGCGCACATGGAATGTCAACACCAGTTCCTGAGAAAGATGATGTTAATACGCGCATACCTGATCTTAACGCCATAGGGACGGAGATAGACGGTTCCGCCACAAATGAAATGATCGGTGGCGATGGAGTCAGTGGAGTCAGTGGCGGGAGTGCGGGTGCAGGGTCTCCACCTTCAGAACTCCAACGTCGTGCTATGGCCAATAGTGGTGGATTGTTCACAACATCAGTTGGTCTTGTGCCTGATGCTGGATTTGAAAAGGGAAACTATTTCTTTGAACCTATGCACCAGTCTAGTTCAGGGAAAAGGCATGCACGCGCCCAAAGTGGACCATTTGTTTCTCCTGGTCGTCGTGCACTTGCTGCGAGTGACATGGCATCGGATTATGTGACTATAGGATCCACCAATTCAGGGCAAATTTCAGGACATATACATGGACAGGGATCTCCTACTGTCGGCAGTCCTCTCAAGCAAACAATAGCACCTTTAATGGAAGATGATACAACCAATAACAACAACAGTTTGAAAATTACCACTGTTGTATCTAGTCCCGCCAAAAGCACCGGTAGTAGTAACCACAATTCTGGTCAACTAGGAGATGCTTCTGTCGTTAGTTTGGTAGCTAATAATACCCAGACAATCGAAGCTGCCCAGACTACAGCCAAGGTGCCTACCAAAAAATCAATGCGATTCAAGATTAGCAATCGCAAAAAGAAAGACAAGGGAAAGGGATCTGGTGTATCAAGCCCACCGATCAAGGTGTTAATTGTTGAAGGTAAGACGGATCGTTATTTAACAATAGTGACAATGACTGTAAGAGTAACCAATCGATAATTTTTTGAAAACAGATAACATGATCAACCAAGCTATTCTGTCAACTTGGATGAAAAAACACAAGATCAAGTATGAGGTGGCCAGCGATGGTAGGGAAGCAGTGGACAAATGGAAGAAGGGTGGATTTCACTTGGTTCTGGTAAGAATTCAATATATTTGCGTTTACAGAATATTCATTTTATATATAAATATATAACCTAGATGGATATCCAGTTGCCAGTAATGAGTGGTATCGATGCAACAAAAACAATAAGATCCATTGAAAAGGAGCAAAAGATCGGAGTACTACCAACCATTCCCTCCTTTCATCATCAACAGAGCCACGACAGTACTTTATCAGATACTCTTTCACTCGAGGGGTCAGAATCTATGACTCCAGGAAGCTTGCAAGTTCTCCCACCTCCACCTTCACCATTCAGATCACCGGTGATTATTGTAGCACTAACGGCATCATCTCTTGAGTCTGACAGACAAGCCGCGCTTGCAGCAGGTTGTAATGATTTCTTGACCAAACCTGTTAGTCTCGAATGGCTCGAGCAGAAGATTATGGAATGGGGTTGTATGCAAGCCTTAATTGATTTTGAAGGCTGGCGTAAGTGGAAGCAAGCTGCTCAACCCTTGGTAACCGCAGTACCTACGAAAACAACAATACCGACGACAACAGAAGGAGAAAATGAAGCGGAAACGACAGTACTCTCTTTACCAAAAGTGGCACGATCGTCATCTCAAAGACAGGGCATTGTTCTGCCAGGTGCTTCTGGATTAGCTGTTCGCCGTCGTGAAGATCGATCGACACGCCGACCAAATCCAGTCAAACAGGCGTCTGAAAAGACGAGTTTGGAAAAAAAATTTGAGACTAAAGAGTCATAGAGAACGGAAGGAGATGGAGTACGATACATGTAGTGTATATATGATTTAATGATCTAAAAGTCACTGGGAGACTTACCTCTTTGTAAATTATATAATGGAATAGCTTTTAATATATATATACATACACACACACATACACACATACACACATACATATATATATAATTATACATATTATGATAACTAAATTAAGAAAATTAAATGTTTACTGTAATGTAAATCCATTGAATATGTATGTAAATACAAGTACTTTGCCAGTTTAAGCCAAGGTTTTAATGCAGACCTTTCATGCACATCTTGTAAAGAATCAGGAGTCTTGTTCTTTTTAATTTTCCAAGATTATTATTCATTGAATAGAAAATGGAGTTAATAAACAAATGTTGCGCTGCGAGTCAAGACCACAAGGGTAATATCTAGGGGTCAAGAAAGGCATGGATATTATTTGGAGGTTAAAGAGCGTGCTTTTAGTTTTCTGTTTAGGAAGGGTTGAGAAAGGGGTGGTAGTGGTGTTTGGGATTTATTGTTCATTCTCCAGGAATGGACCCTTTTGGTTTCTATTCCATTTGGTTTGCTCTTGACATCCTTTTGCACCCAAAGTGTGCTCTGTGTATGGCTACACTTACGTCCAACATTTCACCATGCTTAAGACTATTACGCCGAAATCTTTTGGCCAGCGCCAACAACAAAGACCCAAGACGGTTACTTTCTTTGACGAAGAAGACCTGTATGATGATGACATTAGTTTCATGACTGACGACGATAGCGTCCATGAGCCTGGCCAAACCACACTTGGGCTGGCAAAGTTTCTTGCGACAACAGGGCCAGAAGAGTTTGATAAAAAAGATTGTTCATCAAATCCGAGCAGCAGTCGAGCGTCAAGATTATTGAACAAATTGCGTAAGCGACCCTCCTTCAAACCTCCAGCCGGAGGGGGAGGTGGTATTGGAGGCGAACGTCGCAACCATATTCCCTTGCCAGTCTACTGCCCAACAACTTCCTCTGAACCGAGACCAACTCTGCGAGACTCGGGGATTTACAGTATGAGCGACAAAGAATCATCCATAGCTCCTCCTCCTCCAGTGCCTAGTTTGCCTTATGTAGCATCACCGCGGCTACCGTCATCGACTTCGTTGAGCGACCTCCACTTCCCTATGCCACCCCTCGCTGCCCCTTCACCGACCTCTTCAACCTCACTCCGACCCCTGCGCCCGAACCCATTGCCGGCAGCAGTGGCCTCTGCTGCAATTGCGGCAGCGATGCATTCCCATCGCGCCATGTCCGTCTGCTCCGATCTATCCGAAAACCCTCAACATCGCCCCTTGCCACCCCAAGTCATTAAGCGAAGGTCTGTAAGGATACGGCATGCACAAGTTCAAACAGATGATCTAGACTATACAGATCTCTTGAAAATGGTAGAGTCCCTTCAGCTCCAATTAGAAGAAGAACGGGCTCTCCGTGAAACCAATACTGTTCCCTAATGAAGTAATTATTTCCCTATTTCTCTTTTTTTTTTTTTTAATTCTATCTCTTTTTTTTTGCTTTTTTTTTTTAAAAAAAAAACTCTCTCTTTTTAAACTGTGTACTTCAACCCTCATATCTCTATCTATCTATCTCTTTATCTCTTTCTCTTTATTTCTCTATATATGAAGGAGCTCCTTCTGTCTCCCCAATTTAATTCGTTTCTATTTCTAATGAGTACTTTTTGACTCCCTTATCTTGATGGGTTCTTTTCCAAAACATTACGACCAGAAATTATTACAGTGTTTTTACTTGATATTTAGGGACCTTGGACAACATCATACAATTTTTTTTGGAAACATTTAACCAAATATATCATTTTATATGGTCTCACGTTTTAGTTCCAACACGTCTATACACGGTCAAAATGTGTGATATTTCAATTATCAGACATGTTAATTTCCTAAGCTCATAAACATAAAAACATACAATTAATGCAATCCAAAGTTTGTTACATTTTGCCATAGGATTATTATAACTGATTAACTTTCTAGACATTAAAGCTAAAACACTGTTGACTACTATTGGTACAAGTAAGATTCTTGCGTAAATAAAGAGAAAGAAAAAAGCTTATGTTTGGGTAATGTGGGCTTCTTTATAAGCTTACTTCAAAACATATATATATATTATTTCAGGTTTTATGACATCGTTAGTTTAACAACAAAAGGTATCAAAAGATGATTGGATAATAAATTTTATATCATCTTTTTATATCATGGAAGATATTTTATGTGGTGTGTCAAAGGTCCCTAATCCCAAGTAGAAACACTGTATTGACAATCTGACAGAACAGTATGTGACGTAAATATATATCCCACAGCTAACGACACTGCGTCCAATACTATCTTTATTTTATAATTATAAATCGTTGAGTGATGTATATATTATTCTATATCCTATATGCTCTTATATATACACATAAAAAGAATTACCATTTTTCTTTGGTCAATATGTTAATGAGCTGTAAAATACTCGATTTTCAATATATGTATACTTGTGTATATCATTTAGTACTTCTAACATGTCCATAACTTTGATGCTTCAATTATTTATTTATTTTCATTGAAGTGTTATAAATGCTAAAGTAAGGCTACTGGGGGATGAACATGGAAGCACACATAAATGTAGCATATTGTCTAGACAAACCCCCCCATGCCAGAAGGTCTTCAAGGTCTTTCTAACCAGCACTCCTATATTTTGAAAAGAATCAAAGCAATAGTCATCCAATACTTTTTTTTTTAAAAAAAAAAGATATCTATTTCTATAAGTTTATAGTTTACTTCTATATAAGCCATCACAAGTATGCGCATACAAAGTATTTTTCTTTTTCTTTTGGCTTCAGTGCAGCCAGGAACACTATTAGATACTACAAGTAGGTGTATTTGATAGTTGGAAGTCCATGTTATCAAATACTACTTTTAGGCTTCTATACAGAATTGAACGTGAATAGATATAAACACAACGGTTTAACAGAGTAAATGAAGGAAGAGTTAATTAACCTATTATCATATTATGGTCTATGACAATAGACTCTAGAGGGGAAAAGAATCGACATCCAATTATTATTATAACTCATTACATGACAATAAGGAGCAGGATACTTGGGTGCATACACTGCGGTAAAAAAAAAGGATGCTTTTAGTAGGTGATTTTGCAAAATACGCCTCTAAGTACACCCCGTAGCACATACAGAAATATATACCCTAAACATGCATTTTTCTTATAAAGACGGATTACTTGGTGAGAGAGCAGAGACCTGGAAGAAAATTGTATAGCATAGAGCACATGATTAATGATACTAGACTTCCAGAAAATGTACACCTTTTTTGACCTATCCTTGGTAAACCAATTTTTACAAAAAATAATAGTTCAAATGCATATTAGATAAAATTGTGCTCATAGTATCAACTCTGCTATCATGTAAAAAAAAATAGTATTGTATTGCGTTCTTTCTAACCCTTTGGAACTGTGGCTTATCTCTCCTATAAAAAACATGCTCTTGTTCTCAATCCGAGTGACAATAGAAGAAGCCTAGCTAGTTAAAGTTGCTCAAAAAATTCTATCTTTTAGTCTGTCCACACCATGTATTTTCTTTTTTCAAAAAGGAACAATATGCTCAAAGCCAAAAAAAAACATCCCTGCTAGAGAGCAGGTAGAATATATTCCTGATGCCCCTATATAAAAGTATATTTTGATTAATTTTAACACTGCCTGTGAGAATCGTTCTTATTTTATTGCCCTGTGCAATTTTTTGCTCTTTTTTTTTTGTCTATAAACAAGCACCTCTTTTATTCAAAGTAAAATAAAACATGGCACATTTGGTAAAGATATTTTTTAATGGTAGTATATCTGTATCTCATTGACAATAAATGTAAAATAAATAGCTTTTCACTTACTATGCTTTCAAGCAAGGCTTTATCTTTGGAGTATAGTACTTGCCATAACACCAATTTATAATTCTGTATACAGTACCTATACATGGCATTTTAGACACTAATATTATTTGTCAATGTATTTTTCGAGAATAGTCTCACTCTCAAGTAGAAAAACTGTAGTAAATTATATTTATCAAACAAAATCCCAGAAAACGAAAACAGGAAAAACACTGCCCTTCAACATTATATAAAATAAAACGGTTCTTTCCTCTACGTTATAAAAATCGTGTCTAGCATCAAAACCCAACTCTTTCCAGAAAAGCGATTTTCTTCTTCTTCAAGTATGAGAGTATTATACGTATATTTTACGGAATTAGATCCAATAAACCTTGCAATAGCTACTGTAATAATCTTATGCACATTTGAACATTATATAGTGTTTTAGAAAGACCATAATGCATTTAACTTGAAGAAATGAACGGGTCAATAAAAGTGATCAAAAAGCGGAATGAATTAATTTGATCTTTACGTCGTATAAAAGAAATCACTATAAGCTTCTATTAAGGTAAACATATATATATGTACTCTTTTCAATAATTAATATGTGTAAGTAACACAATATTGGTGTACCAAGAATTAAACAAAACCAAAAAATAATAATAATAATAATAATAATAAGACGTCAAAGATGCACATTTGGCGGGGTTGTGTTTACCAAGCACCAAGACTTTTAACTACAGATTTTGCCCACACAAAAAAAAAGAGATATTTTCACAAGCAACACGCCCACGCAAATACCCGCGTACATATACATATATTACCAGTGTATTTTATTACAAATTACCTACTTATTTATTAGAAATGACTTGTCTCAGCAAGACACAGTGGATACTGTGCATCTTGATGGGGTTGAGCGCCCTAGCAATTCATGTCATCCTCGATGCATTCTATCATCCTTATGATCCGCCTGCTTGTAGCATGTCCTATGCTCGGCCATCGTATCATCAAATTCCAAATGTTGTTTCTCGCCTCTCTGAAAAATACACACTCTATCTTTATCGTGAAGTTACCGTTGATCGAGAAGATGTATGTATTATATACAGGATACTAAAATACGTGTAAAAAAACACGTTCATAGGAACCATGAAAATTAAAGAGATGTGCGCATAGTTGAGTGGTGTACCCGTTCTTTTTATCCCAGGACATGCTGGTAGTTACAAACAAGTGCGATCCATAGCGGCCCAAGTAGCCAATCATTACTACTATGAAATTCCTCTTCATGAAGGAAGTGCATCGATGGATATTTTCACAGGTAATCAAATGTGCTTGACTTATGAATTTATAAATTTATCATTTGTGTATATCAATCTATCTAGTTGATCTTAATGAAGAGTTTTCTGCCCTGAGCGGCCAATTACTCCAGGATCAAGCGGAGTATTTGAATAGTGCAGTCTCTCGTATTCTTGAATTCTATCCTTCGGCTTCATCTGTAATGGTGCTGGCACATTCTATGGGCGGTATTGTAGCAAGAACCATGTTTACGTTACCAAATTATCAACCAGGAAATATCAACACTATCATAACCTTGGCTACTCCACACGCCACAGCCCCATTGGTCCTGGATCCTACACTGGATAGGCTATATCGGTCAATGGAGACATTCTGGAAAGAAGGTTATGCTAATGGAACATTAAATGATGTCAGTGTAATATCGCTAGCAGGTGGCAGTCTTGACACAACCGTAAACTCGGATTCCGCAAGTGTGGCAGACTGGGTTCCTGAATCGCATGGTTTGACTGTATTCACAACTGCAATTCCGAATGTGTGGACAGGGTGTGATCACAGAGCAATTTTATGGTGCAATCAACTCGTCAAAGTAGTTGCCGCTATGATGGCTGAGGTTGTAGACCAGCGTAAACCACAGCAAACTATCCCAGTAGAGCAACGTATGGCTGTGTTTCGCCGGCATCTTGGTCTCAGGCCCCAGACACATCCTTGGGTTCATTCTTCTTCACTTCGCAACCTTCAGCTCCGTACCAAGATCAATCAAAGAGGTCCCACCAAACGACAAGGAATAAGAATTCTCGTCGAACCAAATAGCACATTTGCTTTGGTGACTAATGCATCCCCAGATAACTTTGGTTTTTCTGTATGGTTGTGTAGCGAAGACAACGGATGTGTGGATATAATCGAAGATATTAAGGCTATGCCAAGTGCATTGGAATCTACCTTGAGGTGGTCCTTGGAATTACAGCCTAATAGACTACAAAACTATGACTATATCGTTTTGGTCCATCGCCAACCGATCACCCGTGAAGATTTCTTTATGGATGCTTCTTTTGTCTCATCAATTACGACTCTAAACAATTCTTTATCCGGTAAGAGTTCTTGGCATCGTTTGATAGCACTCCAGAAAAGGATTTACGCCTTTGAAATATTTGTGTAGATATTGCCCATTCTGGACTCAAGTTTACCTTGAAGCCAGATATCGTTTCCGAAATACAAATACCAGCCATTCACAATCCACTATTGATCTACCGTCTTGAGCTATCGTCTGAGTGCAACGAGCGTATAGTGCGTCAAAGAATGGGTGCTGAGGGAGAGACTAAATTCAGTCACGGAAATACAATACATCTCACCTTCCATCATCACAAGGACGAAGGCTTGGTACTAGAGTTTTGGGGTACACAGAGTTGTGCGCCTTTTGAGGCTTTGCTGAAAATAGATTGGTACGGTAGTGCAGCTCAATGGATTTTGCGTTATGGTGCAGCTAGTATTACCACATTTTGGCTAGTTATCACTCTCTCTATCATAAGCTATCAACTTGAGTATCAATCTTCTGAAGGTAAGACCTATCTTGTGTTGATGATAGCAACATCTATTCTAACACTCTTTTTCTTCTATAAAACAAACAAAACAATATAATAGCAACATTTATACCTTTTGAAGAAGCCTTTTTGCAATGCCTTAAAGGGCGACTCGCAATTTTGACAGGCGTACTAGCGTTGTGTGGATACAGATCCTTGTGGGCTCCATGTATTAATAACATACTACCTTTTACTATAACACCACTTTCATTCCTTCAGGATGAGTTGCTGTTAGGCGATCAAGGAGATTTCTTCTGGTGGATGCCAGTTGGTCTATTTATTTTGGCTGCTGGATTAACAGCCCTTGTTTGGGGTATACTAAGTATCGGATTCGTTCTTTTGAGCCGTGTTTACAAGGGATTGGGATTCTCAACACCAACAGACAATCAATCATCTACCACTGTATTGTGGGTTTCGGCTTTGCTGGCCATCCTGGGCCAGGGTATCATACCTACTTGTGTCGCTTTCTCATTGTTTTATATTGCAAGAATAGTTGTTACTATTTCAGCAAGAGTGGGTGCCCTGAAGCAGGTGGGTCAGCCTTAAACTACTTTATCAATTACACTGTACTAGATACTAAAATTTGCTTTTGCACACTTTTGTAGAATACGGACTATTCATGGCAATCATATTATTATCAGCAAACAATTGTTCTTTTTTTAACTAGCATGTTGCCATTTTATGGACCAGGAACAGTTGTATATATCAGAGATCTCTTGGTGGGTTGGATAGAGTTCCCCTCCATGGCAGATTGGCTCTCCAATCTACCCATTTGTTGGTTGTTGGTATTCATCACCATAGCAGGACAAGATACCAAACACTTTGAACACAGGCATGTAAAAAAAAGCCATCCCCACTTTCTATGTTTCTAACTCGAACCGAATATAGATACCCCTTTATGCCTCGTTTGTTGCATACATATATATTCTTGAAGACACTCTATGGTATCAAAACACCTTTTTTACTCCAAACTATTCTATCCTAACACAATTCAAACCAATACATACAACAATTACAAGCGAAAAAGGAAATCTTTATGATGTGTGTGTGTTTTTTTTTGTTCTCACAAGTGTTTTAAACGCTAGTAAGGACAGGGGGCTCGACAAACTCCTTGGAGATCTTGGCACCGACATCGGAATCACCAGCAGAGGCACCACCGTGGAGAGCCAAGAGGGCAGAGACATCAAACTTGGGTGCCTTAAGGATCTTGACCTTGCGGGTGTAGGTGTTCTGGAGAGGGTAGATACCGTGGCAAGCCTTCTCGATGCGGACAGCAATAGAGTCCTGAGCGGAAGCAGAGGCAGAGGAGGTAACCTTGGCAACCAACTCCTTCAAGTCACAGACGACAGCCTCCTCAGACATGATCTCGAACATCTTCTTGCGAATCTGACGGATCTGGGCGGACTGAGCATAGGTGGTCTTCTTGACCTGATCGCGGCGGCGGGAGGTGAAGGCAACGGTGAAGATACGGACGAGGTAACCGTCAGTGGTCTTGACATCAACGAAAGCCTCAATGAGAGTCTGCCACTTCTTGACCATGGAGCGGAGCTTATCAGTGGTCATGTCCATGCCGTAGAAGTTGGTGAGGAGGTTCTTGCCCTGGATCTCATCAACCTTAAGCTGGATCTTGCGGAAAGCACGAGTCTCATCCTTGGCGAGGTCACCGAGGGAGAGCTCGAGGACACGACCGTCAAGAGAGTCGTTGGCGTTGCGGAGACCCTGAGTACGGTTGACGAGGGTCTTACCGGCCTGACGAACCTCGAACATGGAGGGGGCCTTGATATCGTACCAGTCCTTGCGGGTGAAGGGGTCAACGCTAAGAATTAAGAATGGTTAAGGGTTAATGATTGAGATTTGAGATTTGACATGTAATGCCATGTCCACATGCCACCAGGTGAGGTTATGTATGATTTTTTTTTACTTACACCTTCTTCTTCAATCCCTTCTTTCCCTTACTAAGGCGCTTGTTCTTGCCAACAGCTGCATATAATTTGGTGGTTAATGGATGGATGGATGGATCACTTGGTCTACATACCCATGGTGGACAATAGATTTTTTAAAAAGGAGGGTGTATGGTTTGCACTGGCCGGTTCGTTTAAAGCGGGCCCATCGCTCCCTCTGAGCTCGACCGGCGTATTTTAAATCCCGCTATTACACCGTCCTATTTTTTTATTGTACGCTCGAGGAAGAGAAAAGGACTGCGATTCTGTTCTCCTGGATATGTGTTTACTCTTTCCGAAAATCCATGTCATAGATTGTCAAACATGACTTTACAGGTTGAAAAACGTTAAATCAATAAACCAATAAGGTCTTTAGCTCATGATCAAATATCAAATTCCGTATCTACAGGAAAAATTACTATGTATAAATTTGGGAACTTAGCCATGTATAAATGCGTCAGCAATGTGAATTCTGAGGTTAATTTTAATCTCTTCACCCCTATCTCAAATTGAACATTCGAGTGTTTTTTTTTAATAAAAAGATGAGCAGGATAATTTCGATGAATGTGATTTTAATGAACCTATGAACCTTGCTGCTAATAAGAAATTACAAGCTTTTGAATCAGTTTTTCTTTTCACACGAAATATGCGTGTTTAACTATTAGTATTATTCGGTACAAGTCTGAGCCTGTTACTATTCTTATCACCAAACTAAACGGTACAAATATTCTTAAAGAAATTTATATTCCAGATATGCCGGGATGTCCTGCATAGATCAAGATAAAACAAGGCGTTTCAAACTGGTGATTAATGAGATTGAGTGAATAAGTTGTTGAAAAACAGCTAGAAATACATATTCACTTAACGCAAAGGTGGGTGAAATAGTATGAATTGCTTCTTCTGGTGACATATTTGAAAAACGTAAAATCATTTTTTATATTCCCTTATATTTTATTACAAAAAATGATACTTGCCTAAAGCAGTTGATGAATCAACTGTTTCAGATATTTGAATGACTACAACTACAGATATCAATGCCTCGTAGTTTTTGTAAAGCGCAAATATAACCTATTCTTGAATAATACTTGGACTTTGTCTGTAGACCAAAATGGTGAGGCTGACATCCAAGAAGGCTTTAATTAAGTGTTTAGGCTAGATATAATTGACGCTAGCTTTAGAAAAAAAATCTCTTGATGAAACTATCTTCAATATAAGCATAAAATGCAGTATGGCATGCTTAAAAAACAGTTTTTGAATATTTGCTACCGAAAATAAAATAATAAAAACTATGTTAGTTACAAGCTCTATATTAGAACTGACTGGAACGGGGTTGAGGTTACTACAAATAACGTTATGTTGTTAAAGAAATCATATTTCAGAATTATGGTGGTTTTTGAATTAAGGAGTATAGAAACGTCGGGTAGCACGGATTATACTGTGGATATTTGCTTATAAAACTTTTATTAATCGCAACAGATCAGGACGATTGATTTACTTTACTTGCTTTCACAAAAATAACATCAAAATGGTTGAATATTTGGTTGAATGATTCATTATATATTGATGGTTTATGATCTTGGGATTTTGGTTATTCTTTAATAATATATATAATGTTGGTGTATCATTTTCTACTCCCAGAATAAGATAATATTACACTTTCTCTAGGTAATCACAACAGTGTAAAAGGTTTATTATATATGGACTGTTGATCATGTAATATTTACTATATATAATAATATGGTTACTATAGCAACCAATTCTCTATATTTATCTTCCAATCCTTCCGCCTAAGCGATAAAATAATTTTATCACTCAGTTTTTTTTTATTTATTTATTCATGCACATCTCTTTCTCTTATATTAAGTACCCATACTTTCATGGTAAGATTCTCTCTTCAGGTAAGCACTTTTATTTTATTCTTTAAAAGATAATGCTTAGCAAACATAATAGCAAATTGTTTCCTACATATCCAAATAAGAACATATATATTTTGTATATGCTAAGCCAAACATGGGATTTTATATTATTCTTTGCAGTAAAACACACTATACAAGGTGTATAATTTGACAATATGTGTATGTATTCTCGACACGGCTGTTACGCCTGGGGCGACAGGTGTTCATCATATAATGAAAACACAAGGCGTACAATTTAAGATTATGCGCCTTACAAATGTGTTTTACTATATAATATATATATCGTAGGGCTAGTTCTATATTAAAGGTATGATTTTACTTTACTAAAATTTTTACACTTGATATTGAGACGGTAATAATATTATTTCTAGACAATAGTATCTAGCATGATCTAAGATGCCATCAATTACTGTTTTTTTAACTGCCACCTATCTTTTAACCTGAGACATGAGATGATTCTTTAACCATCTGCACAAGATATATTTATGTCCGTTTGACAACATTTATTAGTATTTTGCTGAAGAGGCTTATACCTATATATATATATATATATATATATATAGTTTATCTTGTTTCTTTTACTTGTTAATGTATTTTTTTCCACGTTGTAGTCGTCGGCATGAGTGTTTAATGTTGATTACATCAAAATCTTCCAAATGAATGTATATAACGTATCCATACCAGTAATTGTCATCTTACAAAGTCTACAATTGAATTAGTTTAATAAAATAATATTGAGATAATATATATATATATGAAAAATATAAGAAAAAATCTCCCCTTTCTAAAGAAATGTGATGGGTTAAGTCCAATCTATAGCATATAACAATTAGTGTCTAAAATAATTTTTTATAGTGCAAGAAAAAAAAATTGAATCGGGTCGCCTAGGCTCAGACGCTGATTTGTCTAAAGTTTATCCGAATATATTTAATAAGAAAAAAAAAAGAGAGAGGGAGGGAGAAAATTGGGGAAGGTGAAAATGTTAAAGTGTGTGTATATAAATGTGTGTGAGTGTGTGAGTGCGTGAGTGCGTGAGTGTGTGTGAGAGAGTGTGTGTGTGCTTTGGACAAAGAAGAGAAAACCTGACTGCTTCCCTTTTTCCCTTGAACCCGATACGAAGGAACCAAGGAAAAAATAAATAAAAATAAAAATTATTCGTTTTTGTCGGCCAACTTTGCGTCCGCCCATTTGTCTTAGTTCATTGCACTTTTCATTTTGGCATCCTTCCTAATGACTCAAGGTAAACTTGACCAATAACCATCTATTCCCTTTACATTTTCTGTCTTTTCTTTATTCGTATCAACTGTGTGAGAGAAACATAATAACTAAGAATATTATCAGACAAGCTTAGAGACAAGTACAGAGAGCTCAAGAAGCGTATCCGGGATATGGAAAGCGTATGTTTGAAGATATTAGCACATATTCTTATATATTGAACTAAAACATACACACACACACACCAGGAGAATGAAGTCCTCCAAGTGAGAATTCATAAAGCTCGCAGAGGTGTCAGGCAGCTTAAATTGGAGAGAACGTGCGTTTGTAGCTTGCAGATAATAATAATCATAACCATAAACAGATACACAAATACATATAGTGGGGATCATTATTACAGCGATTATTTCTACGAGTAATCAACCAAAAGGGTAGACCCACTCAATACTTTTATTGTTCCTAGTGTTCTTCTTGAACGAATGGAAAGACACCAAGGCTCTTTTGGTGACAACGATCACTATGAGATTGGTTCTGATAATGGGTCTCAAGATGAATCTTATATGGTAAGCAGATTCGTTCTTTTCAACCTATTTGAGTTGGATCCCTTTTTTTGCTGTGTTTTCTTATTAGTTTTATTCTTATATAAGTTAAAATACGATCATGGAAAGCACATGGACAAGATCATCGGGAATCATGCAAAGGCGCCCCGGAAGAAAAAGGATCCAAATGCCCCCAAGGGTCCTGGTAATGTCTTCTTTCTTTTTTGTCGTTTTGAGCGTGACAAAATCAAGGATGAAAATCCCCAAGAAAGTCTTGGTGATGTAACTCGTCTCCTTGGTCTAAAGTGGAAGAGTTTATCGAAAGAAGAAAAACAGGTTAGGCACCTCAACTTATACCCCACAGCTTGTCTAACTTTTACCTTTTTTTATTATTATCCTTTACAGGTCTATTATGACATGTACAAAAAGGAACTTGACGAATACGAAGTTGCAATGAAAACATACACAAGTGGCGTTGCAGGATTTCCAGACGTTATGGAAGAATCCACTGCATCCTCACCTGCTATTTTACAGACAGAACCTCTTTTAAATGATCCTAATCCCCAGGACTATACTGAAGATAACATGTTAATGGAAGAAGTTGGGGATGAACCCCTAGAATTAAACTTGCCCAAGTCAGAAGCAGAAGAAGAGGCAGAAGAGGCAGAAGAAGCGGAAGAAGAAGACGACGACGACGAAGAAGACCCTATCTCATAAGAATTGCATCACCCTATTGTTTACTTAGACTATTCATTACATTTTCATTTCTTCTTTATCTTCTTAATTATTAGTACTATATATATAGCTAATGCTCATCTTGGAAAGGAATAGGTCAACCACCAAAGAGTATTTTCCTTTAAGAATTTATTATATCACATTTACATGAATAGTCTTTCTCCTCTCGTGCTCTTCATCATTACAATTATTATTTATCAATATGTCTGTATACACTCAAAGTTATTTCTTGGTCTACCACTTTGTATAACACAATCTTGTTAAAATCACGTTGATGAATCATTTTTTTCTTTTTAAACAAAGACATCACGCTTAGCAGAATATGAAGATAGGGAAGTACGAAAGATAAAATAGATCCAAGAGCATGACGATAAAATAAATAGCTTAGGTAATAATAATAATACAATTACTACTATTCAGTTTTGATTTAGAAAAATATCCACAGAGTATATTGCAACTTGTGGAACTTATATTTGCCGATAAAGCTTGAGTTGAAGGTAAGTGCTAATTTACAAAATACTGTGAATACTAATAATGCTCTTGTCGTCTGAAATATTGATGACATAAATAAAGAAAAAGAAAGCTTGATTGCATCTTTTATAATGGATTTTAGTTGGAATTTTATAAATGTATTTATTTAAAAAGGACCGTAATGTTCTGTTAGATACACTAACTGTAAAAAATATATAAGACCATAACGAACTTTAATTGTTTTATCTTAATTTTCATTCTTATATATCTTTGTTCTTGAGCACAAAGATAATCCCAGCAGAAATGCAAAATATTAAGCTTGTCCAACAAGTAAACTCCCAAGAATACAACTTCCAAGACACTCCACTAGATATTTATTATTCCAGTGTATAAAAATGTAGAAAATTGATTTCTAAATTCTGCCTAGCAGACTTCTCATGGAGATAGAGTAGTAAATTAATACTAAGCCTAAAGACTTTCACAGACTACTTTATTGAAACATAATACAGACCAAGGGGAAAAAGTTTTGATAACTGCCAAAGTCTGATATATACCCTTTCATTAGTAAAACACTGTTTTCTTGCAACTATAAAAACCTTTCATTCAGCTAAAGCGTGTGCATGAATTAGAACTATACAAGTCCTGAATATCTTGCTCCAAGTTTAAAGATAGAGAAGTATATATTTCATGAGCGGATATCGAAATTTATTAAGACTTTTGCCCTATGTCTGTAAATTACAAGCGTTCTTTGTTATTTTGTATTTTGACCTTCTCTTACTCGGTTCTTTCAACAGCATCATAATGGCTTGAGACAAGATTTATCATTTTTTTATTTGTTCTCATACCAGAATAATGTTGGTGCTAAACACAGTTTATTAGTCTTACACAGATACGCTCAATTGTTATAGATCAAGAGCTTACTTTCTAGTATGAGTTTCACGTAATCATAACGCGTGACTGTGGATTATAGTCTCCCCTCCCCCCTCCCCCCTCCCTTTTACTTTGGTTTAGTAAGTTTAAGAGCCATGGGTACCAAACTAACATGTTACGACTCACACAAAGACGATTAACCTCCCGGTTATATTCAACAAGCCATGAACACAAAATATACGCGCTTCCATTCAAGCTTGATCAAAGCAAGGTACCAGAAATTGTTCATTTGGCCTCCTATGTGAGCGAGCACAAATTTCTCGCGTTTTTCAAGATTCTGAAGGGTGTAAGTGAAAAAGATAATACCAAGATGTATACTTTACAGTGTAAGCTAATTTTCATACAGATGTTTCAAAAAAAAATCCCTCATGTTGAAGCATCAGCCAAGTCAATTGAAGTACGCATGGCATACATGCCGATGTGGTACTACGACATGGCCGTCTCTGCAGACGTCATACCCCTCGATACTTCTGGTGACAAGGAAACCACCTTAAAGCGTATGGGACCAGAGAGACAAGCACTTGGGATTGGAATAGACTGTTACTGGCCTGGCCATACTTGGTCTCCTATGTCTTATTTGAGTTTCGGACAGCCAGGAATGTTGAAGAAAGCTGATCTGGTACCGTTCACAAACGAAATGGTTGGTGAAGATGTACAGGTCCTTCCATTTACCGTAAGTCCTCTTGAGGACCTGGCACCAAACGTATCGGCGCTGGAGAATCTAGAACTAGAGTCTAAAGTCTTAAAAGGGACTTGGACGATTAAAAATCCCAAACTGGCCTTCAGTGCATGCTATCCTATCTACTGGCCAGTTTATATTGCCCAATTCCAAACTGAACACACTGAAAATAAGCCAACAACAGTGGTAATCGGAGGGCACAGTCCTCATCCGCCCATATACAAGTGGGATGAGTCCAAGAGTGGCCCTGAGCAGTGGATTAATAACGGTCCTTGGCTCAACCTCGAAGTAACTGAACATTCGTGGCAAATGAATTTTGGCGGATCACCCATGGCTCAATTATTACAAAAGTACCACGATAACGTTGTTGGAAATTTCTCTCCCACTAAAGTTGATTGGGCTGAAAAGAGAATACAACCTTATCCGGTCTACCATGAGCAGAACAAGAAGTATCTAAAGCAGCTCTTCAAGGTGTGGGCCCAGCAAAACATGCTTACCCAATTAGGAACAATGAAGGACGATGAATTAACCATTGGTGTTGGGGACTCCAAATTCCAATTTAAAAAGGCTGGCGACTTTAGAAAAGACATTGAGAAAAAAGTTGGGGATGAATTAGAAGTACTTGAGGAAGTAGAACCAGAGTGGCTTCGAGATTATGTAATTGAGCAAAGGCAGAAAAAAGATGCTTTGAAAGATTCAGAATAAAAATTGAAATTGCCGGATATCACCGGGACTTAAAAGTGACGCGCTTTCAACAAAGCCACTATGATTTCTCTAGGTACCCCTATCCTGTCTGTCTCTTTTTACTTCATTTAAAAAAAAAGTCCCAACCATTGCCAATCATGTTCTCGACCGCCCTCAAGAGCGTGGGTGTTTTGACAGCATCAGCAACACGGGGTGAGATTTTTTTTATGCTTGAAAAAGCATCGCGACAATAAAACAACCAAACTGACAAAACCCCTTGTACAATTGTTGTTGTTTAGCTGTCAGCTTCAACACAGGTAAGACTTACACCAGACAGTACAATTCGTCTCATTCCCAACTTTTTTTTTAGCTTTTACTCGTAGTATACAGACTTCAGCTGCAATTGATACCACCACGAAAACCTCATTACAGAAATTACGCGAACAGCTTCACTACTACGCAATTGCAGAGGTAGCCGGACGCCCCTTTTTGATTACCCAGAACGATAAATTGGTTGTCAATCGTTTAAAAGACGTAAATGTGGGGGATGTTCTCAAGCTTGACCGTGTTCGTGAGCTCGGAAGCAAGGACTATACTCTCAAGGGCGCACCATATGTAAACGAGGCTTTCTTTGATATCAGTGCCACCGTTATTGAGCACCCAAAGAGCAAGCTTATCCAGATCGTTAAAAAGAAGAGAAGAAAGAACTACAAGCGTACAATCGAGCATAAGCAGACCCACACCGTCTTGAGAATCTCAAAGGTGGATATTAATGCATTGGATTGAAAATAAAAACAAAAAAATAGATGACAATGCGTATTATTTATATTACAATGGGGTTGTATGATGATGACGTGCATTAAACCAAAAGAAGGGGGAGAGGAGGGAAATAGAGGAGAAACAACCATGTGGATAAGTATGTATCGGAATGCATTGGGCTGTGTTTGTATAGCAAAAATTGACAATTAAATGTCTTAGCTAGGAGAAGACATAAAGTATAAAATATCTATGAAGCAAACAAAAAGAGCTTTCAATCTTTCTTTCTCCCTACATCATTCTCATTGTTTATTATCATGACAGCACACATCTTAAAATATATATTCTATGGTGTACTTGACCAAGCTTGTAAAGCAGCTACACAGAACTCAGCTATAACGATAATGAAGAATATTGCATTTGTACTGACAGTGACTAATGGCTGGTCCATGTTTTATGCCAATGTAATCTCGAAAGGACCGAAGCAGGCATTTCGAGAACTAATGTTTCGTAGCAAATCGGTAATATTTTGGCTGCTCTATTTATTCATTCATTCGTTTATTTTTAATTCCACAAACTAATAAGTGATACAGATTGCTTCCAAATCATTCGACAATATTCGCTTTCCCAGAGGCAACTCGCCCAACAAAAGCATTGATAATATTGATAATACCGATACTCAATCTCCAATTGAGGAAATCAATGGTCCAGCATAGATTTATTTACCTTTAATTGTTTGATAGTATCGATAATTGTTTCTTAATATATATATATATATTGTAGACTGTAAGAATTGAGTGATACAGTATCTATCCAACTAGACTTTCTTCCCACCAAATTAACACAATTAAATAAATATTTAAATAACTCCTTTATTTTTACTGGTGGTAAAATACCTTTCATAGAATTTTTAAAGAAGTTCTTAGGTACTAGGATCAAATGATCAATTTTTCTTTAGACCGAGTATAGTCAAGACAACACCTGGATTCAAAACCCTTCTAATATTCTTCCCCTCGCCATCTTTTAAAAGTAAAAAGTGTACGTAATATCTCCTAGGGCATATTGGATTTATCCTAACCCTTAATAAATTCCAGGATGGTCTAGTATAGCTTTCTGGTAGAATAAAAAGAATCCCTGTTTTCTCCTTTTGCTAATTTGTAGAATAAATCAAATAAATAATCTCTTTTCCAGAAGTGAGGAATTTTTATACCGCCTGTCAACTTGGAATTTTGAATATATAGGAAGTACTATACATGTCGTTGTACAATTAGAGTAAATACTAATCTTTTACGTACATTCGATTTATTTGGTCAAAGAAGTATTGGATTTCATAATAGACTTTTTGAAATACTGGTCTTTGTATGCTCTCTCTCTCTATATATATGATAAGCACAACAATTCAATTATCTAATATATCAACCACCCTCATAAAGAATAAATTGTAAGTATCATTTCTGCAATCCAAAATATATGTACTGTTTATCAAGTCTAGACTTTGCCAAATAGGCTGTTAAAATTTTGATAATTCCTTCATTCATAGTCTAGGAAACAATTAATAAGGACAATCAAATCAATACTTTATTAATATATTCCGTATACTATGTTGTGTTATGATACAATATGTTATGCTATGTTATGCTATGTAATATGTTATATTATATATATATATATATATTCGGCTTTAATGATATAATTTCGATATTCAACACACATATAAATCATTTAGGTTAAATAGCTTAAAATGTAGGTTCAAATTAAACTGAGCATAAATTGAGAACAATTGAAGGAGAGTCTCTACCCATTTCTAATATATATATAAACAATATATTTTGATAATTGTAAGGAATTATCCATACATGCCCTAAATTATGCTTTTCGCAAAATAAACGCTTGCTACAAAGTCACTGTCTTCTATAAATGAGTCTAAATATCTCTATCATTTAATACTATCATTTAATAATTCAGTCCTTACGAACATCTTAAACTACCTATCCTTCGTTTTGTTATTGGGGTTTATCAACGTCGATCTTATACTTTCTAGATATATAACCAAAGTAATAAAACATAGTCAATATATCACTAGATTTATACAATTCTGTGTAATATATAACATTTAGAATGATTACTTTTTACAAGACCTGCTATTTACTTATAATAATAAAAAAATACGAGAAAATTTCACACAAGCATGTTTCTCAATACATAATAACAAATTTAATTTATAAAAGTTATAGAAGTTATATATATATATATATATATATTACTTCTGTCTATTCCTTAAGAAGATCGGTAGACAGTACGGGCACCAGACTGGTTTGTGGGGAAAACTATCAAGCTTAATTGATAAGTATTCAGAAAACACATATTTATTCTCGATATTACCCAGCATATCACAAATATTAACGTGGGGAGGACGTGAAGCAGTAAAGGTGACAAGTTCAGCTATATATATGATATTAGTTATTGTAAGCTTCCCTCAATTACCCAAAACTTACCAATATCTCGTCCCACCAAAGGTTGGATTCCCTTGTACACCCCATCGGCTTTTTGTTTATCGCCACCGAAACGAACAGTCGAAAATTCGGTATTGACCATACCAGGACAAATAAGACTTACTCGAATTGGGGTATCAATTAATTCATGTAAGAGGGCTCTAGTTATAGCCTCCACTGCATGCTTTGAAGCTAGATACAAAGTGAGTTAATGTACTCCTACAAAATAAGTTTGCATACCACAGTATATGCTTCCTCCTGGGTAGCTCTCTTTGCCAGCCACAGATCCAAGGTTAATTATATGCCCTCTTTGGTTCTTCTTCATTATAGGTAATACGGCCTGAGTGAGGAAAGTAAGTCCTTTAACGTTTGTGTTAAACATGATATCGTAAGCCTCTTCCGTGACCTCAGCTAGGGGATCCATGCCAATGACAAGTCCAGCATTATTCACAAGCACGTCTATATTGTCTCGCAAATCATCCGGCATATGCGACATCGCATTTTCGATAGACGTCTTTTGGCTTACGTCCAAAGACAGAGTGTGGATCTTGATAGATTCATACTTGTTCATTAATTCATTCTTGAGAGCATCCAATCGATCAGTACGTCTAGCAGCGAGGATCTAAAATGATATGTTATGAGTCGAAGGCGTGGGAATTCATCCAAGTAATTACCAAGTTAGACCCTTCACTTGCAAATTCTCGGGCACACGATTCTCCAATCCCTGCTGATGCACCTGTACTGGATATATTTCATAAAGAATAAATATATTGTATAAAGAATAAGGGCAATAGTTTGAATAGTTTCCAAGGTGTTAACAGAATTATTTAACTTACATCATAACATTCTTTCCTACAAGTCTGCCCCGGGTATAGAAGCGCTGATAGATAGAGAGAGAAATAGGCGAGAGTTTTGGGACAAACTGCTTAAGAGCCACACCAAACATCGAAAAGAAAGTGAAGTCTACAGTGCTTGCATACAAGATGTTTAAAAGGCAGAAAGACAGACTGTGGATGACGCATTCTCAAAATTGATGCTCTCTTTGAAATCTCCACCAGAACAGGTCCATGTGAAAAATAGGATTTTGTCAGCGGATATTTGAAGTGAATACCCCGCATTCTGTTCTTCCCTCCAACACTTCAACATGCGTGAGGATCTCATCACTTCGGCAATCTCGTTTTTGTCAGACCCCAAAGTCCAGTCTGCCCCACTTGCAAAAAAAGTGTCATTTCTGGAATCCAAGGGAATGACCTCTGAAGAAATAGAAGAGGCCATGGCACGGTCTAGTGGAAAGGTAGCCACTTCTTCGGTACCTTCTTCTGTCGGTATTCCTCAGGGTCCAGGAATGCATGTTAGTGGTCCAATGGTAATGCAGCCACCTCCTGTACCTCAGAGACCTTCTTATGATTGGAGAGACATATTTATTGCTGCAGTATTGGCAGGTGGTGTTGGATATGGTGTCTGGACATTGGCCAAGGTAAAAAAAAAAGACGCACTAATTTATTTGATAGAAGAAATTGTGCTTATGTAATTATTTTTGCTTAGCGACTTTTTGGCCCTTGGTTTAAAGTTCCCACACAAAAAGAACTCGAGGAAGACAAGGAGAAACTAGATGCCCAGTTCCAAGCAGTAGAGGACTCTCTAAAGGATATCAAAGAACAGACAAACGATGCTCTGGATACCGTTTCATCACAATCCAAGAAAGTAGATGAAAGTATAGTCAGTCTTGAGGGTGTCTTGAGAGACCTTAAGCAAGGTGATCTCTCGCGAGAAGAAGAATTCAAGACTATCAAGGGTGATGTTGAGGCATTAAAAGAGCTTGTACCAAAGGTAACTTTGTCACTATAATTTCTTTCCTGACTCTCTTTCTTTACCTGCAGATGCTGGATCGTAATAAGGAGTCTCAGGGACTCATTCTCAACGATCTCCAGACTGAGATCAAGTCTTTAAAGTCCCTTTTGCTCAGTCGTCGTCCCACCAACGGAGCTTCATCGTTGCTTGAACAGGGATCAAGCACACCTGTATCTCCAGTACACACATCTACTTCAGCCATTGACACCACTCCTGTTGGCCTCTCTCCTCGCCTCTCAGCTGCCTTCAGTTCAAGTCCCCGTGCTGGAATTCCTTCCTGGCAGATTGCAGCAGCAGCAAAGTCAACCTCAGCTGCAGATCCCAAGCCTACCATTGCAACTGCTGAAAATGCCACTTCTACCGAGAACTAAACAATTCTATTAAAAGAAAAAAGCATTTGCAATACACTTATCTTTTATATAAACCTCAATACACATACATACAAACTAAAATAAGGGCTATATATATATCTTCTCTCTTTCCCTTTTTATTTCTATCTAATCATAGTAGCCATAAGTCTGGTAATTGAGCTCGATTGCAACGGAGTTGAATGCTAGTTTGACAGCAATAATGCAAACGAAAAACGGTGGCTTTGCTCTTCTTTATTCCACATTATTTTTTCGCCAATGTTGTACCTTTGTGTTTTCCAAAAAATAAAGATAAATATAAAAATATGGTTAGGTAAGGGTTTTTTTTCAGCTATTAATCGCATTATAATATACTAATTAATGTACACAGCTTTCAATGTGACGGTTGCAGCGATGTAGTAAAGAAGCCTAAGCTTAACCAGCATGGCCAGAGATGCCGTGCAACATTTACCTGCATTGATTGTTCCACTACTTTTATGGGCTATGATTATCAATCTCACACCTCTTGCATCACCGAAGCAGAAAAGTATCAAAAGGCTCTCTACAAAGGAAAGAAGGTGCGTGACTACGATACAAATATTTATATAGTTTGGTTTTTTGATTAACTTTAATTGTATTTTAGGCTGTACCCCAAAAAGCTGCTACTCCTAAATCCACCCCTGCTGCTGTCACAAAGCCAGTTTCACTTGTTGAACAATTAAAGCAGAAGAAGGCAGAATCCGAGGAGCCTTCTGAAGAAACCAAAAAGCGCAAATCATCAGACGAATTAAAAGATGCAGCAAAGAAGCAAAAATCGACTGAATGGAGCTTAACCGAAATCAGCAGCGACATGGCTGAGAACATGGAATTTGCCTTGAAACATGTCTTGAAGGAGGTGAGATGTTGTATAAAATTTTGCTGTGAATAGAAAATAACTGATGTAAATGTATGAACGTTAAATAGAACTCTTTATCACTCAATGATGCCCGTAAAAAAGCATTAGAGCTGATTGAGAACCACCCAAAATCATCATTGAGCAAGTCCGAGAAGAAGGATCTCAAAAAGCAGTTTGATAAGTCTCTTCAAATTACTTTGGAAAACAACACTCTTACACTGAAGAGAAAGTAAAGAAAATTCATTACTTTGCATCAAAATCACTATCATATTTTACTTCAACCATATTAAAACCTACTCGTTTGACATCTATTGAAATCCCATAAAACTACAAAGAAATTATTTTCCTTTCATATTATAGTATAAATACTCTATAGACTATCTTGGAATCCTTAAATATTAAATGTGCTTTTTATAAAACACGCTTGTACCTATTATGCTTGATATAAATATTAATTACTTTGGCAATAGAAAATTGGTGTGGACAGACTAAAAAGTTCAAAATAATCTTAGCCAATCAGATTACCTCTTAGCTCGTACCTTTTTTTTTAAAAAAAAATAGTTCAAATGTATATTAAGTGTTCAAAACACCATCTCTTCTATCAGGCGAAAGTATTTTATTGCGCATTTTTTCAGGTCTTGCACCCTGTAGAACATCTCTCCCATCAAAAGCATGATCTTCTTCTAAATCTAATTGGCAATTAATTTTGATTACTCAATCAGACCCGTTTGATCTTTCTTTGATCTTCGTTTTGAAAGATCAAATATTTTAAAATCTTTTTCAAAACTCTGGTCCAATAATATCGCTTAATTGTTTGACCTTCGTTTCATATTTGATTGATCTTTTCAGTCTGTCCACGCCAATTGATTTTTATTCTTTGCAACAAATCGATCTTTATTTTTACACCAATAATTCCCGTAAAGAGTATATAATGGGTTTTTGGTAAAGCTGAGTGGTAATAAAATATGTATTGTTTAATTAAAAGTATCCTTTGGATTTGATATAATTTACACTGTTAGATGTAAATCTACTTTTTTTTAAAAGCTCAAAATTCACTTGAAAGAGCGTAATAATTTAGAAGACTAATATTTCTTCTTTTTATTTCCTTTTTATACTGCCCAATTTACTCCAATAATATATACATATCTTGTGTAAATACACCAAGTTTTACACACATACACACACATATATATATATATAGACATAAAAGAACCTTAACTGTGTATTCAGCCAGCATCCTCTCAACTATGATGAAACCACGAAAGAAACGAAACTTCAAGAACCTCACCCTGCCAGATTCACCTATTACAAAGCCTACCGAAACAAAGCCTAAAGATGATGATTGGCAAGACAATACACCATTGACGGTTGGACTAGGTACATTTGATATTAGTGTTGAACTAAGATTGGATCTACGTTCAGAAGATTTCGAAACATTGGATGAGCTAGGAAGAGGAAATGGCGGAACAGTACTCAAAGTGATGCACAGAAAAACACAGACAGTCATGGCTTGCAAGGTAATAAGAAAAAGAAAAGAGGTTCAATTTTGAGCTCAAAAAGTCTGAAATACAAACTTATCCTGGGGCTTATTATACCAGATGATTTATGTACAAGCCAACAACGCAGTTCGTAAACAGATCATGCGAGAGCTACAATTTATGCACGACTGCCACTCAAAGCATATTGTGAGTTTCTACGGTGCATTTATCAAAGGAGGAGACATCTCTATTTGTATGGAGTACATGGAATTAGGGCAAGTAAACCATACGGAAAGCAAGCACTTTCCAGGCAATTAATATGGATTATAACATGTGTTTCTCGTACAGGTCTCTCGACACTATTTATAAAAAACATGGGCCGATTGAGATTCTGGTTTTGAATAAAATCACTTACGCGGTATAGTTTTAATCCGAAACCTTTGACATGAATTTGGAGAACTCATTTTCAAATGTATAGGTACTCGATGGACTTATCTACCTCTACGACACTCATCGAATTATTCATCGCGGTAAGAAAGCCCTAATCCAAGAAGGATAGCGATCGACTTTGCTATATATCTCACTAGATCTTAAACCATCCAATGTCCTCGTCAATGCCCACGGCCAGATCAAGTTGTGTGATTTTGGTGTATCTGGCCAATTGATCAACTCTGTTGCCGACACATTTGTCGGAACAAGCTCCTACATGAGTGTGAGTATATTAATATAAGTCCAAGAAAAGGCTCTAAAATCTAGTACCAACAATAAATCCTATTTGTAGCCAGAGCGTATTATGGGATCACCATATTCAGTGAAGTCGGACGTTTGGTCCCTTGGTATGACGGTAATGGAACTGGCACTAGGGAGATTTCCATTCCCATCCGACGGAAGACCGTTGTCTATTTTTGAATTACTCCAGCACATAGTCCACGAGCCGGTACCCAGCCTCCCAGTTCAGCCAGATAAGTATCCGCCTGAAGTAGTGTCGTTTTGCAAAGCATGGTAACTATTTCTCTTATGCCCAAACACCACAAAACAAATTTATTTATCTCTTTCAACATCTACAGTCTCGTCAAGGATGTCCAAACACGCGCCACGCCAAACGAATTAATGGTAATGTGTACTGATTAACCCAATACATTCTTGTGCACAAACCAACCCACATTTCCATACATATATATATATATATAAACACCACCAAATAGCATCACCCATGGATGATCGGTGGAATAACAACCAAAGTCAATCTTGAAAAATGGGCACAGAGCATGATGCGCCCTTGCTAAGGCCACCTTTATTTTCTTATATAATTATACATTATTCTAATTATAAATAGCCAACCAAAGAAGAAGAAAAAACTAGTAAAAACGCCAGACTTTATTACTTTATGTAAATTATCGAGCCGGAGGTGGGAATGGCATGTCGTAGTGTTGAGGATGCATAAGTGGCTGGCCCTGGAACAACCGAGGAAGTGGGTGGATAGGCAATGTACCATGCGACATTGTAGGCTGGCCGCGTAACATAGCCATCAAAGGATGTCCCTCAGCGGGTGGAAAAGGTGCTCCGCCAGGATGTCCTTGGAGTATATTCAACAAATTGTTTCTCTGTGTGCTATCTGTAGGTGAAACACTTTCAGACTCCACGGGAGTTGGCCCGGCAGAAGATGTATGATTTACATTGGCTTTGTTCTTCATCATCTCTTCTATAATCGATGCATGATGCATTGCAGGGGGAGAGTAAGAAGGCTCTGATCTTTGCTGTTGGGCTGCAAATATATGCTGAAGAAGGTTATTATTTCCTGGTTGTTGCATGGGAGAAGCCATGGGGTGATGTTGTAGCTGTAGTTGAAGCTGTTGCTGCTGGTGCTGGTGATGCTGGAGCTGCTGCTGCTGCTGATGTTGATGCTGGTGCAACTGTTGGCGCTGTTGTTCTTGTAGCTGAAACTGCAACTGTTTCGCCTGTTGTGCCATCTGTAATTGCTGCTGCTGTACAAGTATCTGCTGCTGTTGGGATGCGGAGGATTCAGACCCAGAATAAACTTTAGGAGATGATGTACCCAATACACTAGCTTCACCTATACCGAGCAATGACTTTAATACATCAGTAGACTCCTCAGGCTCTATACTGGAGGTTGGGCTGACAGATTCAGGCTCATTCGCAGCGGTTACTGCAGCAATTGCTGCAGAGGCTGATGCTGCCGCTACTGCTGCCGTTGCCGTTGCCGTTGCTGTTGCTGCTGCTGCAATTGCGGTTGTCGCTGCTGTTGAGGGTTGAGCTCTGTGTCCGTCATTTTGGCGTCGTAGAGCCTTTTTACGCTGGCTCACAAAATGTTTCAGCTTGCTATATCTAACGTCAGTCTCTTATAGCTTCCTAGTAAATTCTCTGACCTCACAAAAGGAACTACCATATAAAATCGATAGCCGCCCGTTCTGATGTGGGCTTCGGGCACATTGTTAATTGCTTTGTAGGTTGGCAATTCATCGAATTTGAACCATGCGATTTCCTGTTTTAACACCAAATAGAGAGAGAGAAAAGACGTTCACATTCACTCGGCGGGCCCAAACTTGTCATTATATCACTTACACTAATCTCTTTGCGTGTACGAGGCACAAAGTCTGTATCTTCTGGGACCCCCACAATTAAATACAGCCGAATCCTTTGTTCACGCATTGTGAGCTCAATATAATCTTGCTGTTTCAACAGCGGCTCTACATCATAACCTGTCTCTTCTAACACCTGATCTCAATAGCCCATTCATTTGTCAGCTCACAAGTCTTTCGACCGGACTTATATCATATACCTCTCTGATGGCACAACAATCATACTCCTCATCTTGGTTGATCTTGCCTTTCGGGAATCCCCATCCGGATTTTGAGCTCCATCCTTTCACCAACACACATTTGTCGAGTGCGGCATTGATCATAATGGCTCCACAAACAGGGATTCGGAATCGATATTGCATAAAGTCAGCATAAGCACGCTCATGCTCATGTGCCCATTGGCGTAAAAGAGGGCAATGCTTGAAAAGTGAGAGAAAAAAAGTCAAGGATAATATTTAAAAGAGATGACGTTCAAGTGGTACTCATCAACGAGGTATAAAAAAGGATATTTTTTGCAGAAAATGTCTTGAGTTGAAATGATGGCAGTTCTGGTTTAAGCTCTCGTACAAAATCTTCATAGAACCAGTGAGCTTGTTCCACTTGGAAACAGATGCGCTCGACTGACTTGAGCTCGACGTCGGGAACGTTAATAATAAAGCGACTACGATACGATACACGTGTTAGCCCTCTGCAGTGACCCTACTGCATGGGATGTAGTTTGCCTGGAGAGGTCATCGAGGATTTCTTCAAATGTGGCATTTGCCAAGACAACGCCGGATTGTAATGCCATGGTTTGTTCTTTACTAAATGGAGATGGAACAAGAAGGCGTAAAGAATATGACGAAAGGTCAGAGAACGAGGCACTCTCGCTTTCCCCACCTCCTTTGTGACTTGTTTGCCATAGAAAGATATCTTAGCGCCCTTCTTCTTGTCAAATTTTAAAGCCTTTTATATATATAATAAAAAAAAATTGCTTTGACATGCATTCTTTACAAAGAAGCATGTTTGCCATTAGGAACGCAGCTTTCCCTCGAATTCAGGCTTATTCAACCAAAGGTATTGGGCTAATGAACATAAAAAAAACAAAGGCTCATTTTCTAATTCTACATGTTATAAACAAGCTCTTCCTACATCGAGAATCACTCCTCCTCTTGCTGTTAAACTTGGACAGATGACTCAACGCCATGATACTTTGATGGAGCAACTCAATAATAACTTACTAGACCCTCAAGAACTGGCCAAGGCATCCAAAGAGGTATCATCGCTATCAAACAGCCGTCAGCTTTTCTTAGATTGGCAGCAGTCCAGCCAGGATCTTGCTCAACTGGGCGAGTTATTATCTAATACAGACGACGAAGACATGCTCGAGTTGGCCAAAGAAGAGTTTTCAGAGCTAATGGAAAAGAGAGTAATGATTGAAAAAGACTTGGTTACTGAACTGGCACCCAAAGACTCAGCGGACGAAGCAAGTGCAATTTTGGAAATTAGAGCTGGTGCAGGTGGAGATGAAGCTGCTCTATTCTCGGCAGAGATGACCCGAATGTATGAGCGCTTCTCTCAATTGAGACGGTGGAAGTGGGAAGTACTTTCGTTGTCTGAAGATACCAGTAGCAAAGGGCTAAAGGTCAATTTACAGTTAACGACGACCGGGATCCTTTATATTCAACAATGTAATATGATTGTAGGATGTTACTGTTAATATTACGGGAAAGAATGTGTTTGGTTTACTCAAATATGAATCTGGTGTCCATCGGTAATTGGTTTAAGAAACAAAATGAAAATAAAAAGGCGGGACTCATTCTTTAGAGAATAGTGTTCAGCGAGTGCCTGCCACTGAGGCTCAAGGGCGTATCCATACATCGACTATTACAGTGGCCATTTTACCCCAACCGACAGAGGTAAGTTTTGTTGCACATCAGCACAATAAAGTTTGTACTAAATAAATGAGTAAATTTCAAGGTGGATGTTCAAATCCGTGAAAGTGATCTACGCATTGATGTTTATCGTGCGTCCGGTGCAGGCGGTCAACACGTAAACACAACTGACAGCGCTGTTCGAATGACACATATTCCTACTGGCCTTGTAGTATCTATGCAAGACGAAAGATCTCAACACAAAGCAAGTAAAAGTGTCTTTTATGCTTTGAACCTCACTGTGATATATATGTGTACTAAATACTTACTATTTTACTGATCGCTCTTATAGAATAAAGCAAAGGCTCTCAAAGTGTTGCGCGCAAAGATTTTTGAAAAAGCGCGCGAAGAGACTGACAATCTTAGACGAGACTCACGTAACAAGCAAATCGGTACAGGTGATCGATCAGAGAAAATCCGCACTTACAACTTCCCTCAGGTAATTTGTACATAAATAAACATGATTTGTAATAAATACTTACTCTACGCCGTATAATAGAACCGAGTTACTGATCATCGCATCAACTTGACACTCCATGAACTAGAGCCTGTAATGACTGGCGAAGCCTTGATGAATGTTATTGAACCTCTTCAAGAACATTACTTGGCTGAATCTCTCTTGAATTAAATAGAATGTACAACTAGAATTTTTATGCAAAGTTATTTTTGCTGGCAACAGATAATATATAGATCATGTCTTTTACAAAGTTCGTTTTTTTTTTACTTGGATCAACCAACTAACCTTTTTACATGTGTATATTAACTCGTGAGCCTTAAGACTTTAGCTTATATAATTCATGTGAATAGATTACTCTATATGCTTTTGATTCGTACTTGTATATTTTAAGTCTTATCTATAATGTATATTGCTTACAATCAGGAATAGTAGGATTAACATCATGCTTTTTAAAGTCTATGCTTTCTACTTGCATATTATTTACTGAAAATATACTTTCATCATAAATTTTGGATTCTTTTTTTTGTACCATTTTCTTTCCAAGACTTAACATAGACAAAAGATAAACGTTTGCCAAATGGAAAGGCAATATTTCAAGAGATATATAATCTGTTGGGTATCACTACGGGAAAAAAGTGGGGTTTTACGGCGGTTTTCCAAGGCGGTTTTCTAACGGGGGGGTTGCCAAAAATCCATTTTACCGCCGTGTATCTAAATGTCTCAGAGACAAACTGTTTTTAATACAACGATAGAGTTGGTGTTGGTGTTGTTCCTTGTTTTTATCATATCCTTGCAAGACAGTTGGTCTATGTGTTTCTCCCAGAGTTGGCAAAGCAATTGTCATCATATTTTTACAGTATTAACACCTCGATGCCACAGCTTGTTGCAGGTTTTACTTGAAATTTGATGTGAGAATCTACCTGAAAGAACTTATTAAGAATCGGTCTCTCTACAATATTTTAGGAAGGAATCAAAGTTTAACTATTTGTCCCAGCTGTATATAATATATTTTACGATATTAAGCATAAAGATTAATTCTACATTTTGGATTACACCCAATAAATAAATAATGTAGAACACATTGTAGTCCTCTAATGTTGATACACTCAAGAATACACATCTTTTATTGTTATTTTTTAGGGTAGTGGTGTAGTGAGGCAAATCATTTAAACACTGCTTTGGATACTTTCCCAGATTGCGAGTTTTTGTTTTTCAAGAAATATCTGGCTTCTTGCATATTCACGCAAACAGCTAATCATATCTCTACTAAGCTTAGGCTGTTGTTCTCTCATGTCTTGTTCGATGTGATGGTCAATAGCTTCATATCGTTTCAAGCTATCTCTTTCCGTACGTCGAGCCTAACATTGAATCCATCAATATAGTTAGTGAACCCACCAGTAAAATATTATATGATAAGAAAAAACACGACTTGCAATCTCAAGATCTTTTATGGCCCCATCTGCTCTTGTCCGGTCAATAGAACCCGATGATTTCAAACGTTCTACTTGTCGAAGGCTGTGTTCGGTTTGTTTACGGCTAGTGAGGTATTCAGATAAGGCACCCAATCGGCGTTGCATAGTGGCCTACAATGAGAAATAAGACTTAGTGATGATAGCTGTGCAAAAATAAAAAACTAAACTTGACTCACTTGAGCTGCTTCAGTATTTCTAATCTGGTAATTAACCTCATCTCCTAAAGTTTCTGTTGTTGAACACGCCTTTTACACAATAATGAGAATCAAGATTCGTCAATATTTTTTATTTTTCTTTCTATTCTTACTTGTGATTTTTCAATGGCTGATAGTTGCTGACAACCTTTGGTAATCCCTTTATACAGACTATGCTTGAAGGTTGGAATCATATCACGCATAGAAAAACTTACATAAACAGGCAAGGGTTACGTTCTCTACCGCCATATGTGATCCAAGAAGATCCAAGCTCAACCCATGACTGGCTAAGCACTAAAAGAGAAATAAGAAAGTATTTGGTAAACTTGTTATCAGCACAGCCGTGTTTCTACTGTGTTCTCTACTTACTCTTGTGTTCGCTAGAAGTACGTTCAATCTGTCGAGAAAGGTCTTGAAAAGACTGGAGAATATCGGCCAAGTAGGCTTGCTGTTGTATATAAGCAGGCTCCATATCTCTTTCGGAGACAGGTACGGTTGCAGGTTTGGTTTGGCGACCCTTTTTTAGTAAAGGCCTAAACTACACTTGTGCATTCAGTGTCCCACAAAACAACAACAATGATAAACTGTTGACTTGAACTATTCCCCCCCTTAATACGTACTCCAACTTCACTTTCAACAAATTCCCGGAGGCCTTCACTAGGCTGAATACGAGGGTGATCAACAATACGATCCAACCATCTTTGGAGCTTATACTCGACTCGATCTGTATTATCGTTATTATCAGACTGAATTATGGTATTACGGCCAACATTGAACCACCACTGGCGTACTACACGCCGACCTTCCTTATCATAACGCGGAATAGGACAGGCGGGTAAAACTGGCACAAATACGTCTTCCAGTGTTGCAACAAGATGATCATGGAGTTTCTGAAGTTCACTATAGTATCTCGGAAAACGCCTATGTTTTTGCTTGTATTTTTGCAAGTCCGTCTAAAGCTAGGATGAGTTGCTGAATGAGAAACAATAAAGCTTACGTTTGCTTCTATCCAAAACACTGGGTCTTTGCGATGGTAATCAACTGTTGAGATGAGTAATTCAACTGAATTCATTTGATTTTGTTTGCTCATCTTGTAATTAAGAAAAAAAATAAAGAAAAAAAAAGACACACACACAAAGGGAGATAAATAGAGCAAGAGCAAGAGAGGAAGGGAGAGAGGAAGAGTGCGAAATAGTGGGGAATTACTTTACTCTACTTCTAAGGAGAAAAGGGACAGATAGAGAGAGAGAGAGTGAAGTAGGAAGTGGAATAAGATATTATGCTAAATAAAGAAAAAAAAAGAAACAAAAAGAAAGAAAAAAAGTAAGGTAAAATAGGTTATGCACTATCGTCCTCGAGACCATGTATGCCAAAGTCAAGAACCTCAAACGACGTCACGTTTTCCCTGAAAAGTACAAGAAAAAGATTGAGTGATGGCCAAGAGATAGGGCTCTAATGAAGTGCAAAAAAAAACTTACTTGCGGACAGCTGCTACGCAACGACGTTTATTAAATGCTACACGCCACACACTTGTGACGCCTGTGATAAGGTCTGCCACGTGTCTTCCTGTCTTAATGTCCCACATTTTGAGACCTCCTTCTGAGCCAGATATTACTTTAGTAGCGTCATGCTGGAAGCAGGTTATAGCACCTTGATGACCTGATAATACATGCTCACAGACCCCAGAATCTGGAGACCAGATACGGAGTGTGGCATCTGCTGCAGCAGAGACAAGATGGCGGTCGGTCAAACCCAATAATCCGACCAAAATTGTGTGTCCACCGAGAATGCGCAGACACTCGCCTGTATTAAGGTCCCAAATACGAACAAAATTGTCCATTGATCCGCTCATGCAGTGGTTGTTTTTTGGATCAATTACAACAGAGTACACCTTTTGGGTGTGTCCTTCCATACGATGCAGTAGCCGTCCGCTTTGAACGTTCCATACGCCTACCATATTGTCGTAACTGCCACTGACTAATAAATTACCGTGGGCAGCAATTGCTCGCACTGACTGGGAGTGACCTGTTAATGTGTGCACAAACCATGGGTTTGGCCCCACACCATGATATTCTGGCTCATCTGCTTGTGGTAATCGCCATACTCTTAAAGTAGAGTCACGCGATCCGGTTACTATGAGTGGCTGGGACGGTTCCATCCGACCGTCGACAAGTGTGGGCAGGATTATCTGCAGACATCGGACAGTTGAAGTGTGTCCTGCAAAAACATGTGTACACACCCCGCGTGCAATATCCCACACTCGGATAGTACGATCCGTTGAGCCACTAACAAGTGTATTCCCAACATATTCTAGTGCCCAAACACCTCCTTCGTGGCCTTTCAGTTCGCTTGTGAGCTTCCCTGTGGAAGTGTCATAAATATTGATGAGATAGTCGTCTGCACCCGATATAATTTTTTCATCGTCAAACTGAAGGCATGTCACTACATGTTTAGGGTGTCCACTAAATACTGTTCGTTTAGCTCTTCCTAATTCCCAATTTCTGCTCATTATACTGTGATGCCGGTACATGGCTTTGTATGGATGGAAAGGAAATTGTGTCGTTGAGAACTTGTTAGAGAGTGAGGTGACGTCAGCTGAGTAACCGTCTTGTGCGAGGAGTGTCTGCCAGGTCTGGCTATCGCCATCGATCAAGCGTCGCCACTGTCGGGTGACACAGGAAGCCCTGCAGAGAGAGGGGGCATCGAGGCGGCGGATGATGTTGAGTCCGAGTTCGTGAGGAAGGCTAGCAAGAAAATCACGTTTAAGAACAGGGAGTATGAGACCGTTGACTAGTTGAAGACTATCGAGTGTGGACCGTTTGAGGATCTCGAGGAAAACGGAATCGCGCTGGGAGGGGGTTAAAGAGTCAAATGTTTTTAACATTGCTGGTAGCTGGAGAAGGGCGCGGAGTGTGGGGCGACCAGATGTTGAAGAAGGAGTGGGTTTATGAAGAGGAAAATAGGTGTCATCGATAGGGCGGGTACGATCTGGAGTAGGTGACGGTGATGGTAAAGCGTTGGGATCCACATATGATGTATCTAGTGTACGTCCTAATCTTGCACGTTTGTATGTAGATGTAGGACAGTCGTCGCATGTCACTGATCTTTTGCGAGGTGATAATGACCTTTGAAAAAGTGCCTAGATATTGTACGATTAAACAGATGCTTCATTTGAGTTGAATAGATTGAGATGGGAAAATGCTTACGGTGGTGTCACACGCTAATGATTCTGCGAGTGGGTAGAATGGAGAATGTCTGTCGACAGATCGTACTTGCTGTTGGGTTTGGGGTTGGGGTTGGGGTTGGGGTTGTAATTCAGAAGGAGAAGAGGAAATGCGGACAAGAGTTGAGGGTGCTTGGGAATTAACAGAAGTGGGAAGGGTAAGAGATAGAGGCAGATGCCAGGAGAGACGGTCAGAGGATTTCATTCTTGTTTTTTTTATTATATCTACACAAAAAGACCACTGAACGCTCCTCTGTCTTATCTAGAAGGCTGTGCCAGCACTACCCGATGGTTGAATAAAAAATAAAAGAAGAGAAATGAAAAAGAAGAGGAAGAGAAAGAAGGGGGGTGGAGGAGGTAGAGGAAGAAGATGGGCGGGATGTAAAATGGGCCACGAGAAACTCCTCTCAACTGCCGTCACAAACATTTTCTCCAGCTGCTCGTATTTTATAATACCTTTAATTTTTTCTCATACGCACATACACATACACATACACATACGCATAAGCATAAGCATAAGCATACACAAGTATTTTCTCTCTCTCTATATATATGTATTATGATTTATGATTTTGATTTTGATTTTGATGTTGATGTCGAATTTCGAATTTCGAATTTGAATTTCATTATTTATTTTTATTCACTCTAAGCTTAGGATCGCTAAGAGTGGAGTATAATTCTAGGGGAGGTAGAGTAAGGGGATAGCGATTGGTTGAGACTTAAATAGGATTTGTTTCATCAATAATAACAATAAATAAGTAAATAAATATGTGTGGATGTGTATGTGTGTGTGTGCATATATATATAAAAGGAAGGGGGTTTATAAACAATTATAATACAAGGTGGGTTGTGTATATGTGCATGTATACATAAAGAGAACATGGCAAGCTCATGGCTCTTTGGGAATTTAGGAGCTTCTCTTCTTTTTGGAGCACAAACGAGAGCATTGATTACATTTGAGGGGGCGATTAGCAGCAGAACCACCACCCGTGGATGACGAAGCGGCAGAGTTAATCTGTTGTCCTGGTGTGAGTACAAAATAGCCTCGACTTCCACCAGATTCTTCTTGCAATAACATCGACTCATATAATGTACGGCTGTCAACCCAGACGCTTGGGTACTTTACACGAGCGACATCCATAATAAGTGTCATTCCATCCTTGGTGTTGTGTCCGCCAATCGGGCTGAAATGTCCTTCTCCTTGCTGTCCCAGGTGGGACCGGGCGTAATTCACTACCATTTGGCTGTCTGGGTTCGAAGTAACACGTTCAAGATCCACAAGAAATTGATTATAACCTCCTACTGAGGCCCGCTTAGGCTCGACACTGCAGTGGGTTTGGGCAAGACAAGTGAATTCATCAAAAGGAATTCCACGCTTATATACTGATTCTTTTGGAGAGCATGTCTTTAGCTGGTCACCAGAGAACCATCTCCAGTTTCCTTTCCAGATACGTTTGGGATCAATTTCGAGTGCATTTAAAGCCATGGCGACTGTGTTGAAAGAAAGAATCGGAAAAAAAATGTCAGACAAAAAACAGTCTCAGTGGAATTAATGAGTGGTAAATACTTACGTGAGCTGACACCAGCAAGGGCAGGTGAAGATTGCGTTGAGAAATTTCCCATAAGTTTAAAAAAGCTTTCTGCTTGGCCTTGATCCATGGCTCCTCTAAATAACCGTTTTCCTTCTGTGGAGGTAAAATCTACCAGGTTCACCAAGGGTTTTGGTGCGACAAAGGCAAATAGGGGTAAATAAGGAGGGTAGGTTGCATTTGTGGCATTGACCACAGTGGTGACTTGGCGATGGATTTGTGATGTTGTTGGGAACCAGCTGCGGGTGAATTTGTTTATGTTGTGAGTTGAAATAGACTTTGTGGCGTGTCTGGCAAAGGAGAATGTGCGTGAGGCCATTTTAATTTGTTTTTTGAGGACAATAAGAAAATAATAGAGCGAATAAAAGGAAGAAATAAAGAAAAAGGAAAGAAGGAAGAAAGAAAGGAGAAAAATAATAATTATCAGATCCTGGGGACCAAGTTTAAATAGCTTTTTTTATTTTTCTCTCTCTTTATTTTCTCTTGGCCCCTGACTGGCTAGAAGTTTATCAGATTGTTAATCTTCCATCTCCGCTCATCTCCATCTGATAAAATTTTCTTCATTCCAATTTTTGCGGGCTCAAGATCTGATAAATATTTCAGTTCCCATGTTGGATTACACCTCTGCCCGCCTGTATTGTGTGTCTGATTATTTATATATTATATATTTGATGATTTGCTTATCATTCTTATTATTTCAATTTTATCAGATCTAGTTTGTCTGACATTAAATCCATAATATTAATCACAATGAACCTTTCATTATCATTATATTCTTTTATCCTTCCCTTCATTCATTCCTTACTTGCTTTTAAGCTTTAGTTCTTTCTAAAGTATATTTGGCCCTACATTTCTCTCTATCTTTGTATATTTTCTCTCTTGGCTATTTATAAATACCTATACTTATATTGGCGGTATTGGCTCTTTTTTTTTGTTTGTTTTATTTGTTATATAGGTTTCTAATTTGATGTATTTTTACTTGATTTTTTTCTTTTCTTCTCAATATATCGGTATATCAATAGAGTGACCTATTTCAAGCAAGAATCTAGAATACCATGTTTTATTACCTTTCAATCACTTGCCAATTGGTTGTGTGCCAATAGATTCCATGGTAGATTCCCAAAAAAATCCCATCTCCACACCAAAATAACGCTTAGCCACATAGAATCTGAGTAATAATGATAGTAACACAAATGCAGTTATAAAAGTATTTATACACTGATATGGTTTTTATAATGTTTTCGCACTTTTAATATAACCTTTGTATATCTTGTATTTTAATTTTGTTATTGGTGAATTGTAAGAAAAATGTAGTATCTTATCTCTTAATTTTCATCTCCCTCCATATATATATTTTTGCTTGGTGCATCATAATTCCCTTTGCAGAACACTATTATTGATAATAGCATTTTAAGTTAGTCTCAAATATTTCTATACACACTTTAAATCTAAACAGCTCACATTTTATCAAGGAAACATAAGACTTTAACCAAAAGAAACAAGAAACAAGTAGCAATATTCACATTTTCCAATATTCAACTAATAGAAGCCATATCAATAGCGATAATAATAACAGCAAAGTCATTTAAAAAACGTATGTTGAAAGTGTAAGTTCGCGGAGATTCGGTTTTGGTCTACAGTTGTAATTCGAGCCAAAATATACACTGTTAAAAAAAAAGGTACATATAACCTTGGAGAGAAAAAGGTATATTGTATTGCTTTTCAATCCTACATAGATAATTGCAGGTAATACTTTGGGATAGTATGTATAAATATAATCTTCTTTTTATAAGTAAAGTCTCTACAATATATAATATCTACAGCTATATCTACTAACTATGCCTTTCTTTTTTTAGAAAATTATTATGTAAAGAACTTAACATATTCGTGTATATTTATATTATAAGATTCCAAAAATGTGGAAATAACACAAGAAAATATGTTTTAAGTCCTTGGATCATATGAATAAAATCTCTGGAAATGTTAAGAAAACTATTGGCCGGAGGCACAGCTTTTGTCTATCAATTTTCTTAGAAGACATTGTCTTTTCTCTTTCTATCTCTTTGCATTTCCTTTTGTATAAGACATTTACCAAAATTCTAAAATGCTTTACCCAATATAAAGATTAAAGACACATTTTGAGATATTAACATGAGAACATAATATCCCTCATGTGTGTATTATTAGTAAAGGAGCACAGTCAGTATAATATGAACTATGGATATTTGAATGTCGTAGTTTAGCAATAAAGATAAAAATAATGGAAAAGTAACATAAAATCTTTAATGCCTTTTTATTATTATTATGACAACATCAGCAACAACGACAAAAAAAATAGACATCTGATAGTTAGTTAGAATCATTAATAATCATAAAAATCATTGCTCATTAATATATCTAAATCTTTATGAAGTTACCTTTTTTACATTTTCAGTTATATCTGAGCATAATTCATTACTAAATTGTTATCATTATCGTTATCATTATCATGATGTTTTTGGTAACATTTTATATAAAATAAGTATTACCTTGGGATGAACCCACTAAATGATTTCTTGTTTGTTAATCATATTCGCTAATTTTGTTTCTTCTATTTTATTTGATAGCTACACCAGAGTACCATATAGTACCCCACTATTTTTTTTCTTGGTAACCACAACACAGCACATCACTTTTCAAATCGTTAAAATTTTCACTGCAAAAAATTCACCCAAGTAACTCCCTCCTCCTTTCCTTTTTTCTTTCTTCTTCTTTGGGTGTAAATAGAGCACTTGGTTTTTATATACACTTTCTCATAATTTCTGCATTTTTTTTTAGATATTCCTGATATCTCTGCAAACATAAATTCTAAATGTTTCGAATATGGACTAACTGACTCGTGTTAACTTTACAAAATTTCTATTTGCTTAACAGGGTCTAGCTTTTACTCAGTTGCCGGAAAAATAATAATGGGTATCATCCAATGGCTGTTATGGTGTAAATTGCTCAGTTTGCAGTACTTAGATATTCTAAAGGATAAAAGAAAATTGGGATGTTTTGATGAATATTGAAACAATCGAGATCGAATAATGTTAGAGTAGTGGATATTAATAAACGCTACCAGTTTAATCATACAATTATGTTATCAATTTTGTGAATATATATATTGGTGTTTGGATAAGTTTGATATATTAAGGCAAGTAATATCGTTTCTTTTAATATCCCCATCAAGCAAGAGCTATATAAACCTTTAACGTTTTACACAAAAGTAAATAAGCAAACAAGATACTCTATTTAATCAATTCATATATTTTCTGACTATATTATCCAAATATAGAAAAGAGCAATGATCATCGTCGATGTCTCCTTGATTATTCTGCCTATGATGATAAAATGATAGGAGTCTTTTCTGTAGAAAGCAATGATTGAAACCCAACTCTTTTTTGTTTCTGCTAATTGTAATGTATCGGATCTTCAGGAAAATCAATACAAAAATTTACTAAAGCTTGTAGAATTGTAAATCAACACTCCAAAGCCCTCTACTTTTTTTAGGCCCATATTTACTACTTAATTTCATAGTATTATATCCCACTATCACTTATATAATGTGTCTCATTTTTGACTAACAGATATTTCGTCATAGCCAGATTTCTTTTCTTGAATACTGTGCAAGGACCGTCTTTAGGCGGTTGCGCATGCAGTATAGCAATATGTCTATTACCAAAGTTTCGCCAATTTAAAGAAAAACGATTCATTTTTCTGATAAGTTCTCATTTCGTTAAAAGGTATAGGTCGCTCTGGTCAACTAGTGCTGGCTGTGTTGCTTAGGAAAATCCTTAGCTTGTAGACTTTGATAACTGCGTTGTGTTGTTTATCACCCTCTACAATTTCTACTGTCTCTCTAAAGCCGTGTATGCAGTTTTCTTCCTCTCCCCGTGGATTTTTTTTCTTACAGTGCACCTTATTGCAAAAGTCCCGCTTATCTCCAGCCAAAATACATCATTCAATATTTTGTTTGGCAGAGAGTAAAACTTGGTCAGTTTGCATATGTATATATATATTAAATATATTGCACACCTTCCAGTTACAAATTACTATATCAAGGCATTATTCTTTCTCCATTTGTCACGGAAAATGAAAGGAGTCAATAATTTATATACGCATTTCCTTTATCTCCTATAGTACATTATAAAAAGAAAAGGAGAAGAGGCTGATGAAAAGAAAATCCGGTGATAGACAGGGCTGACGATTTTTATTCAATTGATTTGTACCCAAGAAATGTTTCCTATAGTCTTTCCTTAGGAAATATGGTGCTATCGGACTTAAGTATCTATGTATAATGGTATTTTTCAAAAGATATCAACTTTTGCAAAAATAAATTTAATAAAAATCCTTGAACAGAATTATTAAGCATGCTATTCTCTATAATTCTATTGAAGCGTTTTGTATTAAATTCATTTTTGCAAAAGTTGATACCCTTCAAAGTTTGGGTGTTTTGATAAATTCATTTGCGGAGTTTAACTTTTTTCAGAAGTTGAAACATCTTGATGGCTCCCATAGGCGGTACATGAAAATATTTATCCTAAAACGGAAAGTCATGTGATCAAGAAAGTGACCAAGCTTTAGGAACACACATTTTTCCATACATTTAGCGGAGAGTGAATAATTTTTACATATAAAAAAATTTCAAAGAAGAAATTGAAACAAATGCAAAAACATAGATACTTAAGTCCGATAGCACCATAAGTTCAGGTTTTGTTATTTCTGACAAAAAAAATCTGCCATAGTAAAATGATATATTCATATTGTAAAAATAAAGAATAAGAAAAACATATCCCCTCCTTATACCATATATTATATATATATTGTTTATTTACTTATATTTGACCTTACAATCTTATAATATTAAGATGGTAAGACGGTAAGATAGCAAGGACACACATTCACTTTTGATAGACATTGTGGGTATGGTTATTTTCAAAAGTAAAAATAAAATATAGTATAATGGACAGAAATATAAAATAAAAGCAACAGTCATGAGGCTGAATATTCAAACTGTGGTTATATTCATCCTTAAAGACTTTATTGAAAAATGCTGAGCATATTTTTTTATGAGTATTAAACAAAAAAAATTGCAGTAGAAAGATCTTCTTAATATTATAACTACTGCTACTACTGTTACTACTGTTACTACTATTACTACTATTACTACTACTACTAGTAGTAGTAGTAGTACTCTTACTGATATTATTAGAGTATTTTCTACTGTTTTGCTCACTGAAAAATAAGAAATACAATTGTATGTTTGACAAGAGAACGAGGGCGTACTTCTTCTTATCATCTGAATTCTATTGTATCAATTATATATACCTTAAAAAAAGAGGAATATTATATACATATGCAAACACGTATGCACATACAATATCTTTAAATAGTGCTTGGACGCTTAATCAGAAAAAGTATAATACAAAGCCACCTCAACAGCTTGGTTATACAGCCCAACCTTATATATAAACTACCGGATCAAGTCCTTTCTTTCTTTGCCAAATAACAGTTTCTCAAAATCTCGATTGAGTTGTCATGCTGTCTCAGAAAGTGCTTTGCTGTATTCCTGCCCGCATAGGCGTTATACTAATGTCGACCATCATGTTTGTGAGTTTGATGTACCTTTTTTTTTTAAAAAAAAAACAATCAACATCCCCCATGATGTTATTGTTACTGTTATTAATACTCTTTAATGATCTAGTTGGTATACATTGCAATCATTGTCCTTTCGTTCATCAAGCGAGACGGTAAAGAAAGAAAATACAGCAGACACAATGGCTCATTTCACCTCATTTCACCTCACCTCACAATATGACTCTCTTGTGCGTGATCTTTTGTATTAAATTTTAATATCTCTTACTTTGGTTTTGGCTTTTATGTTTAGAGATGGAGCTGTGGGCCACTACAAAACAGTCGACTGACACCGATTTTACAAAAGAGGCGTTTAATGGCTTATTTTATGCATTTGTTTCAGTATTTATTGTGTATGCTGTTGTATTGGCATATGGTATCCTGTCTGCCTTTATGGTAAAATATATATTGTTAAAACAAGGTCTTGCTCATGGATATTTAATTAATTAATTTCTTTATATATTATTATTCTTCAAAAAGGATAATCACAAATTGGTTCGGATATACCACATCTTGAACTGGTTCTTTGTTTTGCTTGTATTAACTAGCACATTGGCATACTGGATCTATTTCAAGGTCAAACAGACTGTGTATGTCAATGACTGCCAGGAGTATGAAAACACAAAGAACCAGACGACCGACAATACATACAGCCCAGTAGCGATACCAGGCAAGACAACTGTGGCAGGAGGGGCTGACAAGAGTTTCTGTATCGACCTAGTAAATAAGCTGGTAATTGGTACGGGTGTGGTTGTATTTGTTGGAAACTTTATCCAGGTAAGAAAGAAAAATAACAAGTTACGAATGGTTTGCAACTAGCTAATGTTTTTCTTTTATATTAATAATAATCATTTTGTAGGTCTATATTGCTAGTTCGATTGGAATTTACTCTACAAGTCTTAAGCGTAACAACCAACATCAAAGACTCCACTCTCTGGATGATGATGAACCCGAAAAATCATAAACTCACGTGTGTAATGTGACGTCAAGTCAAGCTTATTCAACTCGATTCCTTCATTCAACTTTTTTTTATTTTATTTTATCAAGTCAAAAATAATAATAATCCTCCCCTTCTTCCGTTTCTCTTCTATTTTTCTTTTTTTTTACTAAGAAAACATAATATCAATCTCGAATCGTTCTTTTTTCTTTTTGGTCAAATAGTCTAAAGAAAACATACATATTTCTTTTAACAATCTAAACCAAAAAAAGAAAAGAAAGAAAAGACCTTTTTCAACTCTAAAACAAAAAAGCAACAACAACAGCCATCTATTGTATTTTAATCAAACTTAATTGCAATGTCAACACCATCAAGAAGACGTCTTATGCGCGATTTTAAGCGACTCCAGAGTGATGCACCAGGCAAGTCTTGATTCTAATGATGATTAATGTGGTCCTAATACAATATCATTTATCATGTAGGAGGTGTCTCGGGTGAGAATAAAAATGAACGATAAAATATAGAAACCACTAATGCATAGATGGAGTGTGTAGGTGCACCTTGTTCGGATAACATCATGCAATGGAATGCGGTGATCTTTGGACCATGTAAGATGCATGACTAAACATCAACAAATTCCTAAAAATACATACATACATGCACACATATATATAGCCGATACACCATTTGAAGATGGCACCTTTAAACTTGAACTTCACTTTGAGGAGACTTATGTGAGTCCATATATTATTATTATTACTGCTAGTATTGGATTATTATTATTATTATTATTATAAGCTCTTGTAAATTAATTATATAAATCTTCTTTAAAAGCCAAACAAACCACCACAAGTCAAGTTCATTTCAAAAATGTTCCACCCCAATGTTTATGCCAATGGTGAACTCTGTCTGGATATTCTACAGAACAGGTGGAGCCCAACCTATGATGTGGCTGCCATATTGACCAGCATTCAGTCTCTCCTGCACGACCCTAACCCAAATTCTCCTGCCAATGCAGAGGCAGCCAATTTGTATCGTGAAAACAGAAAGGAATATGTTAGAAGAGTCCGTGAGACAGTTGAGAGTTCTTGGGAATAAACATTTGGTTTTCTTTTTTCCCACTTTTATTGTCTACTATACTGTTTTCTATCTATCTTTCTATCTTCTTCTTTTTTATATTTTATACTTGGATTTATAAATACACATACACAAACACATACACACACACATATTGTTCTTCTTTTCTGTTTCTTAATTGCCGCGAACAGTTCTCATAACCTCATCAGCAAAATCACTCTCCTTCTTCTCAATACCCTCTCCAACCTGCCAGCGCGCAAAGTCAACAACCTCTGCACCTTCCAAGCCAGCATTCTTAGCAACCTCATCAACGTACACGGCCACATTCTGGTCAGGGCGGAGCATAAAGGCCTGTTCAGTCAGAACGGAGTTGGTGATGTATTCCTCAGGGTTGTTTTGTTCAAGAACACTTGCAGGGACCTGATCCTTAGTGAGGTAGACGGGGCTGTAACCAACAACCTGGCGAGCAACCTGGCGAGCTGTCTTGGCCAGCGCAGCACGGCCTTTTTCTTCAAGCTCACCAACAGTAACCTTTCGGGGTTGAAGAACAGCAATTCCACCAATATTTCCTGCTGCAGAATCACCGCCGTGTACGTAAGCAGCAGATACACCATCTACCACAACTGCTGCACGGCGAAGAGTAATGTTCTCGCCAAGCTTTCCAATGGTCTCAACAATTGACTCTTGAACAGTCTTGCTCAAATCTGCTGAGGTCTCATTGGCTAAAGGCATAAGTGGGGCATTCATAAGTCCCTTTACAGACAAGTGTTCGATAGCCTTGCTTCCAGCAGCAGGAGTGTCGTGCAAGAGGAGCGAGGTAGTAGCAATACGAGCAGCAAGGTTTTTGAACACGTCGTTGCGGGACACAAAATCAGTCTCGCAGTTGAGCTAGATATATATATAAAGATAATAGCCTTTTAGGAACAAACTCAGATTTGAGAAACCCATTTTTCCTCTAATCCATTATAACTACACTATCCTCTATCTCTCTGTCTCTCTTTCTGTGTATATATATCTATATATATATATCTTCCTCATGCTCTCACTTCGCATTTAACTTCTTTTACGCACTCACCTCAATCATTGTGCTTCTATTGTTAACCGAGGCAATGGTAATAAGTCCCTCACCCGCAGTTCTACCAGCCACCTTCTCAGCCTTTTTTGCGCCAGAAGCCTGGGCATCGGCAGAAAGCCATTCGAGTGCCTTTGCATAGTCGTTGTCGTTCTTTACCAAGGCTTCCTTTGCCTTGGTCATAGATACTTCGGTCTCCTGACGGAGTTTGGCAAGGAGCTTAATGTTGGGCTTTACTTGGGTGGTATAGGAGCGTGTGAGGCCAAAACGACATGGTGCAAAAGAAGCACGAAGACCAAAGAGCGAGTTCATGAGAAATTGAGCAAGGGGAGAGATATATAAAAAAGGGGGAGGGAAGATTTGGAGCGGGGGTTAATTGAACATGATCCATTTTGACAGCGGTTCAAGGGTGGCTTACTAGTGGAAGAAAGACGTCACGCCTTTGACTGTTGAAAATTTTGTATTTTTCATTCAAAGGGGACCGGCTCAGACGGCAAGTTGTGAACCCTCCTCTTTCGTATCCATCCTCGACTTGGTATGTAGCTTTTTTTCCCAAGACGCTATACAAGCCTGAACACCAGCGATGTACAATCCGCCCTTACCTATAATATTTTAGTTAGCAATGGCCCCCATCAAGAAGACCAAGAAGAACACCGACACCATCGGTTCCCGCCTCCAGCTTGTCACCAAGTCCGGAAAGTACACCCTTGGTTACAAGTCCACCTTGAAGACTCTTCGTCAGGGCAAGGGTAAGTTATATCACAACTCTCCGGGGGACAGGAGCCCAATACAAAATAAAACAAAAAGATTGCAGCCACCCTGTTCTGCACGGGCAGAGATCGTCCCCCCTCATTCCGCTAACACTTGTGAATCCCTCATTTAGCCAAGTTGGTCATCATTGCTGGCAACTGCCCCCCTCTCCGCAAGTCCGAGATTGAGTACTACGCCATGTTGTCCAAGACCGGTGTCCACCACTACAACGGCAGTAAGCACCCTAAACCTTTTTTTTTAAATTAAAAGATAAGACTCTTTCTGATCCATTATGTGTCTAGACAACATCGACCTTGGTACCGCTTGCGGTAAGCTTTTCCGCGCCAGCGTCCTCTCCATCACCGATGCTGGTGACTCTGATATCTTGAGTGCCCAGTAATTGCAAAAATAAATGAGTAGTTTTGTGCTCTGTTTATCCTTCGAGTATTCAGAACATTAAAATCTTGTTTTTTTTTTCAATGAAAAAATTGCCAATAAAACTGTGTTTTTCTTGTCTTATGTATAAATTATCACTTGCTTTTTTATGTTTAATGCGTTTTTCTGTGTGTGTGTGTGTTATATGAATCCTTTTCTGTGGGTTGTTTGATAATCATCAAGTGGCTTGTCCTTTAATTGAGATTTTTTTTGTGACGTTGCTTAATCAATTTTCTCGGGAAATTGTGTGTGGATTAAAAGGATTTTTTTTAAAAAAAACCTATCCATATATATATTGGACTAATAATTTTTGTGTAATAGCTCATTATTTAAATATTTTATCAAAGATAAGAGTCCTTATACTGAGACATGAATGACAAAAGAGGCTCTTCACACTATGTACATGCTTGATATCTTATCAGCTTAATATTTATTTATTTTTCACAGTTCTGTATTGCCACATACTTATTTTTTTTTTTATCAAGATGGATAGGGAGAAATCTGTTGAATGGAGAATAGCAGACCTCAACCTTTATACTATATTGCCAAACGAAACCAATTATGCTCAGAGCATCTGCAGCGGTTACATTAAAATTAATTTTTGCGACTGTTTTAATGTGGATTCCGAAATGTTCTCAAAAAAATCGTCTGCAGCGGTTACATTAGGGGGTTTCATTATCTGTTTTAGATTTTATTTTATTTTTTCTGAGCTTTAAGTTTTAACCAATAATAATGGATATAAAAAGATATTACTGAACCCCCCTCATGTTAGCTAATTTAATGTATAAAGTCTTTTAAAAAATCACTTTTTTGTTTATTATTCTAGATATATTTACTGTTTACATAAAGCTACTGATGGGCTAAAATTTATGAAAAGTCTTTGAATAAGCATGTTTAAGACATATTAAATAATATAATGTACTACTTCTATCAAAATAGACAGAAAATATGAGTAAAGTAATGCTTTTTGTTATTTATAATATTTGAATAAAAATGCTAAGTCAAAAATAAAATAAAATCTTAAAATTATCAAGCCAAGTTTTGAGATTTTATTTTTTGAAATTTTATTTTTTGAGAGATTTTTACCAGCCAATAATTAGTGTTTTTCAATCCCAGAAAAAATAAAATAAAATCTAAAACAGATAATGAAACCCCCTATTACAGACAACATTATAGATAATGTAGTCCATTTTTAAGGTCAGGAACATTACATGTAGTGTTACATTATAAATCGATACTATCTTTTTGAATCGTTTTCTTCCCTCTCGCATCCTTTGTTAAAACGAACAATAGTCTATAGAAATGAGCAAAGAAATTCTCACAAATTATGCTCACTATTAATCTGACAATATTGAAATTATTAAATTCATATTTTTAATGCATATATAGAGAGCAAATGTTCAATAAAATAAATTTCAAGAAAAAGAATATGAACAAAATCATTAGTGAAGAACTGGAAACTTTAGACAGTCAAAAAGCTCAAATTGTTCCTTTGTAATGTAGCCACAATTTGGCAATCTGTTTTTAACTGGTATTCAATCCCCGGTGTGGCTATACTACACTATATATAATGTTTTCGATAATGTAACCGCTGCAGATGCTCTCATCATATGACTTGCCTTGTCCAAAGTATTCATGTAAAATAAGATTTTTTTATGATTACTTTGCAACCCAATTGTGTGCAATTAAATAACTATAAAGATAAAAAAATATTATGGGTTTTTGTAAAAAAAAAAAAAAAAAAAAAAAAAAAAAAGAATAGGAGCCAAAAAAACAGTTCACAAAATGGACGACTTTTTTTTTTGGTTGACTGACGTTTTTGATATTTCTACTGTCAAAGAGATCGACGGTTTAGTAAATTTTAACAGCTTTTAAGTTTTCTAAAACGTTGTATAGCTGTGTAAAAACCGGATAAAATCAGATCACTGAAAAAGAAAAGAATAGCGGAATCCTCTATTCTGAAAATTTATAGCTCTAACTAACAAAAAAGAAGGTTTAAACATAATATTATTGGGGTTTTGAATGGAAACAAGCATATATATATACTTCCTTACGGGAATAAGTTTTCTGTCAAGCCAAGCATAGTACGCAAATTTTTTATAAATTTTGCTTAATAGTCATAGAATATTCTTTACCTACTGACATGTATTGTAAATAGTAGAATAATCCACTTGTACTGATAATGATGTCTAAGTTTTAAAGAGAAATAGCTCTTACCTCCAATGTCATGCTATAGTTTGCAACATTTTTTTTAAAAAAAAACGGTCTAGTTCAGTAGTAACCACACGGCAAGTTGAAGTATGATGGATTCATGAATGAAGTATTGCAGATTGTGATAGAGCTTAATGTGTAAAATACTACATGCACTCAGATTTATGAATGATGCTTGTGTTGGCACTATAAATTTAATAGGTGTTAAATGATTTGAGTCGTTTAATAAGAGCATAGTTGATAATACTGTATTAAATATTATATAGCTAGTAATTCTATGCTTTATACAACCAAGCTTTTGTCTGAGATTAGGATAGTCGTCTTGAGTGGTATACCTAGTAATTAGCCCACCTTTTTGTCCTCTAGACCGCCTCAAATACACTAAAGCTTGCTTTCTGTGGTATAGAATAGAAATCATGAGTGGAAGAAAAATAAGACACATTTAATGCACAAAATAGTCTATAAATCATGTTTGTGACCTTTTTGCCCGCATACCTGGACTTCAAGTTGGAAAAGCAGTAAGGAACGAAAGAGTTATCGATTTATTTTATCCTTTTATATATTGTAATCAAATACCACTATTTCCTCAAAAATCCGTGTGTCTAGCCATAATAGATTGTTAGCTCGCTTATATTCCCAGCTTCCATCTATCAACATTAATATTATTATTTATCTTAAATTACCTAAATGTGTTTCACTATTTTGTCAATAGATTAGAGCACAATGTTTGCTTTTGGTTTTTCAAAACATAGTAGGGGCACATAAACGCTATATAAAGAAGAGTTGCATGTATATATAATAATAGAGCTGAAGCAATGATTAAATGTATTTCATCAAGAAACAGCACCATAATAGCTTTAGTATCTGCGTATGATTAAATAATTTAACGAAATCGCAAGTATGGAAATTTCTTCAACTCTGAACACCCACATTATAATTTATCGAAGACCAGACTATACTCTATAGAAAAAAACCTGAAGTATTTATTCGGATTCTTTCTGTAGCACAATACTGAAACGTGATAAGCTGGAAAGTTTCATTCACAAGATCCTGTACGCCCTTACATTACCAAAACATCATTCACCTGCTGTATTAATGTAAGGTGTAATTAAAAAGCGTTAATATCGGTTGGCAGTATTGTTTACATCAAGAATTCTCACAATTATTTATACCTACACCTACACCTACATAACCTTATCCCTATGCCTATGTTTATGCTTATGCTTATGCTTATGCTTATGCTTATGCTTATGCTTATGCCTATATCTACGTCTACCTTGTTAGTCTTATGGATAGTAAATTAGTTATATATATATTGAGTTATGTACCATAGTTTGCTAGTTATTTCTATCTATGCTTAAAATTAGTTTCCTTGTGCATTAACTCCCCAGCTTAGATTTATGCTCAAGATCGTTGTAGTACAGCTGTGCATATTATTACTACTGTTATTGTTAATATTTGGTTGTTCTATTTTTATTTTATTTTGAACAGGCCTCGTAGTTTTCTTTTCATAGTGGCTTGGTCTGGGATATTCTGTGTGGGCATCATGGTAAATGTCATGAATTGATCTTTGCATCTATTGGAGTAGATATCAAGCTTTACTACTTGGTCATGTGCCAATATGTGCCTCAAATCTTGATTTTTCTTTGGTTAATAGTAGAAAGAAGACGATATTCTTTAACTTTATACATTACAATATATATTGATTTTCAATGCTCATTTTATGGATTATAATAGTATCATTCACCGATCAGAAATTGATGTTATTGCATGCTTATAATATTGATAGCCTGCAGGTATAAAGTTACACTGCATTACTTTACTCGTATAATATTAGCTTTTTTATAGAAGAAAAAGAAGACTATAAAAAATATAACTACTCCAGTTTTGGAATACAAAAATATTGAGAAGTTGTATAAATTCCATAGTTTTGAATGCTCTCAGTGCTATCAATCCAATATATATATATATACATATCATATCAGGTACTACAGCCTTCTGACATCTGAGTATTTAATGTGTGTATAAAAATACAATATTTACAAAATAGTGAATATGAATACATCTTCAGGTGCTATTTTGTATGCAGGCTACAAAATAATATAACTCTAGGATTTATCTACCGATCAATATCCCTTGATAACCATCTTAACGCATAAAAGGAAAAGTCCGAATATCAAGCTAGATGTATATTGACGTATATTGTTACTTTTAAGAAAGAAGAGACACAGGATTTTCAGCATATTATTCTGCATTATCCCCGGTACCTTTCCCCCTTAACTTGTGTATACAAACACGTAGATCATCAAATCCTTAGAAATACAGCGGAAGCTCGGTAGTGCAAAAAGCCACTTTATAGGACTTATTTTGCTCAAATACTATTCTGTTGACAAGGCCTCTAGTAGCATTTATTTTTCGTACAGCTATATCATAAATAAAACTAAAACAAAGAATAATTAGTACTGTGAATATGTTTGTGTTCGTGTCCGTTTATTAGCAAGAAAATAAGAGTACATCAAAAAGGGTAGATACTGTGCAGAAGTCCCAACTACTTGCAGGAATTTGCAGTTTAACACAAAATATACAATATACAATTGGTAGTGATAATGAAGGTACACGCTGCTTTCGAATTATGCGATAGTGCTTTTTGTGCGTATATTTTTAAACCAAATGTGGCGCAATCTACTCGATCGGTTAATATAAAGTCAAATAGGTACATAAACCGAGGTGATAGAACACACATGCTAATCCGGGTACATGGCGGTAAAAATAACGGCTGAACATTCTAAAAGAAAACTTTTAGGTGAAAATGAAAATGAAAATGAAAATGAAAACGAGAATGAGAGTGAGGATAAGTTCGAGTTTTTGTTTTATTTGTTGTTTGATAAAGATCATAATATTATATATGCATCTCGGTGCGTTCAAAACACACTCAAATAAACAATATGCATAATACTAGCAAGTTTGGGATACATGATTGATATGTGGTGTAACTCCTCAGTGTCTACAAAAGGCGTAGCCCTCCATCCCATATCCTATAAAACCAGGCTATTGACAGGCAACCCCCTCTTTAGAAATATACTTTGACTAGCATTTTACAGAATGTCTTATTCGTCTCTGTTGAAAGTCTTCAGCGCTGCTGCCCTATTGCCTCTGTGCTTTAGTGCACCTGAGTCTACACACTGGCTAATGGGTGACCCTCAAGACCATCCCGGACGGTGGATGAACAAGGTACATGATATACCTACATGGGTTATTCCAATTGAAAGTAAGTACTATAAACACTTTTACCTGATGAAAAAACTGAATACATATACCTTTCTAGACTATGACGAGAATACATTCATAGCAGGAAATGTGTTCAGTGGAATGCTCGTTGGATTTTCTGCATTTTATGCTTTTTACCACGTATATCGTGTCTATCTTCCTTCTGCCCCCCAAGGAAAACGCAACATAGGAAATCTTAACAAGGATATCTTGGGCTACCTCAGCAGCTCCTTCCTCGCTTCGTTTATGTACTCTGTTCTTTCTCTCGGAAAGATATGGTGTGGATTTGGTGTACTTCATAATCTGTACGAAGCTGCGCTTTTACTACACATTGTTACCCAGCAAAGAAGTACTTCGTAAGTTTTACATTAAGAAACATATATATATATATATGTATATGGGTGTGTATTCGTATGTGTTTATATATCTAATTTGTTATGCTTTATAGATCGCGAGTTACCTATGGTATTCTTTTTGCTTACATTTTGATTGTTGTTGCTACTTCTTTGGTGCTTCCTTGGCCATTTGATGGAGTCTTTTTTAAGTACCAAGGTAAATTCCTAGTCGCTTTTAAATAACTTACTATTAAGTGTACTAACTCTCGATCTACAGGTCTTGTTGTTGACTACGTCCTTTCTGTTAACATGGTCCGTCTATATCTACACAACAAATCTATTGCTGCGAAGGTCAATGTTCTCACCCCAGCACCAACTGAGAATGGCACAGCAGAAAGCGGTACTGTAGAGGATTCAAACACTTTCAAGGGAAAGCAATCTGTCACTTTTATGCGACCTGTACATGAGAACCTCTTTCTACTTGCTTTTGCAGCTGTGGTACATACTGCTGGAAATACAATGATTATTTTTGCAAATACTGCTACATTGTAAGTAATGAAACACCCCTAATCAACTGGTTTAATTTCTTATTTTGGGGACAAGAAAAAGTAAAACGAAAACGAAAACGAGAATATGAAATTAGACAAGAAATAAGTGTCTTAATATATTGTATCTTAGGTGGCTAGTGTTCCAATTCTCCTATGCGGTAGCCTTCCCAATTTACAGTTATTATGTATCTGAAGAGCCTGATTCCAGCCGCATCAATTGGTACCCCATCAAACTTTTGAAAGAAGTCATTATCGGTGTTGTTAGCTTTGTCGTTGTCGGTGTGCTGATGGCCATAGGATTTATCTCATCTGGTGTGGAATTGTGATTTCTTTGAAGCCAAGTTATAATAATAGAGTCGACAGATTTAAAACAAGTTCAATAATATATGTATATATATTAATGACGATAGCCAAGATTATTAGAATAGTGACTCAACGTTTTTGCGTACATGTGTATGTACATGTATATATATATATATATATTGCTTTGTTAAATAAAGGAATACATTTCATTCAATCTATACATAGACATACATACATAGGTATACATATTAAAGTGTAGTTTTGATATTATTATTTTTCAAAAATAAATCAATCAATATGTATAGTCTATACTCACAATTTTCTATATTTGTTTATAAATTTAGGGTTTATGTCTAGTCTCACAGTATCGCTCTTTTACATGATTCTGGACATTTACATGGCGTTTACCTTACATGCATGTTTTAATATTTAAAGGGGTCAAATCTAGCATTTTATAATATACAGTATTATCTGCTTATTATTACTATCATTACACACCAGGCTTCACATAATACAAGAAACCCAGTCAGTTAAACGGAATGCGGATTACAAAAAAATGTGATTTAGCAAGGTAGTTCCAAAGCAGTCAATGTCTTTTTAACAAGTCTTGGCTTGGAGAAAAAAAAACACTGATAATATTTACATCAACTGAAAGTAAATAGGCATTTTTTTGGATATATTAATGCTAAGTCTACACAAAAACACAAACACAAACACAAGCACAAGCACAAGCAAAATCTTATCAAACAGCACAAGCACAAGCACAAGCATAAATTCACACACATACACACATATACATATACATAGCTTTAAAAACAAATCACATCCAACAATAGTTTATCTAGAGGGAACTTACACAAAACTAATATTCATAATGATCCTCTTCTACAAATATATTGCATGATCAAAATCAGCTATTCTTTTTAATATTAGGAGAATTATATATAAGCTAAAATAAACAGAGCAGCGTTTAAGGTCCAAGGCAACAAGTATTCATTATTAATGCCACATTACTAATATGCTTTGTGTTCACCGAGTGTTTTCCCCAGCTGAGCGCCGTGCTTTTCAGTAGACATACATCAGGCTTCAAAAATAAGTATACTAGGCTAGGTATTAAGTGCATAATGGGTACTTTGCGAAAAGCAGCACTTAATAAACCAAATATTATCTATTTGGTCCGGAAAACATCAAGAATTTTGAAACAATAAAAGACGAAATATTATTAGGGGTCGTCATTCGTGAATAATTGTCGATAATCGAAAAAAGGTGAACTTTTCTTTTGAATAATATGATTGGATAATAATAACTAGACCTTTTTGAAAAAGCTCATGGCCATTTTTGAAAAACTTTTTAAGAGGTGAAAATTGAGAAATATAAAATTTTGTTTAATAGTTTTTTTTATTCTATCCTTTATTTATTCTATAGATTATTATAAATACGGTCTCTTGAACTTTCAAATAAAATTGAGGGTGGGTTGACCATGTTAATGATAAATCACTTAAAGGACCTAACTTTTAAAATACCACAAGCTTAAATCAAAATATACCTTAAAGCTAAATGAGGAAAATGGAAAATATAGGTATTCAAGTGTTGATTATTAAATAATCACCTACACAAATATCGGTTTTTCTTACATGCATTTTTTTTAATATATATAAAAAAAAGAGCAATTATATCAGGCCAATCTGTATAGATATTCTATTGAAAGTATCCTACAAAAATTATAGTCAATCAAGGTATTATTATATCATGATTTTCTCTATTTTATTAAAGGATCAAATATAACAATTTAGTAATATACTCTTTATAAATAATCTGCTTCTTAAGGATAGTGCAGACCATAATGATAATAGTATTTTTTTTATAAACCCTCCAATCTAAATTTTGTGGAATTCTCTTTTCTACACATAGATACAATGACCCAAACATACGGTATACCAATTATAATACGATAAAATTGAAACAAAGTTTTATCATTAATCATTATAATAATAAGAAAATGAAATCTGAGAGAAGTTTTACGTCAATAGATAAGTTATATGCAAAAAAGGCTTGATTCAATTCATTCGTCTAACCAGAAATGCTAAAAGTGTTAAAATAGGAAACATTCAATCATTATGTGGTATTTAAGGTCTACTAGTCTTTTGGTAGTACGAAAAAATAAATGATTCTTGAAAAATGCTTATGGACTAGACTGTCTTAAAAAAAGCACACAAAAAACAAACAAATAGAGAAATATATACTAATTTATTATATAATCGGGTCGGAAAAGGCGGTTTATGCAAATATATTATATATATATATATACACTAACAAAAAGAGCGTATTTAATGTGTGTGTGTGAAGGGAAGCCAAGTATCTAGAATAAATCAAACATTTGAAGACTTTTTAGGGTTAAGGTTGTGTACCTTTGTGAGCCGCGGGCTTGTACACAACATATTTAAGACAGCCAGATTCCACTGTAGTTTGAAGTATCGTTTGAACGGTTCTAATTTCTGTCTGTTGATTTACATTTTGGTATTCAAAGGGTCTTTCGTGTATTAAATCGGTTGTTTTTTTTTTCATGTCACAATTAAGCCTCATATTGCAAATACACAAACAAATTATCACCAAGTCTTAATAAAAGTCATATATAGATATATAGATATATAAATAAAAGAAAGGATAATCTTATCGTCGGGTTTCTGCTCGTCTTTGGAAGGTACTCCCTACTGGACCCACACACATCTGACTTTTACTGTGCATGCTTCTATTAATAAACAGCAGAGAGGTAAATTGGTTGTTTGAACAGACAGCAAGAAAAAAAAAACACGAAAGAAGGTCTGTGCTTTTATATATATATTTCAACCTTGGATTTATAAAGTCAAGACGACTATGAACATGTAATTGCGTCGAGCTGCATCTTTAGACAATACAAATCTAGCTACAGTACCACATTATGAGTACAAAGGTGACACGTTCGGATAACCATTTTCAAGGTTCTCACCGAATGTACCAATGAATAGCTTTAAGGTAACCATAGAAAATCCTGAATATAAATGATTAAAAAAATATATTAATATTTAACTAATAAGAATAGTAACTATAGCAATCTGATAGCAATCATAATAGGCATCCCATCCTTAGAAGTAAATTAATAAATTTTGGGGACCTTCCTCTATTATCAGCTCATAGTGCATATATATATTTATATAATATAATATATATTATAATATTATTTGTGCAATGAGAACCAAAAGAATTAATATAATCAATTAGCGTACAGCCCAACAGTAAATATCAAAACTACACTATTTTAAGACACCTATTTTGATTTTCGATTTTCGATTTTCGATTTTTGATTTTTGATTTTTCATACTTCATACTTCCTATTATTCGTATCTCCAAATAAGTCTTTGAAGGGACAATTGGTGTATCAGCATCTTTGTAGACACTGCGTTGTTTAGCTCCCTATCACTTAAAGCTGGGGTTTAAAGTTATTGATCTATCCAACTTTGTGGTCCTTGTACCAACCTATCAAGGTTTGGCTCTAGATAGCTGGTTAACTCCAAGCTTTTGACTTGAAGCACACAGCTTTAGTATTTATATTTCTCTTTCTCTTTCACAAGCCAAGTAGCTCTTACTTGTAGACGCCACAAGCTAATATTGAATAAGTTGCATTAAAGTCATGCTCAGCTTGTGACTGGATGTGATTGAGTGCGACTGAGTACGATTGTATACTTACGTTTTTTTTTCTGTGTCATACCGTTTTACCTAATCAAGCTATCGAGCAAAGGAATTCATTCGACTAACCAACCCCCCCCCCCCCCAACTCCTCCCAAAGGGCATACTCGCACCAAATCAACTCCACTTGGTTTATCCTCTTTCTTCCTTTCTTGCTATGCTAATTTTGCGGCACAACACCTTACCCTCTGATGAACTATTCGTGATTGAGTGTGTATGTTGCAAATATAGAATAACATATTCCTATCAAGAATAATAATTGTAATCACATTCTCATTAGAAAATGCTCAAGGTGGCTGATGCTAGCCAGCCACTTGATGGTCTCATTGACCTGGTCTTGCTGGACATGCCACGCACCGAGATCTATGGATACATGCTTGGTTTGTTCGAGCGGCTGGATCTCTGTAAAGCAATAGGAATCACATCTTCTGAATTATTGGATTTCCTAATTGATGTCGACAGAGGCTACCTTCCGAATGCCTACCATTCGTTCTATCATGCTGCTGATGTTACAATTGTTCTGTTTGCCATGCTCTCCGATTACGACGCCAAGCAATATCTCACGTCTGTGGACATGGCATCTCTCCTGATCGCTGCCCTCTGCCATGACATTGGCCACGTAAGTCTCCAGCACCACCCTCGCAGGTCTTAACTCCTTCTTAGCCTGGAAAAAACAACAACTTCCAAGTCAATATTCAGACGGACCTTGCCAAGCGATACAATAACAAGTCAGTCCTCGAGTGCTATTCCTGCACCCTCACGATGGACCTATTGACAAAACACCAATTGCTCCAGCACATAGAAGAAGCCAGTGCAAACACCGGGACACCGACTACCGAAGCAGAGGCACGTATATCAATTATTAAGATGATTTTGGCAACCGATATGATCTTTCACTACGAACTTCAAGAGAATTTGGCTGGTCTGTTGGAAATTATCTCAGACAGGGAGTGTACAGAAACAGAAAAGGAAGAGGGGGCTAACCGTGAATGTGGGCATGGAACAGCAGGCCACTGTAAAGGTCCCCAGACCTGGGACAAGCCACGTATCAAAGATATATTTTATAATAGAAACTTTACCAACCCACTATTGTACTTTGAAAGCAAATTGTCGTTCCACAATATTGCAGAAGAGAATGAAGATGAAGACGAGGAAGCTGGGTTAACAGGCGACCACCACCACCACCACCAGTTGTTTCATTCAAGTCATTCTTCTCCACTAATTGCACCGAATGCACCCCCTGCACCAAATGCACCCAACCCACCTCCTTCACCAAATTCGTCTAATCTGCCTAATGCGCCTATTCCGCTCACAAAATCTCATTCGATAAGTGCTCCTAGTGCATCCAAATCTGTTAGTGCACCCAATACGTCTGCCGCACGCACAGCAGCACACAAACACACCGTTACCAGAAGATCCTTGACAGGAAGTCTATCAATAGAAACCCATAGGCACAAATCGATAAGTGGGCCTATCGGAGGGTCAGAGCATCCAAGTACACCTGGGACAATCACCGAGTCTCCTGCGACAATACATGGTTCCACAAATCACACTGGCTCGGTCAATTTACTGCAAACTCCGGATAGTGCAAATGACGGAAATTGTTTAAGCCCTTGTAAGCTCTTGAGTAAACTGGAGAGAGAGGTTCTCTGTCAAATCATGCTTCATGCGGCTGATATCAGCAATGCCTTAAGACCTTGGTCTATCTGTAAAACTTGGTCTAATCTGGTCTGCGTTGAGTTTTTTGGACAAGGAGATGCTGAAAAAGCCTTTGGCTTGCCGATCTCTCCCAATATGGACCGTGGCCAAACAACTCAGGCAACCATCAGTCTGAAATTCGGCGATTACATAGTGAATCCCTATTTTGAGATATTTGCTGCCGTGTTCCCTAAATCTGACAGACTTCTTCAGCTACTAGCCGAAAACAGGAAAGAATGGGCTAGACTTGAAAGTAACGAATCAGCGGCTAATGCGGGTCACACGGCAGAAGAAGGAGGCATCGAAGGACATTTGCCACCAAAAATATTGCCAGATCATCCCATCCTTGACCCTGCCGGTCGAAGAGTATCAACTTCTGCAGGTATGATAGTGATCCCATCGCCAGACGAGATGGAAAGACGTACGGTTGGATTCGGCAAGGCTCAGCGCACATATTGGGGAGTTCGGAGCGCAAGCCACAGCGAGGTACCACGACAAAACGGTCCACATTCGTACATACTCGAAGAGAAAAAAAGACGCAAGAGTGAAGAGCCGGCCCTTTATTTGCGCAAACTTCAATTGAATGCTTCTGGGCGAAGAGTGAGTCCTGCTGAGGCTACCGAGCGTAAGGCGAAGAGGCACAATTCTACTGTACCTAGTAGTGCTTCTTCAAGGCAAGACAACAAACCATTGTAACCTCATTTCTGCTTGCATTCTGACTCAAGCTCAGGCTCATTATTTATTTTGGATATATATATATATTTATATACATATACATATATACATATACATATACACGCACCTTTGTATATACGTGTTTTAAAGAGCAAGTATAACATACACCTTTTTACTCTTTTTCTTTACTTTATTATTTTTTTCTTTAAAATATTTATTACCTGCTTGTTGTAACTTTCTATACATCAATTATGCTATCTGAATATTGTACACTATTACTGGAGCACAATGTATGGATATACCGTAGTATTTAACATTGCGCTATTTAATAAGGGCTACTAGCGAGAATATCTGAAATTACAAAGCCTCTAGAAAAAATCAAATATAATTATGATAGACTGTAAAACCAGTGAGAAGATGAATATAAAAATAAAATAACTTGAGGTCAAAGATCAAAGGGATACCAAGTTGTTTAATTCGTAAAAAGTATTATCAAATTCCACCAATTTTAAAAGAAAAAAAAAGAAAACCCAGTGATTATTCGGCTCCAATGCTTTCCCTCTTGGGCACGACGTTTCTTTTATTGTCTCCTTTGGATTGCTAGGTGCCAGATAGAGTTGGTTGATACCCGGCCGCAAGTCACTTTTTATGAGACTGGTAAAAAGTAATTTGCGGGGATTAAATAAATGTAGTACTCCAGAGAAACATCGTGCCTTAGAGGAAGAGTGTCGGGCCCGAATAATTAGTGAATATAAAATTTGAGATAAAATGGGAGTTAAAATGGACTGCTGGAGATGCTCCTCCTTATTTGAGATACGCTTCTCAATGGCTAAAGGTGCTCTTCAGCGATCTCGGTATAATTATTTTGGCTATAAGAAAAAAACGGGAAACTACAAATAAAGTAGAGAGACTGCTTTTTATAGTAATCATGCTATGCAGCCATAGATTTTGTTCCAAAATTTGATGCTAATTGTATGATTTGATTGGTGAAAAAATTTGGGAAACTATTTGGTAAAATTATATTGAAAAAACGCTGATATAATTAGGAATGATAGGACTAATTGCAGCCTGCTAAAATAGCTATTCATTTTTGGTGGCTTTCTTTAATAAATCTCTTTATATATCTTTTATCTTTGTTCTTGTAATATTTGCATAGAAGTTTCTTTTTTTTAAGAAGTCTATAATATTGAGCATAATTTTATCTTTACTAAAGTTAATTTCAGATAGTAAGCAAAGATATTGCTGTTTATTTTGAATATTTTAAAAGTAAAAAGGAGTGAAAAGAGTAGAGCTTAAAAAATGAAATTTTTAGAAGACGTTTTAGCAAAACCGTAGTTTAAAGTTATTTTTATGATTTTAGCACCGCTTTGAGTTATATTGAGTAGTTTCCCCTGCAAATTCGCACGTAAAACTACTTGGTAGAATTAACATTTTTCGGAAAGTAATTCATGATTTTTTGGTGTATAATTACTATATTTAGATAAAACTTTTCTTTATCACATAATTTTGAATTATACCGAGACCGCTGAAGAGCACCTTAAATGAATATATGAATATATTAAAATACAGAATTGCTATTTTTTATATAGAAAATAAACTAAAACTAATCGACTGTACAGCATGGTTTTGATGTCCTATAGGTGCTCACGGAGTGAAGTGTCAATCGACCAAAAAGTGTCAATCGACCAATTTGGAAATGGAAGCAAAATACAAATATAGATATTGTCCACGTGATAAAATGTCGGTATTATAATAAAATACTATACTCAAGAAACTTATATCTCTTTGAAAATATAACATGAAATATAATTATTTTCCATGTGTTATTAAGAGAAAACATGTAAAATATGGCTTTTAACGCAAGTTTCAACAAGCCATATTTCAATAATACTATTGTGAGTAAAAATATATTAGCACATATAATTAAAAAGAGATTGAAAAACAAGACAAAGTAATGAAATAAAAATGGTTCTCACACACCGTGTTGATAGCAAGAAAAATTAAATACCATATATGGTATTTGAAAATAATTTGTCCCTGGTCAAGAGCAGGGGCATTTTTTGTGGACTTTAAAAATTATATACCATATTTAGGCTTGAGACCCTTCCAAATTGGTCGATTGACACTTTTTGGTCGATTGACACTTTTTGGTCGATTGACACTTTGGTCGATTGACACTTCACTCCGTGAGCACCTTATATTTTAACAATATTTAGACTTGTATCAAGTGTATACTCTTTATTATCATAAATTCAATTACCATTAAAGTGAAACCAGGCAATTAGAGTCGTTTGAACGTTTAGAATATAGAATATTTCTAACCTTTTTTTTTTTAATACATACCAATTAATTAAGAGCTATATGTTCTGCAGAGATTACATACATATACACATTACGTGCAGTATTGATTCAATTGAGAACAACTCAATGAGTAAGTACGCAGTGAAGCAAAAGAAAAAAAAGAATGGAGTTAAAAGCCAAGCAGTGCTTAAGCGCAGCCGCGGCATATAAACATTTTTGTATAACAATATAACGAATATTTAGAAACTATTCAACAAGGTCAGATAACGGATCAATACAGACACGGACTATGTGATCAATTGGGATCTATTGGCCGAGTTTACCCTTCCCACACAACATATATAGGAATGAATATGTGCTGAAAGTATAAACGACACTTCCACGGAAAAGGGAAGCAAGTCAAATGTTACGGTCGGGGAGAAGTTAGTGATAGATGTTGCTGCACAAATAGATAAATTAGCTTGGGATTGAAGGTTTTCAGTATTTCTGCCTTTTGTTTGGCTGTAGTATCAAGGGAGGTATTAAATAAAATCTGATAAAAATACCACTTTACGAAATTATTTGCTTTGTTATTTAGAAAGAGTTTTCTGGCTGTGGCAATGGGTTGTTCTATAATTATTATTATTTTACAAAATAAGTTCTAAGTTACAAGTTTTGAGAAGGCTGGTGAGAAAACAAGTAAATTGATTTTAGGATTAGCATAAATACACTCAAGACAAAGAAGCCTATTGCCTATCGTAAGAGGCTGGCTACAAGGAAGGATTGTATCAAAGAAGCAAAAAAGAAGAAGATCTCGATGGTTCCTACATGTGGGTATAACCTCAATATAATAACATTTTATATCTTCACAATGAAATAATGGGATGTCTGTGTGAGACTGATAATCTCTCATACAAGCATACTGTACTACACACCAAAAAAAGATATTCATCGTACCTGTTACGCATTCCTTCTATATTTAGACCTTATTCATCCTTTTAATACTTGCTCTATCATACAGAATGATGCCTATTTACCCATACTGATCAACCACCATGGGGAGTTTAACAGGCCAATTGAGAAAGAAACTCTGCTTATATATATATAGTCTACATATTTGTGGCGCCACTCGATCCTTATTTATACTGGTTGCAGAGAATAGGATGCTGACAATCGACACAGTCTGGAACCATTCTTGGGTATAATTATTTATAAAATACATAATTTTTTTTCTACCCTGTGATAAACAATTATATGGCTCACCCCTCTTTAATGATCTTACTAGGATCTAACTTTTTTTTTCATAGATAAATCATCAAGCTCCTAGGAATGATTCATTCTGCTCCTTAGTTCTGTAAGTCTGTGAGTAGATGGATAAATTTATTCATGTGACATGTACTTGCTTAAAATTACTATATCTTCATTTAAGTTCATCAATCTCATAGACAGGCCATATTTTCATAACTGGATAAATCCGTTCATCCAGAATCCAAAAGTATTAAACAGGATCAGAGATCATGTGATTCGTACTTGAATCCGTCACGTGTTTTAATAAGAGAAAATAAATAAATAAATAAATAAAAGAATAGCAAAATGCAAAGTTATAAATAAAAATAAGAATAAAACCATACAGGCATATTTATAACGTCAACGGTTGGGCTGTTATACAATTAGAGACATAGGTTAGATTTGATGACTGCATAAGATTCACAAAATAGGTAGATATGTTGAAGTCAATAACTAAACTCTATACAGACACAAGTAAAGTATGTAAAGCCAGTGACTGAGCTTTTTTAGATAGAGTCTAATTGCGACCTACCAAGCAAGAACCGCTTTTATATATATATAGAAGTTGAATATATAAAATGTTATTATATTGAAATCATGTCCACACGTGGAAACCTGTATAATTTCTTTTTACTTTATGATTCTTGCTTCTTTTTAAGCCAGTTGATACTGAATAGTTTGGTCTTCAGCTCGAATGTACAACCATGTGGAACCAGACTAGTGAGAAAACAGGACCAAGTGATGGAGAAAATTTTGAAAATGTTATTTTTGATCTTTTTTTTTTCCATTAGTTAAATTCAAGTAACAATACACACACATATATACAAAGTCTCTAGACATTTGCTAAGATCACTTTTAACTTCTAATCTGTTTGTGTGATGATCAAAGCAAACAAATATCATTAGCCTCCTAATATATTATCATCAAGAATAAGGGGTAAGGGCACCTAGGCCGATGGTAAGCTTACACAGAAGGACACCCAACCATACACACACAAACACATACACACACACACACAGTTACGCTTACACGGCTTTTGATTGACTTTTAACAAGGTTATGTTGTGTGACAGAGGCAGACACTAAGGAAAAGAGGGCTTAATTTTCGTGTTCTTGGCTCTTACAACCAATCATATTTCATTATAGCCTCTAGTGAGCCCCTGCTCTCCTTAAAATGCTCTGTCATCTTTATTTTTTTAACACCCATTTTCTTGAATTTTTCATCTTTCTTCCTAACTTTCATTTTATCAAATTTACACAATCATGGCTCTCCTACTAATCCGAGCAGTGGCTCATGTCTACATGGCACTCTCGGTTGTCAGACCTCTTCAGACTATGGAGATATCCAGCCAATTTTTTCAATTGATATCTACTGAATATCGTACAGTTGGTCTGGCGAGAAGTAAGCGCAAATTGGCCTCACAGGCATGGCGTCACACGGGCCTTTTCTGTCTCTTGTCTGCACGTTTCTCAGTATTGATATTTCTCCTCTTCGCGAGAGCAATACTTGAAGAAGTAAAATATTATCGTATCTCAACTCAATCCAGTTTGCCTGTGTCAAAGACACCACAAAAACCCACTAATGAACTTCCTACTACTCCTACTACTTCCACTACTTCCAATACCACTATCAAATCTATGCCCGCCCACACACCCACACCCACACCCACACCAACTTTCAATATTGTACCAGAGCACAAAGAGCTTCCTGAAAAAAGCAAACCTAAATCAGACCAAACCATGATAAAGGAAATTATCTGCCTCCCAAAGAAAGCACCAATCAAGCCCTCTTGGCCTACTGGTGCTAAGCAAACCAGTGCTCCGCCTACACCTCCTGCCGAGAAGGAGGAGGATATTGAATGCGAAAGCTTGATCGTCTCAGATAGCAACAATATCACCTTTTCCCACATCAAATCAACGAATATTCATCAAAGTGATGATATCGAGCTGAGCCAAAGATATGCGCCTACTCCTCCACCACAGTCTATTGAAGAACCCAAGGTCGCTTCTTCAAAAAATGAAATTAATGATACCACAGTTGCCCAGCTTAGCGCACCAACGGACCTTAGTCTATTTCCAGTAAGCGAAGAAACTGAAGAAGAACTCTTTACGGAGGACCGTATTGTTTCAATTGAACCTACAAAGAGTCCGACAATGGTGTACCCTACACACGAACCCACAATGGCTGTACCCAAAAAGCTTATCTCTCCCTCACAACAACCATCACAATCTGCATCATCGTCGCCGTTGCCGTTGCCGTTGCCGTTGCCGAATTTTAGTTTGAGTACTCCAGTTCCAGTACAGTCCCCTGCTTACAGCTCTGAGCCTAACATGCCCAGAGTTTCCCCTCCAACGACGGAGACAGTAACAAACCGTCCTCCAGTAGAGCACCGCCACTCACATTCATCCACCTCGTTCGATTCTCAACCTAGCACAAAAAGCGGAAAGTCTATAAAAAGTAGATTGCAGACGGCTCTTCAAAAGGCTTCTCGAGTCGCAGCTAAAGATATAAGCCCCACAAACGTTGAACCCTCAAAATCAAAGTCTTCTGTTACGCGCGCGGCAAGTAAAAGCAGCAAGCGTTTCTCAAACCTAGCTGATATACCAATTCCTACATCCAAACCCTCTACTGAAACCAAAGATACCCCCAAGAAATCTGGAAATCGGTTCACTAAGATTTTCAGAAAGAAGAAATAATGAAAAACATAGTGGTTACTATTATCATTACCATTGCCATTATCATTATCATTACCATTACTATTATTTAATTATTACTTTCTTTCCCTTTTTTCTATTATTATTATTATTATTATTATTATTTGCCAATTACTTCTGATTGATTATATTTGTATAATTATTATGTTATTAACACAACACGTCTCCATTATGTAAATAAAAGTGTATAATTTTTTTGCTGGTTACATATATGGTCCATATCCGCCAATGTTAAACTTTATGGGTTTTGTATCCGAAGCATAGTTTGTACCAAATGATGAAGTCGATCATGCCACACCCTTGGTCCTACATTGATACCTTGTTTAATGGTGTACATTATGGGATTTTAATCCGACTATCAAAAAGGCGCTAACATAATATAGTTTATTTATTCATTCATTCATCTTATTTCTTAAATGAAAACAGCAGTCTATTTCAATGACACTCTTGGAATGATACTACCCCACCCTGAGAGCCAAACACACGTGTATACATATAAATACTCAAAGTCTACCTAAAATCTATTGAACTGAGCATTGCTTGTTTAGGGTGAAGCGTGTTAGTCAGCACTAGAATCACCCACCTACTCACCTACTCACTCACTCACTCACTCAATCACTCTTTTTATTTTTATTTTTATCCATGTCTCAAACCTTCATTACTAGTGGCCTTTAGAATCAGACCTTATATCCCCCTTTTTATTCACATTGACCAAGTCTTTGCAAAAATAAGTTACAGAATTACAGCAATACTTCTGTAGCATTCTTAATGAAGAAGCCTTTGAGTTGATAGAAAGATCTTGCTTCTGTTATTAGTATTATTAGTATTATTTTGGGTTTAAGCCAATCTAAAGAATAGCCCGATCTTTTGGATCACAAGCCCTGGAAGTTTGGCTTGGCATTTTCATTTCATTTCACTTAATTTTATAGGAAATTATGATGGCTTGTTTTCCAGTCAATTAAGTAATTAAAATAATTAAATTGCCTTGTTCCCAAGCTCTCTACAGATACAAATACAAGCGAACCCAGCTTAATATAATCAAATATAGATCAATTAAAGCAAGATAAATAAATAGATAAATAGATAAACAAGAACAGGAAAAATAAATAAATAAATAAAACAAGACACTTCTCTAATCCCATAATGAAGACAAGTCTGGGTACCTTAGCAATCATTATACTATTAGTACTCGATCCATTCCAGCAAACATTTGCTGTCAAGTAAGCCTACCGCACACCCGCCTAATAAAATGGCTATTAGATCAACTTAAATAATCATTCTACAGTATCCAGCTACAACAAGGGCAGGGTCCCTACGTCAGTACTCCTGCAAGATTACAGCGAACCCTTGCTAAGTATGGGCTTAGAGGAAAACAAACTATCTCAAGATTGGGCCCTACAAAAGGAGTAGTTAATATGACGAGTGCCTTTATTGATGTAGAGGTAAAAAAAAAAATTGAAAAAGGAAAAGGAAAAAAAAAAGGCGTTGAATTGTGTGTATTACAAACTACAAACACCACGCATTAGTATATTGGCATTGCTTCAATCGGAACACCTCCGCAACAGTTTCGAGTTAGTTTTGATACTGGAAGTGCAGACATCTGGATACCAGACAACCAGTGCATTCGCTGCGGACTACACAACTTTTATGATCCATTGCAATCGTCCACTGCGACACAAGAAAATAAAAAATGGATTATAAAGTATGGAGATCGATCAGCAGTAGAGGGTGTTACTGTCAAGGACACTATCCATTTGGGAGATATTCGATACCCATCCCAGAGAATAGGGCTTGCTCGAAACGAAACACCTACACTAACCAAAGACAGCTTTCTTGATGGAATATTTGGACTCGCATTTCCCTCCATATCACGTACAGGGCTAAACGAATCGGCGGTTCAGACCATGTATCGGACTGGTGCAATTAAATCTCCTGTGGTTGGTGTGTGGATGGGTAGAACTGTGGCTGATAATGGTGCAGGCGAATTGGTAATTTAAAAATTCTATTTATTTAATTTACACACTAAAAATAAATGGATAAATGGATAGTAACCATATTCCAGATTTTTGGTGGAGTAAATCCAAACCATTTTTCAGGCAGGCTAAAGTACATTCCAATTGCAAAGAAGGGGTACTGGCAGATATTAATGAACGGTGTTAATGTCAATGGAAAGGAGCAGTTGGAAGACCCTCTCCAGGCCTATATTGACACCGGATCAACTCTCATTATATTGCCTCCTGCATTGTCTCAAAGTATTCATGGTGTCATCCCTGGAGCCACCTACAGGTTAGACAGACTATTAGAAATAATCAAAGATAATTACTGCAATTAATCCAATCTTGTTTAACTTGACAGTCGTGATGGTGGCTGGCGTATTCCATGCAAGATAAAGCAGGATTCCAAAGGAATTGACATTTCATTCCGACTAGGGAATCATAACTTTCCTATTAAAGTCTCCGACATTGTACGAGAGATTATAGATGAAAATAATCCTAGTCTTTGCTATTCAGGTGTCACAGAAGCTGGAGGTGGAATTGCAATCCTTGGCGATACGTTTCTTAAGAGCTATTATTCAGTCTTTGACTTTGAGAAATCTCGTATTGGGTTTGCACCCTCCAAATCTTGATATATATATATATATATATATATACATTTAAATATTATATGAAGTTTTTTTTTATTGTTATTATTATTATTTGAAAAAGAAGATTACAAGTCATAAAATGTATTTTCAGGGTTTTTAAAATCTACTGCAAGATTTAAACAAGCAAGTTTCTTCTTATTCACATCAAAGGCGCGTACTTCCACTTTGAAAAGAGCCTATATATATATGTATATATACATACATATATATATATATATATCAATAAGTTTATCAGTACTCAAAGCAGACTTGTTTGAATGTATCCATGACTTACCTTTGGGATATCTTTGGGAATGGTTACTTTGTGCGTGAACTAGTTTTTGATTAATGAATTAATTTTTGTGTTGGGAAAACTTTTATTTAATTATTGTTTGAACTCACCTTGACCTTTCCTTTTTTCACTGGGCATTGAATATTTGTTTTATTATCTTTCATTACTTGACAGAGATCATACTGTTTTTTCAAAACATCAACATCACCGACTTTAACCAGTACATCGGCATACGCTCCAGGAAGAAGTTTCTCTTTTATATGACCGGTTGCTACTACCGAAATCTCCTTTCCAGGAACAGGTACAGCTGGGGTTAAGGTGATATCTTTGATTTCTACCATGTAAGATTTATCACCTATACAATAACAGCCTCTTGTCTTAGGTCTCATTTCATTTGGAAATCGCACAGTTCTGTGGTAGTATCTTACCGCAATCCTTTATAATACTGGGTTTGCTTGGATTTGCATGAGACGAGGAAGCCTGCTCAAAGTAATCCAGTTCAAAACCAGAAACAATTGTAGAATTCAGTGCAAGCAGTAAAAGAGAATATATCGCGATCTTCATATTAATAATAAACAGAGAAAAAAAAGTTTAAAGACAATCAAAATACGTTTTATGGAAATGCATTTTATACGTGTATGATAGCGACCATTCCTTCAATTTTCTAAAACGAGATTATTTGTAGTAGCAATGTGTAAATAGCTGCTAGTTGTACCCAGCTTCTTTAAATGTAGTATATGTATATTAAATAAAGTAATCCTGTTCTGGAAATAGTCTTAAAAGATTTACACATAATCTCATACACGACGCATCTACATATAATCAGGCATACAGCCTTTTAATGATTTAGAATCGAAAGGAATGGATAACGAAATATGGTAATTGGGAATATAAGCAAAGTAGCCTTCTGACCACAGACTCAGTTCATAGTTTAACAATCGCTATTTGTTCGAAACAAAATCCATTAGAACTATTAAAAATACATAAACTTTTCTTTTTCTTTCTTGTCTGCGTGGCAGATCTTCGAATACGCTAATATGCATCTAGAGAATAAAATGCTATACTTAGACAAGCATATACAAGAAGCTATCACTTTCTCTTCGCTCCGGTTAAATGCGTCGTGACGTCGTAGCCATGTTAAATTTTAAGAGTGTAGAAAAAAAAAGAGTACGGACGATGATAAATAAATAAAATCGATTTTAAAGACTGGGTACAGGACTTGCGAATTGATTAAAGCAAAATATTTTGTATTTTATTTCATTTCCCAAAGATTGCCATGCAGACCGAAGAAGATCTACCAGAAATCTGTACTTTATCAGCCCCACACTAACAAAAGAGCGTCTTCTAATGTTTCTGTTGTGCAGCAAAACCAGAGGTTCAGACCTTTGTTAGATTCTTTAATTCTCTCTCTCAGGTACATTACTTGACGCTCATTTCAAATCAAGAGCTTGTTACTCATTAAAGCTATAGCCCACCGAAAGAACCATTAGATTCTTTGAACGAAATGCAAACGACACGCAATATTATACTTGTCATGGGCAAGACGCTGTCCACATTGCACACGAAGTTTTCAAATCAACAAGTGTGATCAAGATCTGGACTGGTGTGTAAATTTCATAAGCATTGATTCTTTTTTTTACTAAACAGAACAATCCAGCTAGCGCAAGCGAAGAATTGCAAACAACAACAGTATCAAAAAATGCTGCCGAGAATTTTATTAGAGAAGCACTTTTGCACCAACAACTTCACATTGAGATTTGGGCACAACGTAAAAATACAAGCACTTGGGAACTGTCTCGAAAAGCCTCCCCAGGAAATTTACAGGATGTGGAGGACCTCTTATTTGTTGACACAGGAATGGTCATATCTCCTGTCATACTAGCTGTCAAAATTTCAATCACAAAAGATCACAAAGTAATATTAAATAACATTTCAATTAAACATACTCACATGGTTGATATATTAGGTTGTAGGCGTGGCATTTGCAGACGTTTCAGTAAAAGAGATTGGCGTTTCCGAATTTTTAGACACAGACCTCTATTCGAACTTTGAAGTAAATGAATCAACTTTTTGATCCACATCATTATTAACAAAGTAATTTTTTTTTTCTTTAAAATAATAATATAGTCGTTTATTATCCAATTGGGCGTGAGTGAGTGCATTATACCTGTACAAGATGGAGAAAAAGACGGGGAAATCCAAAGAATCAAGAACATCCTCCAACGTTGCAATATTTCTACAACAGAGAAAAGAAAAGGTTAATATTATTGTTGTTTAATATTCTACTTGGATTTACAAACTAACACACAACTTTCCAGCCGACTTTAATTCGAAAGATATTGTACAAAGTTTGGATCGTCTAATAAATACAGATCTGTCCGTAGCTACTTTGCGTAAGTTAAGATTACTATCAAAATAAACGCACACACACACGCATATATATATATCTAATGATAAAATCAATTGATTGATACACAGCCGAAATTGATATGAAGAATGCTATGGATTCGTGTGCCTGTTTAATAAACTATCTCTCGGTAATACACTTTCAGTGCTGCTCAGAATGAAGAATACTAAACATCATTTAGCTCTTAAACGACAAGGAAAATTTTAAGCGCTTTAGCCTCAAACATCATGATCTATCACAGTACATGCGGCTTGGTGGATCTGCGCTCAATGCACTAAATCTGATGCCCGGTGTTCATGAAGGTGTAAAACAAACAACTCACCTTTATGGGCTACTCAACAAATGCAATACAGCCCAAGGAAGTCGTTTGTTAGCCCAATGGCTGAAACAACCTCTTCTGAGCCTTGAAGATATTGGTGAGAATTTTAAACAAATCATTATGCATCTTAACTTTCAAGGGTTCTCATAAGATTATTTTAGGCTATCGACACGATATTGTACAGGTCTTTTATGAAAACACCGAGTTGCGACACATCCTCAGAGATGAAATCTTGAAACTTATTCCAGATATGAATCGACTAGCCAAACGTTTCCAAAAACGTAGTGCAAACCTCGAAGTAATATAAAGATATTCATAATATGCTTAAACATTGTTAATTGAATTAGTTTTTTTTGTAGGATGTTTACAGAGCATATCAAGTTGTTACTTGTTTACCTCTTTTCTTGACGTGTCTAACGAATTATTTGCCGATGGATCAAGATAAGGCTGATTTGATCCAGAAAACTTACATTGACGTTATCAGTGTAAGTATATATCTATTTATATATTAAGATTATCGTTATTTAATGGCTTTATTAGAGACACTATGAGGAAATGTTCACCATTAAACAGCTTGTGGAGACTACGCTTGATTTAGACGCAATTCAAAACCACGAATTCGTTCTTAAAGCGCAAATAAACCCAGAATTAACAGGTGAAAAATCGAAGAATATTGATATGTATATTTGTGTATTGTGTATTTATAAAAGTGTTTTTTTTTGTAGCTATTAATGATAAAATTGTTGCGAACAAGGACATGATTGACAGTATTCACAATTCGGTAAGTTTAATGTACCACAAAAAATTATGTAAAATACTATTATATTAACAATATCAATGTAATGTTCTTAGGTGGCAAGAGAGCTTCAAGCAGATACCGACAAAGTGCTCAAGTTAGAAAAACACAGCTTGTATGGATACTGTTTGCGGATACTCAAATCCAATGCCGGAAAAATACGCAACAAAAAATCATACATTGAATACTCTACTCAAAAATCGTGCACCTATTTTACTACCCCTGAGCTCAAACGATTGAACAATGATATAAGTGACCTGAATAATGAGTATCAAAGGTGTCAAAGCCTCTTGGTCGCAGATGTAATAGATACCGTAGGTAAGAAAAAAACTGGTATATATATATATATTTAAAAAAAACAGAAACACCAACAACCTCGTTTAACGTACAATACACTTATTGGCCATACAGCTGGTTTCTGTGACACATTTAAACTTTTGGGAAGTGTGATTGCCCATATGGATGTTCTTGTGAGGTAAACCCAAGGCATTTTCTCTTCACATTGTATACTGATACTCTTGTTATAGTTTTGCCTATGTAGCTATCATGGCTCCTATTGCATATGTGAGACCAACCATGTCACCAATGGGTAAGTGTGGAATAAATATTAATGATCTGACTTGATAAAAGTAACACTACATACAGGGCAAGGAAATGTTATATTAAGAGGTGCAAGACATCCGTGCTTGGAGAATCAGAGCGACGTTTCATTTATTCCTAATGATGTAAAGATGATTCGAGGTAAGTCTTGAAACACAAAAGATAACTTTGTTTTTGGAAGCGCTAACGTATGCAATAAGACGAATCTGAATTTTTAATTATTACGGGACCTAACATGGGTGGAAAGTCAACATATATTCGCCAGGTAACTAGTGCACATATATTTTGATGTAATAATAACATATCTTGTAGATTGGTGTTATTGCATTGATGGCCCAAATCGGATGCTTTGTTCCTTGTACAGAGGCAACTATGTGTATTTTTGACTCAATATTGTCCAGAGTTGGTGCCGGAGATTGCCAATTAAAAGGTGTATCCACATTTATGGCAGAGATGCTGGAGACATCAACCATCCTAAAGGTAAAACTGAATAACTTGCGTACAATCAACTTACTTTTACCAGTCTGCGACTAGAAATTCTTTGATCATTATTGATGAGCTTGGAAGAGGTACTGGTACAGCCGATGGCTTTGGTCTTGCTTGGGCACTTTCAGAGTAAGTTTAGATAACGAAAGAATAGTTATTTTGGTCAAAGATTCTTACTTGTATTTGTGTATTCACAAAAAAAATAGGTACATAGCTACGGAGGTTAGGGCATTCTGTTTGTTTGCTACTCATTTCCATGAGCTTACAACTCTAGCTGAAGAGGTACCCTGGATAAAGAATCTCAATGTAGCCGTTGATGTAACGGAAGTGATGGGTAAAGCGAGCGAAATCACGCTGCTTTATACAGTCAGAGAAGGTACTTTTACTTAATAAATACATAATATGTTAAACTTAAAAATCAACTCCATTTAATTTCCTATGCTTCCAGGTGTCTGTGACGAGAGCTTTGGTATTCACGTCGCGGAATTAGCCAATTTCCCATCCGACACAGTGAAGCTCTCAAAAGAAAAGTTAAAGGAGTTAGAAGAATCAGAAGCAAACTCAGGTACGTACACATATCACACAAGATATAATTATATTTCTAATGATAGATACTCGGACAGATAAAAATCTCTATGGCAGTTATTCAGTCCAGGATGTAGAGGTAAGTCTTTGTATAATATCCAAACCGTTAATAAAGTAGAATAAAACTAAATATATATTAATAATTTAAATCTATAGGACGGGAAAAGGCTTGAGGATGAATATCGAACAGAGCTTTACAAAATAGTAAACCGTAATGGCGCAACTGATAGTGAGATCATTGAAGAAGTTTCTGCTCTTAACAAAAAGTTCAAACCCGTTTTTGAACAAAATGCATACTTGCGAGACTTCCACAAATGACTAACGCCATAAAATCAAGTTCAAAATTTCCATTTGCATAATAAATTCTAACAGCTTAAAAGCATCCCCAGACATTACATTTATTAGTTTCATAGAATACATGAAATTTAACTATACTTTCGATGGAATATAGCCCAAAAAAAAGAAGGCCAAATTATGGCTTCATTTATTTTTTCTATTTTAAAAGATTAATTTTTTCACTGGCTGAAGTTGCCAATTTTTTTTTTACTGGTAATTTTATCCACGTTCTTTTTTATGATCATTTTACGGTGTTTAAACATCCAATCCATAAAAGGAAAGTCGCGTGATCATAAAATGGCCAGGCTTTAGATCAACAGCTTTTTTCTTATAATTGGCGTAGATCAAATAATATTTCATATAGAAAAATTTCAAAAACGAAATTGAAACAAATATAAAAACATTGATACTTATGTCCAATTACACCATATTTTAGTCTAATAGATAAATTAAATATTTCCCTCTATTTATATGCTCTTTGATGTAAGGGAAAATCACTTCAGCTCATGGGAAAATCTATGATATATTATAACATTTTCAAAGATTATAATCGAAAAGACCTTGTCTCAGCTTTTGGGTCTCATATTTTATTAACAACAATATTGAACAATCAAGGCTATATAACTACTACTACTACTACTACTACTACTATTTCAACTTTTCAGTCGGAACACTACGATACTTGATTATTAACGGATAATATCACATTATAAATAATGAGGTCCCAGAAGCAGCTCATGTGATGTATATCACTCTTTAAATCAGTAGACACCTAATATTATTTTATTCAATAGAAACATAGCTTTGAATTCGTTTAATTTGAAGTTAAAGAACTTGATAAATCCAATCCAATTTATTTAAACAAAAAAAGAAACACTTAACCCTATTCGGGCTGTTTATCACCAAAAACAACATTTTCCCAAGAAAACAGCACATACTGTTCATTGATCTTTTTGGCACGCTCCGTAAGGTTGCTGTCAATCTTTTCCATAATTCTCAGCTTTTTTTCTTCCTCTTCCCAATCCAGTTCTATGGAGGAAGATTCTGAGTCTGTGTTGGTGATGCTGCCACCTTCCGACGCAGGGGAATCCTCTTTGTAGCAGATCTTTGATGTAGCCGGCTTGGCCAAAAAATTCATGTTGTCTTGCTTTGCGGTCTGTTTCATAAGCCGTATAGCTTCAAAGTTCGAAGTAACCATCCTCTGTAGAAAAGTAACCGGCTGTTAATATATTATCGCTAATGTTAAGGGGGCGACATTTTCTGATGGGGCACTACCTTTTCTGACGGAAAACGATGTTTTTTTTTTGTATGAGACAAAGTTTTAATATTAAATTGCCCAAAAACAGGTCGTACCTCCTAAAGAAGGAGAGGTAAATGCCTGGCGAGAGATTGACGAACACACAAAGTGTGGGGACTATGTAGTAGGAAACGATAAATTACAGAGAAGAGGGAAACAAAATTAACAGAAGAAATCCAGGACACATCATTTTGCCCTGAAGGATTGGAGAAAGACACCAGGACCCGGACAAGTAGTCACAATTAACTGGTCCGGTTAGATAGAAACGTCGTCCCCGTAAGATTAGTGATAAATCAATACGCATAATCTTGTTGAGTACCCCTATGGTAATGAACCGTGGTGTGACCCAAGTCCACCAAAAAATTGAGAGCCTATAAATAATCAAGTTCATTAGCCCGATGCACTATAGCCAAAGTTCGATATTTTAGAGTGTGTGTGTGCAGACTTGTGGCACTTTGTACATTCATGCCGTCAAAACCACACGAGTCATGAAAAAGCAAAGCTTAAGAATTCTGGTATTAAATGTGACTTGTACGGTTACAGTGAGGATCTACAAAATTAACAGTTGCCATCTTAGAGCGCGACTCTAGTTTTACTTTTGCAACGATGGATGACCCAAATGCTGATACTGAATGGTAGATGAACAAATGCACTAAATGTTTGAAAAATAGACAATTATTTACCCCCTTCTCCACTCCCCCTTTTTTTTTAATAAAAAAATTAAGGAATGACATCCTCCGCGCCAAAGGTATTCTTCCTCCGCGAGATGAGCAAACAAAAGATGAGATTGAAGATATGTACGCCGAGGCCTTACACGCACGAAGACGAGAAGAGGAAGACTTGGATAACAAAACACTTGATGAACTTGATGAACTAGAAGATTTGGAAGATGATCGAATTATTCTGGAGTACAGGTAAGAAAAATACTTAAAAGGGCAAGTCGAAAAAAGCGAAATATAGCAAACTGACAGCTCCTATGTTCGCTAGACAAAAGCGTTTGCAAGAGATGCAAGCAGTATCATCCAAAGAGAAATATGGTGATGTAGTGCAAATCTCCAAGCCTGATTTTGTAAAAGAAGTGACCGAGGCAAGCAAAGAATGCTACGTAGTTGTACATCTCTTCAAGGACTAGTGAGTGTGTGGTATACGCCAGTTAATAATTGATATCTAAAGTTGAATGAGTAGTATTCCTGCATGTAAATTGATGAACCAACATCTGGCTGTGTTAGCAAAACAGTTCAAGGCTACAAAATTTTTAAAAATTGTGAGTGATCAGTGTATTCCCAATTATCCAGATCGTAATGTACCCACATTGCTGGTTTATGGTGAAGGCGACATCAAAGCCAACCTTGTTGGTGCTGCTCAGTTTGGTGGTATGAAGATGACAGTCCAAAGTAAGTCAAATCACATATAAGTTATATTGGTTTCTTAATTATATGTACTTTTCAATGTAGGTCTTCGCACACTCCTTGCTCAATATGGAGCAGTTCCGCCAGAGAAAGAATCAGTTGAAAAGGAACAACCAAAGAAGACTATTTATAGCTCGTCTGCAACAGCTGCCCTTAGTAGTGATGAAGACGAATCGGATAATGATGATAGAGGCTATTATTAAAAGAAAAGAAAAAATGAAAACATAAACATAAACCAAACAAATATTCCCAAACAAAGACAAAGGCTTTATTTTATTGTATTTTATTTAAAATAAGAAAAACTGTTTGTTGAAAAAGTAAAAGAATAGGAGCCCTTTTGAATCCATGCCATGAGTTGCTTGCACGTGACGGCTCTCCTTTGCCTTACATCAAGCTGCTTTCTGGGGTGGGGTTTTTAGTTACATTTTTCTTTCTTTTTTCCAATCTACAATCCCCACTAGAGCAAATAATGAGCTCCAAAAAAGCGGGTGCTAGCGGTAGCTACGGAAGAAGCCCACAAAGAGGGCCTCCGCGTGACACAAACCGTCGTCATGATCTATCATCACCAGCACGGCCATCAGCGCGTTCTACCTTGGGTACCTTTCTCAGCACACAAAGCAGTTCAGAGGAAAGAGGTTGACCTTATTGGCTAGATCGTACTACAGGAGAACCCCGAGCATTACAGCTGCTACGCCGTATTCTCTTGGATGAAGACGATCCATCGTACTCACGAAGAAGTGCAAGCGCAACCCAGTTATTGCGCTTGCTCGGGGATTCACGACAACACGAACCTGAATCTTCTCCAAATCGACAGGAGAGAAATCAGCTCATGGACATTTGTCTCCATGGAATAAACAATGGCCCAGATGTACTTACTGTTTTTGAAACGATAAAGGCACCAAAAACATTAAAGCAGTCGGTTGTTCAGATACTGTCATCGCTTGCGTGCAGTACACGCCTCGATATGATTCTTGGTTGGTTATTTGATTACCTAAGTCAATGGAAGGAAGATTATGTTCCATCTGTAGAAACTAGTAGGGAAAGAGAGGTGAAGGTGTGGTTATTACGCACGTTGCAACAGGTACGGAATAAACAATGAAAGTAAGGCGAACCCATGCGTAAACAATACTTCTTGCTCAGATTATCCTCGACATCGGAAGTGATCCATATAACAAAAGGCAGTTCGAAGAATTATCATCGTCAGTAGTGACAAATTTGATAACATTTTTGGATGCTATGGACTCTGCTGATTACCTTCCTGATGTTCTTGACGCTCTTATCGTATTTTCAAAAAACTGCGGCGAGAAATTTACTGCGAGATTCCAGGTAAATAATTTATTTGTGCAATGGTCGAGGACTTGACTGATAAGTACAATTAAAGGACGTGATTGATTTACTTGTTGGATGGAATATTGATACCACCCTACCTGAGCCGAAACGCCTATTGCTTAAAGGCAAGTCTTGTGTAAACATAAGGAGTGTCTTTGGGATTAGTGAGTAGAAAACAGTTAACACATGGCTTTACAGAAGCGTACAAGGAGTTTCAGCCATTTTGGCAAAGTAGACTTCCTTTTGCATTTGAGCTTCTCTACCATTTTTTGAACGATATGCGTGGATATGTGGTAGAGATGGCATCTACAAAACAAGATCAAAAAGATCTTCAAAAAAAAAGTGATATGTTCTACAGCTTATTTAGGTATATTTTTATATTTTTATATTTTTATATACATTGGGTATATAACGCACTTTATAAAGAAGAACTTAACAGGACCCTTCTTTTTCTTTAGCTGTTTCTACTCAATTCTACAGACCGTAATCCTTCTTATACCCACAGAAAATAACTTTCAGAACGAATTGACGGTTGGACAACCTTTTGATCAACTTCGTCTACGTACTCTGGAACTCCTTAAGGCTACCAAAGATATATCTCCATCTAACCGCTGGATTGACATGAGTAGGATGAAACATATTGACTGTAGCCTTATCCGACTTAACAATTCCCAATTTTTAGCGAACCAAGCTATCTTGACGTTAATTTCAGTACGACAGGCAACATTCAGAACATACCAGGGAAGCGTCTATCACTATTTTACTGCGCAACTTCCACAGAAATCTGGAAAAGAACTCCCTGTGGAACCGATTAAATATGTTGATATGTTAATTAAGGTACTGTGTAAATTGGTGAACAAACGTATAATTTATACAAACTAAAATGTGTACACACACATATATATATATATGTATAGATGGTGCACGCATTTGGTTATGATATGGAGGAATCGGTTATTCTGGATTTATTGGATATAGAGTCGTCCCCCCTGTATCGTTTCCGTTCCCAATATAAGGATGATAAACAGCTCAACTCAGGTGTCCTTGTTCTTTTGCGTACACTAATCAAATTGTGTAAAAACCCTCACTCTCAAGCCAGTATTACCAAAAGCTTGGCCAATCGTTTAAAGAACCTTACTGGGGTTATTTATGGGAGTTGTGATGAAGATAAACCGATCACTCAGCTCCAAAGAACAGCCAAGTATATATTTAATAACCAAGCAATGATACAAAATCTGGTCCAGCCATCTAGTCCGTCGGTTAAGGTTTCCTTAACGTGCTCACAGAAAGTTACATCTGTGGCGGATTCTCTTTTCATTGGTTATATTTTGCTAGATACGGCTGTAAATTGGCCAGAATTTAGAAGACAAAATATTCTTCCGGTTCTTAATATACTATCGATGGCATGGGAACACAGATGCACTGATGTTTTTGATGCTTTGCTTAAAATATTCAAAGGTTTTTGGACAAGGTAAGTTGAGAAAAATGTGTAAAAAAAGTTATTTTTGATATTGATTTTTTCTCTTATAGTTGTAATTTTGCTCTAGACTCTTGCAAAGATTTTGGTCCCTTGGAATATTTATTAGAAGACATAACCGACCAGTGGGCAAATGTGAACCTAGGATCAAAGCAGATTATGTGCGCTTTTGTAAAGGATATGTTGAGTGCAATCACTCAAAAAGAAGCTAGTTTTGAGATAAAACCTACTCTACACGATATAATTATGGGATACATTAAGGCATTGGGTAATATTATAATTTTAACTATATCTTTGGCTAACATAAATATAAAATGCAACAGATGTAGAAAGGAACAGCTCTGTAATGGAAACCATGGTCTATTTGGTTATACAGTATTGCCAAATATTTGGATCTGCTGGTGTTATAGATGCTGCTCTAACATACACACAAAAAGGGTGAGAACGTTAGAATTGACATTTATACGTTTTCAAGAAGAAGTATTGAGACTTTGTTTTATTCCCAGGATTTTCAATGCAGCGCCAAATGTACAGAAAGCTAGTAGGGATCTTTTGACGATCCTCAATCCGTTTGCCACATCTGATGCAAAAGTACAACAAAACAAAATTTCTGAAATACTACAGGTAACAAATAATCTTATGAACACAAAAAATGAAAAAAATAAAATACTCAATATAAAACGAATAGACTATTATAATGGCTACACCTCACACAGGATCCTTCCGCCCAGCCCATTATGAAATTGTTATGAAACATCTTGGAATGGCTTCTCTCTTGATAGGGGCTTCCACAGAAGAGGCACAAGAAATTGCGGCACAGGACACGAAGTCTCCTTTGGAATGGGCAAGAAAATTATTCTACCATTGTGATACTCTGGGAAACATGAAGAATATTCCTGCTTTTATTGATCTTCAAGAAGGTAGATGTTTTATGGCTTACCGTTAATAATCGTACTCACAGGAGGCTTTGCAAACAAACACAAAGAAATAGGAAGAGTATCCATCATAAACCATATAAACAATTCGGGTTCATTATTGTTTTATTGGGCGATGTGGGAGTCTGCGCGTTATTGCATATTGTCAAGACTAAGAACTCCTTTTGGTGGTCCCCAACAAGTAATTAAATAATATTTTAAGAAACAAAAGAAAGGGTATATTTGCTTACTATACTTTTTATAGACATTTGCAGCATTCGAGCGAACATTGAATGCGCTCGTGGCCGATCCTAATAATCTTAAAGAAAGGTAACGTAAAGTGTGGATCATAAAGATTATCTATAACTAACAAGTAATATTGATCTGATTCTGCAGAAATATTAGCCACTTGCGATGCCTTCTCTTACTTCTCGATAGATTAGAAGTACAGGTCTATAATGCTGCTGAGGGATGCTCTACAAATGCATTGCCTTCTGTACCAAGATCTAGCTTAGCATTTTTCAGAACTAACAAGAAGACTTGTCATGACTACTTTGCTAGAATTAGACCTAATATTGTAAAAGGAGCCAAGATATTGCATGATAATCCTTTGATAATTCGTAATACATTGGAAGTAAGTGATCATATTACAATGGACACAATTATATTAACATCCAAAAATAGATTCTAAATGAACGAGAACGTACGATGCAAGACAAATTTATAGCTGATCCCTTGGGCTGGTTTAATGAGACAAATCATTTGCTCCGAGATTTAGGTAAATTGATAAGCTTGATACTTTGATTCATTTATTTTTTGTACCGGGTATTTATTATTATAATTATTAGTTGAGGCTTGTATTCAAAATAGCTCAGTTGATATAATTAATGGATTGCAGTCATGGTACAAGAAGGTGATTCGTAAAGCTGGACATATACACCCACCTTTCAATGAACAGTGGTCCTTTGAATGCCTTATTGGTCCAATACCTAAAGGTAATCTTAAAATTTATCGGGACATCTTGAAGCAATCATTAAATGTCAAGAATACCAATAATTTAGGAGCGTCGCCTCAACCTACCACGACCAACTGGATTCATATAGCCTCTCTGTTTGCATCGGTAAGAGAACAATATAATATAACTGTCTATATTGTATAATGTATTATTAATCATCAATAAAATACCAGGGTAAAGACGAAGCAGCAATCAAGTTATTGCAAGTTTTACGTAAACAGATCATGAACAATGATCATAATATTTTGAAGATACTAGATGGAAAGGTATTGCATAATTCCTTTAATAACTTTGTGCTCGTTAGTTATTAATCTTAACATACGTCTTAATAGCTTGTTGACTTTTATACCTGCCTGGAAGATTATGAATCAATAAGATACTTGTCGCCATCCAACACACACATATTTGGAGAAAAGGTTTCCAAAGAGCTCGAAGCATTTACTTATGGACAACCACAACGTGTCAAAAACAACGACTCTGTAGACTTCTCGGCTTATTTCAGAGTTGCACCTCTGAGCGCATGCTTACTACTTGGGAGATTGAGCCAATTCCGTCAATGGCTTTCGATTACAGAAGAGCCAGGTTGGAATAATCGTATCAACTTGATTTTGTCTCAGCGTATTGTATCTTCTCTCCGAGAGGATATATTTTCTGACCAAACAAGTTTACTTGAATTGCAGCTTCAACAAACGTCTTCAAAAGTACTTTATAAAAATGCCGAAGATTGGAGGAATTGTGGAGAAGCTCGTGTACCCTATCAACGCCATCGTGCATCAGATACAAAGTATTGGGCAAGATTAGCCACATACTTCTCAAAGATAGTATCACAATGTCCCAAGGAAATCACAGATACAGCAAACAAATGCTTGGTTGACGTATTGATTAATGCATCCAGAGTTTCTCGAAAGCAAGGCAATATTATGACAGCTAATCGCTGGATCGAGAAATGTTTAGAAATAGACAGCAATTTAAAGACAGTTCTCTATGAGCGTGTAAAGATCCTTCTTGCGCAGTCAAATATTCCTGAAGCCATAAAAACATTGGGAACGATTCTTGGAAATGGCTGCATAGAAGAAGCCCCACAGCTATTGGAAAGTAAAGCGTGCTTAATGGTAGCAAAACTACTGAAAAACGCGTCAGAAGAGAATGCCGTCAAGCTACTTGCCGAATATGATCCACACCCCCTTGCGCCGAAAAACTCAGAGCTTCAATCTCCTGTAGAATTAGCTATCGAAACTGCATTTGAGAAATCGACTGCAGTGGCTGAGTGTTGTGATGGGCCATGGTTTGAGTATGCTACACACAACTATAAGCAAGGGTGGCGTATACTAGATGAGATTTCCCGCGACAGCTCAAATATGACAATAGTGGTCTGGGCTTACCAGAATCTAGAAAGTGCCTTGGTTTCAAATGAGAATCAGCCTATTGATATTAACAATCGCAAAACTATTGAAAAGGTAATTTTACTATAAAAATATCAAATTTATAAGCTATTACTAAAACAAAATACTATCGTAGAGTCTCCTTGGATTACTGCAAAAGTATTCAGGTGCAGTTGGAAACCGCTCATTAAAGAAAGACCCTGGATTTGTTAGAGCTGTTCAGCAGATAATTCCATCTGTGGACGAGAATGCACGATCGCTAGTATTAGAGACACTCGATACTTTGCAAAATACTATACTTTCCAAGTTTCGTACTTCTGTCAAAGCATACTTTCGCTTTTTGTCACTTGGAAAATATCTTGAAAAGGTATTTTTTTTTAAAAAGAATGATTATTTGTAAATATAGAATTCTGACATATAAAATACGATTTTCAATTTTAGGAGCGTGAACTAGATGAAGAAAACAGTGAATATACATCGATGATCATGACAACAACCTTGCGACTATTGAGAATGCTAGTAAAATACGGAGATGCTCTACAGTCCAACTATGCCGATAATATTGAAACTGTACGAATTGAACCTTGGAAGCAGATCATACCCCAATTGTTTGCACGCTTAAGTCATCCAGCCGAGTCTGTACGCCAAGTATTGAGTAAACTTATCAGTAGAATTTGTGACGAATATCCGAGCGAAATTATATACGATGTTATTGTCAGTTCCACCTCCTCAAAGACTAACAAAGATACTAAACAAGCTTTGGATGCCATCGCTAAGCGTATGATTGAAAATAACGATGTTTTGTGGAATTCAACACGAAGAATGGCAGAGGAACTTGAAAAGATTACAGTTCTTTGGGAAGAAAAGTGGCTCAATAGGATCGCATCTCTTCAATTCGATGTTATGCAACAATTTCAAAAACTGGATCAAGAAGTTACACGCCTCAAACAATCAGAATCGCCAGAAGCACAGCGCGAAAGAACTTTTCACGAGAGTTATGACAGTGTTATGAAATTTGTCATTCAATCGATAGAGAAAATGTTGAACACAACTATAAACGGAACAATCACAACACCCCATGAGCAATGGTTCGATAATACTTTTGGAAAGCAGCTTCGCCAAGCCTTCCAACTACTTCAAAGACCTGGAACAATTGCAAACTATCGTAAAGGGTGGGATTGCTTTCAGCAGGTAAAAGTGGGATTTTGAAATATATACTGTATAGCAATAAATATTAAATGTACTGGTATTTTAGCTTCATCGCCAGCTTATGATGGATACCCAAAAAGTTCGAATCCTTGAACTTAATCAAATTTCACCTTACTTGGCCTCTATGAAAGATACCATAGTTGGAATTCCTGGAGTCCATGATGGGGATGCAAATAGCTGTATCCAATCGTTTGGCTCTACTGTTATTGTACTTCCCACAAAAACTAAGCCAAAGAAGCTGGACCTAAAAGGCGTTGACGGAAAGAAATATTCATACTTATTTAAGGGCTTGGAGGACTTACATCTTGACGAACGTATCATGCAGCTCCTTAATACTGCAAACGGACTTTTGAAAGAAGATAAGTCTTCTGCGGATAGAAATCTCAAGGCAAGAACATATGCAGTCATCCCACTCAGCGACCATTCTGGAATGATTCAGTGGGTCAATGATGCTACACCAATGTTCGCTCTATATAAAAGATGGCAGAAGCGGGAGCATACTACACAAATGATATTAACTAACGAAAAACTCGATGAATCCGTTGCGCAAGCATTGCTACGTCGACCAACTGAAAATTTTATGGATAAAATTGCTGCAGCTCTCAAGGAAGATGGATTACGTGTTACAGCAAATCGAAGACACTGGCCAAAGCATATCTTAAAGAAAGCCTATATGAGACTTGTAAAAGAAACGCCCGAAAGCCTGCTATCTAAAGAACTTTGGTGTACAAGCTCTAGCTCAACTGAATGGCTGTCAAAGAGTGTATCATTTTCCCGCTCTCTAGCAGTAATGTCAATTATTGGATACATCATTGGTCTCGGTGACAGACATTTAGACAACATTATGGTGGACTACCAATCAGCTGAAGTCATACATATTGATTATAACGTATGCTTCGAAAAAGGTATGCGACTACGAGTTCCCGAACTTGTTCCCTATCGCCTTTCCCAAAATCTGTACAATGCCCTTGGAATCGCTGGAGCCGACGGCGTTTTCCGAATAGCTGCAGAAGAGACTTTGCGTGTGCTCCGTAAACACAAGGAAGTGTTTATTACTTTGCTCGATGCTTTTGTTTATGATCCTCTTGTCGACTGGGAAAGTGAAGCTGAAGAGATGCAAGAACGCCAGATACTTGAAATCCAGGCAAATCTTGGTCTTATTGCCGCTCGTCTAAGTAAGTAATTTAATGTCCAGTATGTATTTCTTGCTAATTTCTTTATACCATAGGTGAGAAAAAGTCTCGGTATGAAAATCAACAATCGAAAGTTGTCGGTGCCCTTGCTGGATTATCAGAAAATATTCAACAATCGCATCAAGTAATGATTTTGGAAAAGAAGCGACTGACTGCAGAATATGCTAGCCAAGGACTTAGTCGTGCTATGAAAGTACAGAATGAAGTCAACACTGCTAAGGAACATATTCTCGGTCTACTAAAAAACATGCGTATGTGGCATGAAAAGCATAGATCTGCTATTGATGCGGTAAAGGTATTTCGTTAATTTACTAAATCTTTTATTTTATTCTTATTTTCTAACCTTTATATTTCCAGACTCCGTACCTCGACAGTCTTTTTGCCAAAAAGTCTATAACGCCAAATACAATCAAGCTCTCTCCTGATAAGCAAGAAAAAACTTATAAAGATTTCTTTGGGAAGCTTTCTTCCTGGGCAAAACAAAGAGATATAGTATATCGACAATGCTTTGAGGATATTCGGGCGTACAGACGACTTTTGCAACCAGTAGTTCGAAATGCATTGGAGCAGGATTGCTGTGTGACGTATGAAGTATTATTAGCTGAACTTATCCAACAGAATTACAAAGAAAGCAAAGTACAAGAAGTTGTGGAAACTCTCCAGACAAATATTTGTTCAGAAGCACTGCAAAACATGGGTCGCCGAGCATCCATATTCTCAATTGAAGTCAAGAATTTCATATCAAAGGTTAACCTTACTATCGAGACATCTCAAGAAGAGCTTGTCGACCGCGAACAAAAGGCTGACGATGATCAGAAGAAATTACATGCGGATAATAACAGTTGTTGTTGTATGATTGAAGTGCTGTCTGATTCACTTAACGCTTTTGAAGACAATATTCGTAAATTTAATGCTGAAAGACTCGAAATATCTAATGACGATGAAATTGAAACCACTACAATCGAATTACCGAGTAAAGTGAAAACACTCGAAGAAGAATGCTACTTTGGTTGTTTCACACAATCGTATCCAGTCAGTCAAACAAGCTTGTTTATTCAGTTACGAGAACACTTGGATCTGCTATGTGGTAAGAATAAATCTTAGAATATTTTACTTGGATATATATTAAATATTAACATCTAATTATAATATTAATTATTAATAGCCTTTCTTGGAAGCGAGATTGAAACCGTGGAAATTGATACAATTGAATCACTTTCATCATGCTCGATCAGCCTTTATCAGCTGGAAGAAGGATGTCTTTTTATATGCAATACTGTTTTTGAATATATTCAAACTGCTCCACATTGTATCGATGAACTTATACAGAAACTTAAGTATCAAGTAGAGACTCCAGGAGATACTATAATGGTAAGTGGGATTATTTATATACATACAATAAATGGGACTTAATTCTTTCACATTAGATTGATGTGATAGCCGTGAGCAAAGAAAACAAAGACGATCCAACGGTGCTTTTAGATGCAATGCAAGAAACCTTTAAGAGTATCGATGAATTTTGTAGAGTAGCTACAGTAAGTTTGATTGCGATCATGAAACATCGTTACTTATTCTTATATCATCTAATAGAAATTGGCGATTGAGTATGGAATGCCTTCTGGAGAAATCGAAGAAGGTGTTGATAAATATATTCAGATGAAAAATACGGTACGGATTATATACTTAACTTTGAGATATATTTTACAATGACTAACAAAAATTATGACAGGTTCTTTTGAATATTATGCAAGAAGCCGTTGAACAATACAAGACAATTACTTCAGGAACTTGGGTTTCGCCGTTAATTCTGTCATGGAATATGACACGAAATTCAGCTATTGCACAGAGCGTCAAGTCGCTTATGTATTCTTTTGTCAGTGGAATTGTTACACCATCATCTACAATTCTGCTAATATTTTTGAGAGACAAACTGAAGGGATTTGCAAATCAACATGATTCTAAATCTAACCAGGGCCCAAGAGGAAAGGCAGAGGAACATCTTCGTATTCTCCAAGAAAAATGCACTGTAACTGCAGAAATTACTATTCTAAACATGGTAATGATACCCCGTTATTCTCCAAGAGACTTCTTATTTATTTAAGAAATTTGGGTATTGTGTAGACAAAGTCTAGCAAAGAAAATTATGAAAGTTATCTTCGACGCTACGACCTGGATACGGCACGCTTTCAATGGTTAAATGCTCCGTATATTTCTGAGAAAAGACCGCTTTCTCAATACAAGGTATGCTTGTGTTCTATATAAGTAACTTATCTAATATGGTCTATCTTAATAGCTGGTTGCTAAGATGACAGAGGCATCTGACAATCTTAATAAAGTCGGTGCAGACCTTGAATCTTTCAAAGATATGTATACACGACTTACATCGTCCCTTCAAAATTTACCTGAGTGGAAATCTATTACTACAAACTGGCAGGGCGCGTACAATGAAGAAACAAAGAATGTAAGTGTGTAGACAATATGTCGTATAAACAATACACTTAAATTTGTGATATATTACTTAGCACGCTACATTGTCAAGCTGTTACAACCGCATCCTTCATTTTGAGAGTAGCCGACAAGGATTTGAACAAGCAATGATTATAGCAAAGGACATTACGGAAACTTTGAAACCTTTAATCTATTCTAGTACTGAGTAAGTTTTATAATATAATTTTATCAGATTCCTTAATTCTGCTTACTCTATTTTAGTGGCGAAGTTATAAAGAAGAATGAAATATCCCCGGAAATGGTAAGTCAATGATCTGAAACATCTAAAGCTGGATATCTAATCCAAACGTCTGTTCATCCCAAAGTTCCCTGTTCCGTTGGATCTCATTTCACGTGTTGAAGAAAGACTCAAGGAAATCACTGAAGCTCTTATCGAGCTTCGATCACCGACAGATGGTATAGTTCCACTTCTCGAATCAGTTCTTATTGTAGAGACAGAAGCAGACAACGAATTGAAGCCAGCGCAACAAAGTGCAAAGGTTGGTATTCCATGCTTTGGTAGCAAAAACATGAAGAGATTTCAGAAAGCTAATATAAATTTATTATTCTCAGACCACGCTTGACGAGCTTTCAAACATTGAGAAACAATTGATCGCGTTGAGTGAGCAGAAGAATGCTTATACATGGACATTTGCTCAATTGGTAAGATTATACAATAGATAATAATCATAAATTTAAGTCTAATATCTTCTTACACGCTTAATAGAATTGTACTCTCGAGAATATCAATAAGAGCTTCAACGAACTTTTCTCTTCTCTCCGTACTCTGGAAGGGTTTGGAACTGATACCAAGACTTCTGGTCTTGGAGAATATTCATCTAAGCGATCTGAAAGTGAACCTATCAACAATGATGAAAGATGTGGGCAGCTGTCAAAACCTCTTGAAGGAAGCGACTGTCCAACTCAGAATGCTAGTGCTAGTCAAAGATCCATCTATGGAGATCAAACTGGTCCTTCTCTATCTACGTCTCAGACGATTTTGAAAACAGATAAGCATACTGTCTTTGGATCGAATCCTGATAACCATCAACTAGTTCAAGATGGTACAGTAACAAAATCCACGGAACTAGTTCAACGGGCTCATAATCCAGACCCTTCACTTGGTGCACCTATGCTGACACAACGACGTAATGTTCACGTACTTGGTATCATGCGTCGTATCCGTACAAAGCTTGACGGAAAGGACTTTGGGGCTCAGCACAAAATGACAGTTTCAGAACAGGTGAATTTTTCTAGTATATTACATATGTAAGATGTGACTTTAACAATAAGTTGCGTATTCTATAGGTTGCGAGAACAATAGATCAGGCAACGTCTATTGATAACCTATGTCTCATGTACGAAGGTTGGACTAGTTGGGTTTAATCTACTCTTCTGCTTTGCATATTTGTAACGGACCCAGTAGCGACTGGTTATTAAATCAGTTGCAAAGACAAGCCGTGGCACAGTCTCTTGACAAATGATAAGAGGCCTGTATGTGATTGAGTTACAACAATAAACACAATATTTTCTTGGAGCTTTTTTATTTTATTATAAATAAAAACCATATTAACAACCAACTCGAACTTTTTCTGAATTCTACATTATTAAAAAAAATGAATTTATTTATTGTTAAAGAAAAAATAAAAATTGTCTCGTTAATAAAAATGTAAGCAATATAGTGTAATTTTTAGCAAGTATTACCGAAATGAGATTTTTTTAAACGAGTTGAAACACTTTGAAATCACTTTTATCAAGTCGTTTGAATATGACAAGATGTACAAGATGTACAAGATGTACAAGAATGTTCTCTATCAATCTAAATTAATATTTTGTCTTTTCTGGACAGAACATATTTTCTGCGATCTCCTCAAAGGTTAAGTGAAAAATAAATAAATTTTGGTAGTAGCTTAAAGAAAAAGGGACGATATTAAGATACGAAAAGCATTGTACCCGTTGAACCCTTGCATCCAAACAAAACAAAACAAAATCCAAAATAGATGTCAGCCATATCAACTAATCAGCTGTAATAGCTAGTATGCATAAATCAAAATTTCATTTCACTTCATGCAATCATCATCATCGCATGATGTAAAAAGATAAAAAGTTACTGAATCTTCTATAACTTTAAAAAGAGGGGAAAATACTCTGCACATGACTTACATTTTGTCTTTATATTTTTAAAACAAGTTCATGAATTACTCTTGCACAGGTAACTCACAATGCAATTATGTCCCTAATTGAAATGAACAATAAGGACAAGCAAAGTAGCAAGAATCTTCCTTAAACTAGCCCAATATTTAAAAGAGATTCTTTAATGACTTTTTCGAAGGTATAAAGAAAGCAGTTCACTGAATAAAATATGTTTTTATTTGCGAAGAATCTAAGGATATTGTTTTAACAACATAGCAATTTAAAGATTTTCTAATTTTCCACTTTATTTGTTTCTTAAATCACATCAACTAAGAGAAATGTATAATAATCATTGAAAATTAGATTGTTATTTAAATTTAAAAAAATCGATGAAGATTTTACTTTTCTATTAAATAGAGCTTTGACTATATCAAAAAATCAGATAATTAAAAGAATCTAGCAGCATTGAAAACTCTGGAAACTTAAGAGTCTTTAGAGACTTGAATATTTTAGGTGTTTTAAGGATTATTAGGGGTATAAAGGTTATAGGGGGCCCTAATGACTTTAAGGACCCTAATAACTCCAAGAGCTCTAGGTGCTTTAAAGACTTCAAAGACACCAGAGATTTTAAATAATTCAATGATATCAGAAATATTCTTGTCATCATTATACATATAATTATGTATATAATATATACAATGGTAATTGTGTGCCTAATTGAAATAAACAGTAGAGAAGTAGCTAAAATTAGAGGTAAAATAGCACACTATAAGGGGGTTTCATTATCTCTTAGGATTAGGATTCGGATTAGGATTCGGAAAGCGGGTGTTTAAAAAATGAAATGATTGGCTGAGAAGAATTTGAATAGAATTAAAATGTGTAGATTTAATCTGAAGGAAAAGGCTTTCGGATTGAAATTTAAAATTGCTCATTTTGACGTCTTGAAATACTTAGAGCAAAAGTTTATCAATTTATTTGCCTCTCTTAAATATTTCTACTTTATATATCAACTTTTTATAAGCTAAATGTCCAATATAAGTAATAGAAATTAACTCAATTGTTTAGAATAAAATATTAGGTTCAAGAATAAAACGATTAATTAAAAAGGGAGACTCAATAATTTGCATTTTATATTCACTATCATTGGCTATATGTTTAACATCCGCTTTCCGAATCCTAATCCTAATCCTAATCCTAAGAGATAATGAAACCCCCTTATATATAGGTAATTGAATTTACACAAGATAACTTTTGACTGTCAAGACATCTATACAAATTTGAAAGGCTTTCATAAATTTAGACAGATGGGTAGTGCAAATGAATAGTGAATACTTTAATTGATAACAGTATAAGACATATGATAAACTTTTGAAAGAAGTATTATCATAAATTCTAGAAGATGAGTATATAAAGTATGAAATCAAGCAAAAGAAACTAAGCAACAAATTCAATTATTGCTATTTTATTTGAACCAAAAGTTTCAATTTTTACATGGATTATATTTGTTTTTGTTTTAGTATAAAATATTTATAAGAATAAAATATTTAAATAAACTTGGACGAATGGTTTTTTCTTTCTTAGAATAGCATGGTTATTGCTTCTTAAACTGTCTCAATGGGGAAAACCGGGCTATCTAGTTTAACATTACAATATGTCTCCTTTATGATATATACGTCTTATGTACTCAAAATACTCTATGTCTGTCAACTTATTTTTAAAGACTGTTATATAAAAAATGCTTGCAGATAATGGTAGTTGTTTTATAGATATATCTATATTAAACTTATTGTGTACAGTCTGTACAAATACAGTGAGGACATTGCTTGTGTATTCAATTTACCTTTGTCTTTTCTGCATCTTTCAAATACGCATCTCTTCATTCATTCACATTTCTGATTTCCCTTCTTTTTTTAAAAGAAAAAAGACTTTTCTCTTTTTTCCTTTCTCTCATTTCAATACATTCTCTTTACAATGTCAGTTTTCATTAGCCAAATTCAATATCATACATTTTATGGCATCGGTATTCTCAAAAACTGTTCTGGCCTTAATCACTATATACTCTAGACAATAACAACCTCTAAAGTTAGACACGGTTATTGACACCACTTTAAAATATACAAATAGTATTTTATTTCTTTTCAGATTTGTTTGACTAAATTAATTCTTTCTTATAAATGAGCTCTCCTAATTACAACATTGAACTCTTCAATCAAGCAAAAAAAAATTAAAAGCGTGTTTTTTTATTAGAGACGATACTAGTTAAAAAAGACTTTATTTACTTAAAGATATACATAAGGAAGCTATTTTATTTGATTTAATTTCACTTAATGTTCTTTTGCATGAGTAAAAGAATAAAAAGCATGACACCAAGTTCTTTGTCCCCGCATTACGCGGCTCAATCTCCTTCAGGACGTAAACCTGACTTGGTAGCGAAGGAGGTGCTGGAATGGTGGCAAACCAACGGAAAGCACCCGTTCATCCAGCCCCACATCTCGTCACCGAGTAATGTGGGTGCGAACTCGCCAGAGAACTTACCACTAGGTGATAAGGTCCAGCTCATTCGACTACCAGTAGCTTCACCGTCAGCCGTTAAAGAGTTCAGTCAGGTTAGCAGTGAAGAGCCAGCACATCTCACCACAGGTTAGACCTCCCTCCCCCCAGCATCATGATTCCACATTGGCAATGCGATGTACACAGTAGTCCTTCCAAAAATGAAAAGAGACCATGCCCCACGACTTCTCAGAATTAACTGAACTGGCGAGTAACAACTTTCACTTTCCGATGCTTGTAGCATGGAAGAATCTCCCTGCAACGGCCGCAAGAGACGCCTCACTATGAAACTGGGACTGTTGTTGCTCAAGGAGAAAACAAACGACACGCGTTGGAGGAGGTCTATATGTAACAGAATTTTTTTATCTGCGATTAAAGTTTAGGACTGCGCTTTTTGTCAGTCTTAGATGTCCACGTCAGAGCAAACGTGATATAGCTATATATTCTTTTTACTGGGTTTGTGTAACTGCTCTACGGCAGAAGAGACAGCTAATAATATTCACTCAGAGTACTTATGAAGTCAACTTTGTAAGGTGAAGTAAAGTAAAGTAAAGAAGCAAATAAGTAAAAGAGTAATGAAGAGTTTGGTTTCGATCGGTGTAGCAATAACTCTTAAAGTGGAGTACAAGTTTCTATAACAGCGATTTGCAGGTTACTCTAAAGTGGTCTGTGCGCTTCTTGCTTGAGAACGCAAGAAAAAGTTTTCTTCTTTCACTCATCCAAGAGGACACAAAAGAGACCCAATATTCACTATAAAATAAACTCGTGCATATTTTAAAACGATATTAAGTAATAAGCAATAAACAGAATAGAAAGCAGAAAAATATATACACACATAATCTGGATTTTAACACCATAGGTGACGGAATTTTGAAATCCGGGTTGAGTTTTATTGAAGAGGTTATACTGTGAAGTTAAGTGTCAAGATGATTTTTCAAGGAAACAAGTGTTTGCCATAAGATACTAGGGATTATGGTGCAGAACGTAACAGACGTCTCAATTTTCTGTAAGAACCCAAGATATCATCAGTAGTCCTATATAGTAAAAAGGATAGCAGTTAGAAGATGCATATTACTGAAGAGATCGAGCTTTATCCTTTTATTATGAGGTATAGTTGGCACCGACAAGCCAGCTATTTCAGATTATGGAGTATAATTTCAATGCTGGGGATTCTGGTAAGGGTACATTCAGAAAAAAATAGTTTAGTTATATATTCAGTTTACTCAAGACCGATTTAAAGCTGTTCATGAACAAGGTTGATTAATTGACAAAGGTAATGCCGATTCTACAGTAAAAATGGCTTGGCACTTCATTGAGATATACAGCCAGAATTATATTGATGATTCTACCTACGAATAAATAAAGCAGTTATTTCAGCAACGATCTAATCTTCGCCAAGATAAATAGCGTAAAATGATGATACTATTCGCGAAGAAAAAATACTACTAGGTATTAATATATATCTCTTTATTAAATAGCGAAAAATCGATTTTTTTTCTAAACTTGTTTCTTCTGCTTTGCTTCTAATATATTGGTGTTTTAATACCAAAGGATCCCAACATTTCGGATTTTAATATTGAAATGATTTCTAAAGAAATATATATACACTTGACTCGGCTTGGCTTACACTATAAAATATAAAGAGGAGAATGATAGGGATATGAAATAAGTGAAAGGAAAGATTATTTATAAGTAGGGGCAACCATTTAATATTGATGAGAATATAAAGAGATTATAAAATTTCTGCAATCATGCTTGTTAAACTTCTTAAATGTGCTCCGGTAGATAGTTTCTGGAACAGCCCACAAAAAATGAGTTCAGAAACAGTTGGTCATTTTCTAGAAATAATTTTCAAAAAATCTACTATTGTCTAGTGATTATTATTAATATGATTGCGTATCAGAGGTTGTTGATTTTCGGATTCATTGCTTAGGAAAACGAGAGGAAGGAAATTCGCACAGAGCATTTTGGGACTGGATGGATAGATCCTGATTGGTCGCTTGTTAGTTTCGGCAGCTAGTTGGTCACAGTGGGATGTGTTAGACCATATAGTGGTCTTTCTCCAAATTACATGGCCAAAATTCTTGGGAAGGTGATTAGAATGGTCACTACCCTTACAAGAATGAAAATGTGCCTCAAGCTTTATATTATATTTCATAAAAACCTCTGTTTTTTAATCAAATTGGGTTATTTTTTTTTGGTTTTCTCATTGTAGATTCAATGAAAGAATGGCGGCAAGATAGACTATACCAGAGCTTGTTCATACATTCGTAGAAAGTACTAATTTCACATTTTAGCAGAATGCCGTAGTCTATCACAAGTAATGCTCGCTTTGCCATCTTTATTAGCAGAATAGACAAAGCTTATTTCGCCCAACAAGAGGGTATGCTGTGGTGGATTCTCTGATTTCAACGTTCCTGAAGCCTTTCAAAGGCAAGATCCAAAGAAGCAATCGTGGATATGACTTTTTCAAAGCGTGATAGCCACTTTCCACTCTTTATGGCGTTGTGTATCTAAAATCTATTATCTTGCAAGCAATATAACTCGTCTACTTCTCTTAGAATGCAATCCACCTGTCATGAACGTAAATTGAAACTAGAGATTTTATCCTACCATCGTCTACTTTAGTGGTACACTTTAAGTAAACTCGAGCTGGTGTACGGCCTTTAATTGTAAGAATGAAGTTGTTAAAAAGTACATAATAATTAATCTTAGAAATCTCCACAGTCATATTAAAATAGCCATGGGTTGATGTAGTAGAGGGTCTTGTTAGACGGAGTGACATTAATTTCTGTCGATAAAAATTGATTCTATATTGATAGAGTCCAGGTTGAAGTGATTTTTATGGAGCGATTGTATACATCGTTTTTACAAAGCCTAATTTGTGATTACAAAAGTGGCGCTCTCGCTACTCCAGAGAAAAACATAATTTAATGCAAAAGATGTCTAATTCTTACAATATGAGTATATAAAAGGAAAGAAGGTTTAGTAACAGGTTTTTTAATAATTTCTTCAGGACACAATTTTCTTTTACTTTAAGCTACTCTGTTGCTACTAAATGCTGAGCCATAGCCACTCTTAATGAGTATGAAATAGAATTTCGCATTCAAAAATAAAAAAAAAGCAAAGCTTTTTTTTTTTGGAAATAGCTTCAGAATATCCATAGCAGTAGCATTTCCATTTTCAATAAATTAAGTGCTGATAAGCCATACCGGCATTTGAACACTGTAACAAAATGGAGGACTAAATTTCAGCTACATAAAAAAAAGAAGCATTTAAATAATTATACTATTTGATATAGTTTTCATCATTGGTAATTCTACTCGCCTTTATTTTTCTTATTTTTCCAAAATAATTTTACTTAGCCTTTGTCTTTTGATTAGAATTTAACAAAAAATCAAGCTAGATACTTTCAATATTATTAGTTTCGTAGTGAACATAATTTTTTAGTCTCTATAATCATTGTCATATATTATTATTTGATTTAAAGAAAAACGGTTAAAACGCAAAGGGAACTGCTTTTAAAGGTTGTATGTATTTTGATTCTCAAAGTCCAAAAAAATGATGGCATAATAGAATAAATATCATCGAAAATGCTACTGCTGCAGATAAGTTCTTTGAACAGCATTTCCAAAAAAAAAAAAGCATTTAATTAAGGAAAAACTGAATTTAAATGCTACTGCTACTGCTACAGATGCTCTTAGCCTTTTTCCTATATAAAGAAAACGACCTCTTCCAATTTGAACCTCTTTTTTTATTTGGCTTAGAAAGTAACAAGTGCTTATATCTAATATATTGGGTACTACCATATCAGACTGTTTGTTAGGTTGACTTCTTTATCTATCTACCTCTTTATTTCATAACCTTTAATCAAGTCTTGCATCAAAGTGGCTTGGCTTCGCAGTCCATTCCCCGCTTTCCTACCCAGAAAAAAAAGGTCTATACCACAAGAGACGCATTCAAACCAAAATCGTCTGGCTTCATCGACAATCGGCGGAAACGTATATCTGCTTTCTTTTTCTTCCTTTCAGTAACGACCAAAAGAATTAAAAGAAAAGAGCAGAAGATATGGCCAAATCCTCGATAAATAATAAAGAAACCCCCATGGAAGTCGATTCTCCAAAAGAATGTGACAAGGATCATGACCATACTCATTCTAAAGATGGATTCGAACCTCTTAAGCAAGAGTATTTCGAAGGCAAACACTTGAGTGAACCTGTTAAAGAAATCAAGGCAAGAAGCAATGATTACAAAGAGAATGATATTCTATATCATTATGCGATTCAATTATAATATTTATATTATTTTACTTATTTGTAAATGGATTTCACCCTCTGCAGGACAAATGGAAGCTCTTGCCTGCCTTCCTTAGGGTCAAGGGTCTTGTTAAGCAGCATATTGATTCTTTCGATTACTTTATCAATACTGATCTTCGCAAAATTGTTAAAGCCAATGAAAAGATTACCTCTGATGTCGATCCTAACTTTTATCTCAAGTAAGATTAATTTTAATCAAAAAAAAAGCCAGATGTTCTTTTGAGTCTTATGTAAACATATTTCTGTAAAATCATTTATAAAAAAAAGATATACTGGTATTCGTGTTGGAATGCCAGAACGTACCGATACCGATGTAGCAAACCGCAGCTACACGCCTCACGAATGTCGCCTTCGCGATCTGTCTTATTCAGCCAACATTTTCGTCGATGTCGAATACACTCGTGGAAAGCAAATTGTCAAACGCAAAAATGTTATTATTGGACGTATGCCTATCATGTTGCGTTCATCGCATTGTGTCTTGAGAGGAAAAAATGAAGCTGAGTTGGCACGAATGAAGGAATGTCCCCTCGATCCCGGTAAGGAAGACAAATAAAATAAAAATAGCTAGTTAAGTTTAGAATCAATATATTGAATACACTTGCCGTGATTTATTAGGCGGTTACTTTGTTGTAAAGGGTACAGAAAAGGTTATTCTTGTGCAGGAGCAATTGTCCAAGAATCGTATTATTGTTGATGTGGATAAGAAGGGCAATATTATTGCAAACGTACAGAGGTATGATAGCGATATCAACGTGCTATTATTTGCTAAAATAAGCTGGCTGTAATTTTTTAGTTCTACTCACGAACGTAAATCAAAGACGGCCATTTTTGTGAAACATGGAAAGATTTACTTGAAGCATAACTCCATTGCTGAGGATATACCTGTTATGGTGTTTATGAAGGTAATTATACCGAGTTTTATGGTTATTCAAGTAATGTGTCAATTTAATATTAACACATTAAAATAGGCTTTGGGAATTCAATCGGACAGAGAAATTGCTCAGCTTGTTTGTGGAAATGACCATGATCTTCATGACGCTTTTGCTATTAACTTGGAAGAAAGCTCCAAGCTGCGTGTATTCACGCAGTTGCAAGCATTGGAATTTATTGGATCTAAAGTCAAGGTTAACCGAAAACTTGCTACATATAGAAAGACGCTTGTAAGTCACTCTAACACATCCATTAAATCCTTATTTCGATTCTAACAAAAGAACGTGGCTACTATTAGGCCGAAGAGGCACTCGAAGTTTTAGCTACTGTAATTCTTGCTCACGTACCTGTTGAGAATCTTAACTTCCGTGAAAAGAGTATTTATGCTTCAGTAATGATCAGACGTGTGCTGGTTGCCATGGGAGATGAGGTTCAGGTGGATGATCGTGATTATGTTGGTAACAAGAGACTGGAATTGTAAGTTTATACTCTAATGTGTGGGTATTGTACTTATATATTTAATTATCTTGCTGACGAATTACATCATATTGTCCTATGTAGGGCCGGCCAATTGCTCTCGCTCCTGTTTGAAGATTTGTTCAAGCGATTTAATTCCGATCTTAAGATGAACGCAGACAAGGTTCTTAAAAAACCCAACCGTACCCAAGAATTCGATATTTTCAACCAGCTTATGCTCCACGGTGATCATATTACCAGTGGCTTTATCAGAGCTATCTCGACAGGAAACTGGGTCTTGAAGCGTTTCAAGATGGACCGAGCTGGTATCACTCAGGTCTTGTCCCGCTTATCTTATATCTCTGCTTTGGGTATGATGACTAGAATTTCTTCCCAGTTTGAAAAAACAAGAAAGGTTTCAGGTCCTAGAGCACTCCAGGTAACATCTTACTTTGCTTACAACATTCAAGAAAGCTTTGATCTCAACATTATGTATGTCCATTATCGATATAGCCTTCTCAATGGGGTATGCTTTGCCCTTCTGATACTCCCGAAGGAGAAGCATGTGGCCTTGTAAAGAACTTGGCTCTTATGACACATATTACAACTGACGATGAAGAAGATCCAATTAGAAAGATTGCTTATGCATTGGGTGTAGAAGGTGAATATTAGCATACTAGATATATCTGACCAAGTATATATATAAAGTTTCTCAAACTAATGTCTCTTGCTATGAAAAATAAATAGATATTAACATGCTCACTGGTGCTGAAATTTATCAGCCCAACACTTTTGTCGTAATGATGAACGGTGTAATTTTGGGTGTTACTCAGCGCGCTCAAAAGTTTGTCACTGATTTCCGTCGACTGAGACGTGCAGGCCGCCTGTCTGAATTTGTTACTGTTTTTGTTAACATTCATCAACGTACTGTCAACCTGTCTTCTGATGGAGGACGTATTTGTCGACCTTTGATTATTGTTGATAAGGGAAAGCCCAGGGTCACACAACAGCATATTGATGTAAGAAACACTTTTATGGTGAAAATTGTTATAAAAGTATATAAATTTAATGAATTTCTTTTATTAGGACCTTATTGCAGAAAAGTTAGTTTTTGATGACTTTCTTAAAAAGGGTTTGGTGGAGTATTTGGATGTAAATGAAGAAAGTGATGCAAACATCGCAACTTATGAAGCAGACATTATTCCTCAAACAACCCATCTTGAAATTGAACCTTTTACTATCCTTGGTGCTGTTGCTGGTCTGATTCCTTATCCCCATCACAATCAGTCTCCTCGTAATACGTAAGTAACCTTGAATTTTCCGACTGGCGGCTGCCAGGTGCCAACTGTTTTTTATGTTTTATAGATATCAATGTGCAATGGGTAAACAAGCTATTGGTGCTATTGGCTACAACCAGTTAAATCGTATTGAGACACTTATCTACCTGATGGTGTACCCACAACAACCCATGGTTAAATCAAAGACTATTGAACTAATCGGATACGACAAGGTGAGCATATATATAAATATTTAAAATGTATAAACAAAGTTCTGATAAAATATGTTTTAGCTTCCTGCTGGTCAAAACGCCACTGTTGCTGTCATGAGTTACTCTGGCTATGATATTGAAGATGCCTTGGTCCTTAACAAGGTAAACGTTATTAACAACTTTTTTTTAAAAACAAAAAAGATATTAATTCATTGAACTTATCTCTTGTGTTATAGTCTGGCCTTGATCGTGGATTTGGTCGTTGTCAAGTAATGAGAAAGTATGCCACTTTAGTAAAGAGATATCCAAACGCAACGTAAGTTTTATCTTTTAATTGGATAGTCATAAATGGTTTCTTGTTTCTCTTTATATAAAAAAGAAGACATTCTAATCTTGTGTTTATGTTTTTTGCGTCTTGAAATAGCCACGACCGACTGGCTGATCCTCCAACCCAGGATTCTGATTTGTGGAATCCCAGTTATGATGCGATTGAACAGGATGGTATTGCTGGTGTTGGTGAACCACTTGAGGCAGGCTCGATTTTTGTGAATAAGCAAGTTCCTACAAGTAGTGGTTTGGATCCTGGCGTTGCCAGTTCTGCACAAACTGTATCTTACAAGAGTGCTCCTATGAGATACAAGTCTCCCCAAACCGGTTACGTTGATAAGGTTCTCTTCACGACTACTGAGAGTGATCAAACTTTGATCAAAGTTAATATCCGTCAAACTCGCCGTCCTGAACTTGGAGACAAATTCTCGTCTCGTCACGGACAAAAGGGTGTGTGTGGAATTATTGTCCAACAAGAAGACATGCCATTTGCCGATACGGGTGTGTGCCCAGACATTATCATGAACCCTCACGGTTTCCCATCTCGAATGACGGTTGGTAAGATGATTGAGCTTTTGGCTGGTAAGGCTGGTGTACTTGCAGGTAAACTACAGTACGGTACTGCCTTTGGTGGATCAAAGGTTGAAGATATGAGCCGAATCTTGATGGATCATGGCTTCAATTACTCTGGAAAGGATTATGTTACATCTGGTAAGTCTATCGATATCTATAGTCCTAAAGTTGCCCAATTTTGAGTGCTGCTACTTAACGGTTTTCGGGTAACAGGTATTACTGGCGAACCTCTTTCTGCCTACATCTTCTTTGGCCCTATTTACTACCAAAAGTTGAAGCACATGGTTATGGATAAGATGCACGCTCGTGCTCGGTAAGCTATTTTGGTATACAAGTACTTTATTGGTACGGTGGCTGACACTGAATCTGTTATAGTGGTCCTCGCGCAACACTTACACGCCAACCTACAGAAGGTCGTTCGCGTGATGGTGGTCTTCGATTGGGAGAGATGGAGCGCGATTGCTTGATTGGTTATGGTGCAAGTATGCTACTATTGGAGCGTTTGATGATTTCATCTGATGCCTTTGAGGTGCATGTGTGCGACGTATGTGGTCTTATTGGTTATGCGGGATGGTGTCAGTATTGTAAGAGTAGCAAGAGCATTAAGAAGATGCAGATACCTTATGCCGCCAAATTGCTATTCCAAGAACTGATGGCAATGAACATCTCTCCAAGGATGATCCTTGAGGATGCTCTTTAAATGGCTCTCATCAATCAACATATGCCCATAATATATAGGATTAATTGTAAATAAACAGAAAGACCGCAAGAAAATGCATAATTCTTATGGTCGTGTCTTTGTCGATCTCACGTTTTGTGGCGAATTTGACTAATAATTACTCTCCCCAAAACCTGCATTTCATTTTATGCCTTGATATAGACAAATTCAGTCTTATCCTGGAATAGACTTATATGAAAATGACTATTTAAATGTGTGTTGATGAGGTTTGGTGAGGACGAGCCGATGGATTCACAATCTCTCCTTGTTCTTCCCAACTTCCTTTATTTTATCCTATTATTGTATATCTAATGGATCCCACTACAATGGAATCCAACACGTCTTCTGCTATTCACTTATGCGGCCACTCTTCTTCAAAATGCTTATTCCAAGGATCTACTGAAACCACGCTCGCAATCCCATCTTCATCATCAGACGCAACAGAGTCGAATAATCGTGCCAGCACACCAGAACATGTCAACTTCACTCCTGACAAAACAAAAGCATACTCTTCTGGACCGACACCTATTCAGGGTCTATCTGCCATATTCTTTTCTTCGTGGCTCAACTTGCTCTTAATATTCATTCCTTTTGGGATCATATCTCATTTTTTATGGAGCCCAACGGTTACATTTATTCTCAACTTTATTTCTATTATTCCGCTCGCCAGAATGCTTGGCTTTGTTACTGAAGATATATCTTTACGCACAGGAGAGGTATGACATTCGACTATGACTGGCCCTATAGACCATTACAAGAGGAGGTGGGGGGAGAAATGAAATTGAGATCCATCTTGTACCTTTATTGATTAGGTTATAGGCGGACTCTTGAATGCTTCCTTTGGGAATGCTGTCGAGCTGATTATATCAATTATTGCTCTCACCAAAAACCTTGTAGTAGTTGTACAGGCATCTATGTTAGGATCCATCATATCCAATCTTCTTCTTGTTTTGGGTATGTGCTTTATCGGCGGTGGACTTAAGTTTAAGGAGCAATCTTTTAATGTGACAGGTAAGCTCTCATTCCACATAAATTATCAACAGATTGTTTGTGTTCCTCTATTTCAATAAAACAAACTTTATATTTATGTATATTTTGACCTTTATTATTATTATTATTTTGTTCTAGTGGCCCAGACATCAGCTTCATTATTGTTTATTGCCGTGTCTTCACTCGTAGTTCCAGCCGCTTTTTACAGCTCTAGCCGAGACTCTATGTCGCCTTTAGACCTTAGTCGTGTTATCTTGAATATTTCTCGTGCGACTGCTATAATTTTGCTCATAATTTATTTCTCCTACTTGTATTTTCAAGTAAGTTTGGTGCTAAGAATATGAATAAAGGGGGAACGTTTATTAGTTTATATATAATTAAAGGGGGGGGCAATTTACCTAGTACTGAACTGACAGCATACGTATATTTCTGTACATATTGATTTTCTTCTTCTAGTTAAAAACCCATAATCATCTTGTAAGTTTACCCTTACGGACCAATTTTGATCCTTATGTCTTTTAATATTCTAGTTCCTACAATTACCTTCAGAATCATTTCACAGCAGCAGAAGAGTCTCTCAAAATACACGCGACACCGAAAGAAATCAGACACAGCCAGGAATCTTTGATGAAGAAGATCAAGAAGCACCTCAGATGCCTGCATGGATGGCTATTTTATTGCAAGTCATTATATTATATATAAACATGCATTGTGTTTATCAATATTCATTTTGATTTTTGATCTTTGATTTTGATTTTTCTAGTCTTTTCTTGATCACTGTCTTGGTTTCCATTTCAGCTGAATTTCTTGTCTCTGCTATCGAATCGGTTGTAGAACAGTGGCACATCAGCCAAACTTTTGTTGGTCTTGTATTGCTGCCTATAGTAGGCAATGCAGCCGAGCATGTATCAGCTGTAACAGTAGCGATCAAGAACAAGGTAAAATAAAGCAAAGCATCATTTCTGAGTTTTTTTTGTCTAAGTGGATTTTATAGATGGATTTGGCTCTTAGTATTGCAGTAGGAAGTAGTATGCAGATTGCGCTGTTTGTCACACCTCTGATGGTCTTGCTTGGGTGGATATTGGACGTGGATATGAGCCTGTTTTTCAATATTTATGAGACAGCAGTGCTATTTATTGCGGTTATTATGGTGAGCTACCTAATTATGGATGGCAAGAGCAACTGGCTTGAAGGTATGATGCTTTGCTCAGTGTATATCATCATCGCTATCAGTTTCTATTATTACCCAGACTCTGCTTCAGGGTTGGCATAAGGTTTTGATGTTTATTCCACCGACTCTTCTATTGTTTTATATACTTTGCATAATCTTAACTCTAATAAAAAATATACATATTTTGTTAATCATAATATTTGGAAATACTCATATTTCACATTAATTTATTGAGATGGTAAAAACTGTATTTTCCGGTTCGGACTTGAGCAGTCTGTCTGTAGGAAAATATACTTTTTTATATTTGTATTAGCGAAACCAATTCAAACTCAAAATATTTGTTTTTTATATGTCCGACATTTACTTTTTGAGAGAACGCCAATTCCATAAATTTGACTATACAACTGAGGATACAAAAAGGAAGAAGAGAAAGGCTGATATTCGCATACCCAGATTTAGATAAAGGATATTTGTTAAACTTATTTTATATTATGCTAGTGTAATAATGAGATATATCCATTATACTTTACTGTGGCTTCTCTTGTTACACATCTGGCTTTGGTGCGTCATAAACCAGCCGGTGTGGTCGTAGCTGTTTCTAACGTCGAGAATACCTGTCATAAGTAAACGATATAAAACCAATATTCTTTATTTATCTATTTAGTTTTATTTTATTTTGCATCTCCATCGTTCTTATTTGGTTTACCATAAAAAAAAAGTATTATATATATAAATATATGTATGTATGTGTATTATATCTTTTTTGTTCACTATTAATTTTGGTATTCTTCTCCAATACTATTGTTTTTATATTAGACTTATTGGTAAATGTTGATAGGAAACTGTTTTCTATAGAATACCCTATCCTCTGACGCATGGCTCATTCAAATGTTCAACCAGTCTATGCTGCTCCGCCTGTTATGGTAGAGCAAGTACAGCAGCAACCGCCAGTAGCGTATTGTGCTCAGCCCACACCAGGTATCATTTCAATATCTTGCCAGCTATCATTAACATCTTTTCTTTTTCAGTCTACTATTCTCCTAATAGAATGTCGGTCGTTAATACCCCAAATGTTGTCCCAGTAGCACAGTATGGACCTTATCCCAGAAGTTTTTGCGAGCCCCCGGACTGTTGCTGTTTTAGAGGGTAAGTGGGAAAGGCGTAATTTGTGTATACTAGGCAACTTTGTGTAAGTCTTAATTTCCAACTTAGAGTGGCTGCTCTCTGTCTTTGCTGTTGCTGCTGTGAAAACACTTGTCAGTGTTGTTGAGGTGAAAATCCGACTGAAGGATAACGACTACGACTTCCTCCTTATATATCAGACACAAGCACTACAAAGCTTTACAATCAATATTTTATAAATTTTATAAATTTGACAAGCCTATCCTTTGTTTTCTTTACTGCATTTTTTTTATGAAAATAAAAATTAGAGTTATATTAATACATGTTCTCATTTGGACACATATAATATATATATATAACCGTACAAGCTATTGAATGGCTGTCTGTATGCTGCCATTATTATCAATTGTAGACAATTGACAAATTCTACTAAACGCCTTCTTCAATATGAGCTATAGTAATCAAAACGAAAGAAGAAGAAGATAAGAAAGATAATAATTACCCCCAAATAAAAGTAAATATATAATTAAAAATAATATTATAAATAAGAAAAAGAAAACTATTAGCCGTACAACTTTACCCAATCCAAATACAGTGCGGCTGGTAAACTTTGTCCGTTCTGAAAAATAAAGTAGAATGGACCTTTTATGTTTTATAATAAATTTTTATATATGAAAACCAGAAAACGATTAGAGTTTATAGGATCTTGGTATTTTTGAATTCTGTTATCACCAAGCTGTTCTTTTTACTATCCTTAAACTCTTTACGGTGAGACATCATCTACGTTTCTCCAAAACGTAATCTGGAATTGAAGTCTCGATATTTAAGCAGAGACTCCAAAATAATATTCGTTTATGAGATTTATACCTACTTATATAACAGGTATCCTCTTGTGGTTGTTCGGAGACTATTCTTTCTTTTGGTCTTACATTATGTTATCTAATACTTCTCTCCTTTAACTTAAAGATTTGGGCCAATTACAACTCCATTCTCTCTGATTTTTCATTATGTACAGAAGACAATTCTTGATCATTTTTCTTTTGCTAGTTCTCCAGAATTCATGACACTTACACCTAATACTTACCGTTGGATTTGGTCTTAAAATTGGCTACATACATATAGCGATAATGATTGTGCTTTATTACAGCTTATACTTAAAACAGTTTCTTTAAATCAAACGCCAAATACATATATTGAGGCAAAAGATATATAGTCCAAATTAGCAAGATATCTGCATGTACCATAAATATATAAATCATATGCTTTGATTTCATATTGTATAAACATTCTTTTATTATTATCTTTACCTCTTTTTATTCACTTTGTATTTGATTTTCATATTAATATTATCAAAAAGATAATGCATATATATATATATATATTTGGCTTTCTTAGCAATATAATAAAATATACAGCAAACAATCACCTAATACAAGAAAATAAAGTCCCTGATTTAGCTATACAAGATACCTTCCCTATCATAAAATTTTCATTGAACCTGTCAATTTTCTTCTTCTTCTTTAATATATAGATATATATATATATCAAAAAAACTGCTATGCTCTTTCTAATAATACATGATAGACATTTGGACTTTGTATTCCCATACGAAAAAAAGAAAAATAAAAGACCTAACATTACACCTCAGCCTTTAACGAACCAGTCTTTGTTACACTGTTTGTCTTTGAATGTATGCAACTCCACAAAACAAAGCAGAAAGATTATCCAATTCACATCGCTCAAGGTTTTTACGATAAAGGTAAAGCTGTACTATGTGCTTTAAATCTACGTTTGTTTTTATTATTATTATTAAGCCCAAACTAACGTTAAAACATACAAGGCTTTTGCTTATTAGGTTGTGTTTTATGCTTCTTTACATATATATATATATATATGTTTACTTGCGCTGATGCTCATATTATCAAATCCATTCATATGTTTGTTGGGGTTAATGACATGTGAATATAGTCTTTAGAGTGAATTGAGTATCTTGGTGTGTATAATTTAAAACAGCTTCAGAATATTACGCACTTTATGCCTAAGGAGTATAGTGCCTCAGATTTACTCTATGCATATCATGTGCCAAAATTCACCCCACAAAAAAGTTTAACTTGATGTGCCACATTTTAAGTAACTTCTTTATTCATTAATTGTGAGTTGTCAGAATCGCAATGCAAATCTGTATAATCGACTTGTCAATTAATCCAAGAGATCATTTAGGTACATTAAAGATCTTACTTTTTTCTTTCTTTGTAGCTTATTTATCTTTTACCCCTTCCTGAATCATAGTTTAATTCTGTCAGTATGTGTCTATCTAAGATGAGGGGCAGTTTTAAAGTCTAGGATCAGGTAACTGCCTATTAAAGAAATGATTTTCTACAATACTTGGTTATATTTTATCATCATCGTTATTCTTGCATTGTAAGTCCCGAATGACTATGTTTCAATATTATAGAGTCTGGTTGAAACAAATGGGATATGTTAATGAAAGTACAATGTTTGTTATATTGTATTATGGCTGTTTTCTCTTACTCTCACTTCTTGTAGCTTTATATAGCGCACACACTCACATATACACATGGCTAGCATTCTTCTTTATAAATATATAATTATATATATATATATATATATATATATATGTATATATCCATGCGCGTATCTGCTTGTATGTTTGTGTAAATAAGATTCCATAAGAAAAAAAACCCATGTTGTCTCTTATTAATGTAATTTTATTGTCCGATTGTTCATAAAAGGACATCGATCGAAACGTTGATTCTTTGCCCTTTTTTTTATATCTCTTCTTAAAACTATCCATTCAATTATTATGTCAGGCCTTACTTCTATTCTTCGAGAAAGTGGTCATGTTTCTGTGGCAACCAAGCGTGAATCCACTCCTGTGAATATCTACTACGAGATGTATGGCTACGGAGAAGAAAAAGTCCTGCTAGTGATGGGTAACTATCCTCTTGCCTGGAATTTGTATTAATACATTTAAATCTCTGTTCAGGTCTTGCTACACCTTGTCAAGCCTGGGATAATCAGGTACGCTTTTATTCAAGAGAACAAAAGAAGTAGATGTGGCTCTGTGTAAACCGGAATATCGGCTGAGTCATGATTTTTTCCCTTTTAGATCAAGTTTCTCACCCAGACCGGCAAGTTCACGGTGCTCATCATTGATAACCGCGGCATGGGACATTCTGGTAAGAGTTTCTTATAAACTTCTCTTAGCATCACCAAGCTTACCTTAATAATTTTCTGTGTCTAGATGCACCTGTCGGCCTATACACGTAAGACAGTGCTTCTTGTTTTGTTTTGTTTTGTTTTGTTTGTGTGGCAGTATTTATTTATATTATTCTTCTGCTTCCTTGTCTTGTAGGACAAAGCAAATGGCAGCAGATGCAAGCGATATCCTTGATCATTTCGGATGGACTTCAAACGTGCACATTAATGGAGTCTCTATGGGAGGCATGATCTCGCTAGAGCTTGTACACTCTCAACCAGAGCGCTTTGCATCCCTCACTCTGACTAGCACAACTGCAACACTCAATATACCCACAGTAAGTCAAAAAGAAATAATGAAATAACAAGAAAGAAGAAAAAAAGGGGGTGGTTGTACAAATGGATCCAATGTACTTAATGGTTGTTTTCTAGTTGAAAGCTGTTACCACTATATCCAATCTTCTCCTTTTGTCAAACGAGCCAAAGTCCAGAATTAGTGTCATAGTTGAACTTCTTTATCCCAAGGAATGGCTTGCCAGTAAGCCATCAGACCCTACTCTTGGATTCAACACCAATCGTGAGCTGGCATCCCATCGTTTGGTTGAGCATGCCAAGCTATCCAAGCTCCAGACACTACAAGGCCACATTGGTCAACTATCAGCATGTATGCGCCACTATGTTTCCGACAAGAGACTGCTGTTCATCCGGAACAATGGACCACCTGTCTTGATTATGACTGGTACTTGGGATAATCTTGTGAGACCTCGTTACTCTCACTTAATGCACAATGTATTGGGCGGGCATCTTGAAGTTTTTAATGGTAGTGGCCATGCTCTTCCAGAAGAACAGGTCGACAAGTACAACAAACTCTTTTTTGACCATATGAGCGCTGCCACCCAAAACAAAACAGTCGCCTCCAACCTTTAAGGAACAAAGACTACAAGTCTAAAGGATTTGTTTTAGTGTACTAAAGTTCAACCTTGTCTTTATGTTTTTGCTATTATTACTTGTATCAATTGAAATTCCATGCCTTTATACCAATTCAATTAGTCCTATTATTTTTGAATCACAATAAATTGTAAGTCATATATATATATGTGTGTATATATATTTCAACTCTGACTCAACAAGAAGTATCAGCCCAGCCACAAACTTCCAGTAGACATGCAAATATTAGACGTTTTAGGGAAGCGAGGGTTCTACAAAGTCTTGCTTTGTAGCCAGAACTGAAAAAGGATTAAAAAAAAAGAAAAAAAAAAGCTTGAGCAAACTGAAGAACCCGTTAATTCCCTTTGGTTTCACCTCACATATATAATAATTTTTTTTATGGACCAAGACGATTCTAGTAACCATTCACAGTTGTCCGATCAAGACCATCATAAAAGGAGACCTCACAGTGAAACCAAGCGCATTCAACAAAACAGAGCAGCTCAACGTGCATTCAGACAGAGAAAAGAACAGTATGTCCGGGATCTGGAGAGTAAGGTGCGCGACATTAACAAGTGGAAGCATCGAGTTGAACAGCTTGAGCGTGAGAACATGCAACTGCGAAAGCAATTGTGGGAGGTGTCTGACCAAGGAAGTGACAATCTTGCACCCCTTACAACCAAGCCACCGCATCTGTCAAGGCGAACCTCCTTAGAGAATGATGACAAGATTTGGTCTACAGTCAATCATTCATCATTGGCCATCTCTTGTTTACCACAAACCACAACCCTAAAGCCAAATGATAGAATAGAAGAGGAGAGTTTGTTAGAAGAAACAAAAGAATCTAAATTTACGTCAAGGTCTCCAAGGTATCCTTTTGTCCCCCCAGACGATCCATTCTTACCGCAGGACGAAAATGCTTGTACTTTTTCAATGATTGATGATAAACCAAAAGATGATAATAACGAAGTTTTGGATGATCTTATTGTACTATTGCGGAATCGATACCGTCCCCCGATTCCTTTTCAACCTATTCTATGCCCTGACCCATCTACACACTAAATATCCACACATGTCCTCTTATATTTTTATTTTACACAGTACGCATTATAACTCCACGCATCTTTACACATAATATTCCTTTCTTACCTTTTATTATTAATTATTTATTTGATTTTTAAAAAAAAAGATTCTTGTTACAAAATATCATATCTTTATCTTTATCAATTCATTTGGAAAGCTCTTTTTATATTTATATTTATTTTTATTTTAAAACGGTCAAGTTAAATGAAAGGATAAAGAGGAGGAGAAAAAAAAAGAAAAGAAAAAAAAAGACACCCGAATAAATTAAAACAAAAATAAGAAGAAGACGAAGAAGAAGAAGAAGAAATGGTGCAAGCGAAAAAAAATATAATAAGAATAAAAATAAAGGAAAATAAAGGTAAAGGTAAAAAGACAGTTAAAGAGGACATAGACACACTGTAAAGATAAAATAAGTAAAAGGCATGATTTTCAAACATAAAAATGAACAAATATAAGATACAGTCAGAAGGTACGAAGAGAAAAGCAATAAAGAAATATAATAAAGCACAAAGTAAGGAAGGGGTGGGGCGTAAGTTTTACTGCATAACATGCCCTTCACTTCGTTGGATATCCTCAAAAGGTGCCATTGGCCAAGTCAAGTGTTCGGTATAACTAAGATCGTTCATCGTCTCGTCTTCATCTGCGATGGTGGGAGGGAGGGAGGTATCAAGCAACATATGGTGTGCATGGTCAGACGAAGGTGCAGACATCATTGGGTTTTGGGTTGTCATAAGCTTGCTAATCGGCTGAGTGGCTTGCATAGGGGTGGTATCATTTGGGGTCATAAAAGGTTGTTGCTGTTGGGTCATTCCGGGAGAGGTATCAATATAACTAGATTGTAACATAGTAAGTTGGCTAGGCATATTTTGGTAAGATTGCTGTTGTTGTTGTTGTTGCTGCTGCTGTTGCTGCTGTTGCTGCTGTTGCTGCTGTTGCTGCTGTTGCTGTTGTTGTTGCTGTTGTTGCTGTTGTTGCTGTTGTTGCTGTTGTTGCTGTTGTTGCTGTTGCTGGCTATATTCAACATACATGGATGGATCAAACCCACCAGGACCACCCGGGATAGAGATCGTGTGGCGACGCTGGTGTCCACCTACTGAAGACATATTGGTAGCCGTCAAAGGAGAGTGATGATTATTGTGATTATCATAAAATATAGGTGACGGTTGACGTGATTCTGGACCAGAAGGATTTTGGGTTTCAAGGGAAGCATAAAAATCAGCAGATATATCTGACGAGAAAGGAGTGTTGGTGTGTGTTCGAGGAAAGTACATTGAGCTGCTGCGATACAATGAAGGTGATCTTGACTTTGGTCCGCCCAACGGGTATCCACCCTGTGACAAAGGACGGTTCATGTGTGAACGCCGTACGCCTCGAAGATCTTCTAGCGAATGTGAACCATGGGAATTGAATCCAGGCTGCTTTCGGCGCAAGGTCTGCTTGGTAGGTGGCTGTTGGGACTGAAGTGAAGGTTGGAAATGATGGTGGGTTGTTTGGAGCGGTTGCTGGTGGTGATTAAAGGCCGACATCTGCTGTAACCCGCCGTTCTGCAATATTGAGGCATATCTAGCTGGATCTGCCAACGAAGCACTCGAAGTAAATAACGCAGCTTGACTAACAACTGATTGTGGTGGTCCGATATCAAGAGCATACAGGTTATTTTGAACACGTTGCTGTTGTTGTTGTTGCTGCTGCTGCTGTTGTTGCTGTTGTTGCTGTTGCTGTTGCTGTTGCTGCTGTTGCTGCTGTTGCTGCTGTTGCTGCTGTTGCTGCTGTTGCTGCTGCTGCTGAGGTTGATGTTGCTGCTGAAGCGGTTGAGTCTGATGAGGCGGATTAATCTGTGGCTGTTGCAAGACAATCATAGGTCCCTTTGGAATATTTGTAGGTTTTACTCCCATCGGGCCAGTGAGTGTGTGTCGTCTCGAAGTCTTGGTTGTCTTGGCAGGTCTACCACGCGAAGTGTCAGCAGAAGGAAGTACAGGCGAGGGGGAGGTTGATGAGGGGTCATTGGAATAATGCACTGATGGTGAAGATGATGATGCAATTGAAACAGCAGAACTCTGTGTCATTGGATAATAGCTAGGTGTCTGCACTGGCGGCATCGGTACATGTACATTAATATCATCGGATGCAAGTTTAGAGTCAATGCCGGCAGAAGAAGATGAAGAGGTGTCGACTGCCATTTGACCATACAGCTGACTAAGCTCAGTCTCTCTGAGGAGGGAGTGGAACTCGACGGCAGGTGACTCTGATGCCAAACGTTGAAGGGTAGAAAGAGTCCTAAAGTACTGGCCCTTTGCACACTCTGCCGCACCAATGTCTTTAGCCATATCTTTCTCGTACTGATGGACTGTGGCAGCTGTTGCAGCGCAGTGGATAGTCAACTGGACTCCTCTAGTGGGATAGCTAAATATATCGATGGGCATAGTGTCAATAATGGTTTCAATAATATTTGTGATGTTTGATGCCGACGAGGCGCATAGTTCTTGGTGCGGGAATGCGTTGAGGGGAACGTTGATTTCAGGGAAAGGATAGAGTACATAGTGGCGATGGAGGAGAATCATACTAAAGTGGTACATCATGTGCAAGAAGCCAATGAACTCGTCCGTAACTTGCTGTTTCTCGGCAGGGTAACTGGTCGAGTGTTGAGTGGGCATATAAGACAGAGGGGCTGGCAATTCGTGCACAAATGTCTCTAGGTGTGTGTGAAGCACAAAAAGGCGTGCATGCTCTTCGATAACTTGATGAGCCGAACGTGCATTCGCCTGTTGTTGTTGTCGTGTTGCAACCCGGCGTGTCATCATATAGATATCCGACAGAATTTTTGTGAGCTGGATCACACTGTTGTGATTCATGATCAGCTCCTCGAGTGTCGGGCCTTCTTCTGCTGTGGCCTGGGGGTAATCTGTTGTGCACTGGGTGCTAGCAAAGAATGGCTCTCTGCCTTCTTCGATACTTGTCATCAGATCGTACACAAAGATGACCCAGAATGTACGTTTTTTTGTTTCGATTGTTTGGGCGTCATGTTGACCGGACGTGTCTACTCTTGACAGGCCCAGATCGTTGGCCATTTTTGATGCCACACTTAGAAAGAGGCCGGGGCGGCAGAAGAACCCAGCCCGTCGATAATGTTCTTGGTATTTTGTGAGGAGTATTAAGGCTTGAACGGTTGATACCCGAGGTACGTCAGAGTGCTCGTCGATGAGGGCAAAGGCACGCTGATAAAAGAAAAAGCCTGGGGGAGCGCCTGGCGATTGTTGAGAGGCCTGAGAGGTTTGAGAGGCGGGTGCCCAGCGGGAGGCAACGGCGCACATGGCATACAAAAGCAGTTTTGAAGGACAGTCAGTTTTTGAGACGAGTTTTTTGTAAAAGTGGGGCTTGTGTATCATGGGGGCGTAGGTGTGGACATGGTCAAAATAGGCTTCAATAAGTGCGAGAGGAATGTCCCCAAGAAATTGTTGGACAGCTACATAGGCCTCTGGAGGGACAATGTCTGCTTCGATCATCTGGTTTCTGTGACCACAGCTGCTCACGCTGCCTTGAGTAACAGCTGGACTAGCGGCGGCTGAGGATGATGCAGTGGAGTCGGCGGTGGAGCCAGCGTCAGAATGGGAATCTCCAAAGGGCCCGGAGTACTTGCTGTGCGAGGGAGAATGGCCAGCTTTATCGGTGTGCACACTCGGTATTCGGTCCACACGTTCCTTTATGTCGCTCACATAGAGGGCCTGACCGATTTCGTTGATTGTGAAGCGATCTGCCATCATGGTGGGAGACAATCCAGGACTATATGGTGCAGCAACTGATACGCGCCCGGGTCCGTTTTCTTAAAAAGAAAAGAAAAAATTAAAGTAAAGTAAATAAATAAATACAGAATATTTTGTATCAGTGAAATCACATCATTATATAAAATATAAAATAAATACATGTTATCTATTTTAAATCTATTAAAAATATTTATATATACAGATATATATAAAAATCGTGTTTTTTTTTAATTGTCTCACCTTGGACGATCCCTACATCTGTGGTGTCTTCGAATAAACCGCTTGTATCCTGAAGTGACATGGTATCGTCGAGGATACGGCGTGCGGGACCATCGATTGTTCGTAATGCGCGTTCGACAAGTTGAAGACGAGCTTCGAGGAGCTCGATATACTGCTTTGGTGGGCCGCGTTTTGTCGGTGGTTGCCCAAACACACAAGGACAGTCGGCCTTTCTGCATCTTTCACAAGGTTGAACACCATCGCATTTTACCTAATAAGAATAATGATAATGGTAATGATAATAATAAAAAAGAAAAGCAAGATATATATAAATATATATAAATATATATACAGCAGGAATCAATTAAAAATATGTTTCTTTTTTATGTTTTTTTTGTATATTAATATTAATATTATTTCTTATAAGTATGTATATATATATATATAATAAGAATAAATGAAAATATATATATATATATAAAATATCAATTCAAATCAACCCTGAGCACAGACCAAGCCCACAACATTCTCTTATTCATGCTCAAAAATTATTATTATTATTATTATTATTACTTTTAAAATAGTAAGAGAAAAAAAAAAGGTACCCCAGGGTTATTGTTATAATTGTTATTGGCATTATTATTATAATTATTATTATTTTGTATGTATGTATGTATTATGTATAGTGTATAGTGTATAGTGTATATTGCGCATATATATATTATACATGTATTCATTCGTCAAAAGCTGTGAACCCTGAGACGGATAGAAACAATAAAGAAAGGAAAAAAAAAAGAAAAGAAAATAACCCGGTCCAAATATATATATATATACATATATACATACAGAGAATTATATAGATTTATAGATATATAAAAGAAAGAAAAGAAAAACCCCCTCTCCCCTTCAAGCAAAGTCAAAGGGTAAAGCTTACTTTGCGTTTTCGACATGCATCGCAAGCTCGTTGAATCTTGATGCGTTTGCTGTTCGCATTCGCTCCGTTCTTGTCTTTTTGGGGTTTGGAACTCTTTTTTGGGCGACCGGTAGACTTATTGGTTGTTTCGGGTACGGATTCAGGGGACTGCTCGTAGAATGGAGTCTCCATGGCAATGAAAGAATTACAAAAGTCGAGATCTCAAGTCAACAATCTGGAATGTAAGTAAAAATATGTATGGGTGTAACAAATATATGTATATGTATGTATGTAGGTGCGGTGCGGTGCGGTGCCTTGCACTGACTTTGCTCCTCGCTCTCTTTTACTGGAGTGGTAAAGACAGTGAGAGAGAGAGAACCGAGCAAACTTGGCAAGGTTATAGAATGAGGAGAAGAGGGGAGAGCGCAGTAGGGTTTTTGGGGAAAGAGAGAAAGCCTGTTTTTTTGCACTGGTCTCTCGTTGCTTTTATTCGCGCGGTATAATCGAATGAAAAGGGAAGCCAACCATGTAACCGTGGTGGTTTATACGTTCTTACTGTAATTGTCTGAGTTATAACCTACACAGGACGCTTTTTTATTTATTTATTTATTTATTTTTTTATTTTATTTTATTTTATTTTATTTTTTATTTTATATATATATATTTAGTTTATTCTTATTGTTTGGCTTTGGTAATATAACTATTGGTATTTGAGCTTGTATATACTCCTTCTGGAGTGAAATATATGCCGTGCTTATTTGTTTTTACTACAAGCTAAAGAAGTACCTTGCTAGCTATAGTGTGTATATATAGTGTGTACACAATCTAGACTTGCATTTTATTTTATTTATTATTTTGGGTGTCCATCGATATTCTTTCCAGCCAAGAGCGACCTACTGCTGCACAGGTTACATATAATTCAATCGCCGACATCTATGAACACTTATCCTGGGTTCTTTTTTTTTTCTCCCCTTTTTTTTCCAATCTGGTGATCCAACTATGCCAAACCTGAATAATACTAAAATGAATAGATGAACAGATAGATATATGCATTACAAATAAGTCAAGGTAGAGAGAGAGAGAGGGAGTGAGAGTGAAAAGTAGGTATATATATATATATAAAAGTAGAAATAGGCAAATCAGCATCAGATCTTTGAGTGCAAGATCAAAGAAAGATATTATAATTAATAATAAAATAGAATAGATGTATATAAAAATATATAAAAGAGATAAACCGGGCTAGTTGTGGAAAATACTACAAAAAAAACACAGCTTTTGAGATGGACCAAGACTGATTGTCATGGGAACTGTATCGAATAACTTCTTAAGCTAGGGTCGGACATGGAACGACCTTTATTTTCTATTTTACGCAATTGGTCTCACCATGTAGCGATCGGTGATTTCTCTTTGGCTTTCATGTTCGCTTGTTCAGTGTATTTTATTTTTATTTTTATTTTTATTTTTGGTCTTAAAAAAGAAAGAAACACTCCCACCCTCTTCACACACATATATTCTAAGCCTTACATAATTAATCTAGTCCATATGCTGGATCACCAATACAATAGTAAATACATATTTATTTATTTATATATTACTGATGTTCAGTTATCCATTCATTTCTGCACTGTGGATTTTTTTGTATATACATATATATTCCTATGGTATTAATATTCATCATCTATACGTACCAATCTATATACCAATAATAACAACAAGGTGTAAAATACAAATATTAAAGGCAAAAGATAGATATATAGATGCATACATACATACATAGATGTATATATATATATATATATATATGTATATAACATAGGAAGAAGAGTATAAAAAAATGACACGTGAGAATATCCGTAAGAGTATCTTTAATAGTCCTCAACTTGTGCTCTATTTATTTATTTATTTAATCATTGATTTGTTACTTCAAGTACTACAATCTACCATCTTTATCTACAGGCTAGTATTTCAGACATTGTATTAAGCATTGGTCCATTTGAATCAAAGTGGGTTGGCCTGTGCGGGAAAATTATATAAATATACATTTATATAAATTAAAGAAATTAATAATAATAAAAATAATAAAAAGGCGAAATATAAAGGGAGAAACAAAAAATAAGTAAAATAAAGAGAAAGAAAGAGAACGAGGGAGAGAGGCGGAGAGTACAAGTGATTTGGCTGTGTATAGTGCGGTAAGACCATCGTACGTTCTATAAACTCTAAATAAGGATGTGGGACGAAAGGTAGGAAGGTGTGTCGAGAAGCAGTTGGTCGGTCAACAGGACTGGCTGCCGATCTTTAAGGCCAACGCAATGGATAATAACCCAAGCCAAAACGAGACATCCTTGGATCGGTCTTTCCCTTTAAGCGTTTTGTGACAATTTTTTTTGAAGTAATAAAAATGTCTGTGGGTCAGCCCCCTTATTACTCAATTTACTCATTCATTTCCTATCTAGACCAAGTCTAGTTCATTGGACCTTTAAGTCCATTGTTAACATCAAGAAAGTCGTGCAAGGTATGGGTAGGATAGGAAAATCTTTTATATATATATTATATTATATATATTTTACTTTATATATTCTTGTGCTCTTGTATTCATTTCGCTTTCTCGTAATGCACGTTGCCTTTTTGTTCATGGGAACCCCTTTTTAAACCCAAATTATAACACAATCATTTTTATATACTTGAGAATCAATCAATCAGTCAATCAGTCAATCAGTCAATAGGTAGCTCTTTTATTTCTATGCTTCAACTTTCCTAGCATTTCTCCCAAATGATTCCCTTGCTGAAACAAGAATAAAAATAGGATTAATATCATCATCATAATGTTATTCTAAAATCATCAAAAGTTAAATATCCAGTCATTTCCTCTATCTCTCTCCACCTTACTTTCCTCCTCCTTTTTCGTTTCACAGCACTTTTTTTTTTACTTTATATTGATCGTTATTTTTCTTTGATTAAACAACAATACGAACGCTAATACTGATCATAACCATAATCATAATCATAATATTAGTATTAAAAGAATAAAATCCTGATTTTCTTTATAAAAATCCACTCAAACTGAGAATGCACAAAATACACATGTAATATATGTAGCCCTTAATCTTCAAACGGCTTTTGTACAATAGAGATAGAGTGAGTGAGTGAGTGAGTGAATATGAGAGTGAGAGTGAAAGTGAGAGAGCTTTATGCGGAATACATGTGCTTATCAAGTCATTTTTAACAGAAACTGAAGGCATTGGCACAAATAAACTAAATGGAGCTTATTTTATATTTATAATGGAGATGTATATATATAATATTTTACACAACATAAAAAAAATGACTATTTAAATCGCTGTAGCGATCAACGCCCAACCAAAATAATACATAATAAATAATTCCAGAGTATATATGTATCTTAGATGTCCTAAGTCTTGTTTTTATCACCTGCCTAAAATACAGTCCTTCACTATCGCGTAAGACCCACAGTAACGATGGCAACGATGGTAACGATGACAACGATGACAACGATGGCAACGATGGTAATGATGGTAACGATGACAACGATGGCAACGATGGTAACGATGACAACGATGACAACGATGGCAACGATGGTAACGATGACAACGATGGCAACGATGGCAACGATGGTAACGATGGCAGCGATGGCAACAAATGGAAAAGGAAAAACTTAAACTTGATCCCAAAACAGGCAATTTTGTTTCAATCACATTTACTGACATCACAGCATTACAAACACTGTAAGAAAAAATACGCAAGTTTTTTAAAAAAACTTACAACTCGTGGTAAAATCCTTACAACTTCTTTAATCTCCTACAAGCTTTACCATGTTTAGGACGCTTTAAGCCTAATTAAGCACATTGATTCTAATGTTGAAATAAGAGTTTGGCCACAGAAGACTCTCGAGGTTATATTAGGAAATCAAAAGCTCACAAGATATATAATTGGTCCGGTAAAACTATTTCTGCTGAATATCACTCTACCATTTTTTTGAAGAAAATAAAACACCTTAATAAGGCTTGCTGTGACGTACAAACACTCGTAAATGAAATCACAATGGAATTCTAGTAGTAAAAAACGACTTAGCAGAATTTATGCTGGCTTTACACTCATACTCAGTTATTGTACTGCGGCTTAGACTTCTTTTCTCAAAAGTAAACACTAAGTGCTTTTTAACTACACTAACATTTTTTTTATGTTCCTTAATCAAGATCATGAAAACAATGATACTTTTAACTATGCTGCATACTAAGTAACATTGCTATAGAAAAATACTGCTACATAGATGTGAAGATCAGTGAAAAGGTATTATCAATGTTAATAGCTTTTATGGTCCATTACTAATCAAACTTCATTTCGATCATAATTAGGCTCACATCATCCAGACCATTAAAGGTATGAATACTCAAAATAAAAGTATTGGTATAGTGTAAAAAGAATCAAATACAAAGCTTTGTATTATTTCATGTTCATTCAATATCAAAGGTATGTTATTTAAAGTAAATTCATTCAGATCACAAATACTAAAGTTCTTTTTTTCTTCTTTTTTTCTTTCTTTATGTATAGGTGTAAATTATTTCAGTTATTGCTATCGTTTTTTACTTCTTTCATGCAATATTTCTCAAGTAGTTAGCAAAATTCCTAAAAGACATTGAAGTACTTAGACGCGTACTAGGGCATCTTTTACCCCGAAATTTTCAACTTAAGAAAATAAAATAAAAAGTTTCGACTATAATTTCAGCAGAATTCTATTTTTCAATAAAGCTTTTTTTTTTAATAAACTTGAGTATATGTAACTTCCTAATAAGGATATAATCCCTGGATGTACAGGAAAAGCATTGTAACACTAATGGTTAAATACTGGATTTCTATTGACCAAAACAAAGTTGTAAGGGCTGTGTTTCAAATTCTGCAATTTCTTACAGTGAAATGCGCTCGACATATTTACATCTACACATACACATGCGTGCATACGTGCATACGTGCATACATATATATCAATACAATAAACAACCAAATAACCAAACACAGTAGTGTCAACTTTTTTTATTCCTTTCTTAAACTACTATAACATTAAATTTATAGTTAGCAATCTACCTTGACATGTTTACAAAATAGATAGAGAGAGAGAGGACCAAAGAGTTTAGTGAAACTATTTTATCATTCCGGCTTTCAACCATTTTATAATAGTATATAATATATAAAAGAGCGCGGATAGTTACCTGTAATACAATATATTTCTATTTATAATGGCTGTATAGTATCTAAGGCTACAATGTAGATGAAATAGAAGTCGTGTGTACAAGTATGTAAAGAAATACAGTAAAACACATTTGTAAGGCGCTTAATTCGAGAAAATAGGGCGTATGTTTGGGACAATTTTTTTTCAAAAGCTTTTTTTTCATTTAAGCAAAAGGTTGAGCATACATTATATAAAATAATGAGTCAATAACTTAAGAATACTTTTCTGTATTGTTTATTTGAAAAGAAGATCCATTCATAACGGTTAGTAACTTTTACAAATACGCCTTACAAATCTTTCATTGCCGCCCAGGGAGAAATATATTAGCTCGGGATTCTAATTGAAGAAAGCATCATCATAAATTAATCAGAATACGAAATGTTGTCCTTCAACCTTTCTTTTCTTTTGCTTGTGTGGCCAGCCTCATATGTATTTCAAATGGCCTCACTTTCTTCAAACAGAATTTGGGGGGAAAGCTCTTGTCACTGAAGAAGTTCCGGAAACTGTCGCTTCTAAAGCATACGTCTATCTCTGACTCAAAGAACTTTCTTTTGCCGCGTCGTTGTACAGAAAGCAATTCAATTCTTTACGAGAACAAGTCCTTAAATCTATCAACAGTAATCAACCCCTGATATTTGGAAAGAAGCTGCAAAAGATTCAACCGTATAAGACGACAGTTTTAAACTTTGTCGGCACTGTTAAATCAAAGATATAAAATGGTACTTTTTTCCCTGTCAAGTATACCGATAAACGTGGATATAGCTTTTTTTCTCCCTTTTACCTATTTATTCGTTTCAAAGAAAATCGATTCAAATTGACGCTTAAGCATTTTGGAGACTAGCGAGATAATCTGAAATTGAAGACTATCCTAAAGGCTCTAAGAACGAGGAAATGTTGTCTAATTTTTATTACAAGCTTTACGATTTCTCCAAGGTTAAATCTAGAGCTAGAGAGAGTTTTTTTAATGGCAGAAAAGCATTCAAGTAAAGTATTAACAATGACTTTTACTAGTATTTCAAAACTAAACGATTAATGTTAGGAAGGTTGTATACTCTGATGGTTATTCAATATCATTTGTGTTTTCAAGAGTCACAAAGAAAAGCAATTCTAATGCCTCCCCCAAAAAAAAGCCGCCGGATTTTCGGAATGAAATCGAAGATGGATGTCAAGTCTGGGCCGTGGACCCTGGGATGACAACAGTATTGACATCTGTAGATCCCTCCGGCCGCCAGAGAAATTTGAGCCAAGACGAGTATTAGCATTTATGTGGATTCAATGACGCTGCATATGTCCGTAAGAAGCACCCTCCATCATCAGAATAATTATAATCATTGTGTTATTGATATAACTCTTCAATACACCCTTGCAGGCAAATTTAGCAATTATTTAATATATTCATTCCATTTTTGCTTTTGTTTTTAAACTACTATTGTAAGAGTCCAGAGAAAAACTAACATCATCCTCGAATTGTGTGTCTTGTACAGTGTGTTTCACTGTAAAGGCTAGAAATGTTAAACAGGCATACCTGAAATTTTTATAACTTTATACTATATTATATATATTTTTTTGGCCAATAGGAAGCAAGTAATAAAGATCCCTGAAAGTGACCCTGTCTTTATAAGGGCCGGGTTGGATTGACGGCAAATCAATAAAGAAAGAAAAGAATGAAATGAAATGAAATAAAGAGCAAAATAGAAAAGAGGGTATAATCAGGTGGTTGACCTAAAGAATAAATAGATTAATACAGTGAATGAGCATACTTAATATAAATAAAAGACACCACAAAAAAAAAACACCCTTAGTAATTATTATTGTTATTATTATTATTTAAAGTGACCTGGTTGGTTGGTTGGGTTGGGTTGGTGGGCCCTATACTCCACAAGAACCCTTTTTTTTTCCTACTATATAAAATAATTGATACTAAATTTAAACCATTGGAAAATAAAGAAAATGTATATATATATATTTTATTTTATTTTTTTATCCGCGGGCCAATTGTGATCTATTGGTTATATAATCTTGGCCTCATTTGATCGCTGAGCTCCATTCCTTTTTTTTTTCTCTCTCTTTTCTCTCTCGCCTTTTTTTTTTATTTTTTTTTTATTTTCCCTTGATTTTTGGCCTTAGTTTCCCTGCAGTCTCGAGCTTTCCCTTTTTTCCCTTTAACCCTTTTATTTTACATTATTTTATATTATAATAATAACAATAATAATAATAATTTTTTTCCCTCCTTTTTTTCCCTATTATTCTTATTTATTATTTCTACTACTAGTATTAGTCTTACTATTACTATTTCAAACCTATGAGCTCCATGCCAACAGACGACCTGACACTTTCGGTCATTGATGCTTCGGGTCGTCAGATTAGTCTCCTTAACAATGATGCGCCCAACCCTGTACGAGTCAGTCTCCCATTGCTGGCAGGCACAGCAACCTCAGACCAAGACATACCAATGTCGCCTTCATCCCGGATGCCCTCCTCACCAAACTCGTACTCTTCAGACGAAGCACCGGGCAGCAATGGATATGACACAAACGGCACTCCCTCTGACCAACAATCAAAGCGAAAATACCACTGTTCAGAACCTGGGTGTACCAAGAGCTTCACCACGAGGTAATATATATATAAATAAAAATATAAAAATTATCAAATAATTCTTAATACTCAATACACCTCTTCTATTCTCTCATATTCTTTATTTCTACAGTGGACACCTGGCTCGGCACAACAGGATCCACACCGGTGAAAAAAACTTTCCATGCTTGTTTCCCGGTTGCCAATCCCGCTTCTCACGCCAGGACAACATGATGCAGCACTATCGAACACACATGTCACCAAAGTCGAGAAGAACTCACAAGAAGTCTGCAGCAGAAGAGGCCCGGCCACGACCCCGTCTCCATGCTCACCACCGGATCCGCTCTGACCCTGTACAGGTCGAGCCACCTCTCACAATCGACCAGCATCTGAGCAACTATCACCGCTCGCTCCGAACACCCGCACCTGCCGAACGATTCTCACCTGTTCGATGTAACCAGTTTCCAAAACCTCTCTTCAATCCTGTAATCCCAAAAAAGACCTCCTCTCCTAGACCTCACACACCTCATACGCCTCATACACCTCACACACCTCACACGCCTCAAGCCACTCGACCCTCTCCACCAGTCTCACCTTCACTCCCATCAATTCAACACATCATCGACACCCCCTCTCCCCCGTCTCTTCCCGCCCCATCTCCAGTATTTCCCACTCCTTCCTCAGGCCTCTTTTATCAGCACAGACCCTTAACCTTTCCCCATCTTAAAGACGCCACGCCGGCCACATTCTCTCTCCTCCACCCAACATTGAGTGTATCCACAGGCATGAAAACAGACAAGACAACAAACAAATCAACTCCACAAGATCCTCCTGAGGATCATATCTCGGACGCAGATCAAGATACAGACACAGCTGGATCTTCATCTGGTAGTCTCCTTCAACTAGCCCACATCGTAAGCACATTTGGGTAGAGAAATGTACACACACACACATTTCTTGTTTAACAAACAAACAAAATGCAAACAAATACAAATACACCCACACCCATACAAACAAACAAACAAACGAATGAACAACTGAACAAATGAGCCAACCAATGAATGAATGAATTAATCTTTTCAATCACTTTCTCCCTTTCTCTTTAATGATTTATATATCTACCCATCTATCTATCACTCTATCTATTTTGTACTATATCGTCTCTCTCTTTCTTCCTTATTTTTCTTTTCTTTATTCATTCGTTCTTTCCTTTTGTTTTTTGCTTGCAGTCGATGTTACTCTGAATACATGCTTCTTCATCTCCACTGTCTTTATATATATATATATATATAATAAAACCACACTGAAAACGCATTTCAATATATATATATATATATTTATATATATATATTTAAGCTACTTGTTCGATATAGTATCATAACTAGGTGGAAGATCACTCAAAGATTGATCAAGTCCAGGATTTGGATTCAGAGAAGGATGTTCATAAGGAACTGGCATTGGAGGAGGGGGATAGACTCTTTGATTGACCGGTGATATCGTACATTGTGGCTGTATTTGCGGAGTTGGCATATATGTAGAAGAAGGAAAAGGAGCAGGAGCAGGAGGAGAAGGAGGAGGATAGACTATTTGATTACCACCACTTGTGGACCCTTCCTGAACTGGCATAGGTGGCGGAGGATAATTTGTATGTCCACTTGCGCCACCTGAAGGCCCTTCATAAGCTGGCAAGGGCTCATAATGTTGTGGGGTTTGGTTTGTTTCTAATGTTTCAATTTTTTTTAATAACTGGTTCATTTCATCTTCTTTTCTTCTTTTGTTCAATTAATATACACTTCATTTATTACCTCCTATACGCTCTAAAAGACTTCGATAAATCGTTGTGAATTCAATGGAACCACCCTCACGGAATGTCAAAGAAAGTTTGCCATTTTTTGATAGTCCACCACCAGGTACCTTTTTGTGTATATATTCATACAAAAAAGTTAATAATGATTATAATAACCTTTATTGTTCTTCCATGTACAACCCAAATACTATCCGTAGTTTTACCGGTAACAGTATCCCCGAAATATAGTTGGCGCCAAACCAAGGTTGTTCCAATTTCCAATTTTTCCACATTAAGACTGGTACGTTGAGGGTCTGAAATGTCTGAGAAGGTGAAGATGCTGCAAACACAATCTATAGGTTATCCATCTCTGTATTAGATTCACAAATATCCCAAGTACATATGAACACACTTACTCTTTGATTGGTCAAGGTAACCGTACCATCCGCTTCCCAGTAACCACTATACACACACACACATATATATATATATATATTAGGTCATATTTTAGTCTTCTTCGTCTTCTTCTTCAAATAAGACCCTATATTTTAATATCTCATCAAATCTTACCCAGCATTCCCCGGATAGCCACTAGATTTTTTATATAAATATATATATTATTTGAGTAAAATAGACAACCAAAAAAAAACAATTAAACTCACTTCTCATTGCAATCAAGCACCATTTTGACTGCATTCTGGGTTGTAAAGACCTTTTCACCAGGTAAAAGAACAGGAGTTTGCCCATTAGGTCCGAGCATAGCCCAATTTAAGCTCATGATGTGTATAGTAAAGATGAGTAAATAAAATAAAACAAAAGAGAGGGAGAGAGGAAAAGAGACGGACTTGGCAGAATCACCTTTAGGTCATGCAGCCTGTCATTTGTGAAAAACCGACATTCCTAGTCACAAACACACGTACATGTGTGCGTATATTATTTCCAAGAAAAAAATTATTTGCACACGTTTTTTTTTAAAATAATAATTAATTAATTAGGGGGTTTCATAAATTAGTATTTTATTTTATTTTTTCTGAAATTAAATAATGAACATTAACAAAAACAAAAATGTCACTGTTTTCCTTTCAAAAGTGAGGGAACCTACTACTGACAATAGTAGACTAGTTTTGCCCTTTCAAAGTAACACCGCATATATACTGTAATGAGACTCTCCTAGCGAAACGAAAAAGTTAAAAAGTAGAATTAGAATTAAGGCAGTTTCATGATCTCTCATGATGAAGATATAAGTGGAGGTATAGATCGTTGAATTTAATTCATTGGCCAACTAAAGTCAGTATAAATATCAAGTGATTGAGTTCCCCTTTAGAATTTAAAAAAATTCTAATTTCGTATATATTTATTTTATGACCAAAAATTGTCCTACAGCCTTTAAATTTCAATTTAACAAGCCTCTCTTAACCAATAATTTACTAAATTTAACAGTAATAATAATAACAGCTTCAACTGCCTGAATTTGCAGATGTAGCAAAACCACCCAAGAATCATTTCTTTTTAAAAAAATGTCTCCAATAAGCAGGCGTCTGGATTTTTTGTGAGTTTGAAAAGAAAAAGAGATTAGGCCAAGTCTATGCTTGTAAGTCATCGTTTTCAAATGTGATTCTTTAATGCGCAAAAATATAATAAAGTTCTTAGTAAGACAATTGCTCAGCTAAAAAGCCAAATGGAAGTTAAGGATTTGAAGAGCTAAATAGATTCCAAGCTCGGTGTTATTTAGGTTGATATATACTTATATTATTATCATTATTATGTAATAGCAGTAAATCATGTTTCTTTATTTGAAACGAAGTTCAGGTGGACAATCGGGCTGCGCAAAAGGATGCGTTTGCTTAAACTCAGGTAATGTCATGAGAGTGTTAGAGATACGAGTAATCAACGGATATGGCTTCATGTCAAGGTTGTTGCGATGAGCATTCTGGACCATTGGTACCAAGAAAAAGTCGGCCATTGTGATGTGCTCTCCTACAGTGTAAGTTCCTGAAAGATTCTCCAACTCCTTCTCTAAGCCTACAAAAAAGCAACCCAATCAATAATGGATACTACTTTAATGCGTGTGTGTTTATGAATTATTTACCTTTGAACCCTCTTGCGATAAACTCTCTGGCCCACTCTTCTTGCTTCTCCTTTTCATCACTCACGTATCTCAGAACGCTCAAGTTTTGAAGAGGATGAATATCACAGGCAATCATTTGACACACTGCTCGGACCTATAATTTACGTCACGCTCACATAAGCATTCTGTATATATATCGCTATTCTGATTACGTACCCTAGCGCGATGAACAGGCCCTGAAGGAAGTGTGGGTCGTTCAGGGTAGGTTTCCTCGAGATATTCCATTATAGCCATACTCTGTAAAAGAATCTTTCCCTCTTTGGTTACAAAAGTAGGGATCTTTCCGGTTGGATTGATATCCAAATACTTCTTTTCTTTCTAGATACGCCCACTTTTGTGAATAAGACCTGTATATTGGCGTACATAGCATTACTTACGTTCTCATTTATGAGCAAGTTGACATACTCTGTATTGTACTCAATACCCTTCCAGGCCAACGCCAATCTTACGCGCCACGAAGCACTAGATCTGAAATAACTATAGAGAGTGGGGAGAGTTTCTTCCTATCCATTAATACACACATATAGAGTGTTAATAATAAAGCTCTGATTATATTTGTGTATATGTATTTTTAAATAAGCTTACACTTGTATCAGACATAAGAGTAGAAAAAAAAGGGTGATTAAAGAACAATCTCAAGAGAGCAAATCTCAAAAGGGCACAATATGAAGGTTTTGTCCTATTCTCACGCTGAACGTCACTAATGGTCATAGTCACACACAAATGATTAAACCTGGACTGATTTATTCGGGAAACGTTACGGACATGCTGATGAGACCAAATTTGAATAATCAGGGGTGAGGTCACTGACAATTACTTTCTTTTTTGGGGGGTCATACTTTATTATTTGCTAAATGCTTCAAAAAAAACTTTAATCCTACGGGGCCGGCATTCTCTGTAGGGTATGTTGCCTTGAAATAACATGAAGAATATATTCTTCTTCAAAAGCTTGGACTACAGACCGAAGAAAGAATAAATCCTTTAACATTGGTTGAAATAAAATATTCAAAAAACTAGTAAGAGGTAGACTTTGTGGAACTTTACTTCCAAAACAACATAATTGCCATCAACAAGTAGTTGGTAAAAAATTATAAATAAATCTTATTTCAATTTCATTTCTGTAAAGCTATGACTTTTAAAGATATTTGAAACTATTGAAAATATTCTAAGAGTATCCGCAGTGGGAATTTTGTATTCAAATTAGTATTTTCTTTGCGCTTTTTATATATTGGGAAATGTAGTACTTCTATATCAGCGTCTTTTGTTTTAAAGAAAAACCCCCCTCCACCTGATGAGCCTTTACTGAAGAAATGATTTGGTTAAATTAACTGACTTACTACTATTATATCTGGTTAACTAGTCTTATTTTTCAAATAAATAACGAGGTAGGCCGCTTGTCTCGATTGGGACAGTTTAAGAACCAATAACCATACTATTCTAATAAAGAAAAACCTTGTTAGTCTAAGTTTATTTGAATATTTTATTCTTATAAATATTTGATACTAAAGCAAAAACAAACATAATCCATACAAAAATTGAATTGTTGCTTAGTTTCTTTTACTTCGTCTCATATGCTGTATACTCATCTTCTAACATTTATGATAGTACTTCTTTCTAAAGTTTATTATATAGTCTTTATACTGTTATCAATTCAAGCACTCAATGCCCATTCACTCTACCTGTTTGTTGAACTTTATGAAAGGCTTTCAAATTTCTATAGAAGTCTTGATAACCAGAGGTTCTCTTGTGTAAATCCAATTGCTATATGATGTGCAATTATATCCCTAACTTTACCTACTTCTCTACTGTTTATTTCAATTAGGCACACAATTACCATTGTATATATTATATACATAATTATATGTATAATGATGACAAGAATATTTCTGATATCATTGAATTATTTAAAATCTCTGGTGTCTTTGAAGTCTTTAAAGCACCTAGAGCCCTTGGAGTTATTAGGGTCCTTAAAGCCATTAGGGCCCTTATAACCTTTATACCCTTAATAATCCTTAAAGCACATACAATATTCAAGTCTCTAAAGACCCTTAAGTTTTCAAAGTTTTCAATGCTGCTAGATTCTTTTAATTATCTGATGTTTTTGATATAGTCAAAGCTTTATTTACTAGAAAAGTAAAATTTTCATCGATTTTTTTAAATTTAAATAACAATTTCAAACCTTTGGTCAAATTTTTCTTAAAAAAAGATTGTGCGGTGTTTTAACAAAATAAAAAAAAATCGGTAAATTAAGAGTGGAAGTACTATTTTCTTTCTGCTTTGTACATCGTTTCCTACAGGGCCTCGCATCTCAAAGCTTTGATGTCGACTTGGCCTACATGGGAACGTAGAGTAAAATCGCAATGAATCATGATACTCCGGTTGCATAGAGAATATTGCAACTAGGCCACTATTTAAGATCTTGCACATTTCACCATCCCAATCACTTTGAAATCATTTAAATAAATGTTAAGAAAATTTCATCATAATTCTTGTTTACTATTTTCGCCCATATCTACATGCTTTCTTTTTATATATATTCTGCGTTAAATAGTACATGTGAAAGGTCATTACTACTTAACATATTGTAAAATAAAGCAACAATAATACCAAATAAATAAATATTAAATTTTCATTCACTTGGAAAACTGAACATATTTTTGCTCTTATATATATATATATATCAAACACCATCGGAAGGTGATATATGTACTGTTTTTCACTATAATAAACAAATGAATAGAGAAATAAAGGTTATTGTCACAATGATTTATGACGCGACTTGGATCACATTCAGACGCGTACTACGTCTTGGTTTTCCTAATCACGCTCAACTCAAAGAACGTAAAACAAGAATTCCAAAAAAAAAAATTCCAAAATTTGGTGGTGAAAATAGATATTAAAAGGGACCGCGTTCTCAATGGGTCAAAATAAATCCAATTAAAGCCATACTGTGTTTGTTCTTCTCACTCCATCATCCATGTCTGTCCTACCTGATCAGATCATCACTAAGCAGGGACCTTTAGCTCGTGTTTGGTTAGCTTCCCATTGGGAAAGAAAGCTATCAAAGTCTCAATTCTTACAGACCAATCTCGAAAAGACGATTGGTAAGAACCTCTATTGCCATCGCACCAAAATAAAAAACAAAAACAAACAAACAAACAAACAGAAAAACCCTGATAAATAAGATTTACTTATTAACCATCTCTCTTACCAGATGCCATCAGCATCACTCAGCAACAGGAACCTTATGCCTTGCGTGTTTCGGGACAGCTCTTGTTGGGTGTTGTACGCATCTATTCTCGCAAGACTCGTTATCTCTTGGAAGATTGTAATGAAGCTCTTGTGAAGATCAAGCTGGTGAGTTCTGTTGCTAAACAATTAATCCTGGATACAAACTCTTATACACTATAAATTTCTTGGTAACAGGCTTTCAAAAAGGGCAATGTCAACATGCCCGACATTAACCAATCGGTTGCTAACCTCGGAAGCATTACATTGCCTGAACGACTCACAGAATTTGACATTCTTCTTCCCAGTATCTCTTTCAACGCCTTGTAAGCTTTGATTTGCCTTGTTTGAGTGTTTGTTGCATTTCATAGACCAAAAAAATATTATATACAGATATACCAATCCTGTCGATTCCAGAGATGCTGTACTTGATAATCTTGAAGGATTATCCTTCTCTCAAGACATCACTCTTACTGATGTTCAGGACGGTTTAATGAGTGGAAGCTGGGGATTCGATATGATTGAACAGAGACGCCGTGACATGCTGACCGACACCGAACGCCCATTCGATTTCTCGAACAACACATTCTTTGATATTGAGGGCGGTCGTCGTGATGCTGTGCAGACTGGCGAGTTTAGCGACTTTTTCGGAATGCAGGACATTGAAGAGCCCATGAACAAGATGGGTCTCGAAGACAATGTCCAACCTGTATTGGACAACAATGATTCCGTGGACTTTGACTTTGATCTTGGTGATGATGAGATGAATACCAGACCTCAGACCAACAACGAGTTCGCTTTTCCTGATGATCAAAACGATGCACTCAACCGCCAGCGTGAGACTAGCGAGATGACTGATGCTCCTTTCCTGGAAACCTTGACTCAAACAGGTATGCTACCAAGTTTGCAATGTAATTGAGCGATATTAATTGTAAATATATTCGTACTGTGATTTTCATCATAGACGTGCCTGCTATTCAAGAGCCTGCGCGTCGTAGACGCCGCCTTGTTGTTGACAAGGTGACAGAGATTCCTCACGATGAACTCAAACAGTACATGCAGGATACTTCCACAATCATTGACAAGGTAAATACAATACAAGACTAATGCAATTGTTTACGAAAAGAAGAAGAGAAAGAAAGAAATATCTAAAATCATCCTTTTTTTTTATGAAATAGTCCGCCGATGAGCAACAGTACAAAGAATTGAAGTCTATTGAAAAGGTGGACCTTATGCGTCCATCTGCCTTGACTTCTGTTTCTGGCCTTGATAACCTGTTTGCCTCTTTGTCTCGTAAGCGCAGAGCTTCTCAGATGATTGTAGAGAACCAGGATGTCCATCAAGACAATGTCATGCAAGACGACACCGGTTTTGACAACTATGATTTTGATGCTCCTGATATGGATGATATTTATGTAAGTTGACAGCAATATATATAATATCCTTGAAAATAACTTTCCAAAAAATAACAAATAATAAAATATAAGAATTCTAATATTCATAATCTCAAACCTATTTTATTTGTCTACAGGAATCTCGTCCTCCTCAGGACTTGGCTTTTGAGGGCAGTCAGGATAGCTATCGCCCTAACAGTCAGTCTGCTATTAGCACACACGCTCAGATGACATTGGAGAAGATTGAGAAAATCACTGTGGGTAATCGCTCGGTAGTCTTTAGAGAGTTGGCACCTACAACCAAGGCAGATGCTGCTCGCATGTTTTATGATATTCTCCTTTTGTCCACAAAGGATAAGATCCAAGTCAAACAGACTAATGCCTTTGGAGACATCCAAATCCGCCCTCATGCTGCTGCCTTTTGAATTGAATAGAGACACTCTGTGTTCATTTTCTTTCCATCTCTCCATCTCTACCTTTCTATCTTTTTCTATCTCTCTATTTCTCTTTCTTTCTCTAATCTTAGCATGTACAGACTTCATTGTGTTATTCCCTTTCATTTTATTTTTATTTTTATTGGTAAAAGCAAAATCATCAAAAACGAGTATTTATATTTGTAAAAGATTTTGTTTAAAATGGAGGAAACCTAAGCATGTTTTTGGATATCGGATACTAGCTTATTAAAAATTCCAGTTGCTGACAGAGTACCTTCTTCAGAATACTTGGCTGCCTTTGTTGTATTATCTCCTGATAAGAGATACATATAATCGGTCAAGCTATTTTTTGTTCCATGAGTCACAATGTCGGCTATTTTTGCAGAGTGTATATCGTATGGGGGGATCTCAACTGAACTTCCTACCGAATCCTCTATATTTCTGACTAGTTTATTGGGGAAGCAGCGTGCACGACGACCTGTAATCACTTTAGTGATCTTTGTGGGTTCTTGAGAGTGTAGCATAACATCTTTATGAGCAAAAGGAGTAGGCGACTCCTTGGAAAGCATAAAAAGTGTTCCGATCACAGCGCCATCTGCGCCCCATTTCAACAGTGCATCGGCAACGGTGGGACCATCACTGAGTCCACCTGCAGCTAGGATAGGTATTTTGCTGGTAAGAGTATTGTGTATAGCTTGAACAAGATCCCGGGTAGACATTTCTTTGCCTTGATCAGAAAGGAAAGAGCCACGATGCCCACCTGCTTCTAACCCTTGAGCTACGATAGCATCAGCTTTGGGTTGTGCCTCTGGAGAATCTTCTCCTGCCAGAATGAGTGCTTCTTGCACAGTTGTAGCCGTTCCAATAATGTATATTCCTGCATCTTTGAAGGCTTTGAACAAATGATCAGGGAGGTATCCAAAGGTAAAAGAGACTACTTGAACGCCTTCTTCAATAATAACAGTTGCCTGACTATCAAGTGGAGGGGACCTCATGGCAAATTGTAGTGGTTGTGAAATACCAAGCTCATGACGAATGTTGTCAAGGAATGTGTCAGTTGGATATATTTTTGCCAGTTCTTCGCGAGTAGGCGGGGGAGTTTGTCTACAAAAGATATTGACTGCAAATGGCAGGGAGGTTTTTGCACGAGTATCACGAATAATCTCGCGCATTGCCTCGGGTTGGGTTGTAGCAAGACCCAAGGATCCTAGTCCACCTGCATTGCTAATTGCCGCAGTAAGATCAGAGGCTGCATGACCTGCGCAAGGGGCTTGAATTATAGGGTATTTTAGTTTGAGTGCACGAGTAAACGCAGTAGAGGCCCATGTTAATCTCGACATTACAGTATATATATATATATGATTGAATACTATATATGCTGTTCGCCAGCGTACGAGGGAATCATCGAGGGAATTGTATCGAGGAGATTGCATTACGTCATATAAAATCCCGACTATTATTCAGCATCTGTTTCTTAATTTTTTACTAAAATACTTTGTCGGTCTTTGTTTTTTTTGCTAATGATCTGCTTTATATTGGCTATGGAAAATAAGCCTTATAAGTATCGTCGTTTAGTACATCCTTTTTTGTAATCAGAGTCCTTATTTTAGAAACTTTGCTTACCCGGAGTTTAATAATTTACTATATAAAGTACTTTCTTTCAATTCCCTCAATGCAATTCTCTCGAAGATTCCCTCGTATGCTGGCGAACAGCATTAGTCTGTCCACATCAAATATTATACAACCATGTTATTCAGAAAAGTTCTCTTTTCATTACTGACAATTATTTACGAATGATGACCCTAATAATACAGCTTATCTTGGAACTTTTTTTTTTTAGCTTTTAGTCTGTCTTTACCAACTGTTCATAAATGCAAGACGAATCCCTATCTTGATCAGCATTTGGTAAACTCTCGATAATACGATTCTAAATACAAAAACAAATATAGTCAGAAACATAAATCATGGTTTCCAGGCATACTTGCATGTGTTGTAACTTGGCTGTAAAATTAGGAACTTCCACTGACTCATGTTGAATTCATGTTGAATTCATTTGTATTCACTGCTCAAGTTCAATTCAAGCGTAACGAAACTTATATTATAGTCTAATAAATAAATAGATAGATAGATAGATAAATAAGAAAGACACCAGTGGTCAATTACTTGTTATCAATAAAAAATAATTTCTCTTACTATTAACTAATATACCAAACGTTTTACACTCTTTAGTTGTTTCGGAAACTTTTATTCTAAGATGGAACTGTCTTTTACACAGTTCCCAAAATCTGCATTATCAGTCATAAGACCGAAGCTCTTGTTGTGCTACCACAATTTCTTTGTTAAAACGAGTATTTCAGAATGATTCTATGCTATTTATCATTTTCTGGGCTAAGGTATACAAATTAAATGTCAAAATGGGGAGTGGGTCTAGCAAGAGTCTCCTCCTACTTAGACATTAGCTTTCTTTCACTGGTATTAGCTTCAGCGCCATCATACAAGATGGTGATAGAATCGTGTCTAGGAACGCAATAGATTTGAAGTATCTCATTTGTGGCAAATGCGGTGATGTACCTACACTTATAAAATAACAAAATATGGACTCTTTATTCCTTCACTTTTTGATATATCATACCAGTAAATTGAAAGAAAGTCATCCATTAAAAACATGTTCTAAAGCAAACAAGAAACATGCTTAACAATGTAATCAATTTTTGATGAAGGGTATTATACTTAACACCACTTCTACGTGCCAAATTTTTCTTTGTTATCTATACATAGTATATAAAGTCAAAAATAAGTATAGAAAATAGAAAAAATGAGATTTCCTACATGGTTGATAGCATATTGTATATGCAAAAAGCATTACTTGTAGTTAGCTGTACTGAAGAAGAAGATTTTTTTTGTTCATTGATTGTCTAAAAAAAAAAGGGTGGTGTCTATACCACAAACTGGATCTATTATAAATAAAACGAAGGTGAGGATTTGCTTTTACTACATGATTGGATGAACCATAAATTTAAACTTGCCTTGTTTTTTTTTTAAAAAAAAGTTATTGGTCCAATTGAAGAAGGAACGTATTGTTAAAAATCAGGTACCGTCAAGTCCTAATTGATAACAACCTGTAAAGATGATGTTGACAAAATACCTCAATTGGATTTGCAAAAGGCGGCAAAAACATTTAACGGTAAATGAATAAAACTCCACGTCCGTTGAAAATCGGAGATTCATATTATTTCAGAAAAGGAAGGAGGTGAAAAAAGAAGACATTCAAAAACCACTCTCTGGGAAGATCCCTGGGAAATCTTTCCAAGAACCCCCTGAGGCACCTCTAATTTTTTTCTATAGTGTATATTTTAGCTTTAGTGCTTTATATTGATGAAGGGAGGTCTTAATCGTGAAGCAATATTATTGGTTAATGAAGATTTACAAATCGTACGTACATTTATTATTGAATACCCCTAATAATAAATAAATAAATAAATAAAATGGCTTCATGAGACCAAGATACAAAAGAAAAAGCAGTGGAATTTTGACTTATTTATATGTATATTTTATTTTTATTTTTTGAAAAAGAAAACTAGGGTTCAGGAACTATACTAATGAGAGACAATGAAGATATACACACATGCCACGATGAAGAAGGTCTTGGGAAAGAAAGTTAACCTTTTCTTCTTCTTTTTTGTTTAGAAACAGGATAATAATGCAGGAAATACAGGTATGACAGGGTTGTACATGAGAAGAGAAGAAAGGAAAATAAAATAAAATAAAATATAAAGAAAAGTAGAGAAGAGATACAGGGTGATATTGATGATGATGATTATGTTGTTATTGTTGTTGTTGTTGTTGTTGTTGTTATTGTTGTTATTGTTCTTAGGCTTCAAAAGTGGTATCATCGCTTTGATCGTCCTCTTCGTGCTTTACACGTTCTTGGGTTCGCTTGACTTCAGCTGGCCAATTGACGCTAAACAAGAAGATGCCTTCGCCAATAGAAGCAATAAAGAGCGCAATTGAAAGGCCTGCCCATAGACCAGATAAGTTCCAGCCGGCCTTGAATGTCAAAAAGAGTCCAATAGGAAGGGCAACGATATAGTATGCAAATATATTGATCCATGCTGCAATTTTCTGTCGTCCCAGACCACGGATGGCACCACCACACACGCCTGCCAGTCCATCGGCGATCTGGAATAGGGCGCACATTGGAATGATGCTGGCCACACGGTTCACAACCTCGTCTTCAGATGTAAAGAGATATCCAAACCATGAACGAGTTGCCATCAAGATTGCTGAGTTTAGAGACCCAAAAATTACAGCATAAATCATGGCAACTATTGTAGCACAACGAGCCTTCTTGGCCTTTGCCTCGCCAAGTGAGTTACCAACGCGGTTAGACGCAGCAATGGCAATACCAAACGGAATTGTGTATGTGGCTGATATAGTCGTCAATAAAATTGACTGCGCAGCAAGGTCAACCGTACTAAGGTAAGAAGCTATACAACATGTGGGATGTGTTAATTTATTTATTTATTTATTTATTTATTTATTTATTTATTTATATATGAAGCTTACCAGCAAGAGCACAGAGCTCAAAACTCCACCACTCGGTACAGACCATCAGAATTCCAGGGATAGCCAACTTGAGGAAGGACCACCAACCCTCGAGGCTTTCTCGGGACCATCCTCCCCATGCCTCTGATCCAGCCACAAACCGGATGTAGAGCAGCAACAGACCCAACATAATCCAATAGCTCAGACTAGTTGCGAGCGGTGCGCCAATAAAACCAAGGCCGAGAGGATAGACCATCATGTAATTCAATCCAAGATTGATTGGGGATGCTACCATAAGCACATAGGTAGATGCCCTCATAATTCCCTGTGCCTGCAGGTATTTCTTTGTTGCTTCGAATGTGATGTATGCTGGTGCGCCTATGAGAAGGTATCTCAAGAATTGGCCTATTTTGTGTTGTTTTGTGCATAGGAATAATGATGGTTATTAGTATTAGTATTGATATATATATATATTTCTCAGTCTCTCCCTTCTTCTTCTTTTTTTTTTACCTGCGCGAAAAGCAATGTCAGGCTCTTGATTTAAAGACAGAAGAATGCCTGTTGCATTCCACCAGATTATTCCAATAGGAATAAACATGATTGCCAGAATCATCAATGCTCTCTGGAGATGTATTCCCAAGAGTGTCTTGTCATGGGCACCGGTCCATGCTTGGGAGCACAGTGTATCGAGAGCTGTGGTTGTTCCAAAAGCGATGCTCCATGCACTCACACTTGCAAACATACTTCCAAGAGCTGCGGCACCTAACTCAGTCGGTCCCTGGTACACATATACACACAGACACACATACGCGTAAAGAGATTAGATTTGTACTCCCATATAGAAAACAATAAAGAAAACATAAAACGAGTCCATTGAACTTACGAGATGTCCCAGAGTAAAGATACTGGCCATTTGGAATGAATTTTGGAGAAGGTATGTACCAATGATAGGTAGACTGTTTACTATTAACCAGGTGAACTCCTTTCGCCAAGTGGTCTCTTCATGGTCGACTGTCTTTGGTGACAGTAGAGGCGTCTCCTCGGTAAGTCTGGTAGAGATTGAAGACGTTATTGATACTGTGTCAGACTGTCTTGGACTAGGCATGTCAAGGAGGGAAAGAGGAGGAAAGAAATAAGGAGAACAGACGAAGGATTGAAAATTTATGGCTCCTACAACTAAAAAAAAAAAAAAAAAGTGAGGTGGGTGACACTGACGCCTATCATGGACTCCGAGAACTGGAGGTTAAATGATCTGAGCCTATTCTTTTTGCGGAGTCCTTAAGTGTAAGAAGAAGATATATATATACATATATATATAAAGTTCCCCTTTTGAAGATTACATTATTTTTATGATATAAAATGATCTTTGCAAGTATTAAAGGTTTGTGTTCTTTGTATGAAAGATTGGTTTATAGATTGGAAGCAAAGAAATGTAAAGGATTTAACAAAGTACATCTATATTTTTCTGTCAGATCCAATTGACCATTATTTATTACAAAGCCTTTAAAGGCTGTACAACCTGTAGAGAATAAAAAGAAAACGAGCATTAATGTGGTCCTTGTAGGGATAGTACCCAGGTTGAGATGGGCAATACGGTTTCAAGACTTGATTTGGATACAGTAGTCCTCATGTCTGCTAAAGAACCAATGACGTCAAGGGATTGTCTTTTTTTAAAATAAAATAAATAAATTATCATGCTAGCTATGTTTGTCAGAATTAAATTTCTGGTAGTAGTGATAAAAACATAGCAAAGTAAGATATTAAAATTTAATAGGCTTGATCCAGAACTGCACTGGTCTGAAAAGATATAATATATAGCTGCCTTCTTGGTGTGGTATAAATGAAAAGATTCTCAGGCTTGTTTATAGTCTCGAATATTTTTTTATGTATATATTTAATCAATATATAAAGGCAAGTCACTAAATTAAGATGTGATTTTATAGGAGACTGAATTGTCTGTGGATATAAATTCTGAAATACCACACAGACCACTTGAGGTTGCTCCAAATATATATATATATATATATATGTATAAAAGATCAACAGAGATAGGGTTCAACTGTGGTGAGACCAGAAAGAAAGTGATCTTCGTCAGTAAGATTATTCAAATAAAGCCTGTTTAGCTAGAATAAATCAAGCAACTTTCCGTATTCGTTACTACAAGCAATATTTACAATTCATTTACAGTTTTACCGATACCTGTAAGAAGTGAAAAGAGATCAAAATGGAAATCGATCTTCTTGTTCTTATACATTGGAAATAGCGCTGGAATATGAGTAAGAGTGTAAATTGCCTTCTCCGAACAAAGCTGCCATTATTTCATATATTTATTTATAATTTCACAAGTAATACAAAGTAGAAATCCTCCTCTATCCCTCCCACTGCCACTGCCACTGCCACTGCCACTGCCACTGCCACTCCTACTCCTACTCCTACTCCTACGCTCTTACTCCTACGCTCTTACTCCTACTTCTCATATCATCTCATATCATCCTTCTTATTGACAATACCAAATAAAAGGTCTTTATAGTCCAAACCAATAAACATGTGTCTCTTTTAAAGTAATCAACATAAGGTTCATTTAAATTGTACTTTGAGATATACTTCATGACTTTATTTGTTTCTTTTTATGACTGTTTATTGGATAACAAATATCATTCTATACATCATTTACAAAACACATGCATCTATATTATATAAGCACGCCAAACACAAAAATATATGGATAGATAAAAAAAGATTAGTATTAAAGTAATGATAATATGGTTTATCTACACACCTGATCTATCAAACAAATAGCCAAATAGTCAAGTATCTACCCAACTGCATGGTGAACAGCGATATCGACAGCGACACCAACAGCGACATCGACATGTTGTTTTATGTGTTACGATCACGAAATATGGCACGTGCTACAGCGGAAACCCGCCAAATTATAGTTTTTCTTTTCCTCTCAACCTAGTTTCTGGATTTGTTTAAATACCTGGTCTGGTTTACTTTCACTCGTGTATATATATATGTGTGTGTGTGTTTGTGTATGTATATGGGTATGGGTGCTCTTGCGTTTCTACTAGGTATAGAATGAATACGAAAGTCAAGACAGAAACAGAAATACCTGCTGCTTTATTTTAATCATCAATTATGTTTAATAATTTATTTATTTATTCATACATACATACATATATACATACATACATGGATAGGATGTATGAACTGATGTAGGAGCCTCAAGTTTGAATATAATCCCTGAGTTACAGCGCACAGTGTACACCCTACACCTTGTACCCTACAGCGCACAGCGTACAGCGTACAGCGTACAAAGGAGTAGGAAATAAAAGGGAAACAAGAATTAGTGAAACAATTGATTAGTTTGATATTAAGATGGCGTTCATTATATTTATATTTATATTAACTAAGACTTTGTAGAGCCTGGTGTTAATATTATAGTCAAATTCTCATCAGTAATCACAAAAATAAAAATAAAAATAAAAATAAAAATAAAAAACCCCAACATACAAGATTTTAACCTATAAAAAATAATTGGGTAAATTCATTTTTTGTTAGAGATCAGTGCAACCTTAAACCCGCCACCGTGCATTTAGTTCTTCCTTCACCCACCCTACCCAACTCGTTTCAGCAACTACAGTCAAAGAAAGTATCAAAGTCCCAAGTCATTGTGCTCCAAACTCACATACACTGCAAATAGTTTAACTCACAAAGTAATAGTAAATCTTTGACAGTATAGAGTATAATTCACTGAAAATTTCAAGCAGTTACATAACATAACAGAAACGCTAAGCCGAAATTTTGCTTCATTGGCATAAGCTCAATCAAATTAATTAGTGAACCTTCTCAAATCTTTAATGAATTTATACAACAATGTTTTTAAGCTTTTATGCCCTGAACTTTATTGAAAAGTTCAATCGTCTTCTTACAGTAGATGGAGATACGATCATGTCATCAGAACATGTATTTTAATATCTCAGACGTTCTTATAAAAGTCTGATCTTTACTATTTGATTCAATTAACGCCATGTTCTCTCTTTTTTAAAGAAAAATAAAACCTATTTCTTCGTCTTTGCACCAATATCTATGTTTTGTGTCTAAAGTGTAAAAACCAAAAAAAAGCAACCGCAAGAAACTTCCAGGCTTAAAACGTATGTCTTCAATATGTTGCTCTATATAACCTAGAGTACAACTATTGCCTATGTCAGAATATACTTGTAAAATACGAAATCAATATATAAGTATAGGACAGACAAAGGTTGAAAGGTGAAGAGGTGTGTCTAAATTGCTCAACTTGCTAATTCGAGTTCTACTTATATATACATATATATTGAACAGGTAAAATGCCTGTAGAGATTTTTTAAAAAAAACTGTACCCAGCCAATAGCGGCGTTTTGAATGAACTCGCATTTTTTTTGCATTATGTAAATCACCAAATAAAAAAGAAACAAAATATATGCAAAAAGCCCTTTATTAAAATCAATAGAGGTTATTCAAGCTGTAATTAGTATTTGTACCAAGAAAATCGAACCCCTATCTTTCTTCCTACATTGACAATCGACACATCAGCGGTATTCACTTTGGAGTCTACTTTACCCAATCGATATCTCTGTATAATTATGTTAGTTAGAATTTATGTAAGTGTGAGTGTGAGGGTATGTATTGTTTAATTGTTTAATTGTTCTATCTTGGCAGAAATATAGCTCTATTTGTTCTAGCAAAACGTAAAACTCAAACTTTGCCTTTGCTAGAAATTAATCTGTGTACCTGAATCTCCAATGCTAGTCTAACAAACTTTGGGCGTCCTATAAAGAAAGATAAAAAACAAATATCCCTGTCAAATACCTCTACAGCTCCATCGTCCCCTTTAAAGCATCTTGACTCGAATTATTGCTTAGCCTCAAAAACACTCATAAGGAGAACCTCAAAACTTTCCAATCATTAAACTCATAAATCAACCAATTCATTCTGTCACTTGACTCATCGTAATACATAATATATATACATCTTTAAATTCAAGTATCCAGATGTTCAGTAATAACACAGTCATATCTGATTTGTTGTAAATACCATCAAAGGAAAAAACATGTAATAAATAAGGTCCCAAGATATATATTGATTGTTGGCTTGGTTGTTTGGTTTTTTTGTCTCAAGAGTATTGAGATATCACTCAAAAAAAATCTCTACAGCCATTTCGATGTACATCTCTGCATACTCATGTACATCTATAGATGAACTTGTCTATAAAAATATATAGAGTCGTTCTTTATTAGTAACATTATTAAAAACAGTATTTGTATATGCTGTACTCAATATTCTGGAGCTTGTGCCAATTCATATACAGTACAGAAAGCACAGCTCTATAGCATTTTACGATCATATTATTGCAGATCTATTGTCAAAAGACACAGCGAGAAACAATCAATTGAGCCTCTTTCTCTCTCTCAATTTTTCCCGTATTCGCTTTCTTTATATGATTTGTGTGATAATAACAAAACAGCCCCTGTATTATATACATATGATATATTTTTATTAGTAGTGTTCAAATAGTACCAGGTTATGTGAATGAGATTTTTTTTTAAAAAAAAAACAATACACTCGTAATTTTCTTTTGTTTTTGCTGTAGAGGTTAAAGTACACTAAAGAACCAACGACAGCATAAAATGATTGAAACAGTTATATCTAACTGTGTTTTTTTTTAAAAAAAAACAAAAACAAAATAAATCCTTTGTAACTTATCAATGTAGCCATAGAAACAAGACAATATTACAAGGCAGAAAAATATAAATAAGAAGAAATAGAAGATACCGAAAAAGTTAATTTCTTCCCTCATGATAGATCTCAGGATAATTGATATAGTTGGTATATGTATATGTATATATCTATATCTATATATATATCTATATCTATAGTCGAAGCATAAAAAGTAAAGTATAACGTTTATGTATGTATTTATATATTGTACTAATGATAATAATAATTATGATTCTGAAAAGTAATAAGAAGAAGAAGAAGAAGAAGAAGAAAAGGTATCATAAGCAGAGAGTAGTCCTCTTGCCTACCATATATTAATTTCATTGAGAATACAAAAATCAAAAATCAAAATCAAAATCAAAATAAAAAAATAAAAACTGAACTTCAAGTGAAAAACTGTACTGGAGTTGCCATTTTTGGGTGACCGCTTTGAGGCCCGTCCGTTTTGGATATGGGCAAGGATGACAAGTTCATCCATCCAATTCCTCCTCTTTTCTTCCAGACAGAACATGGATACTCTTACTCTTCGCGGCACCCTTGAAGGTAACGTATCAGGCGGATGGATGATTAATATGGACAGATGGATGAATATGGATCAGATTTACTAAGAAATATATCGATGTTTTTTTTTGTTTTTTCTTTACTTTTTTTATGTTTTGTTTTTATTTTCATTACAATTATGATTAGGTCACGGCAACTGGGGTAAGCATTCATTCAACAGACAACCACTTTAAGGTGTTAAAAGCACCAAAATATAAATATATATGTATATATATACCATAAATTATAATATAAAAGAAAGAGGAACTATGATGAATGAATCCTGCTTATACATATTATATAAACAACACACCCCTGGGCAACCCCATTCATACATCTACACCAATACCAATGCCCACAACATCACACAACAACTACGCATTACGAAAATTCAAAACAACAACAAGAAGCAAAAAGAAGAAAATTATGATAAAGATAAAGAGAGAAAAGACGACTTTCCTTACGACAACAAATTTATATACGAATCTTGTTTTCCCGGACTAGTTAATCTAATTTTGTAATGTTGTTGTGTGTGTATGTGTATAGTCACTGCCATCGCCACTACCTCTGAGGCACCCGACATGGTCTTGTCCGCTTCCCGCGGTAAGTTTATTTAAAATACTTGTTAGCTCATTGTATGAGTTGATTAGAACAAAGTCTCATTTATTTATTTATTTTTTTAAAATTTTAGACAAGTCCATCATCGTCTGGCACCTTATCAGAGATGAGTTGAACTACGGTATCCCCCGTAAGTCTCTCCTCGGTCACTCCCACTTCGTTGAGGACATTGCCATCTCTTCCGATGGTCAGTTCGCCTTGTCCGCTTCCTGGGATAAGACTCTCCGTCTCTGGGACTTGAACACCGGCACCACCACCCGCCGTTTCGTTGGCCACACCAACGATGTTCTCTCCGTTTCTTTCTCTGCCGATAACCGTCAGATCGTTTCCGGATCCCGTGACAAGACCATCAAGCTCTGGAACACCCTTGGTGAGTGCAAGTACAACATCACCCAGGATGGTCACTCCGAGTGGGTCTCCTGCGTTCGCTTCTCTCCCAACCCTGCCAACCCCGTCATTGTTTCCGGTGGCTGGGACAAGATCGTCAAGGTCTGGGATCTCACCAAGTTCAAGTTGAGAACCAACTTCATCGGCCACAAGGGTTACGTTAACACTGTCACCGTCTCCCCCGATGGTTCCCTCTGCGCTTCCGCCGGTAAGGACGGTATTGTCATGCTCTGGGATCTTAACGAGTCCAAGCACCTTTACACCCTTGAGGCCGGAGATGTTGTCAACGCCTTGACCTTCTCCCCCAACCGTTACTGGTTGTGCGCTGCCACTGCCTCCTCCATCAAGATCTGGGATCTCGAATCCAAGTCCCTTGTTGATGAGCTCCGTCCCGACTTCGCTCAGGTTGGCAAGAGAAAGACTCGCGAACCCGAGTGTCTCTCCGTCGCCTGGTCCGCTGATGGCTCCACCCTCTTCTCTGGCTACACCGATAACCTCATCCGTGTCTGGCAAGTCTCCCGCACTCTCTAAAGAATTAAGAAGACAGACATGCCTTTCTTTTCCTCCTTCTTTTTTTTTAAGGGCCTAGTGCAAAAATAAAATAAATAAAGTGTTTTGTATTTGATTTGACGAATTGAATTGAATTGAAATATTACATGAAGAAGTTTTATAGCAATTATCTATAATCTGTTGTGTATAATAAATGTTATAAATTTTATATACTTGATTCTTTTAAAAGGTATATATATATATGTGAGTAAGTGAAATGAGTAGACCTAGCCAAGGGGAAGGGGAGGGGTAGGTTGTGAAGTGAATTATTAAAAAATATATATACAATATACACAAAACTGGCTTTATATATTTAATAGTACCATTCTTCTCTTGCTTTTTTTTAATATATAGTTCGAGGGGTTAAAAGTCTTTCTATACTTTTTATATATATATATACATATATGTATGTATGTATGTATGTATGTATATATTTTAAATTAAAAATTAAACGCGACAGTTTGTAAAAGCCATGACCATAATATCGGTGGCTCCAATCTCTGTCAATCGGTCCATAATCTCTCCCTTTTCCTTGCGAAGAATCATTGCTGAGACTGCAACCCATCCCTCATGCGAGTCCAGGGTGGATACAGTGGGAGCTTGTCTACCAGGTGTAATAAACTTGGCCTTCTCGAGGTTCTTACGCTCGACATTGTAGGTGCAAAGTACATATCTCTGGGCTGCAATTACACCACGTACGCGTGTTGCAATCTTCTCTACAAGCTCGGGATGCTTGGTGTTCTTGTTAGCCAATAAGACTGACTGAGTTGTGAAAAAGGTGTGGATATCGTGAAGACCAGCAGCACGCATTGTCTCACCGGATTCTACGCACACAGACACAAGCATAGAGAGAGAGAGCGAACTTTAGTTTTGGCCTGTGATTTTTTCGCGCTCCAGGAGTTTACTCCATTTGGATCAAATACCACATATTCACTGCACATTATATTGTAAGCCACTTACCAACAAGATCAACTACAAGGCAAAAAAGGGAAGAAAGAGTACATGAGTTAAAGTTAGATACCCTGATTGGTTAAGAGTACACATCTTTTTTTTTTTGCTTTCGCAACTTACTAATTCCATCGGCTAAACCAAGAGCACAGGCGGCTTCGACGGATCCAGACACGTAGCTGATGGTTGTTTTCTTTTTTGTGGCCTGATCAAGGGGGCTAAATACAGTGCGAGCATAGGCGTCAAAGCTGGTAACGATACGCTTTCCGACCAGGTCGTCGAGAGTGGTGAGGCCGCTCTTGACAGGTACTTGGAGGCACACACGACACTTGCCAAAGCCAAGTTCAACAATCTCGTCGACCTTACCCTCGCACTCACCCTCTACAACCATGTCCTGACCAGTGATACCCAAATCGACATTACCCTCGGCTACGTATTTTGGGATGTCTGCGGCAGGCAAGAATACCAGGGCAACAGGCAGATTTGTACTCAAGGCAATGTCCTGACGACTGTTGCGACGGAAATGGACGTCAGAGCCCTTGAGAAGTTCGAGACATTGTTCATAAAGACGGCCCTTCTTGGGAACGGCAAACAAAAGGCGGTTATCAAGATCACTGGCAAATTCCATTGTATATATATATATATTTCTTTCGTTCCTTCGTTCCTTTCTCTCGTTATATATATGTATATGTATATTATATACTGTATTATATAATATGATACCTCTTCCTTTCGGTTTTATTTATTAGAAGAAGAAGAAGAAAAAACAAGCAAATTAATGGCATTTGAGATTTAAATATTTTTATTTTTATTTATTTTTATTTTCATAAAAAAAATAAAAATCACTATCGCTTGATCAAAGCGGAGATGTTTTAATTGACGTGCTTTGCCTTTTATTGGAAGCTCAAAGAACACACCGAAAATCTGCTTTATATAAATATGGAAATTGTATGTCACTGAGCCTAAAATAATAGGTTTTTATCTATAAAAGTCAGTTTTGAGCTAAATGTTACTTCTTTTCTCAGAAATATTTAAATAGAAATAAATTGGAGTGGTTGGTACTTTAAAAATCGAATCTCATTTACTTCTTGAGAAATAGCCAATAGAAATACTTAATAGGACAGACTGAAATTAAAAAGCAATTAGAAAAACACCAGTAGTAAAGTCTAGGTTTGTATAGGGAAACCTTACGGACAGACTGTCAGAACAGCCTGAAAGTATACAACATTAGTCATAATTAGTATTATATAGTTACACGCAATCTTACGGGAACGACGTTTCCTGGTGGGGCACGACATTTATATCTAACCGGACTAATCAATTGTGACTACATGTCCCAGGTCCTGTGTCTTTCTCTAATCCTTCAGGGCAAAATGGTGTGCCCAGAAAAAACACATTACACATTTTGTGATGTAATCCGGTTGAATGTTTTACTATTTATTGGTCTTCTTACGCGTATCATGTCTTTCTCTTTCTTTCACCTACTTATATTCCCAGAGTCTGACAGTACCAGCTGGTAGGTAACCCCCCATACACTCGTTCTTTGCAAAGCACAAAAGAAAATCTACGAATATTTTTTATCCTGGCTGGTATTAATTATTGTGAGAAGAATGGATCCTTACGGACCAGATATAGTTATTCTATGCCAGCAAAAATGTCACGATTTGTGGTCCAGTAGAATCAAGATGTCGCCCCCCACCACGAAATGTCGTCTCCCTAAAATTAGCGTCCAGGCTGTCCATAAGGTTCCCCTTTTTTAAGCAAATATGACAAGAAAAATCGTTCGAAAATAACAATAAAAATTCCACTTCTTTTACCACGAATTTCTTTTCTGTTGTTTTTTTAGCAATAATGACCACAATAACAGAATCTCTAGGAACACATCTTATGGTTTACTTAACATACGTCTGCCACAAATGCACATCACCCCCTAAGGTATTCAAGACACCTTTCAACTTGCGACGCCATTTGACGAGTCCTGCCCATATCGAAGCGCTACTATCGCAATATGTAAGGAGAATCTATACCTTTGTAACTGGCGAAACAAATGTAGTCGTTGTTGGAGATACTGCAAACGAAGCAGTCCGAAATTATGGTTGTCCTAGCTGTTGGCTCATCCACTCTGATTTGAATTGAATGTCAAATCACATTGCAAATTCTCACAAGCCCATCAACAAAAATGACACAGCCGTCTCAACGAAAAAAGACGTTCAATTTTCACCCAGCGACTGTCAAGCCTGCGTCCAAGCTTGTTAAAATAACGGGCGAGATTGTTTCAGCTCTACAACCTATTTTAACGATTGTCAAAGATGATTTGATTTCAGATCAAACAAATGTTCTGTCGTTAAAATTGTATCCCACTGCGCATAATCTCATTGTAATCGCATTAAAAGCCCAGCTAGCTGATTTACCTCGATTCCTTTGGACATTTGAGCACAAAAATGATTTAGACAAAGATGATACAATCTTTGTAAATATTATTCAATGCGTGCTCGCAGATTTTTACAGAAAATCTCAGCGCAGCCCGCATTATCAATCAAAGTACGAACGTACGTTCTGGATAGATAGGGTTGTGCATATATTCCGAGCACTCGGCAATCATAGTCAGCTCTTAGGGTTTCAATGGTGTAAAATTCCAACTGAAGAACACATGGAGTTTATTCTTGATCCTCATACTTTGAAACGTAACGTTTCAAATAACTTTCATGATGATGTGGGCTATGACGACAGAAACCGCAATCGTCTGGTAATGGAATGATCAAGCGGGTACAACGACGAGGAAGGTGTAAAGCACTCAAATAACGATGCAATCAAGATTGTACATACCTCCATTGAACTGCTTGATTCCGTCATACAAAGACATATTTTTGCATCATTTGCAAATCTTTGTCTCATAAAGTCATTCTGTGTACAATGCAGCTGTATCAACATCACTCTTTCAATAACTACTTTGGATCCCGAAAACGATGGTTCCTACATTACCATTCGTGCGATTTGCAGATATTCCAACCAAGTACGATAATCGTGCATCATGGGCTTCCGTTTTCGAGCTGGTTTAATATCTGTTTACTTTTCTTAGAGAACAAACAACAATACTTGATACTGTCATCAACAAAAACGTCAATTTTATTCATGTCATTGAAACGGATTGTGGTTTGAATATTATTCAAATTGTCACGCGAGTGATAGATTTGGTCGGCCGTCGGCCAAAAACCTTCCCTTTTTTCTTAATCATATTTCTATATGGAAACTCTTTTACAATCACAGACCCAATTTTTAGCATATAAAAGAAGTTCAACTCAATTCAAATAGACATCCTTTTATCCTTGTTTAAATTTCTGTCTTGCCTCATTTCTAAAGTCGATCGGTTCCTTTGAGATCTGGGGGAAGCATGCTTTATTAAATTGATCATTTGACTCACTACACTACAACTATCTTCGAATCACCGACAAGATAATAAAAAAAAAGCAATCTTCATCACGGACCTTTTTCATGATGACCTGCTATAAGGAACATCCGATCGGTTCTAGTATATGTACCAATCATAATCAGTTCCGACTACATTTGGTGTGGACAGACTAAAAGTTCAAAAAAAAGAGCAAAAAAAGGGCAAAAATTTAAATCATATCATTGGGCGAGTGCTTCAATTAATTTTGCCTTTTTTGCCCTTTTTTTGAGCTTCCAAAAAAAGGGCAAAAAAGGGCAAAATTTTTAATCGACTCTAATTAGCTAGTTTTTTTCATTGTCACTAGGATTGAGAAGAGAAGCATTTTTTATGGAGAAAATGTGCCATATAATGAGATGTCTAGAAAAACTCGCAATAAAATGTTCTCACCTAATGACAGAGACGGGATTATATGCACAATTTTATCTAATATGTATTTTGAACTTATTTTGAACTTATTTTTAAAAAAAGGTGTGGACAGTCATAAATTAGCCTGATTGACTAGGTTTTGGATGGACTTGTTTTACCCTTTTTTTGAACTTTTAGTCTGTCCGCACCAATTAAGAAGGTTTGTGCAATTTTGTTTTACCAATCTCTTTTCCAATTTACTAATATGGACAGAAATGTCTTACCAATTTTCTGAAGTTTAATTTTCATATTGAGGTGCACGTTACGGTTGGAAAATGTAATACAGCTACACTAACAAACATTGATTTGTATTAATGGTCAAGTTGATAGTCTGATAATACTTGGTCAAACAATTGTCATAAACTATAATATTACTTGTAGAATCTGTAATAGAGTGCGTAATATATATAGTTCATGTTGTGGTGGTTGAAGTTGAAGAAGTTTTTAAGAGGAAGAATTGAAGATTTGAGATTGAGGAACGAAGATTCGTGGGAACTTGTGTAGGGTTTGTTTATTAAAAAAAAGATTTGGTATCAAAATTTGACGAGGTTCCTACACTGAACTACCACTGCTACTTATATTGCTTTGGATCAGGAAAATTATATGACTGGGGTCAGGTAATCGATCCTATATGAGCCTTAATCAGAGCAACATGATCTTGGGATAATTAATGTATGATTAATTATATAAATGTGTGTAGTCCCAATGAAGTATTAACATCGAAAGTAAATGTGTTTATGAGTTATAATTATGCTTATAATAATCCACTGATGTATCCCATATTATGGTGATATAATCATATGAAATATAATCACTATCATGCATGCTAAACCCGTGTGTTAAATAATAAAGTAACCGGTAGACATTTTTGACTGGAATAGCTGAGGCCTTATATTATTTCCTGCAGACTTATTCTCAGTTAAAGCAGTAGTCAATACTCATTTACAACAGTTCAAATATATAACTTTTAAAGAATGACATAAAAGAAGACATATTAGAGAAGTTCGTGGAGTCACTTTTTCAAAGAAAATTTCCTTTTAAAATCAAACTCAGTAATTTAAATATGAAGAAAGTCTATATTTTCTGGTAGATGATAAAATATTAACCGAAATGGTGACTGCCAATCCTTTTCTTTGTTTTTGAATTGTTTATTTGAAACAGATATTCTATATCCATTAAATTACGCGTTTTATTAAAATACACACTCTCACCAAATATGTCAATCAACAACACTCAATCTAACGAAACCATTTACACTTTGGCAACAATCTCCCAAGCCTTGGAATGCTCTTCTGTTCCAGAAGTGATGACACTTAGATTAGAGAATATTATTAGAGTAAAAACATCTGAGTGGAAAGAATGTTTAACAGAGATTGGGGAAGCTTGTGCAGTCAAGTGGGTCATTAACAACACCAATAAGCAACCCACCAACATTACTGCTGAAGAAGCCAAAGCAACTGGTATTAAGTTGTGTTTTTCTCAGGAGTATTCCTGTCATCGTTGGGGAACCTATGAATCTAAGGTAGCTTTGCGTGTGGTTCAAAAGCGAACAAAGAAAAACAAGTGTCCTGCTCTTCTTCGTGTGAAAGGATTCTTTAAGACACCCGAGTTTTATGAATTTGTTGTTACAAAAGATCATGCAGAGCATACTCCTGGTGATATGCGTAGTGACATTTGCACCCTTCCTCTTGCAAAGAAATATCTTCACGAGTTGGCTCAGCAATTATAACAGTCGTCAAAATCTGCTAGTCAAATTAGAATTGATATGTTGAGAGCTGTAGATCGATATGGTAGAAAGTCTGAAAGAAAAGTTAACTATTATGATATCTGGAATTTGATGAACAAAGTAAGCTTTAAAAATAATATATCTTATAGCATTTACTTTAATATATTTCTGTAATAGATCAATAAAAAGCTGTATCATTTTGATTAAGATCAAATGACTTCTTTCTTAATCTGGATGAACAACAAACTTTCTGCCTTAAACTTCAACATCTTTAAGGCAAATACTTCATATTCTCCAGATCCATCAGCCTTTGCATATGGTTTTATGTCACCCGTTCAGCAAGAAAAAATGAAAACCGCAACTTCTTTCTGTTTGGATGCTACTCATGCAATCTCTAGCAACGTGAATGAGATTCTTTATACCCTTTTGGTGCGTGATGAAGATATTGGTAGAGGATGGCCTGTTGCCTTTATGGTAACCAATGATCGAGGTGTAAGCCCCATTGTGCAGTGGCTGCAGTTCTTGAAGAGATCTTCTTTGCTTGTTGACCCAAAGCAATTTACTATTGATTGTTGTGCAGCAGAAGTTCACGCCATTCAGACAACTTTCCCTGCAACATCCATTCAATTTTGCATCTTTCATGTAACCCAAGCATGGAACCGAAAGTTATCTGACAGTGTGAAGATTCCTGGATCCTTACCATCAGAGGCACGAATTTTACGTGGTGTGATGATGAAGTCTCTGCAAGAGATCATTTATGAAGAAGACATAGACGAGTTTCATCATAAAATTGTACAGTTTAAAGAAGACTTTGACGACCGAGAAAGCTTCTTGGATTACTTTGAGAGAAACTGGTGCACAGAAGCAAAGTTTAAGATCTGGAGTAGAGCATACCATGAACGACAATTCTCCCATATGCTCACAAATAACTATATCGAGTCCTGGCACAATCAATTAAAAACAGTTTTCATGAAAAGATTTAGAAACAAGAGACTTGATAAGCTTGTTTTTGTTTTAGTACATGATGTTGAATATTATCTCACCCAAGAATACGAACGCGTCATGTCATACAATGGTCCAATGAGTTCTTTTACCAGACAACAAAGAATACGTGAGATGGAAGCTGAAGAAGTCGATGATGATGACAGGGAAATGATGATTGTTGCTCCTGGTACTGCAGAAGATGTAAATTGGCAAGTTCGGTCGTTTGTAAATGAAAATACAGCATATGTCGTTCAGGTTGCAGAGCCAAACTTGATTATTTCGTGCACCTGCTTTGATTATCAGCAAAGATATAAACCTTGTAAGCATATGTATTTGCTTAAAATGCATACAAACCGATCTCTCTACTTCTCTCCACCTTCTGTCACAAGTACAAACGTAATACAGCCAGTCTCTACCTCTGAAACAGCTACAATCACACCAACTATCAGTCGTACATCTGCTTTTATACAGCAATGTATTGACATCAATCAAACACTTCGGTATGCAAACCAAGATCTACTGACTATGCAACAGTATATGACTGAAGATGATGGTCAGACTTTGTTTGATGCATATCAACGCTCTCTACAAGTCTTTCAGTCTATAAAAAACAAATATGAAGTTCATCGCAGATCTCATACACAAGAATAAAATTATAACTATCTAGCTTTTTTCTCAAAGAAATGTTTTGTAAATTGAAACAACTTTCAAAACGACTTAGTAAATTATCCCATTTTTTATTTTCTGGTAGTTGTATTTTTTGTCTTATTTTCTGGTAGATAAGCCTCAATTTCGGCTAATACTTTACCATCTACCAGAAAATATAGACGTTCCTAAGTCGAAGTATAAGCTTAATCGACTGTTAACAAGCTCTCTAATCTAAAAATTATACTTGATATAAAGTACGCATATGAATATTTTTCCGCAGCACATAACTTGGCTGCTTAATAAACAACAACTTTTGCTTGTTAGTAACACACACAGCACACACTAAATATGGTGACATCAACATTGAGCATTATCTCAATAGTTGAGTATGTTTCCGTATTGTAATAACTTGAGACCAATTAAGTCTTCTACCTTCCAGATAAATATATCACCAAATATTTCGTAGTTTATTATTGACAATAAAGAATTCCAAATACATAATAAGATGCAAAGTCAACTATTTATTTCAATGGCCAATTGATAGTAATGTTCGCATATGAAGTGTCCAAATGCAAACTTCAAAATTCAACTGATAAGTGTACAATCGGCAAAGAGTATCTACAGCAGTTTCTACAAAAGATTCTACATACCCAGAAAACGGACTTGAGATCTTAATTTCTTGAATGGCAACGTTGGTGAAACGAAGACAGAAGATGTGATGGCCACCTACCATAATTCAATTTGGAAGGAATACCTTTAAGGTTTCTTTAGATAAAAGAATGCTTTCAAAAATATGTTTTATTATATACATATATATATTAAGTCAATAAGTTGAATCTGATTATCTTTCCCTCCTCCTGCCACCAATAATTAGCTCGCCAAAAGCTTGATGCTTACAAGAAAGGTATAAAGGAGAAGAATATAGTAGAAAGCTTTATTTATGATATTCTGAGAATAAAAGCGCGGCTAGGAAGCCTATAACCACATTCTATGTCTTCGTTTCACCAACACTAACACTTTTATCGATTGATTTTTCTTGTCATATTTGCTTAAAAACAAAAATTAAATATCACCAGTACTTACCTGATTTTATATTTGTATGCATTTGTCAGGAAGTTCATGTTTGTATGTTTCAATTTACAAACCCCAATTGTGCTGCTCATAAATCTTTGTCCGTGTGTTTTTTTTTTGATGGATAGAAAACCAGCCTTTTTCAACAAAAGATTGCATTTGCCTCTCATAAAGTTATAAACAGTATTGCGTGAAACTTTGAGATCATCGAATCATTTCAATAAATGTCCGGCTACTTCAATGACAGTAGCAGACGGATCATCATCAATGAAAATTGACAGTTGTCCTTTTATGCTCTTCGGTTAGAATACACTTACGACCTACTCTACTATAACTCCCAAAGATGTTGTGAGGGAATATGCTATATTGCCTAGCAAATCTTTGTGCTGTTCAAATATATATACCCAATTGATTCGCTGCAGTTGATGGACTCCTAAAAATTTCAATATTCAAATCGAAAAATCTAGCCTTATCCTAGACTGTATAGCGAACATAATCTTTTTTTTTTTGCTTTTGCTTCCTTCATGCGGATGTTTTCATCTTTTGACTAGTCTACCAGCAATTGGAAAATAAGAGAAATCTCGTCAAAGGCTGTGTTTTTCATATAATCAATGTGAGTAGTAATAGTTTCAACAATAAACTCTTCCTGATCAACGGCATTTCCATGCCCATATTCATATAAAAATTTGTACTCATGTTAAATTGTAAAGTTTGAAAAACAAAACAAAACAAAAAACATACTCGCTTTCTCTTTTATATCTATATTTTCTCGCTTGCCAAGAACGACATGGTTTTGAAGTAAATGGCTTGGTATCTAAAAATACAACTCCAATTTCTGAAAATACAAAATTGATTTTGATTGGCTGTAACATTGGTTGTTGGAATCACTGTACATGTATTTTTATGTGTGTGTGTATGTGCGTGTATGCGTATAAGCGTGCGATTTCTCCACAAAACTATCTATATATAATGTGTCATGGCAACACTACATTGGTATAAATATATATAAGTATAGATTAATATACCTCAGGCTGATTTAGTGGGTTGCTAGGATACAAAATAAGAATAAGAATATTATGTTGATTGACATCACACAACTCTATTAAATGCAAGCTTATTTTTGTACATTTGCTTGCAATAAACAATAAGCAAAAAAAAACTTATTGTTACCATGGTAACACTATACAGTCTTGATTAAAGGCACACACAAAAAAGAAAAAAAAGAAAAAAAAGAAGTTCTCTGTTTTCCTCAAATAGGCAGGTCGTACATCTTCTAGATCATGTGCATCACAGTAAACAAACCCCTCCTTTCTTTGACCTAAACCCCGCATCTCTCTCTTTTTTTTTCTGCAAATGAGCCCTGGAGACACCAATCGTCTTGCCAATCCATGACATCTCCAACCACTCAATACAATCCCTACACCCCGGACCAGTCCGATAACAATAAACGAAAAAAGGCATCTCGAGCCTGCTTCCATTGCCAAAAGGTAGACCTCATTTTACAGTCAATCGTATTCATCTATCTCTCTTTATATATTTTTATATATATGTAAATATATTATATGTATAAATATTTATTTTTCTTAGGCACATCTTACTTGCGACGACTGTAAGTGTATTCTGACAGAATTATTCTTCTACTAAGCTTGTGTAGCTCGTCCTTGCCAGCGTTGTATTAAGCGTGATCTTGCGGCCACTTGCACAGACGCTGCCCGTAAGAAAGCAAAATATCTTCAAGACCTTACCCCTCAAGACAGTAAGTGTTTTTGTTTTATAAGAAAAACTTGGAAATGCCATGAGTATTTATTCTGATGTGTTTATTGATAGACTATAGTCGCCTCAGTTATCCAGAAATGCCTGACGCCCTGAACAGTAAGAAAACCAAGCGAATGATCAAAAAGAGAAAGAGAAAAGAAATATGATCGATCAAGTCAAGATAGAAAATTATTGACAACTACAAAAAAAAGACCAGTGATTTAATCACGTCGCGTTGTGTTTCTAACTACTTATATTAAACATTGTCACCATTGTTAACATTATATAAATATATAAATATATTATGAATTTAGACAACCATTTTGTGGACACGAGTGATCTATTTAATTTCACAATGGGTGACCTTGATTTTGGCTCAGAAACTGCTGGATTAGAGTATGGATTTATTGGTAATATGTTGCAGACACCATTGGATCTTCAGGGCACACTGGAAGACATGAATTCTACACACCACCAGAACCAAAACCAGAATCAAAACCAGAATCTAAATCAGAACCACTCCCAGCAACAACAGCACCAAAATTTCACTGCCTTTAATTCAACCTCAATCCCTACTGCGACCAACTCACCCATGACAAATAACTTTCCATTGCGGACTTCTTTTGGCCAACCTGTCCAATCTCCTACCCCACCCCCAGTATCTCTACCAGTAACTACCAAAAAGCCCTCCTTGATTGAATACAACTCTCCCTCTACATCGACACCAATATCATCATCAACATCGGTATCAGCGCCAGTATCGGCATCTGCATCTGCACTAGCACTATCACTAGCCCCAGGCCCAGGCCCAGGTCCAGGTCCAGGTCCAGGTCCAGGTCCAACATTAGTATCATCAGTATCAGCGGCAGCATCAGTATCAGGACCTTTATCATCAACCCCATTAACTACGCCAGTATCAACCGTGTCCGCTACCCAGCGTGTACTGACAGGAAATCGGAGGAGAAATATAACAGCCGAAGAAGCCTATCAGAGTGTGCAGAGACCATTTAATTATGCAAAAGGGTTTCACTACCTGATTCAATATGTGAGAGACAGGTACAAGCACTACAATATAGTTTTGACAATAAAGATCATGGTTATAAAATATGACTGTTATTTTTTGGTATTAGAATGGGTCAGGATGATCTGATGCGGATCAGTCGGGCGCTGGCGCTTTTTAGACCGTCGTTTCTTGCGTTGATCATGAATCTGACTGAAGAAGATTTGATATTCATGGAAAAGTGTTTGCAGCGTACTTTACTGGTAAAGAGCAATAAAGATAAAAAGAGCAATTCGAGCAATGGTTCTAGTAATAAAGATAATAAAGAGCATCAATGTTTTTAAGAGTATAAAATTATCTAAAAATGCCTATATCCAATATCCATAACCACATTCACATTCACATTCATATATACATGTTTCTATGCTTCTATGTATATGTATGTATGTATGTATGTATATGTCTTATTTTTCTGCTTTAGGAATATGAAAAACTGATCAGTTTCTCTGGTACACCTACAGTAGTCTGGCGAAGGACCGGAGAAGTATGTTTGGTTGGTAAAGAGTTTTCTCTCCTGACTCAGTGGTCCAAGGATATGCTTATGCATCGAAAAACGTACATCTATGAGGTAGATCATTTTACAAGCCAAAAAGAATAATATATATATATATATAAAGTAACCTATTTTTTTTATATTAACAATATCTATATAAAATAACGCTGATTGCGTAGTTGATGGATAATCAGTCTGCAGTAGAATACTGGGAAAAATTCGCCACTCATGCGTTTGACAACACAGACAAGTCATGCATTTATTCTTGCATCTTACGGACGCCTCATCAAAAGGCCGTCCCATGCACCTTTTGTTTTACGATTAAAAGAGACATCTTTGATCTACCGAGTGTGATTGTTGGGAATGTAAGCTTCTTTTTCTTCTTTGGCTGTTGGAGTACTGAATATATGTTTCAAAATAATGACTATAATGATAATAAGTAACATTTACCTATTTATTACTACTATTAATATTATTAATATTATTATGTATTTATTTATTTATTCATTTTCTGTTGGTTTGTTTCAATTTACAGTTTCTTCCTATCCTTGGTTAAATGCCTTTAGCCAACTTTATCAGCTCAGTTTAAATAGGCACATATTTGTGAGAGAAGTAGAGATAGAGATAGAGTGTGGAGTCTGGTGTTTGGGAAATCTGCGTGTATCTATCTGGTAGTCAAGGTTGATCCTTTATATGTATATCTTTCTCTCTCTCTTTCTCTCTCCATATATAAATATTTCATCCCTCAATTAAATAAATGATATATATATATATTGCATGCAACGTAACGTTAAGGCAATAAAAATAAAGCCATCCGGGATTAAAGTAAAAACCCAACTCTTTTAAAAGTGACCTTTAGACTTTGAATTATTTGATTCCATCACATTATAAGAACTGCATTATGCACACAAGCATAATACTTACAGGAGTACATAAACATGAGAGTGAGGTTACTGCAGTTCTCTTTTGAAAGTTTCAATATTAACCCAATTATCCCAATTATCCCAATTATCTTTATATCTTAATTATACCAATAGTAAGCGCAGCAAAAACCAAAACCAATAATAATAATAACAACAAGAAAATAAATATCACTACTGCTACTGCTACTGCTACTGATACTATATTGATAGTAATGGTAGAATTAATATACATATGGGAAAAAGAGAAGAAAAAGTCATTGGCTGAATTCTGTCCGATTGTCTAATTCGTAGACAATGTATTGGTGTGTGTATTTTTTATAATCTATATAATTTACAGTGTATAGTTTATTAGTATTGGTGTTGATATTAGCATGATAGATGTGTTTATTTTGTATTTTGTAGTTTGTAGTTTGTGCTGCAGGGTAACAAAGTATGTAAAAAATAAAAATAAAATAAAGCAAGAAAGGTCCTTTTATGGCTTGGTAGAGTACTACAAACCAACCTGCTATTTATTTTAACTAAACGCACATTGGACTTGGCGGTTCAGACGATGATGACCGTGTTATGCTTCTCATAATGATGATTATGATGACAACGATAAAAAGGCAATATATATATACATATATAATTCAAATTAAATCATATACGCACTACAAATACTATAGATACAAATCTCACATAGATCACTGATTGCTTCTTGAGAATTAACGGTAGTAAGGTAAACAAGTATATAAACCAATTAAAAACAATAAATATATATATATATATATATATATATACAACTGTAATTGTAATTGTGATTGTGATTGTGATATAGCTACTAATTTATGTAGTTTGATTTGTCTGTTGCCTTGTAACTTGCTGTATTTCTCTCTTATGTATACATATATACATATATATTGGTTACTTTTTGTATATACCTATTTATCTTTCTTTTCTTTTCTTTTTTTTTTTTTACCCCTGCTTTCCCTGTGGGGGGTGGCGATGGTTGGTTTGCTTATATAACCAAGAGGGAATCTCTTGTTTGGTTTGTGGTTCTTCTCTCTGTACTATGTGGCCAATTTACCGTCTTCTCCTTGTCATGCTGGCTACCACGGCTCTGAGCCACTGTAGACCGGTGTTAATGGCTGATAAAGAGCTGGCCGTAAGATCTGACGATGACGGTTTCTTTAAAGGATACGGCACATTCTTCCACCCAGCTTCTGAGGGAGGTCCTCTTGGATCGTGTGGGCCATGGGAAGATGATGATAGTCCGATTGTTGCATTGGTAAGATTAACAAATTATCCTTGATATCAATATTTAACAAACCAAACAAAATAGAACTTGGATCAATACGGCAATGAAAATGGCAAGAGTGAATGGTGCTTTAAGAAAGTATTGATTACATACAAAGGAAGATCAACCGTGGCCACCATTACGGATGCCTGTCCTGGTTGCAGTTACAGTAAGAATCAGTATATTAAGACATATATAGATGAGAATACAAGACTAAAATTTCTACAATAGATTCGCTTGATCTCACTCCTTCAGTCTTTGCAGAATTAGAAGACTTTAAAGTGGGGGTGATTGATATTGTATGGTGTGTCCTAGGCGAAGACGACTGTGACGAGTAGATCTATCCACTCAGTAATATATATATATAGATACACCACTCCTTCCTCCTTCCTCCTACTATCTCTCCTCCTCATAATTACAATCATCATCATCATCATCAAAATCATAATCATCAACATCAAAATCATGTTCTTCCTCTTCCTCTTCCTCTTCTTCTTCTTCTTACTATTATTATTATTTGTTTTCAATTTACTCATATTCTTCCTCGTTGCTAGTATCATTATCATTATCATTATTACTTACTTACTTACTTATATATATATATATATATATATTTCTATCTTTTATTTGCTTTCTTTTACAAATGTCTTCATTACCTTATTTACGCACAATATCTCTTTCTCAAATCAAAGTAAATTACATATGTGCAAGTACAATTATATATCTATATATCTACATTTACTACAACCAATCATTTAATTTTTGCAACAAGGATTTTTCTTTATTTAAGAAAAATTCTTTTAAAATATACATATCAATATCAATATCAATATCAATATCAATCTCCATGTACACACACACACACACACACACAAAATCTATATAAAAAATATTGTTTTTTTTTATTATGAGAAAGTAATATTCCGATCCGACCCTGTGTCTCAGCAGGACAATGGAAGCTGTTTATTTAAAACACACAAGGCAAGATGTGTGCATAATAAGAACACCAAGGCACACATACATATACATATACATGTACATACATACATAGAGGGGGAGGAATAGAGAGAGAGAGAGAGAGAGAGAGAGAAAAAAAAAAGTAAGGCCACTTTTTTTCACCTATTACAACGGCAGACATCCCGCTTAGATCCTAAAAAAAAAAGGGTCAAGGATAGCCAATAGAATAGGTGAATAATAATCGAATGATTCCTATATTGCATTTACTTTTCATTCATTCATTTCTTGATTGCTTGACTGATTCATTGATTGATTGATTGATACTGTATTATACTATACTATTATAATCATTATCATCTTTTCATTATTTTCAACATTTTTATAATGCAAAATCCCCAAAGAAATATATACACAAAAAATTCATTCCAGTCAGCTTCTTGTAAGAAAATAATATCCATGTGGCAAAACGTGCTTTGATGTACATTACAGTCCGGGTGTTTGACATGGCGTGAGTAAAAAAAAACAAATCCAAAAAAAACCACATATTTAAATAAGCTGATTACCTCCCCTTCCTTCCTTCTTTCCAATTTTTTTTTTAAAAAACAACATCTATCTCTATTACTACTATAACATCAAACTCAACAGCTTTTACAGTCTTATTCTTTCTTCTTCTCAACTACTTTGTATTACATATCATCAATCATGGAATCGTCTACACCTGTCCTTTGGCCCACTCCCCGCCACATGGTCTCAAGCTCTTCCACCATGGCCGCCCTCTCTCCACGTTATATCGATCAATGCGTAAAGTCTAATCCACGCCAGCTTATCAAGGTGGACATCCTAGGAGACACAGTTGAACTACCAGTCTATGCTCTTCGGAGACGCAATGCTCTTGTACATATCTAAAACATACTCATTCAACAACAACAACAAACAAACAAAAAGGATACTGGATTCTTTATACATAGATACACACACATATACGCTCAATTTACATACATACACAAACAGTTACATTTTATATACATTTTATTTTATTTGCTTTACTCTGTACATATCCTTCTTTGTTCTTCTTGTCTACTACTAATATCAATAGTAATCCAAAAATAAAATAAAATAAAATATCTAATTTAATTTAATTTAATACATGAATAAAAGAACATCATCATCATCATCATTATCATCAGAAAGAGTTCTCCCACAACTATTATTACTACTATTTCAAAAAACACTAAAGAAGTATAATTTTGATTAAAGATATTTGCATCATGTAGAGTAATCCAATCTAATCAAAACTCAAAGAAAATATATATATTCACATCAAAATAAAGTAGAAGAAGTGTAAAGCCTTTGGTGATCAAGATAAAGATAAAGATAAAGATAAAGAGTCTATATGCGTGTATGTATGGTGTATATATAAAATATAAACTATTGATTTATTTTGATTAAGCACTTATGATTTGAAATGCATGCATATTAAGGGTGGACAATCTGTAGTCTGTAGGCTGTAGTAGTCTATAGTATGAGTAATTCTTCTTTCTTTATTGTATGTATATTGATTGAACAATCTCAATGATGGCAAATTTGTAGCCTAAATCACATGACTTTAATGCGCACCTTTCTCTTGTTTTGTCCACACACACACACACACAAAACACAAAACAATAGATTATATCACTTTAAACATCCTTTTGTAATTTAAACTAATCTTGTTCTACAATTCAATTGCTTGATTACATTTTCCTTTTATATATATATATATATCTTTCTTTATTCTTTTACCTTTGAATCATATATAACAAAAAGTGAATCTAACCTGGAAATGTCATCTAATGCAAGTTAACCAAAGAATAATACAATATAATAGAAAAGAAGAGAGAAAGCAACTAAAATAAAATTCCATCAAATTTACTTATTAACTTATATATATATATATATATATATATGTGTGTGTGTGTGTATGTATATGTGTTTGGTACATAGGTCAGTTCTCAACCACTCAATGAAAAAGCTCCTGAATTCATACCTCGGTTTGATCCAAATACACCGGCATTTGATCCCTTTGAACAGACAGCTGATGAGCACTGGCTGTCATACTCTTGGAAATCCGATTCTTCAGACCCAATCAAGAGTATTTGGAAGCAAGAAGATCAATGGTCTGAGAACGACAGCGAGTTTGACCCTACGTTGCAATACTACCACGGCGCACTGTTAGATAACGACACCATCCAGGACATGCACCTACTACAGCTCTCTGTCACAAATCCATCCTTTGAAGAGACCCAAGCAGAGAATGTGGGTGAAGACATGTCTGCGCTCCAGATGCTGCAGTCAATCTTCACAGACCAGACTCCGGATGAGCTACAGTCGATCCTTGCTGCTCACGATTATGACATGGACAGAGCTGTCGAGAGTTTGCTGGGTACGCCCAACCCTGAGCCTTTGGTTGATTCGACAAGTACACCCACACCCAACAAAAGGCAAGTGTGTCGTCACTTTTTGGCAGGTGAGTGCTACCGTAAGGACTGTCGATTTGCCCATGATCTACAAGTCAAGGTGTGCAAGTTTTGGTAAGGATGTGTAATCTATCTAGACTTTATTATTATTATCATAATTCTTTTTCTATTCTGTATAGTGTAAATAATAGTATTGTAGAACTGTTTTTAGAGTATATGAATAAAGAATATATACTACTGCTACTACTACTATTATAATAATAATTATTATAGAAAAATGACCTGTAAATATATCCGAATATATACACATGTATATACATATTCTTAAAATGTATAATATTATATGACATGGTATAATAATTAATGATGTGGGTTGTGTTGTATGGTGTGTATGCTGTGTAGGTTGCAGGGATCTTGTTTCAAGGGAGATTTATGTGAATTCTCGCATAATTTTGATGTTCAGCAGATGGCTCTCAAAAAGACAGTTGATGAACCAACCAAGGCAAGAGCTGGGGAGGAGGAGGATATTGTCAGATTCGATGAAAAAGACTATCCGACTCTTGCCGGGGTATCAAGCAAAGTAAAAAGCTCGTCAAAGCAAGAAAGGCAAAAAGTACCCGAGGCTGTATCAGAAGCAGCAGCAGCAGCAGCAGGATCATCGGAGGAGTTTCCTTCATTGGCAAAGGCAGCCAAGATGTCGATGCATCCAACAGCAACAAGAACAAGAACACCAACCAAGAAAGCTCCGATCAACTTTGCAGCTGCAGCCAAGAAAAAACCTACACAACAACAACAACAATATAATTATAATAATAATAATAATAATAATAATAATAATAATAATCAGCATAATCAGCATAATCAAAGTCAAAAGGGTCTATTATCATCATCGTCGTCGTCGTCATCTGTTCAGTCCCGACTGGCAACTAATGCACAAAGCAGACTTCAGAAATTGAAACAGCCTGTAAGAATCCCATGGTTTGAAACCGGAAGCGCCCTGAATAGCCAATACATTCAACAGGTAAATTATATAAATATATATATACATATAATTATAGACTTTTATGCATTTAATAGCAAGAACAGAAAAGAAAGAAAGATAGAAAGAAAAGGCGTTATTACTAATACTATTATTAACTTTATTTAATGCAATGAAATGAAATAATTTATATGTCTTTTCATGTTATATCAATTTAGAGAGAAAAGGCGATCGAGTATGGAATGCTTCGTAATAGATTCTTTAATCGCGCGACCGAGTTCTACCTCAAGGGAGATGGAGCCAGAGCAAAGGCTTATTCTCAAGAGGCAAAAAATTACAATCGGTTGATGCAGGAGATGCACTCAGAGGCGAGTCGACGTATATTTGAGCAGCGCAACCAACATGAGACGTTTATTGATCTCCATGGGCTTCATGTGGATGAGGCTGTTGAGATTGTGCACGAACGACTGGAGCGGTTACGAGGATATGAGGGCGTTGTCTATATTGTCACCGGCACAGGCCATCATTCGGGATCCAATGGTGGGACAAGAAGAGAGGGCAAACTGAGACCGAATATCGAAGCTTACCTGAGGCAGCAGAATTGTCGGTTCGCCGAGACAAGCGTCATGGGAGATTCTAAAGGTGGAATTTTTGCTGTCGATCTATTGACTTTATTATAATATACTCAATACAGTTGATGAAAAAAAAAACCTTTAATTACTACAAAATATAAACAGTCACTGTTCATCTGAACTTTTATAATTCTTTGGTCCGAATGTGATTTGCAGCAGTAGTAGTAGCAACAGCAAATTAAACTTATCGTGCATTAACCCTACAGTGATATCATCCTATATAAAATATAATCACTAATGTACATGATAAATCTATATGCTTAGACAATAAAGTAATTTGTAGATAACTTTTGACTCGAATAGCTGAGGACTCCTTTTTTTTTTTAATCATGATTGAAGTAGTAATCAATACTCATTTACAACAACCATATTAATAGAGTGTGGGTGTCATTTTATCATTAACGTTGATTATTATTATTATTTTGCTCTTTGTTAGCTATAGGTAGAACAACTAAATAAAAAGTGAAAATGGCTTTATTTGCCTTGTTTGTGACAACAATGTAACAACTCGCTCATTTCTCAAACATCATTATGATTGCAAGCCAGTCTCACTAAGAAGAGAAAACTTCCAAAAGGCACTGACACTGTGAATTCTAATGAAAGCTTGTGCAAAGTGGATAGAATCAAGATCAAGGAAGATATTAATCATACACCACCACCATTACAATTACCTTTATCGTAGATTACCAAACCAAAGGTACTTGTTTGTCGCATACACCGTCAAACTATCGTGGCCTCATGCTATAGCCTGACTGGGGACCAAGCAACGCAGGAAGACAAGGTTAATCTTGCAAAACTTGGTTGATTGGGCTCATTAGTTTACAACCATGAAGAAAGACAGCATGGATGATTGACTTTAGCATATATGATATCAATACTATTACAAAGAAAATCCACGACTGGTATTTGGAGCATCCCCCCCCCCCCCTCCTCCAATCCATGACAATAGCATCAAGATAGCAGCAGATATAAACAGAGTTTTTTTTTTCATTTTGCATAGTATACCAAGGCAAAAATGTAGTAATATATATAGATATATATATTTGGCTTTGAACTTGATGGAGATTGACTCTTTATTTGTTTATTTTATAGCAGAGCTGCAAAGACCTCGATAATAAAGCACAAAGATTTGACAGATAAAATGTGCAACATTATGAGCCGGGATTGGATCCAGTATCCTCAATTGTGTTTTTGTACTTTCCGAATTTTTGGTGGCATTATCATTATCCTGGTAGAAGGTAAGCACGGCCATTTTGCTCAGCACCATTGAACCTTACGCTTGAGATACACTCTTGGACAGTCATCACAAAAAGAAAAGAAAAGAAAAAATCTGGTTCATAGCATCAATTGCTCTCAGACAGTGATCTATCTATTAGGCTGTTGAAAGAAGTATGACATAGATTCGATAACCTCTCCAGGTTATATGTTTGCTGGTCCATCGCCTACCATCATTGGATGTTGCCTTTGAATTTCAGTCTTTAACAAATTCAGACACACTCAGATCAAGAATCAAAGGAAGCCAGTAATGTTTGAGGAAAGAAAGGTTGGATCGTTATCTATTATCCAGAGCAATAGTAATTAAAAGCCATTTGACATGGAAGAGATAGGCTAGATTGGATTTAATTGTCTGGGTGAATGATATCATTACTCGGTTGGATAGATCCTTCATCCTATATATATATATATATCCAAGGCCTGTTTGAAGATCGACAACAGATCCGGATTATTGGGAACACAGCTTTGAACAACCAATTGGTAGACTTGGCTAACGGTGTGAAAAATAAGCGTGAAAATGAGAAGAAAAGAATAAAAATATCTGACCAGATTGTTGGTGAACAAGGAGATAGATCTATGGACTATGGAAGAGGAGGGGATGTTGATCAGCTCCAGCATCAGATCTGTAATGTAATTTAATGTAATATATATAATGACCTGGCCTGACAAAAGGTCTTGAAAATTTTGATTTGAATAAACTGGACTCTTTCTTTAGTGAAAACACATTCATTAGCTCAGGGACAACAATCGTCAATTCTAAAGATCAAACGTCACTATTACAGCACAGTAATTTGGGTCAGGTCAGCCTTTCATTGGATCATAAATATATATATAAAAAAAAGATGCAGAGAGAGAGAGAGACAAATGAATATAAAACTCTATATATTTTGGCATAGTTAAAAAAAAACACACACACAATTAGTTCAACTTGAACTGACAAATAGATTTTTATTTTACGACAATTTTTTTTTTATTTGTAAATTGCCGACAATTATTTATTCAAAACACGACAAATATCAACCATACTGGTTGTATTATAAAATATATATATATAACTATTATAAAATTAAAGACGCACACACACACATATAAATAAAATATAATACTTGAACTGACGTCATTGGTATCTCCGATGATCTCTCTTTCTCTATCTATCTATCTATCTATCTATCCATCTGTCTGCCTATATGTCTGTCTGTCTGTCTGTCTGTCTGTCTGTCTGTCTGTCTGTCTGTATTTGATTGCATTGCCTTTTTTTTTTTTTGATTTGCATGTTTGATTGACTGAGTGCATGATTAGCTGTGTATCTGAATAAATGACTGGTTGGCTGTATAGGGTATGTGTGAGTGTGTGAGTGAGTATTGTGAGTGTGTGTCAGTTTCACCTAAATTTGACTGAATCTGACTGAATTTTTTCTTGTGTAATTTATTTGTGCGTATGTGCGTGTGTGCGTGTGTGCGTGTGTGCGTGTGTGCGTGTGTGCGTGTGTGCGTGTGTGCGTGTATGGTTGTGTCTGTGTAATATACCGTTTTCTCCCTCTCTCACACTCTCTTATAAGTCAATCAAGTCAGTTATTCAGTCAGTCAGTCAGTCGGTCGGACGGTCGGTCGGACGAACGGACGGACGGACAGTCTGTCTGCCTGTCTGCCTCTATTTCTGTATTTCTGTATGTCTGTATGTGTGTATGTCTATATGTCTGTATGTATATTTGTCTGTCTGCCTGCCTTTTTTGTACCACTATTATAGTTGTGTGTGCAATGACTTTCATTTAAATCCTTGGACAGATCGACAGCTTTTTTTTTGTTTCTTATTTTTCCCTCTCTTCTTTATTACTTTTTTTATTTCCATTCTTATTTTTCACACACACACACAACACACACTTCTTCTACCTTTACTTTTTTACTTCTTCTTCCTCTTCCTCTTCTTGTCTTTATATATAAATATACTATATATAAATATTATATTATCATTCAAAAAAAAAATAACACCATCAAGAACAAAGAATCAATCTTTCCATCTTAAGCGTATTCAAGAACATATTACAATAAAATAATGCCTACTGTTCCATTGTCCCATGTCTCAGACAGTAACCTCTTGGCTCGCCGCAAACAATCACAGCCATTTCTCCAGTCACTAGAGCTACCCTGTTTACCACCCTTGTCCAATGTCTTGCCTGAAAACCAACCATTGCTTTACCCGCAATGTCCCGTCCCCACTGTTGTCCAGGTACCAGAAATAACACAACAACAACAAATACATCATCATCAACAAATACAAATACAACAACAACATATACACCATCATCATCATCAACAGCAACAGCAACAGCAACAGCAACAGCAACAACAACAACAACCAGTCATGCCAATGAATATATTTGCTGATCCAACCTATGACATCCTCACAACCTCGCTTCCTCAGCTCCAGTACCCAGCAGACACTTCAAACCGTCAGCGTCAACCATCTATCTCAAGTACAAACTCGGATAAAATATACTCCTTTGTGGCTCTTCCAGGCACAACTCAAAAGAAACGACCCCGCAGGAGATTTGATGAGGTCGAACGGCTGTACTTCTGCAGCTGGCCCGAGTGCACAAAGGCGTACGGAACTCTTAACCACCTCAATGCACACGTCAGTATGCAAAATCATGTAAGTTAATTTCTATATATATATAAATAAATAGAATGAGTCACTAAACATTCATATCTTTAATTCAAAAAGGGTCCCAAACGACATCCTGCTGAGTTCAAGGAGATGCGTAAAGAATGGCGTCGACAAAAGAAAGAAAGAGAGGCGATGCGAAAGTCTGCAGAGAAAGAGTACTCTATCTATGGTGAACCGTTTGCTGTCCATTACCCACAGAATTTTTACCCTTCGTTCTAACCAGCCAATCAACCAGAGAAAAAAAAACAAAGGATCCCTTTCTTTTATATACATATATGTATGTTATTTGGACACCGGTCTGTCCTTTCAGTACAACTTTCTTTGTCTTTCCTTTATATTTTGAAAACCCTTGTATATACTTCTTTAAAATATTATCATCATCTTTAAATTTATATATAATATATAATATATATTTTATATTTTGTATTTTGTATTCTCTCTTTCTGATCTTCAGCCCCTACAGACTTTTTTTTTTTTCACCCCTTCCATCTCCTTTATCCCTGCTTCTTTCACTCACCCCTTCCACTTCCTTTCACTTTCTTCTTATTCTTGTCTTCTCCTTTGTCTATTATTCTTATTATTATTAGTTCTTGTCATTATCCTTGTTCTTTGTTCCTTGTTATTGTTTCTTATATATTGCAATAAATGCAGAAATCAACTATATATATATATATATAATATTGTTCATGTAGTTTAATTTATGTAATATATGTAATATATGTAATGTATGTAATATATGTAATGTATGTAATGTATAATATATTTATTTTTACTTTATAATAATTAAGGGAGGGGGGACAAATGATAGCATATAAAGAACTCTATTAGGAATTAATAATAAATAAGAAATATATTACACAGAAACAATGACGTCGGTAAATAAGAATACGAATATATATATATATATTATAATATATATTATAATATATAATATATTTGTGAATATGACGTTTACAAATGTCGTACATAAAAACGTCAGCAAATAACTATATTATTGTATATTGTATATTGTATATTCTATAATATCATTTGGTTCTTCTTCCTTCCTTCCTTCCTTTTGGTTCTTCTTTTTTCTTCTTAAGAAATCTATATATCTTATATAATTGATGTATATAAATTGTCTTGTGATACTTTTAAACTTTTTATTTTTATTTTCTTATTAAATGAATCGATGAAGCGTTAATCAATTTGGGACTCAAGATAAGCTCGGAACATTGCGTCACAGAGATCCAAGGCTGTCTTGCCTTCACGGTTAGGTTGATCGGCCCGTGCTCCATGTTGGATCAGTAACAATGCGGTGTCTCCATGACCCTCTTCACAAGCCAAATGAAGAGGCGTATTGGCAACCTGATCCCGGATATTCACACGTGCCTTGGCAGCAATCAATATCTTTACCACACCTATATGTCCTAGAGAAGCAGCACGGTGTCTAATACAAAAATGAATATATATAATATCAGGCATTGTCACTGTCGTCGTCATCAGCATTAACAGCAGCATCATCATTATCATCATCATCATTAGATATATATATATATATATATATATATCAATTGATTTGATTTGATTTGATTTGATTTGGTATTGCTGCATTTTTATTTTGGGTGTTGTATCTAACTTTCTTACAAAGGTGTTTGCTGTGTTGAATTGACTTGATTTGGATTTGCATTGTGCTCAAGTAAAACACGACATATCTATCGATCAATAAATTTGATGATTATGATTATTACAATATTCTATAGAAAGAATGGCTTTCTTTTTGTTACTCTTCTTATTGATCTTTGTTCATTTTCACCATTTATCATCATCTAGTCAGTCATTCGACAATTTTTTTTTACCTCTGGTTTATTCTTGGATGCTGCATAATGACTGTAGATCAATAAAAATAAAATTCAATTAAGAATTTCTAGAAAGCACTCTGTATCTTTCTCTCTCTTTTTATATATATATATAAAAAAAACAAAGTAAAATAATTTGGCTTACAGTACTGTCTGTCCGGTCTCGTTCTGAAGTGACGGATCTGATCCATGTTCCAACAGCAACTCAACTACCTTTTCATGGCCAGTCGATCCTGCATCGAAAACAACAGATCTTCAGCCCATCCACGCACAATATATCTATAATATATTATAAACATCATTTTACCTGCAATCATCAATGGTGTCCACCCAGACTGTTGGTAATAAATAAATAAATAAAATTATAAAGACCCAAAGTAAGTCATCTATTACCTCATCTCTTGAAGATACCGAAGCTCCCTTTTCAAGTAAGAACTGAACAACATTGTCATGTCCTCCAGATGCTGCCCAATGTAAAGCTGTTCTTCCATCCTTTTTTTTTTTTTTTATAGAAAACTGATTAGCAATCATCTTGTAATTCACAACACAACCAATAATAATAGTAATACTATATGTCTATACAGCTTTTACACACTTGGTCTTGAGTGTTGAGTATTCCAGGTTCTTTGTCTACCAGCTGTTGTACAATAAACAATTTTCCTTCATACGCAGCTGTAGATATGTTCGTCATCTTTTTTATATACTTATTTTTATTCTATTAATTGATAATATATATATATATATATACACATATACATATACATATATAAAAAGAGAGGAAAGACCAGGACTTTTATTTAATGTTGAGAATCATTCTTGGATCGCAAGTCACTCATGTATATTAAAACTCAGGAAAGAAAATAAGAAATTAAGAAAACTCGGACCATCCGAGATTCTTTATTTTTTTTTAAAAATATATATATATTATTATTATATGTAATACTAGTAATAACAATAGTATTTGATTTGATAGTGATATAGTGAGATAGCATTTATAGCTCATAGTTTGTTTGTTTGTTTCGTTTCTTTCAAGAAGAAGAAAGAAAGAAATAACGAATGAATATATGAATTGAAAGGATAAAATGAAATGAGATTTAGAAAAAGAAGAAAAAATAGGAATATTTTACATGTTTATGATACAAAGGGAATGTGCTTGAGATAAAGAGGGGGATAAGGAGAGAGGGGGGAGTATCATCATATTATTTTGATTTGATTTGATTTGATTTCATTGTCTGGATTTAAGCTGTAGTTGTGGCTGTAGCTGTGGCACTAGTAGCATCCGTAGTTATGTTGGTGGTTTCTTTAGTGATCGGGATATTTGGGGGGTCCTGTCGTCCTTTTTGAATGATCTCTACATAGTTGGCTGGGAAGAGTCCCATTGTACCATCTCTCAGGCGCCCTCTCCACCAAGCTCCAACTGCTGCTTGGGTTGTAGGATCTTGTTTGGACAAGACAGCAATGATGTCTCCTTTCTTGAGACTAATCTCCATGGTCGATTCGGCCGTAAAATCATACATCGCACGCGCAAATTCAAGTTTGAGAGGATCAATCTTGGCACCCGCAGCACCAGAAGTTGTATTAGAATTCATGTCGGCTGCACCTCCTGGTGGTACCATTTGTTGCTGCTGTTGCAATTGGAGCTCATGCTGATTCTTAACATTGATCAACTGAATCAGTTTGTGCATCATATAAGGCAGTCCGACAACCAAAAACAAAAAGATCATTATCGGCTTCTTGGACATCTTTGGTTGCAACCCATTTCCATTGGCCGTAGGGTCTTGGAAACGTTCAAACTCGGACAGGTTCATCTCGCTTGAGCCACTTCCAGTCACGCGGTTCTTGACCCGTTTGAAAAGGCGGAAGAGCGCAAAGATACTAAAGACCTGGCCAAGGTACCCTTTAAGCCGTCCAAACTGTTCTGCTACACCAATCATGGCCATAAAGCTCGAATGGGTTGCCATAAATGTAGAGTCCAGCATTTGTGCGAACCCACCAAATGCACCAACAATACGCTCGACTACCTCGAATGCAGGTCGGGTGCCGATTTCCATCCGCTGCTGGAGACCCATGTCATCAGGTCCACCGCCATTCATCATTCCAGGACGTCCATAAGGGGAGCCGTAGCTACCCATCCGATTATAAGAGTTCATTCCTCCTCCGTATCCTCCATAGCCCCCATAACCAGATGTGCCATAGCTTGACCCGTATCCAGAACCATATCCAGAGCCATAGCTAGAGCCATAGCCAGTTGTTCCATAGCTAGAGCCGTAGCCAGAGCCGTAGCCAGTTGTACCATAAGGTCGATTCTGTGGGCCATATACAGGCTGTTGACCATATCCAGTTGCAGCATTACTAGAGACTAGAAGAAATAACAATAATAACAAATGGTTACAATGAAATATATTAGTTGACTAAAATTCTCAAATGCGGATCCCCAATCCCCACATTATTTTTGGTTTTTGCAATCACTGTCATTATTGTTATTATTATTATGATTGTTGCGTTTTCTACTGTGAATATTTCATGTATATATATATATATATATATCTGTATGTATGCATATATTTGTGTGTGTGTGTGTGTGTAGGTAGGTAGGTAGGTAGGTAGATGGGTAAATGACTTTAACAATTACCTCCTAGTCGATTAAGTGCTGAAGATCCATCAGTAGTTGTGCGAGTTGGAACTGGAGGTGTGGTCGAATCTGTCATTAGAGGGCTGTTATTTGTCTTTGTCTCCCACGGCTTTGGAGGTGAAGGCATACAATGAAAGGGGTGAAGAGGAAGAAGAAAAAAAATAGAGTGAAAGAGAGAAAGAAGTAAAGGCGGATTTGAAATTTTGAGACTTACCAAACACACACACACGCACACACAAATAAATAAATAAATAAATAAATAAATAAAGCAATATACACTGGATTTTTGTGGGTAAGCGAGATTTGTCGAATAGGGAGACCTTTAGAGATTCTTATTTTATTTTTCTTGCTATTTTGGGCCAATTGGCAGTAGACAATTCAATCGGCTTCACATGCACTGGTTACCTGTGCTGACAAAGATGAAATACTCAGAGAAAATAGGCGCAACAGTCTGTAACCAGGAACAAACAAGTAGAAATTACCAATATATATATATATTCTCGAAAACAAGCTCATTTAATTCAATCTATTTTAAAAAATCAACCAAAAGAAGCCCAAAATATAAAGCTCAATCTCTATACAAGACCGTCAGAATACATTCGAGCATAAATATGTACTGTTTTTTTAATTGTCTCGCTTATAAAGCAAAAGGGACTCTATTTACTACAGCCATCGAAATAACTTGTAGATCGTCTTGTTGCCGTAAGAATCAACCCAAGTTCCTCTTGCCCAGTACTTCTTTTGTGCTTCTTATAACAGCTTTTTACTATCAACTGACAATGGTCTAATCGCACGTTTAGGAGTTCTGGCTCATCTCGCGATCATTCCAAGGCTCGAGATATCTCAACTTTAGATAGACTTTTACAATTTATCTTAAAAAACACATTCATAATCATCTGGACCCTGATTAGAACATACACCTACAGATATTCAAATAAAGTATAATTCAAGGACAATAGCATAACATAAAATTTGAAATTCGAAAATAAACCTTGGCAATCAAGATAAGATTTTCTTATCATTGGAAATTTATTGTACCACTTTTTTCTTGGTATCCAAAATGAGCCTGAAAAGTTTTAACATTGACTCTAGTATTACCCAGTTCCTGAGACACACACATATGATTGTTCTGATCAATTTGTTATTTTGTCTGTCTAACTGAATCTAGTTGTAAGATGAATCTTATATAAACCAATCGACAGGCTGATACGCACTATCAATACAGAGCATCAATTGCTTATTATCCGTCAAGTCTAGTAGTAAATAATGATGTTCTACATATATATATACATCCATGACTGATGACCACCCCCTAATATATACTTTATTATTTCTACTAATGCTTTCCACATAAAAAGAAAAAAGAAAATGCAAAGACATTGGAATTAAACGTCATCCTCGAGTTTGTTACACAGTCGACATTCTTTTTATTTAATATGCTAGCTGCGTTTTGACTTTAAACAACCAATCTCTTTCGCTCTTCTTCACCTTATTCTTCATATCAACCAAAATACTAATACTACTAATATAATGGTCAACGACTTTTGCCTTATACTTATCATCCTATTGATGCCCCCTCTTGGTATATTTCTAATCGATGGCTGTGGTGTCGATTTCTGGATCAATGTGTAGGTTTACTTTTTTTTTTTTGGTCAACATACCCACAGATATCAATATACTTATACTTTGGCTGTATATTTATATAGATGCTTAACACTCCTTGGTTATATTCCCGGTAAGATAGCTTATAATACTCTTATTATCGAAACCATACTTACAACCAACCAACCAATAGGTCACATTCATGGTTTCTATGTTCTCCTGAAAAGTAGAGAGAGACGCCAGTTTGAGCAGACAAACACTTACATTGCCATTCCTCCTCCTAACTACGGTGTTGCTCCTCCACCCTACAAATAAATATACCCCCACTACTTAATACAGCACCTATAAATTCCATAATCTATTTATCTTATTCACAAAAGTTAAAAATATCAACAATAGTCCAATTTTGTACGTATTCTGAAAAACCCCTCACAGATAGAGAGACTTATACGGACATTAAATTCATAATATATATATATAAAAAAGAGGTTTTGTACCACTACTGATAAACAATAGAAATCCCAAGATCAAAAGAATCCAAATCACAATTCTTTAGCTATTAAAAGGAATACAATGTATATATATATATATACTGGCTAAACTTTCTTTATTTAAATAATAAAGAATAAAGACAAAATGAGGCTATCAGTTGACTAATTTGGAATACTAAAGATGTACATGAAAATATACAATACATAAAACAAACCGACGGTTAATCATACCTGTGAAACACAGCAGAAGAAATTGTTATAAAAAAAAAAGAAATTGATTCAATAAATGTGTTAGCTTGACTGACTGAGCTGTCAAATCTCATTAAACCACACTTGGCCTACAAAAAAAAATGAATACAACAAATCATTCGAAATCCAACTCTTAAACATTAAGCCATCTTTTGGCCCTCTTTATTCCTTCTTTCATCCACCCAAACCAACTCCTCTAAATCTGACCTCTCATACTTTATCTGTTCACATCCAAGGCAACAGCAGTTTAATCGACCATTCCTCCTTTCTAAACGTCATCATATTTTTAATATCCGCCCAGTAAACAACATCTCAAATCTGTAGTTTTTTAATTTTAACAGAATACACACACACACAAAAAAGGAACACTTTTCCTCTTTTCCTTCAATGATCGCCTTGACAGCACGCTCATCGATCACCACACGAAGCATTCTTTGCCGTGCACTGGTCAATAACACCCAAGCCAACGTCACCCGATCATATGCCACAAAAAAGAAGAAGCAGACTACACGTTTGAACCCCGATGCTCTCGACATCCAGGGCGCCGTGCGTGTACTAAAGGCATTAGAGGTCGGCAATCCCGAACATCAGTTTGAGGCCCATGTTCAGTGCAAAGTCGAAAAATCAACACCTCTTATCCGCGGCTCGATTGTATTGCCAAAGAGCATCAAGCAAGAAGCCACAATCCTCGTATTCGCAAGCGGCAAGAAGGCCGATGAGGCCCGTGCTGCAGGTGCACACTTTGTAGGCGGAGAAGAGCTTATTGAAAAGGTCAAGAATAACGAGATCAAATTCGACAAGTGCATCTCTACACCTGCCATGTTTCCTGCTGTCACAAAGATCGCAAAGGTGCTCGGACCAAAGGGACTAATGCCCACCGTCAAAAAGGGTAATGCTTACAAGGGAAACCAAGAAATATGAATATCTGACAAAAAACAAACAAACAAAAAAAAAACACACACAAAAAAATACTGGAAATTTTATGTATTTATGTAATTATGTATTTGTATTTGTATTTTGTCTGTAGGCACTGTGACTGACGATGTAACAAATGTTGTCCGGACCTCAAAGAGCTCGTTTGACTTTAAGGCTGACAAGTTGGGTGTTTTGCACACAGGAATTGGAAAGATTAGCTTTGAGGGTGAAGATGTTGAAGGTAAGAATTTGATGTCCATCTCCTAGTAAGGGAAAGGGATAGGGAGAGTACCTTATTATCATTATTCTGATCTCTGATATATATATTCTTTATTATCTCAGCCAATCTTAGAGCTATCCTAGAGGAATTGAAGGTGTTTGGAAAAGCAAACAATTTGAAAGGTAATATAGAGAAATAACAAATGAATGAATGAATGAATGAAAAGAAAAAGGGGGGAACAAAGGAGAGAAATGCTTATTTCAAACAATATTGGCTTTTTAAAATTCTAATGACAAAACGTCTATTGTTACTTTTAGCTATGATTCAGCACGTCGTTCTCTCTTCAACTCGTGGACCCGGTATAGTGATTGCTGGTGGCCACACTCTCTAGACAAATTTTCCTTTTCTTGCTTACCTGTAGACAAATCCAAGTCCTGAAAAATCAATAATAAATATACTCCATCTTTCATCACATTGAACCCTGAGTGCCTTTATTCCCCCCCCCCCCCCCCTACCCCTACCCCACAAAAAAAATTGGGTAGTCACTTATTTTCTTTTTAAAGAAACGGAAATAATAGTTAATACATCAAAAATTCATACTGCCATTGGTAATAAACTTTAAATTTATTACCACAGCTACAACCTGGCTGCCAAATCGTTTCTTCGTGTACAAAAGTCAGATGTTATTGTTGTATAATATTCAGCACTATTATACCCATAGAGTATCATTCTCGTATACCCTTTCTTTTCTTGCTGGTTGGTATGTGATGATTGTTCTTCCGACTTTTCTTTATCTATATTCTGGGTCGTTAACTGATATAATGCAATTGAATCCAGGTGTAGTGCACTCGATGACGAAAATGATGTTGAAGGACATAATGCGCGAGTAAACCTTTTAAAACATGCATATTTAAGAACGTTGTTTACAAAGATACAGAAATATATCTGACACCCAATTACATGATATTGTTTTTTTTTTCGGAGGCAAGAACTTTTTCAACGTATTGCAGATCAACGAGCATACTGACTGTTCGGCGGTGGAGGTCTCAGGAGACTGATGTCTGGCGTCTTCTAAATATACAGGCGTATCATTGCTAAAAACCAAGTATTTGATTATGGACTTGAGTTGATTCAATTTCCTTTCCGAAACATCATCATCCAAAGTCCCTTCCTCTTCCAGAAAAATCCTGTTGTTCTTCCGCGATGTTTAGATCCTGAATAACGAGCTTGTTTTCTGCAGAAGCTTCCTTATCATTGAGCATTTGGTTTATCTTCTATAGTAAAACAAAGCATTAGTAGGCAATTTAAATTCAATAAATGACGTTTCCGGTCTATCTTTTTAAGATTATGTCCTAACTTTGCTAGGCGCTACTTCCCACTATTTATCTTAGTCGTCCACTTTTCTCCTTCTAATCCGCCTGCTTTTTCCTTTCTTTGTATCAACCTCTTCAGCTTTTTATCCTCTGCACGACAAACATAACGCGCATGGTTTCTCATATCCTTCTTTTAAGATGGGCTCCTTGTTGTTGTGGTCGAGATACGCTTTGACTCTTTATTGCGGGCAAGATGGTGGCGAAATAGCACTAGTACCACTTTGTTCAAAAGTTTGTTGATTATCTTTTTGCCGTCCCACATATTCTCGAACTTGACCAGGAACTTTCTTAATCTTGATATCATTGTTGTCAAAAAAGAATTCGCTAGTCCTCAGCTCACTTATCATCATATTCACGAGTGCCGAAAAGCAAAGGGTATAGTCTGTCGAGGTAATCATCGTGTCTTGTAATCTAGTACACACGAATGTCTTTACAATAGGAGGGAGATCCATTCTGAAGAGGCTATTTATTTATTGGTGTGGCAGAAGAGAATTCTTTAGCTCTGCCTTTTACTATCGAACCTACCGCAGTCTCACCTATTTTGTCGAAGCTTTGAGATATGAACTTCTTTCATCCTTCAACATTTTTTAGCCCAAAGCAGTATTCCACATTTAACCGCAATACCTTTCTGTCACACTTGGCAAGTTGTGCTACGTTTGTTATTGTTCTTATCCGTAGACTTTTTTTTTTTATCTTTTGGAGCTTGTTTTTAAGTTCTTTTGTTTTATCTTCAGTTTTAGTTTTCTTGCCAATTTGCTCTAAGCGGTCTCTCATCAAAGTAAAGAAGCATTCCTCCAAGTCTTTCAAAGGTCCTACACGATTCGTTTTACTAACACTTTCTTCGGTAGAGCTCTCAGATAAGGTACGTTTGGTATTACTTTTTAGAAAGGATGGCGGCGAGGTGCCCATACCTTGGTAAAAACTTTCTTGGGGCGTTTTTTTAAGCATTCGATTATTCTTTACTAAATTTATAAGCATGCACTTTATTTGCTACTGTTTATTCTAATGATTATATATCAACTCACTATGTATATGGATTCCATCTATCTTTATGCAGCTACTCCTACCAACTCAGTGGATATGTGTATTGCCAAAGTACTTCACAGTAATATATATATAGGCAAGATGTAGTGCTCACGTAGTTGGCATAATCACAAAATTTAATCAATTGATAAATTCTTCCTCAATCTGAATCTTCATCTTCGGCTGAAAGAAGTTGTCTATTAAGGGAGTACGTGTAATAGAGGTATCAAGTAGCGATAGTTTCAAGTCTGCTAAACAATAATTATTAATAAAACCAATCAAATAATAATAATATACTCGGACACAGTTGTGAAGATTTATAAGCACTACGGTTTTTTGTTTGTATGGAGCGGAGCTCTGGTTTATTGGTGGGACTCTTGTCCAAAAGGCTTAAGAGGCGCCACAACTTGTTTTTGGTTTTTCTATTATTTAAATGTTTTTGGGGATTTTGTGTTTTAAGTTGTAAATGTAATGTAAAAAAAAAAAAATGTGGAAACGAAGAAACGCGATGAACTTAGACAGAAAAAGGGCGTTGATCAAGGTTTTCTTCGGATTGTAAACGGGAAAGCAGGGAATTGGCAGTGGTAGTGGCATTAGCGGCAACGAAAGGTGATTGATCGAATATGAAAGCCCAGTGATGTCTCCACAAGGCTAAAAGAACAGAGCCAAGGATTGAGGCAGGATGTGAAGTGGGATCAAGGGGGGGAGGGAAGGAAAACTTGTATAGCGCATTGTGAATGTCAGAGGATTGGGGGGAAAAGCCGAAATGCGCGAGCCAGAGTGTGTGCCAGAGAGGAAGCTTGAGTGGGCATGCGTAGAGAAAATGGTCTTGAGAGTCAATTTCCGTTCCACACAGCGAACAATTAGGGGAGGGAAATGAGGTGGGAATACGGTTATGCAGCACGGATTGACATGAGATCTTGTGGTGAAGCAGCGGGAACCAAATGATGCGAGAGGCATACGGAAGGATGAAAGACCAGAATTGACGCCATTTGATGGCTCGTATGTTGTGCGGTACATCCTCGATAGAAGAAGTGACGACTTCACAGGAGGAACGGAATTGGCGTGTAGACAAGCGTTTCCAAGGAAAGGTAGGAGAGAGGGCCGACAGGAGTGTGGAAGGGTCAACCTCAGTGCCCGTGCGAGCCATCAAGTCAGGGAATTGTTCGGTCAAGATACTTTGAGGCAGGCAAGCGCGAATGACGAATGCGTGAAGGAAAAGAGAGTGATCATCCACCCGCTGAAGGACTTTGCGGAGGATGCGTGGTGAACGAGGAAAGGAAGAAGGTAAGCGGCGAGAAAGGATATCCAAAGTGGTGTTGATCTCGTAGGCATCCCGGATCCGGAGGTGACGCCAAGAAGCAGGAAAAGCAGGGAGACCATGTGGAACCACAACTGCAGAGGCGAGAGGAATGTCCAGACAAGTCGGTAGATTTATCACAGTAGAGTCAAAATCGTGAGGCAAGAGATCGCAGGCAGCAAAAAGGTTAAAGAAAGGACTGGTATAAGTTCGGAATCGAGGGTGTCTCAGGTCAGGAAAAATGAAAGGAAGATGGGGATGGACATCAGGTAGATAATGCCGAAGAAGATATAGCAGCCAAGGCAACACCAGACCAGAAGGAGACGAAGTGGATTGGAACAGAGGTCGAAGCCAACGGAGCTGAAGGGCACCTTGTTGCAGTTTTGGATTCAAAACCCCTAAACCGCCCATTTTTGTGGGGAGACATAGAGTGTCAAGTCTAATCGGTGGGAAGCTTCGATGCTGAAGAAAGCGACCCATGAGAGAGCGAACTTTGGTAAAGAACGTGCCGGGAACAGATACAACACGAAGAACGTGCCAGAGCTTTGACAATATAAGAGAGTTTAGGACAGTAGCACGGCCACGGAAGGACAAGGCGCGGGAGAGGTGGATATGTGAAGCTCGCTCTATCTTAGACAAGATTTGTGAGCAGAAGGAGTTGCGTTGGGTGAGGAAGGAGATGATCGGAAAGCCAAGGTAGCGGAGAGGTTCTGGAGAGCGACTATCATGCCACTCGACAATCTGCAAGCTGTGAAGGGTGTCCGCCCAGTGAGGATGAGGTCTGCCTGACAGGGAGAAAGCTTGGGTCTTGTGAAGGTTGATGCGTGCGTTGGAAGCAGAGGCATAGGTGGCGAGGTGGTGCTGCAATCGGGACATGTCCTGGATCTGCGGGAGGAAAACCAGAAGATCGTCGGCATAAGCGAGTAGCTTTATGGGTGGAGGTGCGGGATGTTCAGGCGTACTTTGGATCTCAAATCCAGGAAACTGAGGGTCGTGTATGAGTCGGCGCAAAAGTGGTTCAAAGGCCAGGTTAAACAGAACAGGGGACATGGGGTCACCCTGTCTGAGTCCACGTGCTTGACAAAGAGGACGAGAGAGAAAACCGTTCACATTAATCTTAAGGTCGGAAGAGAAGAAAAGATTAGTGATGCAGGTTATAATTGAAGGAGGAAAACCGAATTTAACAAGAACTTGTTGAAGATAGTCAGGGTGAACCCGATCGTAAGCCTTTTCCTGATCCAAGAGAAGACCGATTCCAGAGTGACCAGTAGAATTGGCATGATCCATAACCAGCTTCGTAAGTATACCGTTATCAGCAATGAAGCGACCACGGACAAATCCTGTTTGATACGGAGATACAAGCACTCCAGCAGCTTTGACCATTCGAGCGTTGAGAAGCCGAGTGAAAATCTTGGCATCGGCGTTGATCAGAGCAATCGGTCGCCAATTCTTCAGGGATGAGAGATCGCCTTTCTTGGGCAACAGAGAAACACATGTTGTTTGCCAGGATGAAGGGAATTGGCCACTACTAAGAGCATCATTGTACACTTGTGTCAGCAACTGGGAGCAAGAATGGTGATGAAAAATGAGTTGGAGGATCTCATAAAGGAGGCCGTCCGGTCCTGGGCTACTTGTTCGTGGAGAGCGAGACACGCCTTCTCGTATGTCTTCGATGCAAAGTTCAGCAGTCAGAGAGGAACATACGGTATCAGAGAGGCAGAGATCGTTGGGAAGGTGGCGAAGTAAATCGTCTATGGCTAGTTGATCTATTGGTTCAGGTGTATACAGGCCTTCGTAGAAAGAAGCGGCAGCTTCAGTCATGCCATCAGGCTCAGTGTGTAAGTGGTCAGTGATGGGATGGCGTAGTTTGGTGATGTTCTTTCGGGCTTGGCGTTCTGCAACTGTTCGCTTGAGGTATCCTGCGGAGATCTCTCCATTCTCTCGCCAATGTTTGCCTGCACGCAGGGCAAGAATTTCCACTCTCTCCAGCTGGACTTGTTGCAACTGTCTTTCAATAATGGGCAATTGGAAGTTTTGGGCGGGTTGTTGTCTGAACTTGTGGATTAACTTGTCACGTTTACTTTGAAGTCTGGCCTCCAGTGTAGTGAGTGTTTGTGTGCGGCGCCTAGTAAAGGACTTAATGAATTTTGTAAGCATATGTTTTAATCTATCCCATTGGTCTTGTGGGGACATATAGGGAGAAAGTAGAAATACGGAGGTAGAAATATAGGCGTCAAATTCAGTGCAAAAAGTGGGGTTGCGGGCAAGACGAGGGTTGGCGCGCCACATTCCCTTTCCTGTTGCATGGTTGGCGGTAAACTTAAAAGTAGTGGCTACTAGACAATGATCGGACCAATTCGGATGTATATAGGACACAGAAGAGGACTGACGGCACGGGGCAAGGTCGGAAGAAGCAAATACATAATCTATGGAGGAGGAGCAAAGTTGTCGGTGGAAGGTTGGGGCAGGGACTTCACCACTCAATGTGACACAATCCACGAAATGGTTAGAAATAAAGTTAAGCCATTCGGGAGGGGCCTGGCGAGGGTTAGAAGAAGTAGTGCGGTAGGTATAATTGAAGTCGCCCAAAAGTATGCATGAGGATGGGAGACGAGGAAGTAGTGCTGGAGAGTTGAGAAGAGAGCGGAGGAAAGAAAAGCGGTCCCGGTAGGAAGCTGGGGCATAAACAACGCATATACGGAAAGAGGGAATGGAATTATTAGTATGTATGACTGTAGTAGAGATGCAACGGCCACAAGGGCTGAATAGAGGGTTAATGAAAGATAGGTGCGGAGAAAGAGAAACAAGACCGCAGTGCGGAGACCATAAGGAATCTTGGGCATGGAATTGTGTATGGAACATCTGTTGGAGAGGTTCAGTATTGGCATGAGTTTCTTGAAGGGCGAGTAAATCGATCCCGCAGGATCGAAGGTGTCTTATAAATAGGGAGCGCGTTTGTGGGTGGTTAGTTTTAGCTAATCCACGGCAATTCATAGATGCAATTTTTATCATAATTATTATTGGGGGATAGTTTCTTCAATACCCTTCATAGGGTCGTCTTCGCAGTTTTTCTCAAAGTATGCCTCCACCTCTGCCAAGTCGTCATCGGTGAGCGTGGGATCATCAGCGGGGAGTGTTTCCCTATCAACTAAGTTCGCCTCAAAAGGGAGGGGAGGTGTTTTTGGTATCTTGGTGCGTGAATCGGCGGGTACAGCTTTGGTGGTGTTGGCGGGGTTGTGTTGAGACCCGGCAGAAGAGAGGGAAGGGTCAAGTAGGGCATAAGGGTTGGCTGTGGTGAAGGAGGGGGGGAGGGTCTTCTTCATATGTGAGCCAGAGTGAGTGACAGTGGGTCGGTTGGTGGTGTTGCGGGTGGCAGTGGTGCGATGGGGGCCATGCGGTTTAGGAACCTTGCGATCCCGTTTGTATGAGTTGTCCACTTCGGCAGCACGAGGGCATTTAGAGCGAAGATGGCCGACCTGATGGCAGCCATAGCACGAGCGAGTTTCTTTTGGTCGAGTGGGGCAGTTGTCGCGGTCATGGCCCATGGTTTGACATAGAGCGCAATGGGCTCCCATATTGAGCCAAGTGGCCAAGAACGTCGTGTTATCATCGAAATCCATTTTAAAGCGAAGTGGAAGGAGGGCACCTTCCTCATATGGAGGACGCTCCACATATGCGTGTCCACTTCCATCCATAAACCCAAACAACGTGTTAATGGAGATATCGTGCACATAGCCATATTTCGTGAGAGCATTACGAAGTTTGGTATCCAAGGTAGCGTACTCTTGAGGAGGGAATCGGGGGAGCTTTGACAAAGTCAGCTTAAACAATTTGGATGAGCTAGCAATGGCAGGGGAGGCAAGAACAGTTTCGTTGTTGTACCGAAAGCCTACACGACAAGCACGAGCACAAACATCTTTGGAGCTCAAGTGGAGCTCAAAGAGGGTACCAGCTTTATTGGAAGGGTTCAGGCCAAAGATTTCGCCAGGCAAAAAGGACTGGAGCAGAGCGTCAAAGAAAACAATGAATTCGGGAGAGGTTTCCGGGGGAGTAGTGTAGTAAACGGAGAACTGGCTAGTATTTTCTCGCCAAGTGCGAGGTTTTGTCAGGGGGTCATTAGACCCAAGTACGATGGCATGGCGGAATGTCGGTGCGGTGTTTGTTAGGACAGTCAAGTAGGTGAGAGGGAGTCCGGGTGTGGGTGTTGTGATAGTGGGTGAATTGTTTGTATGGCCGTTTATGAGGTGTTCCCCTGTGGGGGGGGGGGGGGGGGGGGGGGGTCCGGTTGTATAGCGGAGGAAGCCATGAGCACCTTTGATAAAAGTCTTCCCATATAAAATAAGTGACCTTGAGCACAGTGACTTACCTTTTTATATGGGGAAGTACTGTTGCCACGCATAAGCAAAAGCGGACATCTAATCCCAAGCATCATTCTTGTGCTGCAAGCACACTCTTTTATAAATCTCAAATTGCGGCTCATGCAACCCCATCTTAATGAACTTGACCACTGGCGGAATACATCTCAACGAGCAATCGACCAGACCCAAAAAAAGCCTGCAAACACTCGCCATCGTTCAAACCAGGACGACAATCCGAAGCAATTCTTTGCTCTAGACAGTAGTAGAGGATGGCTAGAAACCTCACCCATCAAAAATACTCCCTCTTCTTTAGCTGATGGTCAAAATGGATGGTCGCTAGAACGAGAATCTAGCTCTGAATCACAAAATGGTACAATTGCAAGATTACATATATGATAACAGTATCCTGATAAAGAGTGCCCTCAGCTTATCATACTATTTATGCAGCAAAAGACATGCTTGGAGCTGTGTCGAATGCAGACATTCTAATGCTTACAAAGATGACCTCAAATCTGTCTCACCAAATTCGAAAATTTCCTGTAAAAGATAGTCGGTCAATTCCTGCTGGTAATAATTATTTTATCTATCGCCTAAATAATAACTCATGCTTCCATGCCCTTGGATGTGTATACCTGACCAGAAACCAAGACTATTAGATCGAATGCCACAAAAGAAAATGTTTCTGTCTCTTTAGAAAACCACAATAATACGTTTGCTACGCCAGACACTTTACCTTCAACGGCCTCTATTCCCACTCGTACTTCTCACAGTACTCCACCTTCATCAAGCCTTAGCAAAGAAAGCTGGAATGGCCCAGAATATCGGCAGTCGTGGTACAAATCTCTTATAAAGCGAGATTCTAAACTAAAACACAACGAAGATGAGTCTTCTTGTGACGACGACATGTATTCTTATGATAATTTACTGGCTAACAAGCCTGGTGTAAAAAGAGCAACATCATCAGAGCGGCTACGTAAATTAGCCGCCAATACCCCACTAAAAAGTCGATTCTGGTACACTAATAAGCACCATCGTATGGGGTCTTCTAGTGCGCAGCCTCTTTCAACTGGAAGTCAAGACAAAATTGCTTTAAAGAAATATGATCGCCGACATTCCCTCGGTAGTATTAGTTCGACTGAATTTATAGCCCAAGATTCTCAAGAATGGTACGAAGATGAATATGAATATGAAGACGAAGGTGAAGACGAAGGTGAACGCAAAGATGAATACGGAGACGGAGACGAGGCAGCAGAACCAAAAGTAGAAGCAGATAGATATTCAGATACAAGAATAGGAACAGAAAGGGAAACAGAAGCAGGCGCGGAAGCAGACACAAAGGAAGAAGTGGAAACAAAAGCCGAAAAAGAAGCAGGAACAGAAGCAGAAACAGGAATAGGAGTAGAAGTAGAGAAAGAAGCAGAGGGTGAACCAGAATATGAATCAAAGGAAAAAGCAAAAATTAAATTAAAATCAGAGGCAAAATCAGTAGAAAGAGAAAATAAATTAGTTGAAGAAGGTCTTGAAGAAACTGAAGATGAATACGAAGATGAAGATGGATATGAATATGAGCACGAGGATGAAGACGAAGAAGAAGAAGATGAGGATGAGGATGAGGATGAGGTTGAAGGGGAACAGCCAATTGAAGAGTTAAGAAATGAAATTCTGAGTCAATCCAAGCAAAGTCTGGGAACCGACGAGAGTAACTTTGAAGATCATGAGAATCCTATACAAGACTCACCGTATACTGAGCGTTTGGGTACAGCAAAAACTCTTCTGTTTGATTACGATACGCTCCCTAGTGAAATTACAGTGCTACTGAAAGAATATGAGCGAGAGGGCAGGATGAGAGTACGCCATAATGAGACTACTGCTGTTGAAGAATATGATAATAGCGATACAGAATTAGATGAATTGGAAGTCATTTCTGGTGGTCTTTTGTTGACGGAAGAAAAGCATGGAAGAAACATTGGTAAGATATAAAAATAATACCGTAAAAGAAAAACGAGCAAGAATTTTAATTAAGAATATACAATGAAGTGGAAGTACAAGCAAGCAGTTCAGACCGAATTGAGTTTGTAAAGCTTGTTCAGCTTCCTGATGATATGCTAGTAGAAAACGGTAAGTATATAGCTGTATATGACCTTTATAGATTTGTATCAGAGCTTTTTTTTTAAGAAATTATTCTTTCAAGGTCGTTTGTTTGATTTGCACGTATCATTACTGACGGATAATTGCGAGAATGAAGAAGTGTAAGACCTTTAAAGATCCTTTGTTATTTTTATTGACTTTTTATTTGTCTGTTTTTACGCAGTGTAAACAGTTACGAAGGCACTATAGCACTATCCAAGTCTGTCAATAAAAGAATGAAAGATATTAAGGGCACCTTAACGGATTGTCAGGTTTGTTTATATGCAAAATTATCGATATCTAGTGCTTATAAAATATTATTGATATTATCAGGAATTTTTAGATATGCAGAGGTGTGATATATCTAGTTTATCTTTGGATGATTTCGATCAATATGGACGGCCTGTAGCTCCATCGAGGCCCGCTTCAACTTTTGATTGCCAAAATTCGAAAGTCTATGAAAATCCTAGTGAAAAAAGAACTTTGGATAGCCTTTTAGATAATCCTTCTCATTCGACTTTAGTCAGCAATAGTGTGTTTAATTCACCAGGCACGCCTAATAGCTGCAGTTCTGTCAAGCGTGCTCCTTCGCTCCTACTCAACAATATTCCTTTCAGAGGCGTGAACCCATTTGATTACCGAAAAGACGATGTTAGATTAGGTGTCGCTGCTCTTCAAAGTGAACTGGATGGCTTCAAGGCTGCTCTGGAGAATACAGAACGTTTGGTAAGACGTGTACAAGCCGATGTTGATCAAACTCGATCTCGCATGGAACTTTTGATCAAGAATATACCGGAATCAAATTTCTCTGCTGTAAGTACATCAACACAAAATTTTGACTATTTAATTTAACTTTTCTTTGATTTTTTCTTCCTTTGGTTGATTAACTAGTTAAAGAGACTCGAAGTAGATATAGAATATATTCTGGCAAGTAGAGCTAAAAATCCATGGCTTGATACAGCGTATGCTCTCCTATCATATTTGTTGACAGGTGAGTGTCCAACACACACACACAAATCTTGATCCAAGCTTTACTAAATTTCTTATACTAGTATTTGCCCTTGGCGTGTGGACGGTAATTTGTATACTAAAATACGGGCGAAGGGTTTTTTCTTTTCCTTGGAGGCTGTGGAGAGATTATAAAGCACACATGAGGGAAAGAAACAAGGCTGTCAAACAAGCCAGTTTGTATTCCTTGTCTGGAACGTCATCTTCACGGGCACGTCAAATATGACAGTAATTATTAGATCCATATTTTAAAAGCCATTTTTATATACAAAAGAGGATGCTTAATTTTCATGTTTATTCCAAACTACATCTCTCCCCCTCTCTCTCTTTTAATTTTTAATTTTTAATTTTTTTTTTTTCAATTTTAATCCAAGGAGCTGTTTTCCATGAATAGAGAAAAATCTATTATTTCTTGCTTGTAAAGGGAACAGAGAGGCCTGAAAGGAGAAGGCGGCCATCGGTGTTGGTGTAGGCGGTCGTGTTAAAGGTGACATCAAAACCGGTCATTCTAGGATAGACATCGAATGAACCCTCGATTTCAGGGAACAGAGCGAGGGCAGAGGGAGGAAATCCAATGGCAACGTTACCATTGCCATCACCTGAGGTCATGGACATTCCAGGCCATTCCTTAAGACGTGGGAGAACGATTTCCACCAACTTATCCATAAATTGGTACATTTCATCACCGCGTAATGTCACCTTGACGCCGATTGGCATACCCTCACTAACACACCCACCCACAAACACATATACATAAAAATGAAAAATGAAAAAAAAACATGCAGATTGCTGATGAGTCGTCTTGCTCTCGCTCCCTCTTCCACTGTGAACTATTTACCGAAGCTTCCAATTGGCGACAGAGTTTCTAGCGTATACAACCTCAGGGCGAGTGGCAGTGATACTCTGGAAAGCCATAAAAGCTGACAAGAGATTACTCTTATTTCCGATTGCATCATTTACCATGGCATGCAGAGTGATTTTGTCGAGTTTTGGGATAGTTCTGGCACTCTTAAGGGGCTGGAGGGGTTTGACAGGCTTGCCACCTTTACGAGTACGAGAAGCGTCGGCTGACGGGGTGGTTGTTGTGGGAGCCGCCGCGGAAGGTTCTGCTGTCAATGCACTCTCGATTTGTGCCTGAACGTCGGGATATTTGTAGGTGGCAGGAGCGGCACGTGCGTGGTCATACGTGAGGACCATCAAGTCCTCTGACAAGGTGCTTTCGTAATATTCTCTCAATCGCAGCAATCCATGCGAAGACGCAACGTTTTGTGTGCTGGAAAAGGGTCGTATCGCATGTCTGATCAATCTTGAGTGAGCACACCCAGTTTTTGAGAGGTTGCGCAACAAGGTGGCCATTATGGTGGTGTTGCTGGATAGAAATGAAACCTGTCACATCACTATTGCTATGTTCTTTCATATTTTGTTTACTAGTGAAGACAAGTCACAACAATTGTCAAGACGTTATTTTTAATCTCAGTTATCAGGGCTCAACGATAAGTTTATCTACTAAAAATTACAAGCAGTCATATTTTTCCGAACTTGAAAGAATCCGGTAGTTCCGGCTCAACACTGTATTTCTCTTTATTAACATTATTATTATTTTTATCCGTTTCAGACGCGTAATTACTTTTACAGACACACAAAGCAAATCTCCACTCGCAATGAACTCCAACAACACCAACCTCATCATCAACGACATTGAAAATCCCAAGGTTTCGGAAACATTCATCAATAAAGTTGCTTTCACTCATTGGCTTGAAAACGCTGACATAAGACTTGCTAACTGAAACGTTACCAACACGCATGTGTCAAAGGCTTCTGACAGCATCAACAGCCCCAAGTACTTTGTCGAGACACTATACCTAGCATGCGATCATCATGGCTCGCCAAGAAAACACAAGGAAGAGGCTGGTGACAAGCCAAAGGCAAAGAGAATCCACACAGATTCTACCAAGGATGGCTGCAAGACCAAGATTATAAATACTTTGTGTGATGGACAGGTCCATTTTTAGTAGCTCTGACAACATGAGACACACCGACCAGAGAAGGTGCAAGACGAGATTTGGTCAAGGCGGCCAAACGATGTTAAGCAATGGGTTGTCTTGCATGTTGATAACAGCATGGATTGGAAGACTATCAATACGCTTCTTCGTATTCACCCCCAACGCTTAGAAGAATTAGTAAATAATACTTCTTTTATCTGATCTACTAGCTGATTTGTTCTATAGCTTGAAGCTGGTTTTACCATTTCCAGCTTCCCGACGTCCCTACGCATCAACTACAATGATGTACAGAATGTCATTAACGCTCATTCGAACAAGCTTTCCGGGCGGGATGCGGTTGACAAGACCAGTGTGGAGGAATGGATGTCATTCTTGAAAAATGAAAAATGCTGTATTGTCCATATGAAGTTCCATGAAGGCAACGGCGCATACCTGCTCTCCTGGGCCTCTCCTTGGCAGAAGAAGGTAATATTTGATTTAATAAACACTTGGAATATAACAGTAATACTTGTTGAGCATATGCTTGGGACTGCCGATGAGTGGTATATTGGCTCCACGTATAAGACACGCTAATTTTTGGTGAGGTCAGGCAAGCACTCGTATCTCTATACGATTGCTGTGAAAAGCAGCATTACGAATAAGGGTGTCCCAGTTTGCTTCTTCATTACTGATGCTGAGTTCGCAGCGACCTTGACACAATGGCTCAGTTGGGTTTAATCCAACAGTGACTTGTGTGTCAAGTACATAATGATTTACTGTAGCTCAATTGAGATGGGTGTCCTGGAGAATGTCGTTTGGCAGAGTGTCCAGATCCTAAGCGATTGTTTGACTTCTTTGGAAGAAACAGATATTGCTTCCCAGTAGAAGTACAAAAAAAAACATTCAAAGCGTAATTTATTAATAAAATCACAGTTCAGTGCAATTTTACCATTTTCTTTTTTGTTCGGACCAAAAATTATAAAGTTCAGATGAATAGTGACTGTCTGTATTTTGTAGTAATTAGAGGGTTTTCTCACTTATGCGCTTGAGAGGGTTAAAAAATGAATAAATAAATAATAACACATATGAAGTAGAATGGTTGGAATTTCGAGTGTCGATCACTTTTCTTTTTATTTTTATCTTTCTCTTTTTTTGGAGGTTGAAATTGTTATACCAAATTTGGGAGATTGTGCAATTGGTTTCATTCAAAGCACGCTATTGTGTTTAAAATCGCATTTTTTTTGTTGTGTTTGGCCCTGACCGCTTTTCTCTTTTACTTTTTCTTTACTATGAAGCAACGTAGAAAAAACTCGCAAAAGCAGCTTGACTGGGCCAAGTCTACTGGTTCCAAACTCCCGATTGTACACTCGTCGTCTGATCCAGTAATTCATAAAGAGCCTCGTGAACTTCCTGAAGATATTATGGAAGACGTCTCTGCACTCTTTAAACCGAAGCCTGTACCGTTCTGGAAACGAAAGCGATTTCACTTTGTGGTGGGAGTTACTGTAGGACTTATGGGCGCACTCTATGGCGCTTCGACCACACCCATGGCACAGACACACCTCAACGATCTCCAGGCCTTTTTGGCACTTCAGATAGCCGAGATGGATATTCAAAGCATGCTACCAGCAACAGAAGCAGTGGATGAAATGCTTGGAAACTTTACAAGCTTTCTCAAGCCAGCACCTACAAGTGACATTCCATTTATGCCGGCAACAGCCTTCAAGCAAGTGTTTATTGCACACCCACATATATATTCTTCTATATATATAATATGCTTAATAATTACTTACATATCAATGTTTAGGGACGAATTGGACTTGAAACCACATTTTCCAGTCGTATTGATTCCTGGTATTGTTTCTTCAGGACTCGAGAGTTGGGGAACTTCTGAAAAGTCACGCAAGTATTTCAGAAAGCGCATGTGGGGCACTACCAGTAAGTTTAATTATAAGCATTTTGCTTATTTTGTCATTTTTTTTTCAAGTACACTAAAGTTGACTTGACAGCAATGTTTAGGTCAGTCTTACTGGACAAAGAGCTTTGGACAGAGCACGTAAAACTGGACACAACCACTGGCTTGGATCCTCCTGGTATAAAACTACGTGCTGCCCTGGGTAATATTTCACTACGTCATGATTAGCCAAATCTCACAATATAATATAATATTTTATAATACAGGCTTGGATGCTGCTGATTACTTTGTGGCCGGGTAAGCATTTCTTTTTTTTTTATAAAAAAAAAGTCTATATCAAAACTTACTGTCATTTTTTGAATATGATATTAAATTGACATGTGAATTTGGGTCAAAAGATATTGGGTGTGGGCCAAAATTATAGAAAATCTAGCCACAATTGGCTACGACAGCAACACAATGCATCTTGCAAGTTATGACTGGCGGTTATCCTTCTCTAACCTTCAAATACGGGATAAGTATTTCTCTCGTTTAATGGCCACTATTGAAACATCCAAGAAAACAGGCGGCCTTAAGACAGTTGTGATTACACACTCCATGGGTAAGCTCACGTTGCATATGATTTTACTGTGATTACGATGAATTGGCTATGTTAAACACGTTCTCAATTCCCTGTTATTACAATTATTTCTATAAAAACAAGGCGGCGTCTTGTTTCCGTATTTTTTAAAATGGGTCGAGAGTCCACAAGGTGGAAACGGCGGCCCAACCTGGGCAGATGATTATATCGAATCGTTCGTTAACATCGCCGGACCCATGGCAGGAGTACCAAAGGCCATGACAGCAATGTTGTCAGGTAAAGATTAATATTTTATTTTTTTAAGAAAAATCAGCAGTCTTCTGAACCAAGCACATAGGGGAAACTAGAGATACAATGGCTGTAGGTAGCTTTGGTGCATATCTTCTAGAAAAGTTTTTTTCGCGAAAGGAACGTGCCAGTCTTATGCGTAGTTGGGGAGGTGGTAGTTCGATGCTCCCAAAGGGAACTGATCTCATTTGGGGAAGCCACGAGAGAGCACCAGACGACGAAGAAGACGAGTCTCATCAGTCTCATGGCAACATGATATCATTTGTCTCACCATCGCTACTTCCTCAAAATAACTTAAAACCAGATATTACTGATGGCTTAATTCAAAACCATACATCTGAAGATGCTATGAATCTTCTTCATCGTGTAGCACCATTTGATTATAATGAAATGTTAAGATTAAACTACTCGTATGGAATAACGACTTCCAAAAAACAGCTCGAGGCTAACTCTGAAGATCCTACAAAATGGGCCAATCCTTTTGAGTCCCAATTACCCAAAGGTAAGGCTTTATTATCAAAGGACTTTGCGTTGAAATTAAATAATATTCTACCCAGCGCCGAATATGAAGATATTCTGCTTTTATGGAGTTGGCCTACCTACTGAACGCAGCTATTACTATTCAGCATCCACAGATGGAACATCGCCGGCTTGTAACAATTCTAGTCGATGTGACGAATCTATTGATGGCAACTGTACGTTGGGTGGAACAACTGATAATATAACTGAAATTTATGCTCATCAGCTCCAGGCTCCTCATCTTGTAAGCAAATTATTCAAGTGTTGTCACATTGGCAATGTGCTTTTTTTTAATTAAAAAAACCCCCTTTTTTTTATCCGACAGTTTATTGATTCTACCGTTAATGATCCTGCTGCAAGAGTAGAAACAGGAGTCCGGTTCGGAAATGGGTAAGTCACACACACACACAAACACAAACATACGTGTAAAAAGAAAACAATTTATACTTTTGTGGATTTATTTGCATTTTGGGTGGTACTGAAACCCACAATCTGGTTATAGTGATGGTACAGTTCCTCTCATATCTCTAGGTTACATGTGTACTCCTTCGGGAGGTTGGACAAAGCACGCTGATCTTTACAACCCTGGCCATAATCCTATAATAATTAAAGAATATATTAATGAGCAGCCAGAAAGTAAATTGGACGTTCGAGGTGGTAGTAAAGCAGGAGATCACATCGACATTCTCGGGAATTGGGAAATGACGGTAAGTTTCGCAAAGTGGTTTAATAATTACCAATAATTTATTTACATGTCGTATTGAATTTATATAGTTGGATGTACTCAAGGTCGTTTCAAACCAATCGTTCAATGTAACAAGCCGCATTATCACAAAGATAGACGAATACGCTCAAAAGATCAACATCCAACATCAAGTCTAGAAAGTGCTCAAAACTCAATCTCTCGCCATAATCAAGTATATAATTCCAGGTTGGCTAGTATGGAGCCTTCATATCCACATATTTTCCAGTATCGAGCTTGTAGTATTATAATATAATTTATTCGTCTTATTCAATAGAAAGTGATGCTTATAACGGTAAACCCAGCAATACTAATGCAAACATGTAAAGCGGAATAATGATATTGTCATTTTGAGTTGAGAATGCTTCAAGTAAGCCTAGAACATTAATTGATAAAGAAAAAAAAAGTCATTGAGCAAAGGCAATAGATGCATATACCATTTACCTGTCATTGTCACCATGATTGTATATGAGACCCACTCTTTCTTGCCCCAAATAAGCTGAGAAGCCCCTTCAACGCCTAATATTTTGGCGGTTTGAATAACCACATATGAAGAAATGAGAACTGCAGTAATATAGGCTATTGTGCCCTCTACCGTCTTTTTAGTTCCAGCCCAATGCAGCCTTCCAAGCGACTTTCCCACTAGTGATGCCTGAAAATTCTTTGGAGTTAGTCTGGATTAACTCAATCAACATAACACTTACCGCAGCATCACCAACCCCAAGAGATAGAATCCCTGAAACACTAGCTAGAATATGTGAACTATTAAATGATTCGATTTAGCTATTTATTATAACATTTATGTATCAATAAAAAAAGTCTACTCTTCTTACCTTTCTAACCATACAGTGCTGGCACAACCGATCAAGAGATAAATGTGGCTTAAAATTACTGGACCAAGATCTCGATTATCAATAAACTCGGTCAGAAACATATGAAGGCTTTTTCCATATGGCCAGACAGCAAAGTACCGCAAGTACTCGAGGTAAATAAAAAGTGCAAGGGCCACGGCAAATGCGAGCTTTAGAAACAAAGGCTGTATCAACCGTTGTGTGTAAGATATTTGTGGAAATAGTACAGATAGTGGCTTACTTCAAACAAAACGCCTGGAATAAACATTACTACTGCCAGAGCATGAAACAATTTGCGTTTCTTATTGAGTGTACTGGTTAATATCCTTTCTTCACCAACAGATTTAAAAAACGACTTCTGCGATGGTTCTGGGGTAAAATCTAGTACAAGAACCCAGACAACAACTGTGGCAGCGACTGAAAACGCCCAATAGAGGGATAGAAATAAACGAGAAGGAGACATAAGTACAAACTCAAGTGTCCTATCCAAATATAAAACGAGCAGTTAAAAAATCTTATTATACATATATTGACATCTGCTTTTTAATTTTTGGCTTTTTAAAGCTTCTTAGTATTTACCATACAATAGGGTTGTTTCCTGTTATATTATAGCAAACTGGGGCAATACCAAATAGGATAATGGATATCGAGAGAGTGTAAAAAGCAATAGACACTTTAACCCTTTTTTGGTATATTTCGTTCAAATCTTCGGTGATCGGAGAGCGCCAATATGGTTGACGGGCAATCCAACGAGACCGACGAAGGAGGGGGAATAGAGCCATACCGATTAATAGAATTCCCAAAATCAAAGCATGTATAAGCACTGTAATTTGAGATATAGGCATCCCGGCCAAGTAATACGGTGACCTTTCCGTCAGATACTATGCATTGCCAATATTTAGCCAATGATGTATGAGGTAGATATATAAAAAAAAAACCACAGCTTACTGTAGCCCATATCATATCAAGAGAACCATGAACAAGAATAGCAACAGCCTCAGCCAATATGCACATTTCCCCCAAGGTGAACGATTTCTTCAACCCGACTACGCAGACATATAGTGCCCATTGAAATGTGGTTACAGTAATAATAGTGATTACAATAGGAACTCTTGACAAGACAGGCATTAAGTTTGTAAACCTGGTGGCTAACACTGTAAACAGACCCGAGACAAAGATAGAGGCCAGAAATACACCACGCTTACGTATTATACGTTTCATCGGGTGCATAAAACGACTTGCTGAAACTAGAATAAGAAATATAAAGCTCATCAAGAGCAGCAGTTCCAAGTGTACTAGAGCCAAATCTGTAAAACCCAACACATCTCAATAAAGTTCATTTTATAGGATCTTTTTGAAATGGAAAGTGAATTACCAATATTTATAGAATCTGATTTCTGATGGAGTTTTTCTACAAGTTTTGCAGTAGCTACCATAGGTAGTAGTAATACACCACACAGAAGCCCATCATCTGCCCCAGAGCTGGTCATAATAAATAGATGCATAAGTACTATAAACGACATACAGTCTTCAAATAAATCTCTAGGTCGCAAGGGTATACAGAAATAAATGACAACATACCGAAAGGAAGATTGACCCGTGCCAAAGATGCGTGTTTTTGTGTATGAAAGCACACTAGTTTTTTCAGACTTTCTTATATTCCTGGTAATATAATTTATTTTTGGAGATATTGATGGGTCGGAAGTATCGTCAGACGAAGAACTTTGATCTTCGGAGGATGAGAATAACAGAGGTTTGTGGTGCGACAGGATGTGACAAGTACCTAATGACGAGCCTATACAGACAATCCAACCTTTTTGTTTTGTTCCAAGCCCGTCAATAATAATCTTTTATATTGTTGCACCATTTCTAACCCAAGATTTGGTTGTTCATCAAAAAATAATGCAGAGCTATTGTAGTTACCTATTACTGTTAAATTATCTAATGGTGTTGCATCATTAATTTGAAGTTTCCAAAGGGCCCAAAACACTGATATTAGCCACAATAAACGTTCTGTCAATGCCATGTGCTTTTGATTGCTTTTAGTTTCATTGATCGTCTGTGTAAGTGACGCAAGAGAATTAAGGCTTTGTGCTTTTTTGCGTCGAATTATATCCGCTGTTTGTTGTTCCTCAAGAGTTGACGCAAACCCTTCGTCATTAGGAAGAGAGGGAATTGTGGGATTGATAGCCATGATTTGTTTGCTTAATGACCATCTATTAATCAACAAAACTTTGGTTTTAAGAGAAAAGGGGTGGGGTGATCAATTAATCACGTGCTTTTTATTTAAATCAATATCACTAGGAAAAATACAAGTTGAATTGCTTATGCTCTCAATATAGTTTAAGAAGTCAAGGATGGGGTCGTTAAGGGGCTTCTCAAGCACCAGCCAAGGTCCTAAATGTTGGCGAGGGTTTCCGTATACGGATTGGCGACAGCAAAAGTGACACGTAGGGTACTTGTAAGAGGCAATGTAACTGATTACGATATTATTGCGAGAAAGGACGTTCAGGTTGCATTGTCTCTACGCCTAGTTTACTAGCTAGCGTAGATATTCTATCCTTAATGGAGGCGTGGTAACAAGGGATAGTAACCTACTTCAAGAGGATATGTTTTTGAGACAATAGATGTGCACTCTGATAGTTAGGATGAGTCAAATAATATTTAGTTGTCGAGTCATATGGGGATGAGAATCAGTTGTCAAAATGAGGTAAAAATTGGAAAGTGTTTTTAACGAGGTAAAAAGGTTCTTTATTCATATTCACTAAACTTCCTCTAATAATAGTCTTCTCTGCCTCTTCCTTTCGCTCCTCTCATCTACACTTTGTTCTCCTTTCTTCTTCAAATTCATTCTCCGAGAAGAGGCAGCCGCCAACCACCACGCGTGCTGTCTCAAAAGTCGAATCCAAGGTTTTGGCGAATCGCCAACAAAATTGGCTAAATTAGAAAAGTCGCCAATTCTTATTTGGATTTCATTGCCAACTTTCACTGCAAAAATTGTATAATTGTACAGGGTTGAAATATATGTTGAATCGAGGGAAAAAGGTAATTTCACCCAGTTTAAAGGGATGTTCCCCCCGAATGGAAACATAAGTTGTATCTTTGGAAAGAAGCCTTATACTGTGGTGAAATACTTAGATTTACACTCCGCCTAAATTAGCTGGTATTTTTCATTCACCTTTTAAATACAAAAGAGGTCTAGCATATATTCCCATTAAAGTTTGGTCATCATTTCTTAAATGGGGTGGTCAGTCCAAATAAAGCCACTCTGTGTGAGCCAATTATATCAAAGGTTCCCCAAGTTTTACTCAATCTCTATTGGTTAGATATCTCGAAATTTGGGGAAACAGGTGGAGAAACAGGTGGAGAAACAGGTTTACAATTATAATCAGGCTTTTTATTTGGTATTTTATACAATCAATTTTATTATATAATTTTTCAATTTTTGGTTTATTTGATAGAAAAAAAATGGTTTCTAGATAAATATTTTGATTTCACAGTATCCTCTCCTTTTACACGTTTTGAACCCATTGGATATTTCTTGCTTGAAATCATCGCTCTATTTATTACCTGAACCAGACATTGAATACTAAATTGAAAGAAGAAAAGCACTGTTTAAGAACAGCATCAACAATAATTAATGAATGCATAGAACATGCTATATAATATTACTTACAGTGTGATATACTCAATCAAAGTAATATCAATAAATACTTTGAGATAGTCAAGATTCTAAAATATTTTTTCTTATAAGTACAGATATCAAAAAACATGCATTACATAACTTACAAATTGTGTAGATAGCGGACTAAAATAAAGAGTGTGTCTAAAAAATATATTGAGAGAAGTATTTTTACAGATTAATAATGGAAAAAGATAGATTGAAGCAATAAAAAAACTTACCATCATACTCGATTTAGAAATGAATAGAGCTAATGAGAAAGAGTGAAAATAACAAAAGAAAATAAAGGAAAATGATAGTCAGTGAAGAGCTTTGAGAGAATATCATTCTTACCTTGGTATTCAATACTGTGTATGAAAAGACGCATAAGTGTCCTATTTATCAGCTACAAAATAATGTGAGAAAATATATAAAAAGAGAAAAAGAAAAAATAGGAAGTTGTTTCCTAGAGAATTCTCATAAGAAAAAATGTGGGCAGAAGAAAGAGATTCAAATAATTAGCAATACAAGTCACTTAATATGAGAAGAATGCACTTGTAAAAAAAATCAAAAAAGGCTTTACTTTTTGATATTTTGTCTACGAATTATTTGTTTTCTAAAAAAGCCCAATTATTTTGATTTCACGCCTTACAAAAGCTTGTGAAAATATCGCAGTTTATTATTTCTGTTATATATGTGGGGAAAACAAGATAGAAAATAAAACAAGTGCAGACGAGAGTATAGTGAGACTTTGTTTTATTAGAAGAAGTCAAAGAATCAGAAAGGAAATGCTGTTCTATTGCTATTAGTATTGTGCGTTTATATAGACATTGTATTTAGCTTGGTGATGATATGATGATATCATGTAATGTCTGTTTCTCTACTATTATCTTCTATGATTTAGTTCTTATGTTTTTAGTGTTATTGACTAGAGTCTTAGTATTTGTTCTAGTATGTTCTTTACATAATTTCCTTGTATAAGGGAAGGTATATCTTTTAGTATTGTTACTAGTTGTTGGTAACTCAATGTACGTATTTATTGAGTGTCTGTACTTTTAAGTTAAATCTACAATTATATTGAATACAACAATTGTAATGACTATGAGCAATTGAGTTTGAAGCGAGTGACTAATTTAGGCAACTAGTCGGAGAGAAGGGATTTTGAACTATAGAAAGATAATGTTTTATTGAAAAGAAGTGATAGCTATTTATATGAATAAAAGACGGGCAGAGATACAGACAGAAGATAATAGAGAAGAAGATTATGCATTCACATGTACCTACTTTCAGTAGTCCTTTACTACTGCAAGCAGTACATCCTATCGGAGGTACAATTCATTTTGATGTTCACACAACACAATTTCAATCCAAAAAAGAACAGATTTTAGCATTCATCCAATAGAATAATAGAAGAATTACATTGCTGTTTAGAGTATAAAATCAGTCGAAAATGACACATGTTGAGTTTGTTGTGTGTGCAACTTGGTCAGAAAATAATAATAAAATATATTGAAGAAGAATTACAAATGTAATCCTGGAGTATGAGTTTGGGTAGGGAAGAGGATAATAAATAGAAAGGTGAATATGGAAGAGATACAGAGTATTTAGAAAGGCAATTGAATGTTCAACTTCACTCAGGACAGTTGAGGATGGAAAAAAAATAAAAGTGTTCAGGTAAAAGGTGAAAGGAGGTATAGGAACACTGTCGATTCACTCGGGACAATCCAAACAGATAAAACAGCAAGGCACAGGAAGGTAAGGTAGAAGAAGAGAATAAAAATACTGCTGATTTCACTCAGGACAATCAAGACAGATAGACAGCAAGGTATGAGAAGATAAGTTTAGAGAAGAATTTAAGAGAACACTGTTGATTTCACTCAGGACAATTACACAGATACAAAGGGACAGAAAGAGGAAAAAGAGGAAGAGGGTTTTGAACAGATATATAAGACTTTAATGCAATATATGATTGCTTTCCTACGGGTCAGACAGAAAGCTGTGGTGATCCAGACACTTGAATGTTGGATTTATCACATATAAGAACATATTTATATTTGGATAGCATAGTAGCTATCATCTTGTCAGTATAAAATATATATAAACAATTAAGTAATCAGCCCAATAATTATTACAGTTAGTACTGTAGATAATATCTTAAAGATTGTTAAGATAATTATATCATACTGCCAGGTAAACTGTGTCAGATCGATATGGAGCTAATTTAGTAGAAAGTCCTAAAGCTCTAGTATAAAAAAGAAAAGAATAACTAAGAGCTAAAGAAGTACGATTTATGACCTGATGTCATAATCGTTACACTGACACTAGTTAAACAGTAAATACACTCTAATAACCAAATATAGTAAAGGAAGAAAGCCTTAAGAAACTAAGATGTAATGACAAGAGCAGATTGTGTTTTCTTATAAAAAAGAACACTTTTTATTTATGAATAAAGACAACTGATATACAGTCTCAAAGTATTTCTATACGTCTCTATTACCAAATATTTTATTTTTCTATTGTTTCATACCTGAAATACCACAAAAGCAATTCAGAGACAGTGATTTTAAGAGAGAGATAACTGATAATATTTATTGTAGTAAAAATAAATCTCTTATATATCTTTGAGAATTGAAAATAAAATGAAATAAAATATGAAAATGGAATGTTTTTTTTAGAGATTGTAGATGTGACTTATAGCGTGAGAAGAGATAATATGTAAATGTGGGTAGATGTCAATGTCAAAATAGAAAGAGTGGGATAATGTTTGTGCTTTTTGGTAGAATGTAGGGGTAAGATGTTAGAATATAACAGTGCTGGTAATAAAAAGATAATAAAAATGAGATATAAGATGAGAGATGAATAGTAGTAATAGTGAAAGATAAATAGTGTGAAAAAAAGGGAACTGGGAGAATAAGTTGATAAAATAATGCAAGAGATACAAGTATGTTCAAGAGATGTGGATAGAGATAATTTACAATGAAAAAGATGTGCGATGTATATATATGAGAATGTGAGGAAAAGCTAGAAAAGAAAAAGGGAAGATGTATGTATAAAAGATAAAAATGCCAAAAGGAGAATATATGCGGGAAAAATGAGAGTGATAATAAAAGAAGAAATATATATATATATATAAAACGTGACTATGAAGGGATGTGATAATGTAGATGATGATGAGAAAAAATTGAAGAGGAAAATGGTTGGAGAAGAAGAGAGATGAATTAGGGTAGGCGGGGCTGAAGAACACATAACACCCATGTCAAAAACACACCCACTGAGGTTTCTCCTAAATATGAAATTTTCTTGTCGAAACTAAATTTTCTATTGGCTTAGAGTATGGATTGAGATTAAACATGAAAAGCTTCAGATTTGGGGGGGGGGGGGGGGGGCAAAATGATAAGACATATGCCAGAAAAGAATGAAATAATATTTTTGTGTACAATAAATAAAATTCAGGTGATATAAATATATGAAATGGGGGGAGAATGACAGAGAGTTGGAAAACAGAAGATTTAATTAGACAAAATTTATTGGAAAACATAATTTTTCTCTAAGTCATTTTCATCATTTATGTTTTTTTGCCATGTCATTGAACATCCTCAACTGCATGCCATAATATAGAGCATTAAGAAATATTTTTCTATTATTTTTTGAGTAATCAAAGTAAATAATAATGGTCTAGCTAATGCCAACATTACTATAGTAGATTTTAATGAGAACTATATTATATAAGTTTGCAATGTCACAGTAATTGTCAGCAATAATGACAAAAGTTTATGTTAATTTTATTGCTGTTATATTATTTTTGATGTACCATTAACATTATTATATTCTTTTATAATCATTTCGACTTTCTTTAATAGTAATACTGCTAAGAATATAGCAAAAAAGTACTCATATACACTGATTCTTGACATAGTGCCACCACTCATAAGATCCCGAAACTACTAAAAAACAAAGGGACATAATAGACTTTAGGCTAATTTTCCAATTGTTTACTTGTCTCTTTTTTTTATTATTTTCATGTCATCGTTTAAAGGTAAACCACAAGTATAATCTAGCCAGAAAATACTACATCATGGAAGTTTATTAAAGTGAGTACTATTTCTATTATGCATCTCTTTGAATTCTTACTAAATCATAATCTTGCTAGACTTCAAAGGCGATGCAAAGATGAGATTATAGAACCAAATCTTATCAGCAGAGCAATGATAATTATCCAGATACATAATCGGCTTTTTTGCCATAGAAACATTAGATATGGACTAAATATACATATTAAAACAGTACACCATCTATGCTCCATATTCTAATTATTTCTTTACTTTTCTTAGGTAAGTTTTTAATAATAGCTAGTAGATATACACGCAGTATAAAAAGGTATTTTCTGCTTAAATAAACATTCTGTAAATTGTTATATTAATATACTTTCTTATTTATTAGCTTTCTCATATCTGTAAAAGCTGCTTTCATTAAGAAATGGCTTGTATCTTATAAGATACTTAGTAGAATTACTTCTTTTTTTGAAACAAAATAAAATATATCTTTTTGAGCCCAAAAAATAATTTCCAATGTTTGCACCCTCTCTCCCAATTCTACTATTTGAGGAAGACCCCCCTTGAAACTTGTCTGAGTTTCCTAAAAAGGAAACCCTTATCGACATTTTTTTTTCTTTTTCATTGTTGAGATTAAAAAAACTTCAGTGGGTGTAAATAAGATTTTAGTCTATTATTTCCCCTATTGCAACTAATGTTTCTGAGAGTGAAATCATATAATTTTTGCAGTGGTACTTGTAGAAATGTCGGAAAAGATTTTTTAACCAATAGAATCACTGAAGATAGAAGAAATTATAACTTCAGGCTCGTAGATTCTTCAGAAAATATGCTTTGTGGGATTTCAGATTGTCTTTGCATCTAATCCAATCAATTTCTCTAAATATGGTAAATCTATACCTTTTTAGGTACTGCAATTCTTCTTATAATTAGTATAACAAACACTGTAGGAAATAGCAGTGTTTAAACTCCGAACCTGCAACAAAGTTGCCAACCTGCAACTTTCTTCTAAGCCAATAGGAATCAATATTTAATAACTCTGGATCTGCAACAGAGTTGTAGGTTTACTATACCAAAAAAATAGGAGTTTTAGAGGTGGTTTCACAGGTGGTTCTGGAGGGGAAGCCAGGGCGCGTTTTGTGTCCTCCCTCCTTTTTTCCAACCCTGAGTTCATGTGCATTTTAATACATCTCTGCTTATTGGTAGTTTTAAGATTCTATTAATATATTGATAACCTTTTCTTTTGCTAATATTTTTCTTTCAATTGGACAAAACTTCTTTAAGTATAGTTGAAATATTATATGCCATTAGTTACTACTAATTCATTATTCTTTTAATTTAGATTCTTTTAAATATTTCTTGCTTAATCATTGTTTTTATTGGATAAGACATAATTGCACTGTAGTGTATTTTATAAAAATACATTTTTATTGGTTTCTCAAATGAATATATTTTTTATTTATTGTTTTTATTGGTTATTATAATATAATTACATTTTATATATCACTTTTATTGGCTGGTATGATAGACATTACATTTTATACATCATTTTTATTGGTTATAAACAGTCAAATACATCATATACTTTAAATATTAAATATACTACTTTATGCTGTAGCGGATGATTACTTACAATTGCCTCCTTTGACAGCCTTTCCAGAGATGACTGACTCTTGCAATGGATGCCCAATTTTGATGACATCAGGTGAAATCTACACCAGCCCTCTTAAGTATGTTTGCATGTTTATTGCAAATCATTGTTCAATCACATGAAGATATGGACCTCCAACTAGGACGAGGGCCAAGAGCTTGTACAGAAGGAAGGGTGGCTAACTCGTTACACACAAGTTTTGTACAGGTCCTGAGTGTTGTTTTTTTGGATGCTGTAACCTTGATTCCAAGATGTTGACTCATGATTTAGTAAACATGCTTTAAAGTGACATTACAAATGTTGATCACAGGTTTGAAAATAAACCCACTTGAAGTCTATTGAAGTTAAAATTAGTTTTCAGCAATACTGTTTTGAGTTGAACTTACATTAATAAACAAAGAGAGATTTTGCTTTGGAGATTCTTTGATCATTATTTCATTTCCAAGGCTGTTAATATCCATCTTAATTTGTTCTTGATTGGCATGTAAGACAGATAACTGGAGCTGAATGGCTAGGAGTAAAGATTCGATGATGTTATCTGTGTCATTCATATTGTGAATATTGTTTACTTGAGAAAAAAAATGTCATTATGAAAATAAGATATAAAGAAAAAAATTTCAATGATCTACTATTAGTTTCATAACAATATAGATTGAATCTATTGGGTTGGTTTCAGTGAATATCAATTTTGCTTACCGTGCTTATATGACGACATGATATATATATGTTTTACTTTTTCTTCTGAGCTTATATTCAAGTTACTGCACCATTATTGTCTTCAAGTTAATCATTATAAAAGAGTTCAGACTTGAAAGCAAATATCTCTATTCTTACCCATACTTCAAAAGAATAAATTCAAATTAACAAAATGTCTACAATCACAAAGCTTTCCCACCACGAGTGCAGTATCTGCCACAAATGCTACACAAACAAGAAACTTGTAGCCAAGTGTGAAGTTCAGTGCCTGGAAAAAGTTTATAAAGAAATGAATAACACCCAAAGTTTGCAAGTTGCTTCTGTTTCTGAGCAGAGTAATCTTATCTTGAATTTTGCATCTAACTCAACCTTGAAGTAAGTCTATAAATTATAATGATGCAACTAAATAAAATATATTAATTCTTTAATAATTAAACAGAGAAAGCACCAACATGAGCATCAATGAGAATATTACTCCTTCCATTATCAACAAAATTGATGAGCCCATGATAAGAAAGATAAATATACAAATGTATTCAATGTACTAATTATTGTTTGCCTTATTAAAGTATGATATTGAACATGAGGATTCTATGGAAAATGATTTGACAATCATGGATGTTACTGAAAATGTCATTGACAATACTCCTCCTCAGTTGGCCTATGACTTTAGTGCTCCTGTTCCTGTTTCTGGCTATGCTGATGCAAAGAATCTCAAGCTTATGAAGATCATCAAGGAGTTTGACATTTCCCAGAAGGCCCACATTAGTCTTGCAAAAGACTTCAATGAAATTCTCAGTAAATCAAGTGAGATATCATACAGAGTTTTAACTCCCTACCTTGGTACCAAGCTTCTTTCTCGATTTCTTGGTGTTGATGAGGAGACATACCACATTTGTTGCAATAGGTGTATGCTGTACAACAACAATCAGCAAACGGAGTGCCCACATTGTGACAAAGCCTATTACAACACTGGCAAGAGAAGCCAAGACACTAGTGAGAATCCAATTCCTGCCAGCACAATGATACAGCTTCCTCTGGGTAGACAGCTTGCACTTGCTTTGGTCAACGACTGCACCAGAAAAGAGATTCTCTATCACCACCATCATAAGCAGAAGACTGATGGCAGCATTTCCAATGTCTTTGACAGACAGGCATACCAGTCAAAGAAACATCTTTTCTCGGGTGTAAATGACATTGTCATTTTGCTGTCTGTTGATGGGTTTGCTCCCCATAGTGTTCTGGGTTTTGTAACCATTGTCCACGTTACTAATCTCAATCTTCCCCCAATGATCTGCTATGAGCAAAGCCGTATGATCCAAGTTGCGATCATCTCTGGTCCCAAAGCATCCACCAATCTCTGGTTATTTCTGGAGCCTGTTCTGAAAGAACTTCAGGTTCTCCAAGCCAGTGAAATGGTTGTGAAAAAACCATCTAGAGATATTAGTGCAAAAGTCTATATACTAATAACAACTGGCGACATCCCAGCTCTGAAAAAGATGACTTGTCATGTGGGCTATATGAGTAAGAATGGCTGCTGCATCTGCCACATTGTGGGTCGATCTCCTGGCCATAGCCAATTTTTCCAAATGACATCTGCTATCATCATGCACACACTGGAAAGTTTCAAGCACTTTGATGAGATGGTCTCATCTAGCAAAAAAGGGTTAACTGGCCAATCTCCCTTCTCCTTACTGGATTCCTTCTCTGGTCCATTCTTCTTTGCATTAGATGAAATGCATGACATTTGTCACGGCATTGGCAAACAGGTCTGGGGGCTCGTGTGTGGCAAGTATGGAAAAGATCATCCTCTCTTTCTCCCTTGCTGCTCAGAAAGAAATTGGTACTGCCATGGTGTCACCTAGAAGAAGTATTCTGACATCTTTCCATGGTGCATGGATCAACATTGCAACAAGATCAGGGTACTTCCGGGCTGTAGACTGGGCTGACTTCATCTTGTTTGTTATCCCCACGCTTGTGGCAGAGCGTGTCCGTGACCAAGCTGCCCATAAGGCATTGCTTGACCTGGTGCAGATATGCAACCTACTCATGAGCTGAGAGTTATCAGCAGAAGAGAAAACCTTGATCAAAACGCAAGCTTTAATTATAATTAATTTTATTATTTTATAACTTGTGTTAACTTATCTTTTTTTTTTAGAAATCTCATCGCATGGAGTGCATATCTGGAAGCCTCACTAGCTAAAGAAGAGATCTAGCTCAAGGTCTTTATGTGGTGATCTAGATACTTGGATGTTGGGCTTATCACATATAAGAACATATTCATATTGGGATAGCATAGTAGCTATCATCTTATCAGTATAATATATATATAAACAATTAAGTAATCAGCCCAATAATTATTACAGTTAGTACTGTAGATAATATCTCAAAGATTGTTAAGATAATTATATCATACTGCCAAGTAAACTGTGTCAGAGTGATATGGAGCTAATTTAGTAGGAAGTTCTAAAGCTCTAGTGTAAAAGAGAAAAGAATAACTAAGAGCTAAAGAAGTACAATTTATGACTTGATGTCATAATTGTAACACTGACATTAGTTAAGCAGTAAATACACTCTAATAACCAAATATAGTAAAGGAAGAAAGCCTTAAGAAACTAAGACGTAATGACAAGAGCAGATTGTGTTTTCTTATAAAAAGGGACACTTTTTATTTATGAATAAAGAAAACTGATATACAGTCTCAAAGTATTTCTATACATCTCTATTATCAAATATTTTATTTTTCTATTGTTTCGTACCTGAAATACCACAGGTAAGGTGGTGTCATAGATTTCATATGCGATCAAAATCTTTTCCACAAAGTGAGCAGATCTTTCCAATATTGTCAAAGGCAAAATTATGTTGACCTGGTCCTTTAGGAGCAGAAACTACCACCCTAGGATTTTTTGGGTAATTAATAATACGCTGCATCACAGGGCTTTTGTGATGCAACGTATTGTCTAATGTGATAAAGGAGTATAGATGACCATCGTATATTTATTTATTTCTGCATCTTGAAACAACAAGTCGATTTCTTTCAGAAACCAATGAAAAGTGTTATTCATGTAACCAGTAATAAGCATATAATGGTCTTCAAAAACCAATGAAATTCATTAATTTATTACAGTTTAGCTTGACACAAAAAAAAACATTGAGTGCCTTTTTTTGTTTCATACAACTTTTTTCATTTTTCTAAAGATCAGGCAACAAATAACATATGATCTTGCTACTCATTAGCTAATTATACTACAGATCAACTCTGATCCTCCCACATGATTAAGATTTTAAAAGGTATTGCTAATGATGTGATTCTATTACGAGTTCTGATTAATAAAATCCAATTGAAGTATAATAGGGCATGTGAATTCTTGACATAAAGAGATATGTAAAGAACCTTGCTCATATACTGATTTTATTCATACTAACATAAATATATGTCTTCTTCTTTTTTGCTTTGTTTTGCTTTGCTTTGTTTTGTTTTTGTTTTGTTTTGCTTTGTTTTAGATTCAATTAATATGTGGTAAATCATCTAAAACATAATAATCTTCATCAAAAGTCCATGTACTAATGATCTTTGTTTTTTTTGCAGGTTTGACATTTTTGGTTGGATTTGAAACTTGTCCTTCCAATAGCTTTTTTGTTTTTATTTTAAAAACATTAATATGGTTTTTGCTTTCAAACATGCAATTGGTTTTTCAAAATTCTACTTGCTTTTGTTTCTGGAAACACTTTCAGAATAGCTATTGGATATTTCTAGCTGCTAGTGCAAGCATATCTACCCTACAGTAGCAGCTACTGCAGGGTAGGTATGGGAAGCCTAAAATTATATACCCCCAATATTTTCAACCCATAAAAATAAATAAAATCGTATTTTACCAGCTAATTTTTTTTGCAATCTCATTTATCAATTTTGCGATTCTTTTGGATCTGAAACTTCAAAAAAAAGTTATTCCCAAAATGGTAACATAAACTCATGGGCTGAATGACAAAATTGTTACACAAAAAATCTGCCATGGTGTTTGTCTATTAGAAGATTTAATTTTAGGTAGTCAATCTGCTTTTTGTCAATCTTTTCAAAAAACAGAGATTTTCTTGTTTCATTTTGAATTTTTGGTGATTTTTTAATTATTATAGACCAAAAGCAAAGTCACGAATTCAAAAAACTGTCCCTATTTGCCATAGTAGTTGGCAACTGTCTTCTAGATCAATAACATGCTAGACATTAACCTATAAGTCTTACTTTTAGGCAGATACTATTTATGAGATTTCAGATTATGTCAAATATGATTTATGGAATTTCAGATTATTCTTGCATCTAATCCAATCAAATAATCTAAATATAGCAAGTCTATATCTTTTTAGATATCCTTATTCTTCTAATAATTGGTTCAACAAATACACAATTTTGTATTGGAATTTTATGATTTCTTTATTTTTATTTTATTTCTTGATTCATAAAACCAATAAATAAAGAAGTACATAAAGAAGTATATAAAAAAGTACATAAAGAAGGAATAACTTATATATTTAATATATTAAAAGCTCTAGTTATAACATTTCTAAATATATATATAAATATATGCTTTACTTTTTGTTATTTTTACATAAAGAAAAGCTCTTTCTATTCTTCAAACATGATATTATTTAAGAGTGCATGAATTTTTAAATTTTTGTTATTTTTCAAAATATAATATATATTTTAATGCTTTAGTGATAAAAGTCTAGCAGATTTCTATTTCTGAGAGAGTATCACTAGAAAAACATACGGGAATTACCATGTACAAAGTTAAATTATAACAATAGAAAATCTGGGGTATTTTTTCATCTCAGCTTTTTTTGTGTGTTCAAGATGAAAACACTGTTTTCCGGTTTTCTATTGGCTTGGATACAACAGGCGAAAATATTATTTATTATTATTATTATAAAGACATAACATTTCATTATAAAGACATAGTAAATTTAGTAAACGTTGTACTTGTTTCCTTTTTCTCTTAACACTTCAAAGTAAAAATAAATAAACATTATGTCCACAATTCCTGAACTCTACAACGAAAAGTGCCATTGTGCTGGATGTAGTCAGAACGATCTCGGCTATAGTTTTGTTGCCAGAAGAACTGCTCAACGTCATAACAAAAGGGCAAGACTAAATGCCATAAGATGTGAAAGGGGTACAATATTTGAATTTATTTAATTGTATTGTAATCCATGAAATAACGTGTTGTAATAGACATGTCTACCCAAAGAAATATGATGGAGGTCGATGATGAACGTAAGGTTTATTTAATTCAGATACCGTTAGATATTAACCAAGTGTTATATTCTAAATGTAGCTATCTTAACCCATCAACCCGGAGCCCTGGAAGAATCGTACACTCAGACAAACTCACCTGTTTGGGAAGGAGCTTCAATGTCTGACACTGAAGACGTTTCCGTTACTAATGACGCGATCAGCAATGGCGACAATGATGACAGTGGAAGCAACAGCAATGAAATCAGTGAAGACGAAAGCGAAGACGATGTTATTGAGCTCGACGACAATGAATTGAATAGTGAAGGTCAGTTAGTGTTAAAAATTTTTTAAAAAAAAAAGCGTTAATTTTTTTTTATAATAGACCCTTTTGCCACCCCCGATATGCCCCAGAACCCAGTGCACAGGTTCATTGCTACTTTTGTGGTGATGTTCGCTTCCCGCTATGTGGTTGACAAGGGCGCCGTTGTCTTGATCGAGTTCATCAACAAGCTTTTGACAATTTACGAGCAGGATTTCCAACTGCCCTTGAGCCTTCCTGGTCTTCAGCGCATGACAGGTTTCTCAGCCATGACCAAAGGCATAAAGAAATTTGTTGTGTGTCAGGATTGTCACAAGGTGTACGAAGAAAGTGCATCTGTCCCGTCTCATTGCGATTTCGTAAAGCTTGGTGTACGCTCGTCTTGCAACTGCCAATTGACGAAAACATCAGCATCGGGTGCTTTGGTGGCCAAGCGTTCATACTTGTACCAGTCCGTCCTTAATACTTTACGAATGTTTTTTCTTCGTCCAGGATTCGAGGATAAAATTAGACATTGGAATCACGAGCTGAAGATGGTGGATACGATGTGTGACATATACGACGGTGCCATGTGGAAGGAGCTCAAAGACAAAGATGGCGTGCAATTCACAAAGGATTCGCGTTCATTAATGTTGACTCTCAACATCGACTGGTTTCAACCTTTCGATAACGTCACGCACTCGACTGGTGCCATATACCTGGTAGTAAACAATCTGCCTCGCAATGAAAGATACAAGCCAGAGAACACACTTCTCGTAGGATTGATGCCTGGCCCGAAGGAACCCAAATCCGAAGAGATAAACCATTATCTCCGGCCTATGGTAGATGATCTGATAAGATTGTATGAGGGACTGGCAATCCCAACTTTCGAGTGTCCTAGTGGTGTCCGCGTCCGTGCCGCATTGATGATGGTGGCCTGTGACATCCCGGCAGCAAGAAAGACAAGTGGTTTCACCTCGCACAACAGTACATGCGCATGTTACAAGTGCAACAGACATTTCCCTCGCTTGGAAAACGGTGTCAATGTTGACTTTCGTGGGTTTGACTTCTCTCGGTGGGTGCTTCGTGACGGTGTAGAGAACAGGTTGCATGCTGAGGAGTGGGAAAGTGCTAGTACCCCCTCAGAAAGGCATCGGCTGGAGGTCGAAAATGGTGTTCGATGGTCGCAGTTGCATCGCCTTGGATACCTTGATCTAGTACGTGGAACGATCATCGATCCCATGCATAATTTATTCCTGGGAACGCCTAAAAGATTGATGGATCGTTGGATCAAAGACGAAGACATTCAAGATGGCGATTTTGCGGCAATGCAGAAGACTGCAGAAACGATGATTGTGCCTGGTGGATACACCTCTTTGAACTCGAAAATAGGAAAGCAGTTTTCGTATATGAAGGCAGACGAGTGGAAGTCATGGGTGCTCGTATACTCGCCAGTTCTGTTGAAAGATGTTCTTGCAAAAGACAGATTCGAAAACTGGATTAACTTTGTTGATGCATGCCGCCTGTTGATCAAGCCAACGATCACGTTCGATGAAGTCAACACTGCCCATCAGTTTCTTCAAACTTTTTGCACCAGATGTGACGAGCTGTACAACGCCGAAATCCTCACCTGTAATATGCACCTACACCTCCATCTTCGAGATACAATTCGTGATTTTGGACCAGTGTACGGTTATTGGCTATTCGGGTTCGAGCGGTTTAACGGGTTGTTAAAAAATTTGAAGACAAACAGGAAGATCGGGTTTGAAGAAACATTTATGAAGAAATTTATTGAAGATGTGCACAAAGACGATCTTGTCAACAGTTTCCTTCAGAGTACCCGTCAGACATCTGCATTTCCTCTCCTTACCAAACTCACTTCTTCCTTTACACCCGCCACCATTCCATCCATCCGTCAACGTACCTTCCGCATACAGTCATTTGTCGAGGCTTCTGAAGATCCAAATGTACTTGTAAAAGGCAACGAACCTCTCCCTCCTTCCGCATTCCCTCTATCATTAAAATCCGCTACCACAATGAGTGATATTCACTATGTTCATCTCTTACAATACTACAAAGTTGCGTACAACAATGAACAATTAGTTCACTTTCAACAAGCGTCGGAATCACCATACTTTGTCGACAATACAATCACCCTGTTGAAATACATCAACATCCTTGGGCAGGTCTACAAGGGTAAAGGTGAATCTGGAAGTCGTGGCTCTCTTGTACAAGCAAAGTTCATTGGAAGTACTGGTGAGCATATCATCGCATACACGGGTCAAATACAGTACATTTTCACCCATTCTTTCACTCCTCCACCCACCTCTTCATCCCTTACTCCCTTGCTCCGCACCCATCGCCGCCCAACACAACTTCTTCACAATTCTCAACATACTTTTGCATTTATCAAATGGTACACACCCGAAAATGATAAATCGCGAGAGTACGAACACGTTGAAACCTGCTTTCCAACATTTTCTCCTGACGATTTCCAATGTGTATTGCCAGTGCATAGAATTATGTTAGAAGTAGCAACTGCTGAGCACACAACACGCAGAAAAGTAAAAAAGATGCTGGTCATTCCTTTGCCAAAAAAACAATACATTTAAAAAATAATAAAATTATAACTCCCTTTTTTAAAGGCACACAGAAAAGAATAATCATAGTGTTTGTATTTGTTAGTACATTTATCATTGTCAGATGGAGGATGTGGAGAATGTAGAGGATAAGAAAACAAAATTTATTGAAACTCATCTCTAAAAGCCCAGTGAGGGAGAAGGGACGTCAATCTAGGCGGGACTGCTAAAACAGCATCTCTACCGAAGGACCTCTTCAACATCTGACGCGAATTGAAGTCCATGCGATTACGCATAAAATCATCAACAACTGCAAGAAAGTGATTGTACTAAATACAAATAAGTGATTAATCAAAGTTCTGTTTCATTTAAATACATAAAAAAACAAAAAAAAGCTATATACAATAATGTAAACAAAAGAAATTACCTCATCGCTTCTCCAACTTGGACGCACTGTACGAATCGCACGGTTGCTCGAGACTCCAGGCATATCGTCTTCAGATTCGCCCTCAGACATTGCTTCTTTCTGTAAGAGTCCGTCGCAGCTCTTACCCACCTTCATATCAATTTCAGCCTTGAATGTATGGTAGGTCAGCTCGCGACGGTCAAAATGCTAGTTTATAAATGTATTAATATGAATACATTTAATTTGCAATCAAAATATACTTCTAACATACATCGGTCTCTCGACCTGCTTTTCTTGACCGAGAATTTGTCTTTTTGCGCGCTTCATAGGATTCCTTGACTCGGCGTCTCGTTCCACAAAAGTTTGTGTAGATACAATCGCTAATATCGGCCTGTCGAACACTAGTCCCAACAACCTTTGGAGCCAGGTATGCATGAAGGTCATGCATCAGCTGTCTGTTGGGTGGAAGTCTGTAATCAACATTAACATCCCAACTGCGCTTGCTGTCGTTAGCTGCAACTAGTTCCGGCTTATTTGATTTGAAGTTGTGTTTCTTCAACTCTCCTCGGATAAGAGCCTATACTTAGTGTGAGATATTATGTTGATGAGCTACTGTACATCTCAACACTTACTAAAACTCTAGTGCGATCCTGTTTACTAAGTTCACCAGCGTTTGCACCAGTAAGAACCACTGGACCAACAGAAGGAGCGACAGAAGGACCAACAGAAGGAGCGACAGAAGGACCAACAGAAGGAGCGACAGAAGGACCAACAGAAGGAGCGACAGAAGGACCAACAGAAGGAGCAACAGAAGGAGCAGCAGAAGAGATACCAAAAAAAGCCTCAGAAGGTGTTGTATACCAATCCAGAGTAGAACCAACGGAAGAAGCTGCGAAAGGGACAGAAGCAGAAGCAGGTATAGTGGTAGGAGCAATAACTGCAAGAAGTTCTCCAGAGGCATCGGCAACGCTATCAAGTATTTCCAATGAATCTTTGTTCCCCTTGATAACAATGCCAATGTTTGAATCCATGGTCTTGAGACTTTCCTCCATAGCGGTGAGCCTTCTTAAAAGCTCAGTATATTCCGGGGATGGAGCCGGGGCAATTGACTGACGATTGTTAACCATGGTCTGAAAGCTATCTAATAAAATGTTATACATGAGTTGATTGTTAATTATATTTGTTTTATATATCTATTCATTGTATATATAGAGTGTTATTAACATACAAAAGAAGTTAGGTGTTAAGCGAAAGAATAAAGTGTAGTTAATGGAAAGATGGTAAAAGTAAAAGCAAGAACCCATTTATTATATTACACTTGTTGCTGTAAATACTCAGGATTTCTTTAATACGCGTATCTCTATTAATACTTCCTGGAATTAACGGGGTGCAAATCGGCTTTGAACATGCTTTTTTCAACTCAATCCAATATATGATTTCTGTCTTTCGGCCTTTTGGCCCTTTGGTCTTTTGTTCTTTTTGTTTTTTTTTTTTTCATTTACAAGTTTTCTCTCTTTTCTCTCTTTCCAACATTTATTATATTCACAGATTTTCTTGGTAAGATATCTTATTCTTTAATATTATATATATATATATAACTAAAATGATAATAATTGTTTTCTATTACTACAGACACTCGTGTTTTGTTACCTTCTGATGCATCCCCTTCACAATGTCCATCCGGATTAGCTAAGGTTAGTAAATATACTTTATGCTGTCATCCTATAAAATTATCCTGACCTTTTCCTTTCTTTTGTATAGGCCATATCGCCGAAATTACTCTCTACTATTAAACACGGTTATGAACACGGTAATATTTTATTTTATTTCAATCTATCTCTTTTTAATAAGCACATGGCTTAACATAATTTCTATTATAGATGAACCTCCCTCTCATGAGCACATCGCGAATCAAGAACTTTCATTTCATACGAGTGTCATTGACATGGTAATTTTTTTTGTACATATAACAATATTATTTATTTTGTATATTAATGTATATCATTTACTGAAGACAATATTAGCGTCTCCTATGTACTCTCTTGGTCTGCAAATAAATCCTTTTGCTTCGGGTAGGTAAATGAAATATTCTACCACACAGTTCACAAAAAATAATTTTTTTTCAGCATTTTTATAGCCAAATAAAGTATATTGAGTACTATGGTTCGCATTCATGACGCCTTTTCTTTTTGTCTCTGGTAAGCTATTATATTGCAAGCATAATTACATATATATATTCTTAATATCCACGATTTCTTGTTCAAACAGCTAACACTTTTCTAATTTCATAGAACAACCATTTACAAGCAAGCAACACACAACTGGGCTTTTCTCTGGGAGATATTGTTTGGAGAATACTTGTTTTATCAGAACATTGGCCATTTCAAATTGTATGAAGGATAGAACACTAGCCAGAATGTTCCTGAATATTAAATATAACCACTGTACTATAAACCTAAGAATATTCTTTTCTTTCTAATAAAAACAAAATAAACCAATAATTATTATAAATAAATTAAAGATCGGAGAAGTGTATGGAAGCAAACAGTATAAGAAGAAGTCTCTAAGATTGGATAAAATAAATTCAAATACAACAAAACCCTGTAAAAACTGGCATATCCATAAATTAAACAATGTAAAAACTGGCATATCCGTATAATCGATCTTTCATTTATCGTTCTTTTAATCGGAAAGCGGTAGGATATATTACAACAAAACGTAATTCTGAGTTGCCGTTTTAGTGCATGTGGTAAAAACCCATATACAGAAAATGCAAACACATCCTACTATCCTGCTGTTCTGACCTTTTCCTATGTTCGAAAGTTGGTCTTACCACCTATGAGTAAGCCAGCTTCATACACTTGTAAAAACTATCTGATCACATCGTAAAACCTGGTCTTTTCACATAATTAATTACAGTTTTACACATAAGAAAACCGCACCTCTTTTCCAGTGTATAGAGTAAGCTCCCCATGATCCTTGGAATCTACTGAGAGAAATGTTTTTATCAGTAGCATTTAGCTTCAGATTTCTAACTAGACATCTTTTCTGGGTAGTTGTTGAGTTAACCCATGTGAGGATACTTTGCCCATTTTTGTTGCATTGCTCAAAGACTGTCTTGATTGCAATGCGGGCAATTCTGGCAGCTACCCTGTATATCTTAAAAGCAGCTTCCTTGTTACCTCCAGTAAAATAAAACTGTATAGCAGATTTTATAGCTGCTGCTTCAAATATCTGTCTCTTATTACAGGCGTCTGTCTCAGGTTTTCAAATGTCCCAAACAGCTTTTTTGGTGCCCTGTTGCTCTGCTCTATTTTCCAGAGTTGACAGAAAATTGTCACTCTTTTGTGGAGGAGCAGGTTGGGGTCCTTGTGAACTATTGATCTAAATCCAGAGTTCAGCCACACACTATGAATGAAATTGGTGTGGCTGCCACTAATGGTAGTGCATATGCCACTAATTTATTTTAATTAACCAATCAAATTAGCTCTAGAGTTTGGTAAAAATATTAAAAAAAGATGAAAAAGATAAAGTTGTATTTAAAAGCAAAATAACATAATAGAAACATCTTTTTTTTACATTTATATCATATAAAGAGTATAGCAATTTGATTTATTTATTTTTTATTTGAAATTGTAAAACTTTTTTTTGTCTCATTGTCAAGATTGTTGTATTTTTACAATACCACTAATTAATGTGGCAGACCAACTATCTTTCCCACTAATTTACTAAAAGTGCGGGATTTAAATTGATTTTTTTTTATATTTTATTTTGCTTGAATTTTTACTTTGCATTTAGAGCATCTCCAGCAGTATCTAAACCCAAATACTAAATATCCAAAATTAGGAAACTAGTGTTTAGATTTTCCAAAAAAACGTCTCCAGCAGTTTCTAAACAAAAATCTAAATACTCAAATCTGGAATTTAGATTTAAACTTTTTGAATCAAAATCTAAACTTCTGTAGGTTTTCTCAAATTTTGTTTAGATTCTGTCAGTTTCATTAGTTTCCTTTTTTAGAGCAAGACTTTGAATTTTCTTTCACTTCATTACAACAATAATTAGCAATGTCCAACAACACCTCCAACATTAATGCCCACCAAGATGGCAATTCTGTTGAAATTGAGATACTTACCTTTCAAGTATCCAAAGCTGGTACTAATATCGAGCTTTAATTAATATAATACTTGCTATAAATAATACTAATGCATCCATAAAAGAGTCTTTTAATCCCAATAAGAACTTCACCATGGAGGAGGATTTACAGCTCTGCAGTTCTTACATGTTCATTTCCACGAATGCTATTCATGGCAATGAACAAAAGAGTGATACTTTTTGGTCCAAAATCTCTGCCCATTACAAGGGCTTCCTTTCCGAGCTTGTTGGAGACTGCAACACTCATGTTCTGACCAACCGTTGGTATAACATCAACAAAGCAGTTAACAAGTTTTCCGGAATCATGTCTCAGCTTCAAGCAGCAAACCAGAGTGGGGCGAATGAAGAACTCCTTGTAAGACAACTTTATTTTTTATAGAAATTTTTATTTCATGATAATTAAACGATATATTAGGAGCTCAAGGCTAAGGCGATGTACAAGGCTGAAATGAAGTTGAACTTCACTGCCTACCATTGTTACCGCTATCTGTCCCAGTATCTCAAGTGGCAAGAGACAGCAGAAAAGTTGCTCGAAAAGCAGAAGAACAAGGGGAAGGGTGGCATGAAGAAATCTATGTCTGTTGCTGTAGAGGGTCAGCAACAAGATGATGATGGCACCTCTGACATGTCTGGCACTCGGCCTGCTGGGAGAAAGCAGATGAAAGCAAGAGAGTTGGGCGTACAAAGATTCGAGGAGATGATGGAGGAGATGCATGCGATGAAGGCAAGCAGTGCATTAAAGCTCAAGGAAAGGTCTGCTCACATCCTCAAGTCCATCAAAGATCAAGCTGAAGAACAGATGCGTGCAGCAAAAGCACATCAACTTCTGGACGAAGAAGAAATGGCATCCTTCAAAAGACGCTGTCTTCTGGAAGAAGAAGAGATAGCGTCAGCTAAAATCTGCCAACAGATAAATGAAAAGGAACTGGCCTCAGCCAAAACACGTCAGGATATGGAGGAAGCCAACGCAAGGCTCATCAAAATAAATACATTGATTGCCGAAAGAAAGCTTTTGTCTTTTGATGCCAGTAGCATCTTGGACCCTGCCGCCCGCATGAAGTTCTTGGACTTACAGGCGCAGGTTATGGAAGAAAACACTGACAGCAAATAAATAAAAAAAAGATACAACTAATATATATACACATTTGTTTTATTCAATTTGCTGGCACTTGTCGCCTTCTCTCTTCCACAAGCTCTCAATCAAATCCTGTCTCATTTGGAAGTGCTGGTCTTGGTTTCGGATTTCCAGATGTCTCTGAAGGTACCTAGCAAAGCTCCCCTCAGGAAATGGGCACTCTCCAAAACCAAAAATCACAGGTGGCAAAGTTGAGACATGATTGATATTGATACACTGTCTTTCGTCTGCTATCCTTTCACTATTATCTGCATGACCGATTTCCATGCTCTTTCTCTTCTCCTCAACAATCATATTGTACAATATAATGCACACTGTCATGATATCATGAAGAGTGTCTCTATCCCACATTCTGGATGGTCCAGAGACTATAGCAAAACGTGTCTGGAGGACACCAAAAGCGCACTCAACATCTTTTCTTACCCCCTCCTGTGCCTTTGCGAAATTCTTGAAAAAGGGAAGTGATTAGTTAAAAGAATTGAAAGATCATGATATATACTAAGGTACCTTTTCCTTTGGTGTCCTAGGATCGTTAAGACTCTTCACGAAGGCACCATATGTAGGGTATATCCCATCTGGTGGGTAGTACCCCATGTTATATTTGTTGCCATTTATGGAGTAATTGACAACTGGGGCTTTCTCAGTTGCGAGGTCCCTAAACAGATGGGATCTGTCTAAGACATTTATGTCATTGAGACAGCCAGGCAAGCCAAAGAACGCGTGCCAGATCCACAAGTCGTATGAGGCAACAGCCTCCAGCACTATCGTCGGTGTCTTCTCCTTTCCAAAAAACTGCCCATGCCAAGCAGTTGGGCAGTTTTTCCACTCCCAGTGCATACAGTCGAGGGAGTCTAACATTCCAGGAAAGCCTCTTGATTCCCCTTCCTCCAAAAGTCTTTGAATATCCTCTTCGGTGGGTGCTCTCAGGTACTCATTACCAAAGACAGTAACGATGGAAGAGCAGAAACGCTTTACACATTCCAAAGCTGTTGACTCTGCCATTCTGAATGACTCATCAAGGGAATCGGCTGGTAGTCCGTATGCTTGCATACGGATTGCTACAGATACCTTCTGCAGAGAAGAGAAACCAGATACATGAACAGCATTCAACTTCTGCTCAAAGTAGCTGTTGTGCCCTTTTACACCCTCTAGAACACGCATGAACAAGGCTTTGTTCATTCTGAATTGCCTGCAAAATTGTTCTTCAGTGTAGATTGATTCGGGATTGAAGTAATCCTCACACAACTGCATATGACCACGTTGCCTGTTGCGATTAATAACGGTGCAAGCCTTCTTTGGATCCTTCTCTTCGCAGTCCAGGTCCGAGTAGTAATGCTTTGCCATAATAGCAAGCTCCTCCAAGTCACATTCATTGTCTATGAGATTGTGCTCGTCTTCCTTCAACAATGCAAGAAGTAGTTCAAAGTTCATTTTTGTAAGATATTATATGAGAATAAAAGCTTAAAGAAACAGTGAAAATATAGTAAAAATCGAAGCAGTCATAATTGTTTAGAATCTGCATTAAGAAACTGCTGGAGTGGCCTTCATATTCTTTATACTAAATCACCTTATTTGTACTAGCACAGGAAATCCTAATTTGGATATTTAGTATTTGGGTTTAGATACTGCTGGAGATGCTCTTATTTTTCCCTTTCTACATAAATGAACATCATAAAGTTATTTTTTAAGGTGATAGTAAATCTCTATAGCTACTTTATACATCTAATTTGCATGACTTGCTCTCTATTTTATTTTTACCTGTTTTAATTTGCTAAAATAAAAGTATATTTTAATTATCAAAAAAACAAAAAGTTATTTTTTATTGCTTGTGAGAGGAGTAAGACATATTCCTATTACAATGACAGAGGCTTGTGTTGACTTTATCCCAATAAGAACAAATAAGATACCAAGTGCAACTGCAAGGATAAATGCACTGATCAACTATCTGTGGAAAAAGAAACAGGAGACGGATATCAGCATATTCTTAGAAGAGCAAAAGCTCATTTAACAGCAGTTTCACATGTCTACAAGGCAATGCCAACATATTATGCGTGAAGACGGCATTGTAGAGACGAACTGAGGAAGATTGAGTAGTCAACAAAAGTTGTACTACTTCTTGAGACTCGAGGAGTTAATTTTGAAATACCAATTTGCTTTACACAAATTCAGAGGTCAATGAGTTGCTGTTCTTTTCCTTCAAGAAGTGATAAAGACTAAATACCAAACGGAGAAGTGACAAATCATATATATTAAATTTAGTGTCATGCAAGATATTTCATTAATACTTTTCTTTATTAAAAAAATATGCTGGCAAAGTTAAGCAGAGAAGTTCAAGAAGAAGAGTTGACGTATATATAGATTGTTCAAATATAAAACTTAATACACTGACTAAACTATATTTTTAAAAGTAGCCTTGGTGAGGCAGAAAGTAGTGTGGCAGCCTCACCACCAAGAAAAAACATGCAGAGCCATCGAATTTATTTATTTTTTGAACTCCCTGTTATTTCCGTCTTCCAGAACAACAACAAAAAATTCTCTTTACAATCTCTCTTTTTTTTTAATCAATGACAAATGGACTCATTTCCTCTACTTTCTTCCATTACTTTTCCTGTAATCACATTCAAACAACATGCACCACTCAAAATTTAAGACAATTTTGATATAAAATCACTACAATTGTGTTTTGATTTTTAAAAAAAGACTAATGCAAGTAAAAAAACACATTTTTTTGTAGTTTTTTTTTCAAGCAGCTACTATATAATAAACTCTCAACTTCCTTTCACAAAATACAGCCAATGTAAGTTACAGTCTTACTAAAGTGATACTGTATAGGGTATACTAAACAATCTGGCTAGCTATCAATGAGTAAGTGCATCTAATTACTTGGGGCTTGTGCTGCAGTATGGTAGCTACTAGACAATCTTCGAATGCAAACAAATTATAAGGGTAAGCTTACTAAGCTATGTGTATTTACTTTGTATATTAACTTATTTTTGTAGACTTCGTCTTTAATCACAATTACTTGAAGCTGTTAATGAATATACTTGAGATAATTACAAAAAAATACTTTTAAGTACGTATATTCATAGTATTCTTTACTTTAGTTTTACACAACACTGGAACAGAATTGGTTGAACGTTTTTTTAATAGAAAAGCATCAACAATTATAATTTATAAAGAAGAGTCCCGCCATTCATAGCTGATATACAGGATTTTAACTGCAAAATAGTGACTTTTCCTTTTAATATAGTGACATTCCCAAATTAACTTAGGCAAACTCCCAAGTTGATTTAGACAAATTCCCAAGTTAATTTAGTGAAAATCCCAAATTGATTTAAGCAACCTCTCAAGTTGTTTTTTTTGGCTGTTACATATAAAATCAATATTGTATAGCTAATATCATTTTGATTTAGCTATCAAACATTTTAAAGCTAAAATAAAAATAAATGATATGAAAAACGATATTAATTATTATACAAAATACAGAAGAAGCCTTTTTTTTAAAAAAAATAAACAAAATAAAATGAAGCAAAACTAAATGAAGCAAAATCTATATAAACATCCAACTAAAGATTCATCTATACTTTATATCTTTTCATTATTCCTGTAGTAAAATAACTCTTAAAACACGATACATCATATTTACTTGTTATTTATTAATTTTGTAAAAGAATAAAAAACCAACTTCTGCTAAAGTGTTTGATCACTCTTAAAATACTAAATAAATATATGTTACACCTATCAGTAGCATGTAGCATATGTTATATATGTACACCTTGTCAAATGACTGGCATTTTTTCTTATCAAACTTATATATACAGTAGTGTTTCACCACAATTTCTATTCTTCTTTCTCTTACCTTTTACTATGAACTCTACATTCCAAAGTCTAAGTGGCAAAAAGAAGTGTAGAAGAAGAACAAAGCAGAAAAATGAAAGAATTCCCATATCTTTATGCAAGAGAATCATCAACTTGACTGTAAAAACATATCATAAGCTAGTTTCAGAAGTTGCTTCTATGTTTGGTCTTTCTAGATCCACTGTAGATAACATAAAGAGCAGTTTCAGAGATAATGGAGAGGTCATGATCAAGCAAAGAGGTGGCAGAAAGAAGTAATGTACAAAAATCATGGAAGAACATTCAGAATATCTCATTGAGATCCTAGACAAAGATTGCACGTTGACTCTTGAGATGATGAGAGAAAAGCTTTACAAATGCTTTGACGACTTACAAGAAAAAATATAACAGTCAGCAGACTATATCATCATATAATGAACAATATTGGGTTCACCTTAAAGCAAACGAAGGCTGTGGAGGAGAGGAGAAACGACCCAGATGTTACTGAAACAAGGAGAAAATTTGTGGAGTCTCTTCCAGAACTTGGGGTTGTATATGTAGCCCATTGCATTTTTATTGACGAAGCTGGATTTAATGTTAATCTCATACGCCAACAAGGGTAGTCAAAGAAGGGAAAGAACGTCATTATACATACTAAGACCAAGAGGGCACTCAACATCAGCATCTTGGCAGCAATATCAAACAATGGTGTCGAGAGCATGTCAGCCAAGCTTGTTCCAAAAGGCACCAGCGCTGAACTTTTCATTGAGTTCTTAAAGCCAATCATAAAAACACTGGACAATACCAATGCTGTTCCCTAGTGGTTCATCCTGGACAATGCTCCCATCCACAGATCTCATTTGGTCAGGGACTTTATGGCAACAACACGACACCACATCAAGTTCTTGCCACCTTACTCGCCATTCTTGAATTCAGTAGAAGAGAGCTTCTCAAAGCTAAAGATTTTGGCCAAGAGAAAGCCAGGGTTAGATACTGATGACTTTCTGGCATACTTGTCAGAATGTAACTCACAAATAACAAGAGAAAACTGCCAAGGCTGGGTCCAACACAGCATTAGTTTTTTTAACAGCTGCCAATATTATAAAGAAATTTATTAAAATAAAAACATCTTGCATTGATATCACTTTTTGCATTCTATAATTTACATTGATTTTATATGTAACAGCCAAAAAAAAACAACTTGGGAGGTTGCCTAAATCAATTTGGGCTTTTCACTAAATTAACTTGGGAATTTGCCTAAATTAACTTGGGAGTTTGCCTAAGTTAATTTTGGAATGTCACTATATTAAAAGGAAAAGTCACTATTTTGTAGTTAAAATCCTGTATCTAAAGGTATATATTACTTGTATAACTAATATATGAGTTAGTATATTTGCAAGGTAAATTGCTAGTATTATTATTAAGCTTGTATATGAATATGCATTATTATATGTCATGTAAAAGACATAGTATATCATATATTATATTGTATAGTCCATTGTATAGTCTATAGTATAGGACATTGCATAGTACATTGTATGATACATCATATAATACATCGTATAGTATATCATATAGTACATTGTACAGCCTATTATATATTTCTATTATATATTCTACTGCGCAGCAAGCATATGAATAAAAATAAAATCCATCAATTTTACCACCAATTTTTCTATATATGGATTTACTACCATACTTTTACTACTAATATGTTTGAAACTAAGCCAATCAAGCATGCTGTCTTACTATTCAGTAAATTAGTGGCAAGCATAGCTCATTTACCATCAATTTCCTCTGCTTTAGCATAGTGTGGCCAGCCACCAAATTTCATGCAAATTAGTAGTATTGTCATATCAATTTCATTCATAGTGACAGTAGCCTCAAGAGCTTCTATGCGTGCATTTTTTTTGGTAGTCTTGGCTTTACATATTTGTATAAAAAAAGAGAAGAAGAACAAGATTTGATTCTGACAAGAAAAATTCTTCTTATTATTCACAGTCATAATCATGCAATATATTGCATGAATTTACTATGTTCAGTATTAAATAAATAATGTAAAATTAAAATATAAATCACATTTATATGATAAGTTACTTTTTCTTTGTAACCTTCATCTTAAACCTTTTTATTATCACTTACAGTCCAGACTATTGTCTTAAAAATCCTCTAATTAAAATGGATAACAACGATCTCAATACTCAGACATCTGGAAACAGCATTGACAAAGTTAATGTCGATTTTTCTGATTTTGAGTACGAAGCCAACCTGGTTAGAAATAACTATATTTCTAATCACTTTACAACTCTCACCAATGCTGACAACTTTTCCAGTGATAGACAATATGATTTAAGAGATTTTATACCAGAAGAAGACATCTCTTGTCATGCAAGTTCAATGGATATAGATCTTGATTTTGACTAAGATATGTCTACAGATATCGAATATTCATCCAGTAAGAGAGAAAAAAACTCTTAAACTACTCTAATGAACTTTTAATAAAATACTAGCCATACATAAATATATATACAAAAGAAACTGGCTCTGGTTACTTCCATGTCTGCAATGTTGTTGAACATAGAGATTCATCAAACCACTCTGAAAGTAATGAAAGTGACTTGGGTGAAGCTCCTCGAGTTTCTTCTTATGAGCTCAATAGTCATGCAGAGGCAGCTAGTATGAAACTATTCTCTATGTTTGTTGAGAATAATATGTCTTGTAATGTTTTTGACAAGTGTGTCAAGATTGTAAATAAGTACATGATAGAGTGCAGTTTGCGTAAGTATATATTCAGCATTAACTATTTATAACATGTAAACTTACAGATATTATAGCTGCTATCAATGCACTCATGTTGCACTACAAGATGGATACTCCTCTTAATAGTGAGTATACTGTCCGTTCTGTGATATATAGCATATGCCAGAAAGACTATATCCACTTTGACACTGTAGAAGCTGGTCAGTACAAAGATGAGGAATAGCAGTGCCCTCACTATAATAGCAGACAGTTCCAAGATGAGATAAGCACTTTAATTTCTGTGCAGACCTTTCAGGTTGTGCCTCTCTCTGAACAATTACAGTTCAAGCTTGATAATGCCCAGAAACTATAGTGTATTTTTATTAAAATCAGGAATTTTAGGATTTGTGTCAATTTTTTTATTTAAAGCATTGACAACAAAAACCAGTATTAAATGTCCGCTAGTTTTTGAAAAAAAAAACTGTAATATTGAAACTTATACATAGGCACCGCATTTTATATTATAAATTATAAATTTTTATTTTTTTTTATTTTTTTTATTCATGGGTGCCAATGCTGCGGTGAGATTTACTGATTCTTGAGGTGAATTTCTTTATCTCAGCATCAGCATCCTTAGCATCCAAAAACTTGCTGTAAGCTTCAATATATCTCCAAGTCTTTTTATAAAATCTCTTGATCATGGTACGAGAACCAGCCACAGGGGAGGCACTGTCCAAGAAAGACAGGAGAATCTTTTCTAATGACTTAAAAGAATAATCGCAGTTTAGGCAAGCCACACGTTTGGCTGCACCCCAGTAATGCTCAATCCAATTCCATTCACAATAGAACTTGGAGTACAGCTCAAATTTGTGATCCACCTCTTTCACCACCTTTTGAATAGCTGTCTTCTGTCCAGAAAAGTTGGACTGAGAGGTCAAGAGGTGACGGGTACAGCAACAGTGATTCTCTGCTTCTTCTTCATTGCAGTTTATTATCTATCTTCTAGAAAGATTGGATGAATCCAGTTCCATCTACAGTCCACACTTCTGAAGGATCTGCTGGACGCCAACAAACTGTCTCTTCTCCACCAGTCTCTTTCCTTTCCTTCCAGCTTCAGAGACTGTCTTATAAAATGATTGAGAGATGATACGTCTAACCCTCAAAAACTTTGTATCTTTGAAAATGAACTTGTCATTTTCAGAAACAATCTTTGGCTTTAGAACCATGCGGGTGGCAACCAAGGCATCTGTGATATATGCTTTGTGTTTGCTTCTTTAGTCGAAAATAAAGACGTTAGTGCATCCTTCGTGCAAGCTTTTGAACAGAGGGATAGCATGGTTCTTCAGCTGGTTGAGCATGTCTTCACTTGTTCAGTAACTGTCATATGCTACCCCAACATTAAATATTCTGCGGGAGACTCATCCCTTCACTTGCATAGTGCCATGACAAGCACACTGGAACTCACTGACCATCAGAGATCTTCCCTGACCTTTTTTGCAGATGTGGCTTTCACCTTCCTCAAGCCACATGTCCACCTTTCCATCATGAGCATAAAAGGTTGACTCGTCATGGGTCATCATAACCAGCTTCTTCTGGTTCTCCAAAAGAAGAGGGGTCACCTCAATTTCTTCATCTTCTACAGTAAAGTTTGACATACATTAGGTGCTTGCCACCACCCGAAAATTTTTAAATTTTGAAGATTTAAGCACTGTTTTTTGTTCCCAATCTATAAAATCTCTCAAAATAATCAGGATCCCAAAAGGGAACAAAATTCAGAAAAGGAAAGGGATATCAACAATTTTGAAGTTATAAAATACATTTATTCAAAATAATCAGATTCAAAAAAAGAAAATCTAAACTATTACCACTCTTTTTTTGGATTTGAATTATTTTTTTTTATTCTAAGATTTTTAAAAACATAAATTAAAAGATAAAAGCAATTAATGAATCAAGTAACATTTACTTTCTTTTTGCTAATTCTCTACATAAAACATTTTCTACTTGAAAGCATAATGATGAGAGAAGAACACCTCTCTGGCTATTTAGTGTTGGAGTTTGACAATACTTTGAATAACAACAACAACAACAACAACAGAGCAAACAATTCCAATTCTACTAGTGTTGGCGAACTATCAGTAGATAATACAGGAAATATTACTTTTCCTACCCTTTCCCATTCTGAGGAAGAGAACCTAGTAGCAGGTTCTGCGAGTACTACTTTGGGGGAGCCTATCATCACCCTTAGCACTAGTGATGTAGACAGTGCTCGTAGTGCTCGTGGTTCTCATGGTAGACGTAGTTCTCGTGGTGGACGTGGTTCTTGTGGTAGACGTGGTGTTGATCATGGCCTAGACAGCGTTATTGACCAAGATGAAGCTATTGCTCCAACACAAGCATCCAACCAAGTAAACCTTTCTTGGGACCACCAGTCAATTGTTATACTTTTGAATGACATTATAAAGCCTAACTATATGAGCTTAATTGACATGTCTAACATGCAATTAAAAGGCGAAAGGTGGAACCAGATGGCAGAGACCTTCAAGAGGCATCTTGATCAACATGGGCTCGATATGGGTAGTGCAATAGACATCATAACACCAAAGAAAATGCAAGAGAAATGGGCTGATCTGAAGAAGAGTTTTCATTTGGTTCAATGAGCTCTTACTGGGACAGGTGTTGGAGGAGGCACAGGTGAAGAGAGGTGGCTATTTTACAACTATGTGTTTGAAATCCTGCGTGATGATCCATCAGAAAATTCTGGTATCAACGTCGAATCCATGGTTCGTGGTCGCTGCCATGGAGTAACAATTTCCATAGAATCTCGTGCCAAAGCTGCTATAACTGAATTGCAGAGAAACATTGAGGTTGCTGCTTCTACTTCTGCTGTTGAATTGTCTCTTCTCAATACTTTAGACACGAATATTGCAACAGCCACATTAAACAGCACCAATACTTCCGGTCCTTCTAGTAGGCTACCCACCAGGGGTACATGACAAACAAGGGAAGAATATGAGGCAGAAAGAGATGACATGCTCTTTGAAAGGCTTCTGGGCATGCACCGTGAGATTGAAGAGCACTCAAAGGAAGTTTTGTATCCTCTTGCTGATTCAATGAGAGAGGAGAATGAAGCCTTCCAAAGAGACCAGCAGCAACAGCATCAGCAGATGTTGGAAACGTTGAAAAGGGTTTTGAGAGAGTCTGATGACCGCCTGTTAAGCATCATTGGGCCTTTCTTTAACACTAGAAATAGAAATGGTGAAAATAATAGTAATGATAATAATAGCTAGTTGATCTTTTCTCTTTTTTATGCAAAATAATAAACTGAAAATATAAAAAACAAACTTTGCGTATCTTTTGTCTGTTGGTTTTTTATTGGTTATTTTAAGGGTTATTTCTTCTGCGTCCTCTTCTGGAGATCGCTCTCAACTGGCTGTCCTGTCTTATCTGGCGTCTTAGCTGTCTTTGTTGCTCTCGAAGGTCAGCTTGAAACTGTCTTGTCTGGGTGTCCGTTAATGGTCTCATGACCTCTGTCATTCTTTCTCTCCTCTGTCTCCCGCGTTCTTGAGAAAGATCGTGTGCAGATTTAATCTGCCTCACAGAACGATTGACAGTTAGCAAAGCATTCTCCAAATCCACAGGTATCTTGTTCATAAATGGATCGAGATCCTCAACTTCTATCTCCACATCATTATCATCATTTCCATCTGAATAGGCATCAAAACCTTGTATTTGGTTTTCAAAATCACGGAGAGTGTCTTTGGGAATGTTTCTTGCATTGTTATTATTGTCCAAACAAAAGTTGTGAAGACAACAAGTAATGATGGTAAGAGCCATTTTGTTGATATGCAAAAAGTACAGGTGTCTCAACAAAAAACGCCATTTTTGCACAAGTAGGCCAAATGCATTTTCAATGTGGTGGCGTGTTTTTGCATATGCCTTGTTGAAAGCTTGTTGCTTGGGGTCTTCAGTTGCAATGGGATATGGTGGGAGTATATTTTCCATGATTGGAAATGCAGAATCTATATTAATAGAACATTACATTAAAAGATGTACGTTTGTTAAACAGAAGCTTTAAAATAAAAAATTACCTGCGAGAATAACTGTATCATTGGGGAAGTAGTAATCTCGGTCAAAAAGCATATTTATGTAGAGAGAGCTAGCTGTGAATAGCCTTGCATCATTGACACGGCCTATGTATTTTTCCTATTATGAGGTAATAAATTAGTACAAAACTGTATAAAATGCATCAAAGAAAATATTACCAGATTGTCCTGTTCTGACAATCATGAAGCGCTTATTGGCATCACACATAGCAAGGAGATTCATAAAAGAATTGTTGTGGCAATCGACTCAGGCGTTTCCATGCAAAGAAGTCTTTTGAATGGAAATAAGTTTTCTATCAATTGCCCCAATGACACCAGGTAGACGAATACTACGTCTTTCAGGCTGCTTGAATTCAGCTGCCTTTCTTATCGCTGTTGCACTGTCATGGACTCCCCAGTTCACAAACCTATCAGAATAGTCTGACATGGCAGTAATGAACCACAAGGTAAACCGTGTATACGATCCGACACTAACTCCAAGAAAATTCTCAGCAAGACAGTAACCAAAATGTGTATTGGCAAAGCGCCAAAGAACTGTTGCAACTTGGATTTCAATAGGATAACTATTTCCATTCAAAGCTGCGTCGTACACCTGATGCTGACTAACAATATTGAGCAGCAACTCAAAGTTTGCGCGGCTCATTTGGTATTGTAACTGGAAGCTGCTGCTTCCAAGGTCGTTGGTCAAAGATGGGTGTCGAACATACCACCATTGTCTAAACACGCCATATCTATCATGGTTGACTTCTTTAGGCCCGCGTTCTAGAGTGAAGGAGTGTGGTCTGCAAGTGTATACCATGTAGAAGTAATCATGACTGACCAATTGCGAACTTTCAAGCATGATGTTTGTTGCCCATTGAAGAAGCTGCTGTTGGGACTGTTCCACTTGTTGTTGCAGAATCAAACGTTGTCTACTCATTTGATTCAAGGAAATTTTAACATTGGTCAAGTATGCATTTCTGTGGAAATTAAGAATGAAGGCCGAAAGTCTGAGAATCTCAACAGAATAATCAGTGTTGCTAGTGTTGCTGTTGTTGTTCATTTTTAAGATGTTAAAAGATTGATTTTTATGAAAAGGTAACTAAGAAGGAAGAAGGCAACTAAAAAGGAAAAGGCAAGTTATTTTAGCATATATTTTTATTTTTCCAAAATGAGACAAGTATAAAAAGCACATGATATTTCTTTTTGGATGTTTAGAATGAAAATACATTATCTATATCGATATATTCACGGGTGGTGGCGAGCACCTATTGTTTGTATCCCATCATTCACATTGCCCAAACATGGCAATACTGAACAATGTCTTATCTTTTGTGTCCATCATAATATATGTCCTGATTGTTTTTGTGGTGGACGTACCCCCAGGCTCTCATATATTTCTATGCTGTGCTTATGGCCACGTTGCCTTTTACATCAAGGCATGATGGAAAAAGCATTTCATCAAGATACTTTTTCAAATCCACAACAGTTTGTCTTTCTGCTTTTTGAGCACGAAGCCAAACGATTGCTTTCTTTTTAAGGTCTTCATCATCTATAATTGAAGACCGCTTGGCATGCTTGCCCTGTTGATGTTCAGAAAATTTGCCAAACTAAAAAAATTCTTTGGCCCAACCGCGGACAGCCTCTGCATGGTACTTGGAAGGTTTTGTCCAAAAAATCTCTGCTGCTTTTTCAGATGCCTCAATTTTCTTGCAATTGTTAAAGAGGCGTCGGAAATAGTCTTTCACAACAATGTGTTTGCTTACTTCAAACAAAGCAAACTTGCCCAACTCGCTATCTGAACTGCCTGGAGGCTTTATCATCTCAGAGATTTTCTCATAAGCTTCACGAATCTCTTCAAGTTCCTCATCTTTCAAATGCTTATATACAATTAATGCCTTTCTACAGGCGAAACTGGTGCAACAGGAACTGAGAAACCAAAATCAGCAAGCGTTCTGACCTTCTTGTTTTTATTTGCCTCAAGCTCTTCTTTCATTTTTCTCTTGTTGTGTATAATCGATGATCACGAATCTCCTCTGTAGAGTCCACACAAATCTTTTCCTGCATCTGGTCTCTATGTCAGAAAGCTATTATAGTACGCAGCAATCATTGTATTCATATCTAAATCCAAGAGCTCCCAATTGTATTCTTCTACAGGTTGATCTTCAACAGATTCCTTTTTGGTATCAATAGTAATAATTGGAGATTTGGCACAAAATTTTCTGCCCTCTCTTTGAGTCATTTTAGAAGTAAGAATAGAGCAAGCATTTTTACAACTCATTCTTAAGAATTTGTTTTGGTAAAAGTAAAAGAAGTGTTTTCAGAGCAGTCTTGATAGACAGCTGTCACATCTAAAAATGTGGCTTATAGTCTGCATTTTACACATATTTTCTAATTTAGAATATATAATTCTCTACATCTGTCTTGAGATGTCATCAGAGATATAGATTAAAGTCTCAATATTTCTCTTCCCCTGCTATTAAATTTGAATACCACACTTTTTCAAAAGTCAAAAACTTTGTTGGAAATGTCAGTACAAACAAGCTGCTTACACAGTTCTTTTCACAAACACTTTCTCTGTGTCTATGAGTGATGGTTTTTTTGTATTGTCATTTCTGACAAAGTTTTTGCCTTTTGAAACAAAATTGGAGTCTAATAATTCTTCCTGATTATAAAAAAATACACTATAGTCATGATGGCATATAGCAGAAACCGTCTTTCAGATAAAGTTGGTTCTACAAGATCTGATACTCTGGATGGTAATGCTGTCTGACGTTTTGTTCAGAGTGGCATTGTTGGCAGAACAATATTTTAGTATCAATGTTTGTTGATCAATTCAATCCTTTTGACAATTCAAAAATGTCAGCAACTGTTGTTCATGTTATGAATCGCAGTATTGATTCAAAACTAAAGTACAATATTAGATGCTATGTATAGCTTTTCTAATCAAATATACTTAGATATGAGAGAGAAAACATGATTCAACTGGCAATCATTCCTGGGCCTAAACATCCAGAAAACATTGCATCTTTTCTTGAACTAATTGTAGAAGGTTTGCATATGTTGCAGACTTCTGGTCTGAGAGTTCAGACAATTTCTGGACAAGTGAGTGGTAAGGTTCATCTTGTTATGGCAACTGTTTATAACCCAGCCATGTCAGACTTAATGAACCTGACCCACTATAATTCTTTCTATATGTGCAAAGCCTGCATTTCTAAGGGTATTCTTTGATTTCACACCATATGTTTCGTTGGCAAGAAGGTACCTGCTCCTATGAGAACTGTGGAGAGCCTCTATCACTTTGAAGGAAACATAAGTATATGATTAATGAATAATTGAAATATTAATATCTTCTTTTTAGAGATACAGTGTCAATGGTCCCAATGTTTCTAGGAATCTCAACACATTGACAAGTCTTGCTTTCTTTGGGCTTGACATGATGCATCTCATTGGCCATTGGATCAGTCATCAGCTATACAATGCATTGAATAGCAAGTTTGTTATGATCAATGACACTGAGAACAATGAAGTTCAACAATCAGATTTTGATCAGCAGCAACAACAACAGCATCAGGATGAACAGGATAATGTATACATGTTTGCTTTGCATATTGGACTTGACCAGATTGACAGCTGTATTGGCAAGCCTAGACCAGACATCCCAGCAAACTTTACTGGCAGCTGGAGATTGCTGAAGGAAACAACGGGCAGACAGAAGGCAGTCAACTGGCTCGAATTCCTTCTGTTTGTTGTACCAACAGTTGTGGTTCATAAGTTTGTTTTTGCCAGAACCAGACGTGCTGTTTTGGACCTAGTTCTAGCATACTCTATTGCTCAGCAATGCGAAGGGACAGAAGAAGAAATCCATACAATGGAAAGGTAAGTCAGTCAAATACATTCTAAACAATATTTTAACTACCTTTATAGAGCCATTGGTCACTGGCATTTCTTCCTTCGTTGTGAAATCCAAGAAAGAAAATTAAAACCTATTATATTTGTAATGAACCAGCATATGCTAGTTTATCTCAGTTACATGGTGAGATATATGGGTCCATTAAGGGCGTATAGCTGCCGCCCAATCCAGCACACAATTAGTGCATACCAAGCTGCAATTGGGTTCTGGAAGGACACTGGGAAGAACATGAAAAATATCCTTCTTTGCAAAGCTGGGTACAGCATTGCCTTGGCAGTCGGGTAGCTCGAAGAAGACTAGCTGATAGGAGGACCAGCAACTTTGAGATTGCGAGTAATGATGTTGCTGGCTCTCAGCTTTGGTCAAACCTGGTCAGAAAGACTCTTGCTGCCATAGCAATCGATTGTGATATGAACTATCACAATTTGGTAAGTTTGTTGGCCTGTCTCTGGGAGCAGAACAGTATAGTAATGGAACAAGAAACTATTGAGATGGTCTGCATCACCTAGATGTGGAAGGACAATGTAGTGTACAGAGTCCGGACTTCTTTTGACAGCAGACATGTTTGAGACAATGACCTTGTTGTGCTCAAACACCTGGAAGAGTAAGTAACACAAATTATATCTTACATTATTGTAATATTAATCATTTTTCAATTATATTTTTCAAAGGTACAGATATGTTATAAAGTTCTTCTCTCATTTTGCCTTGGAAGAGACTAGACTATTTGTCATAGTTGATTGCTTGCAAGGTGTATGAATATACAATGAGTTGCTCTTCCGTGTTTGGGAAAGCCAAACATTTGGTGGGATGAAGGTGGTTGAGGTTAAGTCCATCAGGGAGATGACTGGTCTGGTCCATGATATTAAAGATATGACCATTTGACATGTGGTGTGGACTTCTTTACATCACTACCAGTAGTTTTTTTTCTTGCCCTTTCCTTTCATTTATTTTACTTTCAAAGTACAAATATAATCATTCTATTTTTTAAATATAATTTGATATCAATACCAATACATCTCTTGATGATTTTAAATAAAGATATAGTCGAATATAAAAAACTTATACATATCTATATTCAAAATAGAAGTAATCTATAGACTGTATTTGTTGTTTTTATTAAACTTTTTGAATAGATATGCAGTCCAACATACAATCTTCATCCAAAATGGGATTCTGGATTAAAAATCAAAAAAAAATATTTGAATTAAATCTCAAAAAAACAAAAGAGCTCAAAATGCCCTATATTTGGTATGGTTGTAGAAGTTTAAAAAAGATGCAGGTTTTTTATTGAAAGTTGCCATTTCTTGGAATTTACAACAACTTTTTTTTTACAGTGAAATGCATGATGTTTTATATAAAAACTTTTTATTAAAAAAAATATAGAAATTGATGAAAAAATAATAGAGAATAAAATTAAAGAAGTACGTTAAGAAAGAAGTTTAAATTATATCTATCTGACTTAAAAAGTCTATAATTTGATTTCATCAAATAAATTAGTTAATGTGTGTGTCACTGGAAAAACTGCCCTGATTAACAATGTGGCCAGATTGGTAAACACATGTGCAGAAATAGTGATTTTTTTTGACTCAGTATGTTTTTTGAAGGTCAGGTCAAAGATGTAGTTTTAGTTGGTTTCATTGGCTAACAGAATTTTAGAATATCAGTCTGGTATGGAAGGCTAAATTCACATACAGAGACCTATCATAATTCTCATTCTACCACCCCTTTTTTATTTCTACTATTTTCTGGATTTACTCTTGCAATAATCTATTTATAAACTCATAATAGAAAACTATATGTCTTTTACACACAACAGACATTCTTGAAAACATTCAAATAAAGACTATGAATTGATAATATTATAATTGTCATGTCTCTTTCTATATTTAATGATATAGAAAAGAACTTGTTAGAAGAATTCAATCAAACAACCATAAAATATAATGCTTTTTTTTACTATAAAGTCGGTGCAAATAAAGTATATTTTACACTTGTTTCTCTTTTTATTCTCAATAAATCACATCAAACAAAACACATAAAATGCCTTCTATCCCCCACCACTGAAATGTTGTCTGCCATTGTGCTCAATGTAGCAGAAATTCACAGGGATACTCATTGGTGACAAGCAGAACCACTGAGTGTCATATTAGAAAAGATGAGCTTGAGAGAATTGAGAGACTGGATACAGCTGAAAGATTGGCAAATAGTATGTTATATTCAAGGTTTATTTTTCGATTACTGAGTAATAACTTCTTTATTTTTTTAATTTTAATGAAACACAGCTATGCAAGAAGAACAAATGATAGACATTGATACCCAATGTAGGAAAAAAAAGAAAAAAAAATATATTTGAAAACCAGTAGAGACAATAAGCTAAACTAATCTATATTTGTATATATCCCGACCTGTCAATCTGAATCCATCAAAAAAATAGACAATCAGGTTGACTCACCTGATTCGAATGCCGCCACGATGGCTGACAATGTCTCGGTAGACAATGAGATCAGCAAGGTCAATGGCAATGACTCTAACATTGAAAGAGATATGAACTCTGACTCTGGCAGTGGTGAAGAAGAAGGTGTTGAGACAGACGTTGAAGAGTTTGTTAATGAAGGTCAGTCATAAATGATTTTGTTTTCTTAAAAACAGACCTAAAGAAAATTTGTTCTAATTTATTTTTGTTAATTTTAAATAGACCCATTTGATGCTTCTAACATGCCTGAAAACCCTGTCCATCAGTTCATTGCTACCTTTGCCATTCTTTTTATCTCGCGTTATGTTATTAACAAAGGTGTCACCATATTGATTGAATTTATTAATCAGTTACTCAAGATCTATGGCAAAGATTTCCAATTACCAACAAGTCTTATTCGCCTGCAAAGAATGACTGGTTTTTCCAATTACGCCAATGGTATCAAGAAGTCTGTTATATGTGAAGACTGCTACAAGGTTTACAAACAAGATGTGTCTCTCCCTACTCATTGTGACTTCAAAAAGCATGGTTCTCAATCAGCATGCAATTGTGAAATGATGAAGGTTTCATCTTCTGGTGCCATGGTAGCCAAGCGATCATATGTCTACAACTCTATCCAGAGATCATTACAAGTTTTCTTTCTTTGTTCTGAGTTTAAGCAAAAAATCAGACAATGGAACAAAGAGCTTAAGGTCGTAGATACACTATGCAACGTCTATGATAGTGCTATGTGGAAGGAGCTAAAGGACCAAAGTGGTATATCGTTTGTGGATGAACCTCATTCATTGATGCTAACAATGAACATCGACTGGTTCCAGCCATTTGATGGCATTACATATTCAACTAGAGCTATCTACTTTGTGATAAATAACTTGCCTCGTGAGGAAAGATTTAAGTCTGAAAATGTCATCCTTGTTGGTTTGATGCCTGGTCCTAAGGAGCTAAAGACCGAAGAGATCAACCACTATTTAAAGCCAATAGTTGATGAATTGCTGCAGTTGTTTACAGGGATAACCATCCCAACCTTTGAGTGCTCAGCCAGTGTTAATGTACGTGCCGCATTATATATAGTTGTCTGTGACATCCCCGCTGCCAGGAAGACCAGTGGATTCACCGCCCACAACAGTACTTGTGCATGCCCCAGATGTGTGAGGCAGTTTACCAGGTTACCAAGTACCAATCAGGTCGACTTCAGTAGGTTCGACTATTTGACATGGAAAATCCGTAGTGGTCTGGAAAACAGGTTGCATGCTGAGGAGTGGAAGAGTGCCAGTACGCCCTCAGAAAGGCATCAGTTGGAAATCGAAAATGGTGTTCGATGGTCGCAGCTGCATCACCTTGGATACTTTGATCTATTACGTGGAACGATCATCAATCCCATGCATAATTTATTCCTGGGGACACCAAAGAGAATGATGGAGCGGTGGATAAAAGAAGGACTGATAGACGATAGAAAGCTAGCTACAATGCAAGCAATGGCAGAGACAATGGTGGTGCCAATGGATTACGTGGTGTTGAAATCGAAGATTGGAAAGGGCTTTCCATACATGAAAGCTGATGAATGAAAGTCCTGGGTGCTAGTGTATTTGCCTATCTTGTTGAAGGTCATTCTGCCAATTGAAATGTTCAGAAATTGGATCAGTTTTGTTGATGCCTGCCGCCAATTAGTAAAGCCAAGCATCACGTTCTCTGACATTGATGATGGCCATAAATTTCTTCAAGAATTCTGTACTGAGTGCCAGCATATTTACACTCCAACTATTCTCACCTGTAACATGCATTTACATCTTCATCTTCGTGAGACCATCTGTGATTTTGGACCAGTATATGACTATTGGCTCTTTGGGTTTGAGCAATATAACAGTTTGTTAAAGAACATAAGCACAAACAGAAAAGATTCTTTTGAGGCTACGTATATGCAGAGTTTTGTTCAAGATACTTTCAAGGGTAACTATGTCAATGCTGTTCTCTAATGTCCGAGCCAAGTCCCCTTTCTTCTGCTTCTCGCCAAGCTTACTGCCACTGCTTAACCATCCAGTTTAAAAAACAAGATAACTTTCCCACAACGCCCGTTCAGATTAGCAGCCTTCGTCCAAGCGTACTCAAACCCTTCTCTTCCAGTCCTGGGCAATGAACCTCTTCCTCCCTCTACGTTTCCTCTTCACATCAAGCCCTCATCAGTAATGAGTGATGTTGACTATTCTCATTTGCTTGATTATTATAAAGTCGTGTATCACATTCCTGGTCTTGAAAGTTATCAATTTCCGTCCTTCTCCTCTTTTGTTGACAATCAGATCACAAAGTTGAGATCAATCAATTTGCTTGGCCAGGTGTACAAAGGCTGTAATGATGCTTCTAGTCGCGGCTCGTTTGTGCAATCTCTGTTTCTTGGAAGTCAAGGCAATAATCGATTGGCATACACCAGCCAAATTCAGTACCTTTTCTTTCACTCTTTCACTCCACCAGTAGACAACACAGATATCTAAACACGTATTGTTTATCAAGATAAACACGTGTTTGCGTTTGTTAAGTAGTTCCAGATTGAGCATGACTGTTCAAGAGAGTTGGAAAGTGTTGACATCTGCAGTGCAGATTTTATTGCGTGTGATTTTGAATGCATCTTGACAGTACATCAAATATCATCAGTTGTTGCAACATGTGATTATTAAACCAGCACAAATAATAAGAAAATACTTGTCAACACTTTACCGCACAAACAATATAATTAATATTTAATACATTTCTTTTTTTAATAAAAAATTTCAATACATAAGCTAATGTAGTCTTATTATATATGTTGCAAACAATACATATGTGTTAAGAAATTTTGAGAGTAAAAGAAAAAAAATGACAAAAAATGAGTTTTATTTATGACCCATATTTAAGAGCCTATTGAGGTAGAGCAGGATCTAAATCAATTGGGATTGTTGATTCCACTGTTCTACCATAAACTCTCTTAAGCAGTTGGCAAGAATTTGTTAAGCTAAATAATAAACATATATTAACATTCAGTCTGGCATCATTCAAAAAAGAAAACTGTTAGGTTTTACCTCATCACTTCACCAACTTGGGCGAGCAACACGAATCTCATTTCTTGACTGAGAGGCACTGGAAAAATAAGGACAATTAACATATTGTCTAGGTAGTCGGATCATAGTGGATATGTCAGGATTTTTTTTCATCTCAGCAGTTTTTTTTCATCAAGTTGGGGGTGTAGTTTTGATGTATTCTATTGGCTTAAATAAAAATAAAATAAAAATAAAATAAAAAATACGTTTTGGTTTACTATAAAACCGTATCAAATGAAATATTTGTAGCACTCTTGTTTCCTTTTTTATTTTATAATTCAAAATACATACACTATGTTTCCTTCTATTCAAATGCACAACACTGATTGCCACTGCACCAGATGCAATAATAATGATCAAGGAGTTTCCCGAGTATCGAGACATACTGCTCAGCGTCATAATAAAAGAGCTAGATTTGAAGGTACTGAGATATTCAAGAGTTGTATAATTTATTCAGTGCTGTTATCTGTCTACCGAGTAATAATCGCTTTTATTTTTATTTTTTATTATTTTAAAAAACATAGCTGAAAAGAGAAGCATGGAAGTAGATACTGAAAGTAAGACATTTTTTATATGAAACGCAGAAGAAAAACTAATAATAAACTATTATATTCCATATTTGTAGTAATCCCGACGTATCAATCCGATTCTGTGGAAGCAATGGACGGTCAGGCCAACTCACCTATTTCGGATGCCGTCTCAACGTTTGACAATGACGTCTTTGTTGGTAATGACTACAATGGTGATGAGTCTGACACGACCAATGACAATGACAGTGATGACAATGGCAAAGAAGACACTGCCGAGATTTATGTTGAAGAGTTTAACAATGAGGGTCAGTTTTAAATACATAAAAAAAAACTAAAAAAAATGTGTGTTAATTTTTTTTTTAAAAAAAAAGACCCTTTTGCTGCTTCTGGTATGCCCGAGAATCCAGTGCACAGATTTATTGCTACTTTTACAGTACTGTTTGCATCTCGTTACGTGGTCAATAAGGGTTCTGTTGTCTTGATTGAGTTCATCAACGAGCTCTTGAAGATTTATGGACAAGATTTCCAACTTCCCGAAAGTCTGGCTGGGCTACATAAAATGACTGGCTTTTCGTCTATCACCAAAGGCATCAAGCGATTTGTGTCATGTCCAAACTGCCATTGCATCTATGAAGAAAACATGTCCGTACCTCCCCATTGTGTTTTCACAAATGTTGGTGCACGCTCTCCTTGTGGTTGTAAGTTGATGAAAGAGTCAACTTCAGGTGCACTGGTATCAAAGCGAGCATACTTGTACCAGTCCCTCAAGCAAGCTTTGTCTGTTCTTTTCCTTCGTCCTGGTTTTGAAGAGCAAATCCGTCACTGGAACACGGAGCTTAAGATTGTCAATACTATGTGCAACGTATACGATGGAGCAATGTGGAAAGAGCTGAAGGATGCAAGTGGTGTCTCGTTTGTTGCTTGTCCTCGCTCATTGATGTTGACACTCAACATAGACTGGTTCCAGCCGTTCGATGGAGTTAGTTACTCTTCTGGTGCAATTTACTTGGTTGTAAATAATCTGCCTCGAGAGGTACGGTTCAAGCCTGAGAACACAATTCTGGTTGGTTTGATGCCTGGTCCCAAGGAGCCAAGATGCGAGGAGATAAATAACTATCTCAAGCCTATGGTAGACGAGATGAAGCAGTTGTATGTTGGAATGCGAGTCCCGACCTACGAGTGCCCTTCTGGTGCTAATGTCCGTGCTGCCTTGCTGATGGTTGCGTGTGACATCCCTGCTGCCAGGAAAACAAGTGGATTTACAGCCCACAATAGTACATGTGCGTGCTACAAGTGTATAACCCAGTTCCCCAGATTGCCCAACACAAATCAGGTGGACTTCAGTGGATTCGATTATTCGCTTTGGAATATTCGTAGCGGTGTAGAGAACAGGTTGCATGCTGAGGAGTGGAAGAGTGCGAGTACACCCTCAGAAAGGCACCAGCTGGAGGTCGAATATGGTGTTCGATGGTCGCAGTTGCAATGCCTTGGATACTTTGATCTAGTACGTGGAACGATCATTGATCCCATGCATAATTTATTCCTGGGGACGCCCAAGAGAATGATGGACCGGTGGGTCGATAAGAAAACGATTGGAGCCGAAGAGTTTGCTGCCATGGAAAAAATCGCAGGGACAATGGTTCTTCTGAGGGATTATACAAAGCTGACATCGAAGATTGGAAAAGACTTTCCTTACATGAAAGCCGACGACTGGAAATCCTGGGTACTGGTGTATTCTCCTGTTCTGCTGCATGGTGTTCTACCATTTGAAATGTACAACAACTGGATGAATTTCGTCCGTGCATGCCGCTATCTTATCAAGCCAAGCATCACATTTGATGAAGTGAACAGCGCCCACAACTATCTGGAAATGTTTTGCAAAAAGGCTACCAAACTCTACACTCCCACCATCCTCACCTGCAACATGCACCTGCACCTCCACCTTCGCAAGACCATTCGTGATTTTGGACCCGTGTATGGTTACTGGCTCTTTGGGTTTGAGAGATACAATGGCCTGTTGAAGCATATAAAGACAAACGGAAAAGATAGTTTTGAGGCATCATATATGAGAAGTTTTGTTCAAAACGCATTCAAGGGTGACTATGTCCATGCTGTTCTGAAAAGTTCTAGCCACATCCCCTTTTTCAACATTCTCTCAAAGCTTTCTCCGAAATTCACACCTACCACCACAGTCATTACTCTCTCCTCCCGTCCATTCCGATTGCAATCATTCTTACTAGCATCGTCCAACCCACATCTTCCTCCAAAGGGTAACAAACCTCTCCCTCCTTCGACTTTTCCTCTTCAGCTAAAAAAATCATCACTGATGGATGAAACCGACTATGCCCATCTGCTTCAGCACTACAAAACATCCTATGATCTTCCCGACCTTGTCAGTTACCAATATGCCACACTCACAAACTCCTTTGTTGACAATGAAATCACAAAGTTGAAGTTCATTGACTTACTTGGTCAACAGTACCGTGGTAAAAACGGTTCAGCTAGTTGTGGTTCTCTTGTCCACGTAATGTTTGTTGGTAGTGACAGTAGAAATACCCTAGCCTATGCTGGACAAATATAGTATCTCTTCACACACTCCTTTACACACCCTTCTAACAGCAATCTCCACCTGACTCGCATGGTTCATGATCATCGACATGTATTCGCATATATCAAGTGGTTTAATACTTCCTCTGATAGATCGCGTGAGGATGACGGTCTTGAGTTTTGTCTCCCCACCTTCTCCCCCGATAGTCGCCATTGCATTGTACCTGTGCACCGCATCTTTTTAGAGATTGCTACAGCCAGGATTACTACAAGTAGAAATGTTAGTAAGATGTTAGTAATTGCTTTGCCAAAAAAGCTTTATGCTTAAAATAAAAAAAAACCCCCACTTGAATTTCCTTTTCTTATACAAAAAAAAACAGAACAAATTCCCTATATATATTGATAGTATTGTGTATGTAAAAAGTAATACGTAGATAAAAAGAGAGAAACATTTTTTTTTATTTAGAGCCCGTCTCTAAGAGCCCACCGAGGAAAATTGGGGCTAATGTTATCTGGGACTGCTGAGTTGGACACACTAGTAGTGATCCTACGGATCCTTTGATTAGCACTTGACCCCATGGCCTGGACAGCATAAGTGTCAACAAGTGCAATGAAACGGTTGCACTGAAATACATTCGTTAATAATTCACTCAATATAATAATACACCAATACAAATGTATTACTCCAAATTAATCTACCTCATCGCTTCTCCAGCCTGGTTGTACAATATGAATGACATGTTTTATGCCATCCTCGTCCATTTCATTGGCAGACTCTCCATCTGACATTACTGCTTTTTGGAGAGTGTTGGCACAGTCTCTGAGCATTACAAGATCAATTGCCTCCTTATTGTCTTTGTAGGCCAGTACACGGCAACACTCATTCTAGTAATAAGTTTTGTTAATTTGTTATTTTTACTTTTAATTTTCAACTATAAACTATATATATTAGCATAATACTCACATCATCTGCACGGGCTGCTCTTTGTGTAAGAGCGTTTGTTTCCGCTATCTCATCATCAGACATTCTCTCACGACAGGTTCTACTAGTGAAGTTGGTGTGCAACCTCTTTCAGAGGTCACTCCGTCTCATACTAGAGGAACCAAACCTGCGCTCAAGATTAGAAAGAAGTCTCTCGGCTATCTCCCTGTTGGGAGATTTGTTGAAAGCAACATTTGTATCCCATCTGGGCTTGAGGTTGTTGGCCAGGATATTTTCTGGCGTTCTCAAGCTAAGCTTGGGTTTTCACATAAGGTTGTGAATATGAGCCTGATAAATAAATCATGAGAAAATGAATTGATAAAATATTTTATAATATGTTACTCACATAAACTGCATTAGATTCTTCACAGGTAGGCTCATGGTTGGAGATGACAACAGGTGCAGCAACAGTGAGTTCGGCTCTCACAGGAGCAGCAAGGGGAGTTCTGGCCAAACTATCTATGGCACTGATGGTGTTGGTGCTGGTGGTAGCAAGAATGCCAATTCTGCCATTCATGTTGGTCAGAGTTTGCTCAACATTG